GAAATGGCATTTCTCCACATGGGCTGGTGGGGCCAAGGGTGGATAGGGCGGAAAGGGCTGGTGGAATGGGTGGGTCGGTAAAGTTGTTACAGGTTGCACGCTCAAGGGACACCAATCCCTGTTCGTATACATGTAATTGACAGGGGGCCAGGGGCGCTAAGAAGAACGCCAGAAAGCGAAAACGAGAAAAAGAGAAAAAGAAAAAGAAGAAAAGGAAAAAAAGAAAGGAAAACGGAAGAGGAAAAAGGAAAGGGAAAAGAAAAGCAACCACCACGAACGAACGACCAGGCAGTGCTCATGCATTGTTCCTGGCGTGGCGTTTTGCACGTAAAATATGCTTACTTGATCTGCTGCCCAATGCGATCTTCGCGACAAGCGATTGGAAAGTGCTTTCTATGACATATTTGCGAACCAGGAACTCGAAAGGATAAAGAAAACAAGAGAAAAGTGACAGAGTTAGGAAAAAAAAAAAGAAAGAAAGAAAGAAAGAAAGAAAAACAAAACAAAACAAAGAGGGTGGCGCGGAACCCGGATCGCCGCTGACAGGGCGGTAAATGCTGTCAAGGCATTGAGCAGGAACAGTTGATGCTCTGGTCAACCTGGTTTGCCAAAGGATGCACATTCGAGAGAAAAAAGAGAAAGGAGGGGAGGGGAACGGGGATTGACCTCCCGAGGGCGGTGCAGACAGGCGTGCCTGGAGAATGGCTGACGCCACAAAGGAGAACGGGTGCCGAGGAGAATTGGGATGGATGGGGAGATCAAAGCGACAGCTGTTTCTTGCTTTTGTTGCTTGTCTTCGGCTCTTGCTGCTGGTGCGCTCTCTCTGGAGCGTCTCTTCTCAGTAAGTACGAGTTTATTGTTAAAAATCCCCGAGCGTTGAGCTAGCTTGTAGAAAAGAGAGAAGAAAAGAAAAGGAGAAAAAGGAAAAAGAAAACGAGATAATAATAAAAAGAGTAAAAGGAAAATGTACTCCCGAAGCGCCAGACAGCCAGAGTTTACAGGTACATTTAGGAACGGAAGAGAGGGCATGATCAGATTTGCGAAAGCGCGGAACCAAAAGACGCCACCCTCATTTCCCCAGAACTACTAGTTTCGGAGCCATCACAAGTGAGCTGCAGGGTGACGAGAGACCCAAAGAAAAAGAACAAAGGGTGTGCAAGGGCTTTTCAACCAAGAGGAGAGGACCTGCGGGCCCCCTTTAAAATTGCAAGTCGTCTGTGCGGCTCGCTCTACGGACGGCTACGTGAGGCTCTGGACGGAAAGCTGGCCAGGCCAGGCTACGCCGTTTTCTCTTATCTTCATCCTGGTCAAGCCTCGGGAACTTGCACGGAACGGAAAGGGCTGGAAGATCCCCTCGCACTTTGGAAGGCCGGGATGCGAAATATTGACAAGGACTGAAATGGGGTTCTGGCGAAAGAAAAAATATTCATTTCGTCAGACACTGGATATGGCGTGAAGGTGGGGAGAGAGGTGGTTGAATGAAATCTTGTCGTTGGTCTTGTCAAGGGCCAGCCAGCCTCCGGCATGTTGGGCAGCCGGCATGCAGAATCAATCTGCCAGGGAACAAGCAGGAAAAGACACAACTTGAACTAAAAAACTGGGAGGAAATCAAGCTTTCGCCTCTCCTTGGCCTGCCCCGGCTATTTGTCTTGGGGGTTCTTGCCAAGGACAGCTGAGAGGAATGAACAAAAGCGATAGATTGTTCTTCGTGCCTTTCCAATTGCGGCGGGGTTACCCTTTTTCCCTTCTTTGCCAAGTCGGTAGACCCGGTGACTTGCTCCTTGCCTAGCCCTATCGCGAGTGAACCTGGAAGCGGTTCCGTTTCCACGGGTTCTTGCTCCCACGCTTCGTTGGAGTGTTCGAGCCAGGCAAAAGACAAGTCGAGTTCGACGTCGGCCCCGGTGTTCCAATAGCCAGAATCCACTGGTTGCGCCCACATGGAGAATCCTTGGAGATTAATACTAGCTGCTGAGGGTCCCTCGTATAGTGTACAAGTAGTGTAGTACGGGTGCGCTTCAGGTCACCCAGCTTCGAGGGTACGAAGTACCATTACGGGCATGAGCAGACACGACGAGAAAATCCGGGCGCCTGGCTCGTCTGGAGATATCGCAGACACGACGCACCAAGCGATCAATCATGGTTATTTTGCTCCACCTCTCGACCAGACGGTGGCGTGCGGACGCTTCTTAGAGGGTTTCTGGAACACGCGAGTTGCGCTTGGCCAAACAGCTAGAAGACTGTGGTGAAAGTTGGTGCAGAGTTTCTCTCCCCAAGCGGCTCCACGCCGTCCATGGCCTTCTTCCCCCTTTTTCTTCAAGTCTTCGTTCCTTGCCCCATCAGCGAATAATAATACGCACTTTTCCGTTCACGGCTGAGTCTGACCAACAAATGAACAAGGTTGGTAAGTGGGATGGATTTGGGACCACTCGTCTGTCCGCCGTGGGGCCACACACACACACGAGACCCCTGTCAGACCAAGCCAGGATCAGCTTAACCTTGGAGAACAGAACGCCACACCCAGTCCACGCTTCCCCTTTCCTCGTCCCCTGGCTTGTTCGTGCTAAATTTGACTTCCACCGCGAAAGTTGCCGAATTCCCACCCCTTGCTCCTGACTAGACCAATTTCGGACAAACCGTTTTCGTCGCTTTGGTCTCTTTCCTTCTCTCCCCACCACAATCACAACCGCCACCGCCATGATGCAGTTACGGTACACAAATGTGGTTGGCTCACTCAGCGCCCATACTTTTCCGCATTTCTCGCCCATGCTCACTTAATCGGAGGATATGTGCACCTTCCGCGAGGTTACCATCGTGCAACCAACATCCCATCCCGTTGGGCGTGAAGAGGACAGTAAGTATACAAACTGACGGGAGAGGAACAGAAAAAGAAACAAAAAAAAAGAAAACAAAAACTTCCAGCAAGGAGACTGCCGCTTGTGCGCCGTGGTGAAGGCGCCACGTACTCATCACGCCAACAAAGGATGTTAGTGACCCCATCCACCCTCATTCACTCAGGGCCCCGCTCGACCATCCCAGGCACTGGTGCCTGACCTCGTTTTCTTCATTTCTTTTTTTCTTTTTCGTTTTTTTCTTCCTTTTTCGCCTCTCTTTTCTCTTTGTTCTAGTCCCGGAGCATGGACAGTTTTTGCGCACGAGAATATTAGTGCAAAACGGATGCTCGCCTGAGACCACCCGTCTGCTGCTCGGGGCGCCCTCTTCGCAGGAGAGAGAAATTGGAAAAACGATAATCCCGCTCTTAGCTTGCCCAACTTCGGTCAAGAAGACGTCAGTTCGGGCAGCGGTAGGTCGCGGGAGCTGACGACTTGGGAGGGGCCATGACTCCCCAGATGTCTTTGGTCTCTGAGACGGGCTCGTTTCGGTGCAGGATCCTCTACTCAGCTCGCTTCGCTACCAGCTGCGGTGCGGTGCGGTGCGGCGGGTCTCAATTCGCAAGCGGCCCCCCTCCCTCCTCTTTTGTTCGGATGGCATTGGATCGCACAGCGTCAATGGCATAGGGCAATGCGTCGCTCTCCTCAGAGAGCGTGCAGGCGCCCAATGCAGGACGGAAGCCCACCCAGAATTCACCCCAGAGGGGAAAAAGCAAGGACGCATAGCGAGTCCAGCAGATTGTGGGAAAGAGCGAGCAGGTGCGAGAAAGCGAAACGGCATCTTGCAGCATTTCTCACCAATCATGCCAGATGTGGCCCCGAGTCACGAAAAAAAAAAAAAAAAAAAAATGACAGGTACAGAAATTCCTGGCAGACAGCCGCCACCGAATTAGAACCCTCCCGCGAGTGATGGAAATATCCCGGTTGAAGGGGGGCCGGCACGAGAAGCAGCAGAAGAATGTGGTGGATGCTTTGGCGGGAATGGAAACAGCAATGCAGGCTTGTTCGTATCTCCACCACTACTCGTAGTGTGTGTGCCCTCTCGCTTTGCCGTGCGCTGGATCTCGTGTACGGGCTGCTCATTTTTGGACAAACCAGGCAGGTGGAAGGGGGATTGTTGGGAAGGTACCAGGAAACGAAATCATGGATCGCGGCATATTAGGCCACCAAATTAGCTCGGTACCCACACCGCGCACGAAGACGAGGTTGTCCCCGTTGCCCTGGCCCGACCTGAGCTGGCTGACGCTGGACTCGCTTCTCGCCCCCCTAGTGCATGTACTGGTACCGACTTTTCGTCACACCTGGCAGCCTTGTGTCCCCCTTTGGCTTGTTGTTCAATGTTGTTTCCGTGCACTTTCTCGTGGGCGTATACACCTGGACCTGTTCCCCACACCCACGCATCAGTGCGCTGCGGGTGCGTGCACCTCCTGCTTTTCTCTGTTCGCTCCCCTGAGGCGACGGCCGCCGCCTCCTCCTGTGCCTGTCGCCCTCCCTTCCCTTCCCTCCCCTTTCCCTCCTGTTTCCGCGCTGCGCGACTCGGGCGAGCGAGAAAAGAGGAGACCCAGCTGGCGTGGGAAAATGCGGGACCCCTGTGGTTGCTAAGTGCAATCTCCACCAGCGTTTTGGTCTGAATTTGCTGGTCCGCCGCGCTGCCCGACTTCCTAGTCCAATTGCCCTGGCTGGCTCGCTGAGCTTGGGAGCCCGGCCACTCTTCCGTCGCTCGTCATCCGACCCATCGCGCGCCTTATGCGGTCTCGGCACCCACTCCGCCCCCTTCTCGTCTCCCTTCCCTTCCCTTCCTGAGCGCCCCCCTGTCGTGCCATCCGCTTTGGAGAATCCTACTCTTCGTAGATTTTTTTCCTTCATAAGGAGCTCGGATCCAGGGCCCTGGATTTAGTCACTCTTTTCTCTCTCCTTTTCCAGGTCTCTACTACCTCTTTTAATATCCATTCAGTGTAGGCTTTTGTTGTTTCGTCTTCGCGACAACTTCCTACATTCGTCACTCGTTTTTAATTTCTCTCATTTTCTTGGGAAGCATTCGCTGCTCCTAATTCATTCGTTATTTTTAATCGTCTGCAGTAAAGGAAGAAAACCCGAAGCTTACGACCCAATATGCGCTTCTTCACCAGCGCCGTGAGCGCGATCCTCGCCCTCCAGGCGGGAGTTGCCTACGCGTGCATCAAGACCGTCACCGGTACTATTCTCGTCATTGCCCGTAACCAGGCCGAGGTTGACGACACTGCCGCCGGCTTCTTGGCCTACGGTATCCAGACCCAGGGCGTTATCGTTCCTCAGACCGGTGCCGCCCTGCCCGCGCTCAACTCTACCGTTGACCGTGGCAACTTTGGCGGTATCGTCACCGCCGGAGAGCTCTCCTACGACCAGGGTGGTGGCAACTACGGTAGCTCTCTTACCGTAGACCAGTGGAATGCCATCTACCAGTACCAGATCGACTTTGGCGTCCGCCTTGTCCGCATCGCCGCCTATCCCGTTCCCGAGTTTGGTAAGTTTTTGAGCTTCGGCGTGGGCCATATCTTTTGCTGTAATGCCGTGCTGACTCGAAGTCATGATCAAAGGCGCCGAGCCCGTCTTCTCCAACGACGACGACCAGTTGATCGCCTTCAGCGATGTCTCCGAGTTCCCTACCGCCAACCTCAAGACCAATGCTGGTCTGACCACCAAGGGTAACTGGAAGACTGGTGCCAGGATTACCGACACCGCTACCACCACCGCCTTCGCCAAGTTCACCGGTTCCACCACCTATGGCGAGACTGTTGCCGGTGTCATCAACAAGGTCGCCACCGGCCGTCAGCAGATGGTTTGGTTCACCACCTTTGCCCCCGTCTGGTCCACTGCCTCGGCCTACGTTCAGCACGCCGCCGTCCACTGGGTCACCCGTGGTCTCTGTAAGTCTTGCCTTCTCAATTCGCGATTTATTATTCCTCGCGTCATTCTGTGCATCTTTCGGTTTCTTTTCTCTTGTGAATCACTTTTGTTCTATTTTTGGGACAATGGTGGGGACGGGGCTTTTCCTGTTTCCCGGGTTCGTGTTCACTGTCACCTTTGCATATATTAATTTTAATATACTGGATTTGTGGCGCGGCACCCACCACGGAGACGGCTGGCGGCTGATGCACACGAAAAGATGGGAATTTATTTTGCTAACCACTCTTCAATACAATAGTCGCTGGTAGGCGCAAGACCTACCTCGGTACCCAGGTTGACGATGTCCACTTGTCGACCGAGATCTACTATCCCCAGGGCCAGCCCGAGTTCCGTCTCCGACCCGCCGATCTCGCCAACATCAAGACGTGGCAGGAGGGTCTCCAGTCCCGTCTCCCCGCCGGTTCCAACTTCTTCATCGAGCTTGCCCACAACGGTAACGGTGCCTTCATCTCCGCCGTTGAGAAGACCGGCAGCAGCAGCGTGTGCAGCCCCAACGAGGCCGTCGACTACGACGAGATTGTTGATGTTGCTTACGAGTGGGTGAAGCCCCTCGGCACCGGCAAGGACATGTGGCCCACCAGCTTCACCACCACCTACCCCTGGAACGCTCAGTGCCCCAAGCTCGATGAGCTCCTCCAGTGGTTCCAGACCCCCGCCAACCGTGACGCCTTTGCCCACTTGTCCCACACCTTCACCCACGAGGAGATGAACAACGCTACCTACAACGATGCCAACCGCGAGATGATCTACAACATCAAGTGGCTCAAGGACGTTGGTTTCTGGGATGCCCAGCACTTCTCCGCCGGTGGTCTCGTGCCCCCTGCCATCACTGGTCTTCACAACGGTGATGTCATTCGCGCCTGGATGGACAACGGCATCAAGTACGTCGTCGGTGACAACACTCGCCCCAACATCCGCAACGCCGAGAGCCTCTACTGGCCCCTCATCACCAGCGTCGCCAAGAACGGTTATGACGGTCTCGTCATCGTCCCCGCTGGGGTAAGCTTTTCTCTTTTGACTCTTTTGTTTTGTTTTTGGTCACGGACACTTGAACTAACGCGAATTTGAATAGCCACCACCATCTACTACAACTGCGATTTCCCCATCTGCACTACCCAGGAGTGGATCGACACCTCTGGCGGCTCGGGTGACTTCACCAACCTCCTCGCTGATGCCAAGGCCGTCAACACCCGCAACTTGTTGCACCTCTACAACGACCCCTACATGTTCCATCAGGCCAACCTCCGTCAAACGGTAAGTTTTTCTTTTTATTCAAGGGGACTCTCCTTCTCGTTTCCCCTACCTCTCTTCCACAAGTGCTAATCCCGTCGTTATCAGGATGCCGACATCCACACCATTGGTGACCAGACTGGTCGCTTCTCTCTCCTCCAGATCTGGATTGAGCTTATCACTCAGGAGATGACCCGCCTCACCAACTGGCCCATCCAGACCCTCAAGCATGATGACATTGCCGCCCTCTTCCTTGACCGTGCCATCGTTGAGTAAGTTTTTTCTGTTCCGCTCGTCGTTCCCCGATGACCCAAATACTAATCTCATTCCGCGTGCAGCAAATGCGAGACCAACGTCGAGTACATCTTCGACCACGACAACAAGAAGATCACCGGCGTCAACCTGATTGCCAACGGCAACACTTGCGGCGCTGACGTGCCCCTCACCGTCCCCGGTGCCATCACCACCTCCACCGGTGGTGTTGTCCAGACACCGTCGGCTCCGAGCCCACCATTGCCTGGGCCAAGCTTGCTGGCAGCCCCATTGCCTTCTCGCTCAACACCCCCATCAACGTCTAAAGAAGAAAAGGATGAATGCTTAATGCCGCCTAGCGGAATCACTTCGCCGCACGCTTTGCTTTTGCAGAGTAGCGCGGCGAAGCCTCTAGCCGTGATCCTTTTGTTTTCTTGACTTCTTTTTCTTTTTTGTTTCTATTCCATCTCATTCTTCTTGAGAGTATCAATTAATGGGACATCGTATAAAAACCACATGAGTAAAAGAATAAAGGTGACTGTTTTTGACTGTGTCTTGTGGATTGAGCGAGATGCAGAGGGGAGTTGCGCACAGTTGGACATGCATACATCAAATGGTTTGGAATTTTAATCTTATGGGTTCTTGGAAAAAATTACTATTGTTGTTAGAAACAGGGAGTGACGGTATAGGAATGAATGCCTACTATCTTGTTCTTCTCTTTTGATATCTCAATGTGTTTTTTCTCCTTCAACTGTTCCTACTTGATAGAATCCAATCACTTGTCCTGGTGGCATGTTGTATTTTCCGCTTGTCTCTGTGCCCTATATGCTCCGAGGAACTTGACGCCTCGATTCCCAGCGAATGCCCGCCTAGACCTTGCTTAGGCAAAGCGTAGATAGTTGTTCTTACATTGAAGGTCAAGAGGTGATGTGGTATCTGTAGACGTTCCTATCTTGTCTACACGTGTCGTAAGGCATACACGTCGGGTACGGACGGATGGAAAAGAAAGCAACGACAGACAGGGAACAGGCTTCCGATACCTCGACGAACGCGCTGTGGGAGCAAGAAGCAGCACCATTCTCACATCTGCCTTGCTTTCAACGTCCTTGAAATGTTGTCTGCCCGGGAATTTGCAAGACGGGCGGACGCAGCCGGACCTCGCTCGGCCATTACGGTCCACGCTGGCATAGAAGGGCAGGCGTTCTAGAACAAAACGAAGAGAGAAAAAAGAAAAAAAGAAAAAGAATACGCGCGCGCTTCTCTCTCTCTCACTCTCTCCCGTCACGTCCACCGTTTTCCCCTCGAGTATCCTGCTGTGCCCGTCTTTTTGTGGGGTAGAAGCTCCGAGGTCTCTCGCGGTATCTTTCTGTATCTTGCTCGCGCTCGAGTCGCGAGTCTCGGTTACCGTGCTAGAAAGGGATCCGAGGGGGCGTGTGTCATGCGTGGAGAGAAAGACTGGATAGATGAGCTGATGTCATTGTCGATGAGGGTTTTGGTGACGGACTCGATATGAGGACGGTGGGGTTTGGGGAATTCTGCGTTTCATCTTGACGGACTTGGCTCTTTTTTCTTTTCTTTTTTTCTTTTTGTCTCTCTATTTTTCCTTTTGCTATTATTCCAGAAAGGAGGGTGTGTGTCGATGACTGGGTCTTTTGGAGATGTTGTAAGAGAGCCTCTCAATATAATGGTAAGCCGACCATTTTGTTCCGGCATCCTCTTCCTGTGGCGTGAGGCCAAGGCGGAGTTTCCTTTTTTTTTTTTTTTTTCGCTTCTTTGGAGTACACGCCGGAGGTAAGCACGATACAATGGGGGTGGCCATTTTGACAGAATCTCCTCTTTTCTTCCTGTGTCGATCCATATCACCCGGTATATTGATCCACGCGGTCTGGGGGCTCACGTCTCTCTTTTTCCCGCGGGCTCCAATGCTTTTTCTTTGCGGGGGCGGGTTTAGGAACGTAGGGCCGGTTCGGAGCCGGAGAGGGACCGCCGGGTGAATTGGAGAAAGGGATCCACTTGTCTGGGGTAAGGAGGAGGAAGGGTTAGGATGAATTGTCGAGCTCTGGAGCTTGGCTTGGGAACGCTGGGCTGGGTAGTGTGGGGAGGGCGTGTACGTGAAGGACGCGTCCGAGACATTTTTTCTCTCTCGCTCTTCATCGTCAATCTATCTGAAAGAACACTATGGCGCGATGGGATCGCGATGGGAGTTTCACACACCCCACCCCATGTTCACTCCTCTTTGCTCCTCCCCTTGGCATGCAAAGAATGCCCAGATGCCCAGACGCCCAGATGCCCAGACAAGATGCCCAGATGCCCAGATGCCCAGACAGCGCCAAGTTTTTGATCCTGACGGCTTACGATGGTAGTCCACGCTCCTTCACCCCCTCTCCCACCCCACCCCTGATAAGCATTTCTTCCCCTTGCTCCCTCCTCTTGGCGTGAGGCGATTTTCCTCGATGCCGAGATGCCCAGCTATCCAAATGCTTATACCATGTATGGCGGCGCGCCAAGGCAATCCCGACGGAGCGGGACGGTGTAACCCACCCCCGCGGGCGCAGGTGGGAAACCCGTGCCGAGAGGGTGAGACCGTGAGTGAGGGGGATTTTCGAGAAAAGGGATTGGGGGATAAAGAGAATAAGGAGAATATATCAAGCGAAATCTAGATATATGGAAAGAGGGTCCGCAAGCATACGCGTCCTTTGAGGGGAGGGAGGTGATGACTTGCGGGCTAATTGGTATTGCTGGAGTCAGCGGATTCTTCTTCTTCCTCTTTCTTTTCTTTTCTTTTTTGTTCTTCTTGTTTCTGGTCTTGTGAACTCGCTACTCTCTTGTTGAGTGGGCGGTTTCTTCTCTCTGGACGGCTAGTTCGACGCCTGACTGTGAAAGAGGGCAGCCCGGGCGTAAGGAGGAAGAAGAAAACTATGCAATGACGTGCCCCGGAAGCGCATGGAAACGCAGCGACGATGTCGTTGTTACCGGAAGAAAACGTACAAAGGTGAGAACAGGTGCATATATCCCCGCTTCTAGAACATGACCCGCGGTGAATCTGGCATACAAGGCGCGTTGTCACCATTGTTGTCGTCATCGACGTACTTGACATCCCCCAACCTGGCTTATGATCATGAGGACCTTTGTGCGAATAAAAGAGGCGGCATGCCATAAGTGCTGTATCGCCTTTCTCTTCCTCCCCCTCCCCACCGGGGAGTGGCGGCGACGGAGTGTGCACGCGCGCGTTCGTGCGGAGCTGCTGCTCCCCGCCCTGCCAAGTGCACATTTCCCTCTGTAATGCCGGTGTGCCACGGGTAGCCTGGCCTTGGGCCGTGGAAAAGAAACCGTGGGGAGGGGAGGAGGGGAGGAGGAGAGCTTGATTGGGTACGGTTAAGGTGGACTGCCGAGCAAAAGCTGGAAAAGCTTCTGGAAGGAAATGAAGTGCCGAGGGGGATGCAGCGGGAAAATAGCTAGAGACTTCTTTTTCTTGCACCCCCTTGTATTTTTCTTTTCCCTTCACATATGTATTTACTCGGCATGGCGAAGGGAACGGATGATCCTTGCCTTACGCTCGGGCAACACTGAGGGTACACTCCGGTCTCCGTCTTCCGGGGCGTGGGGAAGGTGGAGGCCCGGAGCCCGGCGGAGGCGGTGGGCGAGTTGGCGGGGTTTTCGAAAACCCCGCGCGCGACTACGCGCTCCATCACGAAGGGCACATGAGGCTTCGGGTTGATTGAGAAGGAAGCCTTGCTCTTACCGTATGCCTGAGTAGTAGTATCGTGTCCTCCGCACCATTTCGCATCTTTCACCACCCTTTTTCAGGGGCGTTGGCAATGGAACGTGGAGTGGTCCGATAGGCAGAAGACTAGAAGATTAACGACGCCCCGTAGACAAAGAAGGCTTTCGATTTTCCTTTCTCTTTTTCTTTCTTTCTCTTTCTCTTTATCTTGTTTTACTTCTTTTTTTTTTTTTTTTTTTTGCCAGCCTTTACGCTCTTACATTCTAGATGTTTGTTGGAGTTGGCGGGCAGATTCAAGTCGAGGGTGGGAGTTGCGAGAGAGAGAAATCGAAGAAAAGATCGTGGACTTGAGGAAGAAGCGATGTTGGTCAATCGGACCTTTTTCCTCCTCGTCGGCCATTCTTTTGTCTGTTCCTGTCTTTTTGGCCCATGTTCATCCCGCAGTCTGCCTTCCGCGCGCTTGATCATCTCAGATCTGCTTGACGTATCAGAGAGGCGAGGCTCGTAAGCGGTCTTGTCTCAGGCGCAAGGAAACGAGAACAAGCCTTTAGCATTCACGAAGAGGGAAAATAAGAAAAAAGGCGATATCAAGACTTTTAAAAGAACCGAGGCTAAGTTTATACATATACAAAAATACTGAAGAAATAGATACAGGGAATAGAAAAAGAACGTGAGTTATGATCCGATTTGGTCCTCGCTCTTTCTGGAGCATTGGCGATCGCGAAATGCTTCTCGGGCGAAACGAGACGTAAGCGAATGGAGACACCAGCCTGTCCAATACGCACTCGAAACGCGCCGCGGCTAACCTTCAAACATATCCTTTCTTAACTTGCTGCTATTTCCAGTTCCACCTATTCCCCCCTTCAGCTTCCCTTCCCCTCTCCCTTCGAAGCCGTTGCGCCGGCGTTTTCGCCCTCGTGGAGGGCGTGGGTGCGAGGAGGGGAAGTCTTCGTCGCCTCGCGCTTGCTTCCCTCTTTAGACGTGGGCGTGCCCTGAAGCCTTGATAACTGGCGCGGCCTGCCCAACACGAGGGGGCGTCTAGGCCCTCGTCATCGACGATGAAACACACGAATTCGGAGCGATGCTCGAACTGAACACTCTTCTCGCCTACCCAATGAAAATCCGCCTCCCCGACGTAGGTAATCATCTGGCCACTGGGGAGCGGAGCCTCCCTAGGTCCCCTGCCGTAATACAAGATGGGGAGACGAAAGGATTGGGCTTGTTTGAGCCGGATAAAGGACTCGGGGAAGCCCTCGTGGATGAGAGCCCACGTCACGTACTCGCGGTTCCTGCAGGAGATGCTCACCTCCGTAAGCACGCCGTCCTCCGTCGGTTCCCCTCGAACGGTGTGCGGTGTTGGTGGCGATGGCGGCCCCGGTGGCGATGGAGAAAGGCTGGCGGCCCGGCCCGTCTCCGCTGGTGGCGGCCTTTGGCGTGTTTCCCCTCGTGACGGCTTCAGACTGTTTTCGGTTGCCGGTGACGGCCTCGAATCACTTGCTTCTCCTGGCGGCGGGCTTGGATTACCTGCTCTTCCCGGCGATAGTTTCGTATTACTCTTTGCTGCTGGCGACAGGCCGGGACTGCTTGTTCTTCCCGGGGATGGATTCGTAGTACTTTCTGCTGCGGGTGACGGGCTTAGACTACTAGTTCTTGCTCGCGACGGCCCCGGGTCGCCTGCTCTTCCCGGAACAGAGCCGGCCTCGGACGCGGTATTGCTCGAGCGCCGCACCCTCGGGCGCGCTCGGAAGATAAACGTCTTCGGATGCGTCGTCGGCACCGCCCCTGTCTCCACCATGCTCGTCGCGAGGTGGCACACCGCCCGCTGAACGTCCCCGGGCCCCCACTCCCCGAGGACCAGGGCGAGCCCTGCGAGGTCGGCGGTGTCTGCGGCACCCTCATCTCTTGCCTTAGACCCCGTATCTCGGTTAGACATCCCTCCACTTTTTGCGTGAGCTCCGCACTAGGACGCAAAGAACAGAAGTTTTATCCTGTTAGCAAGCCGTAGTCCCCTTTGAGCTAGCCCGATCCCCGGGGCCCGGGGGCAATCGGGAGTAATCGGTTGAGAGTTTCGGGGGTGGGACCCGAAGGAAGGGAGGGGAGGCAACGGGGAGAGGGGATAGGGGTTTCCAACCCCAAGGTTATACTTACATGCGCTGGTCGTTGTCGGGATTCGGAGCGACCGACTTACGTGCTGTAGCTTCCTCAAACATACAAGTAGTCAACGCCAAGCTCAGCAGCGCCGTAAACATCTGTAAGTTTCGCTGCAACTTGACGAATTCCGGCTGCATTAGGATCCACCGTAGGCTCCGCCAAAAGTCCCACGTCCAGCTCCGCAGCCGCTGCATCTTCTCGCGCTGCCGGTACACGCCTTGCTCCAGATGCTTGGTCTCCGACGCCAGGTCCCCGAGCACGTGGTACTGCGCCAGCCAGCGCGCCGATGCCGGCGCGGAGCCGTCCTCAATGTACCTCTGAAGGCTCTTGGCGGCATGCCTGACTAGGTTGACAAAGAGGTTCAGCTGCCGTCGCGCGGATCGCATATCCGCCCTGACGATTTTTGATCCGCGGGCTATTTCATAGATGGTCTTGGACAGGATGGACACGGGCTTGGCGAGGGCGATGATGGTGAGGATGGATGCTACTGCCTCTGCCATCTTTTTACAAGCACTTGGGGGCGGGGAATTGAGGGACTCGCGTAAAAGTGGTGAGGACTGGCTTGATTGAATGCTATGGAGACTCCTTGAGGCCTCAAGCCTACGTCTATATACTTGGTATTAAGAAGATGGGACTAAAGAAGAAATGAGAAAAGGAAAGAAGGTAGAAAACCTCTAAGGCTATCGCATCATGTTTCGAGCCGCGCGCAGATGAGTAGCGTCGAGCTTCCCACACAGTCAACATACACACTCACAGTTTACCTGTTTGTAAGACTGCCTAGCGCGCAAGGCGGGCCTCAATCAAGCAAGATAAACCAAGACATGCGAGGCTATCTTGAGTCGGGCATCAATGCAGAATCGCTGTCTGGAAGAGATTTAAGGTTCAAGACGCTCTCGCGCAAGGCTCTCTCTCGATCATGAAGTATGGGGGCTTGGGGGTCGCACAGCAGGAGAGAGGGGGCGGGCGGGATAGGCCGAATCGAGCGAACCCGCTCCGTCACTGCATTCCCCCTTCCACTACTCGTACTTTTTCCTCATCACCAACATCTAATTGACCATTGAGGATCTGCAGTGGCGCAATGGCAGCAACGGAGCCGGCGCATTACATGTGGTAGTTGTAGCCACTGAAGCGAGGCGCCGGGGAGGGGTAAATGACTTGGTGGCTCGCATCCTTGAATCGCCATGCCTTGAAAGAAGCAGAGGGCCAACCTGGTAGGGGAAGGGGAAAGAACCTCCCCGTGTGGTTTGAGAAAAGTCGCCAACGTTGGCAGACACACGCACCTATGTCGGCATGGCAGCAGTGGGCAGATAAGGACGAGGCATAACCTAAAGGTCTGCCTTGTAAATTTTAGCTATGTATGAAATATTTTAGACTAAGCTCCCTCCCCCATCTTCAGTCACTTACGGCTCTAATCTAAGAGTAAGAAACATCTTAAAATCGATGATCCCCTCTGTCAGGGGACCAAATATTTGTATTGCGAGTGGGCCAAGTAAGAGGGGGCCCAGTTTCCGTATCATGAGTGAACCAAGGATCTGTATTAAAATGGGCCAATGCGACGTCACACTGTATATACCGTGGTGTATCGCCGTCGGGTCTTGTTTCTGCTCCCAATAAAAAGCCCCGATGTATCGGTTCAGGATTGGGTAGGGTCCATTCTTCATCTTGAGGCAGACTTCCAACCAAGCCTCGTTCACTCCAATCCTGAACAACCGTAGAAAATGGGGTCTCGAGGAATTGGGGAGAGGGTTCGTTTCTCATGGGTTCATCAGCGGGGACGTTCCGAATGGCCCGACGCTGCGCTAGGTTCTCGGTGACGGGGCCCTCGGTTGGCCTTGGCGCTAGCTTTGGCCTTTGCTCCGGTGGTGATACTCTCCATTGCCATCGCTCGACATCCCAGGTGTTAAAGCAGATGGGCTCTGGTCAGACATGGGTGTTGGGATGCCTCGTTCGACGGCACCACCGGGTCGCCGGGACTTCACACCTCCCCGGTCTCTGCTCTGATTGTTCTCGTAGGGCATAGCTTTCCTACTTTCTTCGAGACCAGCGAAGACCTTGTTGTAATGTTCTCGGATAATGCTAAACACGCGCAAAACCTGCCCATTCGCTAGCTCGGAAGAGGGAAGATCGGATTCTTCTGGGGACCCTTCTTGTTGCCCGAGTTGGAACTTTTCTTCTCTCCATTCCAAGAACTTTCCTATGTCATGCGATGTATACATGTATGTTTCAGTGCCGAGGATAGACGAGATGAGGTCCGGAATGCCCCTGTAAAGCTCTTGAGACAGCTCGAAGTGTTCGATGACAGCTGCGTAATCTTATAAACGGACGGGGCGCTTGGGCATCAGTTTTCTGCAAATCTCGCAAAAGAAAATCAAACAGAAAGACAAAGCCACCCCTTCCTACTCACCTGGTGATACATTAGCGTCAGCGGACCTCAGGACGGAACAACAGATTTCCCGCCATTGCTCCTCAGGAGAACCGCTGGGGCGTGGTAACAGCGAGCCCTCTAAGCCAAGCTTGTGGTGCGCTTTCCAATCCTCTATTATACAAAGGGGATCCTCCCGGGCGTGTTGGTCGTGACTGGGCTTGTCGCGGAAGCCTTGGAAACATCGGACACAAACGAACAGTGCTCCATCCACACGCTTGTGGTGGTCGCGTAGGTGCTCCCTGCTCATATACAAGTTTAGGCCGTTAGACGAATTCTATAGAATAAAGGAGAAAAGTCGTGCAGGGTTTCGGAAGTGCCGAACCTGAGAGCCTTTGGGCTAGTGAAGAATGTCATAGAGCAAGAATACGAATCTCTGACGTTAAAGGTGAAGGGGGATACCATTCGAAGGGGACAAGGAAACCGGTATGAGGACGGGGTCCCTGAGTTGATTGGTGTTGATTTTGATGCCCCCGGATATTTCCGTTTATCAAATCCGTCCCCCTCCCATTTTGGTAGTGACCCTCGTCTCCTCCATTTCCTGCACCCTGTTGGCCTGACCCAGATCGAGTCTCACTCCGTTGTTGTGTAGATGATGACGTCTGCTGATTCGTCCAGCTCGTCGTTGCATCGAAGGTATTCTTGAGTTGTTCTACGAAATCCTCGACAATCTCGACTAAATTATCTTGTTCGAACTGCTCTAATTCGTCGGTTGCGTCCAGGTCCACGTTGAACAGGGTGCGGCAGCTGTATTTAAGGACTTGTAGTGCCGGCGAGTTAGTATTGTCCCTGAAAGGCTCTCCGCTGAGAGACTCGTCGTATATTTCCCGTGGGTTGGAGTCGCAGATGTGCCTGTCATGATGTCTAGAAAACTCATCCTTTTCCATGGCTCTGTCCCTAGCGCTATGGCCGTTGTCACTCCCGTCACTACTAACTTTGAGACACAGACGCGGTGGCGATTCGACTTGGGTCTTTATGTTTGGGAATAACCTAGAGTTTGTCTTGTTGAGATGGCCGGATGTTGACAGGGAATTGTGAAGAAATAGGTGATAGGGCACCTCCAACGAGTTCGTTGTTTCACAAGGTCCTTTCGTTGCATCGAAGGGGTGGCGCTGCCGCTAGTAGGCCAAGTATGGCTCAACTTCGCCTCGAGGAGGGTAGCAGATTTTTGATAAACTGATTCAAGATGTCCTTGAGGAATTCGGGTACCCCTGGGGGAGGAGTTGGTTCCGCACACACCGCAGCTATTGCCAGGAGCTCTTGCTGCTCTTCCACGAATTCAAAATGTTCCTTCGGCGGAATGAAGCCTAGGGACGGCATTAGCTCTCCAGAGACAAAGCTTTCCAGGGCAATGAGTAAAGACCGATAACCTACGTCTCTCCCTATCCCGAGGCAAGATTTCGCTTTCTGGGAATAGAATACCCCATAGGTTTGCCCAAAAGTGGGATATTGGTAAAGCCCTTTTCCTCTTCTTTCGTATGATTCTGTTGATAACCGCCTCTAAGCTATCTGTTGGTTTGGAAGCGAGTGAATTTAGGGTGTTTTCTTAGAGAGGGCTGAAGGGGCGTCAAGGATAGGGTCTTTGGGAACTTTGGGGTGGTAGCGGGGGCTGGAATATTTATTGTTTTTGGGGACTGAAAAACTGCTTTCTTCATGATCGTGATATTTCTCGTTGTCAGGCCCATGGGATAGGTGATAGTCGGCGGAGTGATAATCGGCGGAGTGACGGGCTAGGATGTGGTCCCTGCCAACAGTTCAAACGGATGTTAGTTTCTGATGCCTGTCGCTGGAGAAATGGTGCTGTCTACCTAAGTTGGTGGACCTTGATGAAACCGCTCGCTGCGCACTCAGGGTAGTCGCGTATGTTGTATTTTTCGATCTTTGACTCTGTACGGGCAAGCTAGTTTGGCCGGGGGCCCTTTGCGGCGAGGCTGCATACCATTCCTTCGCCGCGCTCGAAGGAATAGTGAGGCTGATGGAAGGTGGGGATTCTATCGTCGTCATATCTTCTAATAAAAATCAAAAAAGGTGATGGCTCCAACGTAGATCTTCAAAGACAAAATCGAGTGAAGAATGAAAGGCCGTGTTACCGATATTCCGGGCTTGGACCGTTGCTTCGTTGCGCAGACAGGCCCTCCTTTTAAGGAACTCCTGGAGGAAAACCAACCCTCTCAATGTGATGGGAATCTGCGGCAGAAGGATCACTCTGGGCGTACTATGTCATTGGCTGGCGGTCATGACCTCTCGGCCACTGATCAAAGCTCCCAAAAGGTCTCTGGGTGAAGAGGAGGGACGCCTGCTTTGCCCGCCCTCCATCCCCGCCCTCCATCGACGCATCCCGGGCTGCAACCGGTCACATTGCGATATGTTCCGTCTTCTCATTGGTTGGTTCCCATGACCTCCCATGAGGACCCAAACCTGCAGAGATGAGAAAATGAGGCTGCTGAAAGTTGCATTGAGGCTTTAACAGCGACTCGCACTTGGCGTGCGGTCTGGTTGGCTGGCGCCCATGACCTCGTTGTCGGATATGCAGGCTCGGAGACGAGATCATCAGAGACTTGGGTTGGGCCCGTCTCGGGAAATGGCGCTCGCACGCTCACTATTGTGCCAGTGAACCTGCTGCAGGGACAAAATTCGCAAAGCAGTCTCATTGGACGGTTTTGATGACCTCTCAATCGCTGATGAGAGCTGTTGCAGAGACTGAGTTCGCAGGGACCTTGGCCAATCCTGTTTTCAAAGTAGGGGATCAACTTCGTCGGAAAAGTGCAACTTCATTGGGTATTGCCCATGCAACTGTTGATGTGCCCTGCCTCCAACGCACGACAACATGCATGTGCGCTGTCCGAGTTCAACGCTTAACCTCGAGGGAAGTGACGCTGCTTCTACAAACCAGAGGTTTCATGGAACGAACCATTTAATCTCAAGGACGGCGATAAGGATATAAGAGACTGGGTGCCCTGCGCCCCGGAAACCAAGTTCACAACGTCTGCCGAGCAGCACCAAACAAAACTACCACACAAAGACGGACCCGAAATACGCGGAGCTTATTAGGCCACAAACATGTCTCAACAAACTACTTTCCATCCCAAAACCATCACCATTAGGTAGGTGAAACGCCAGGGAGGACCAATGACAGATGTATTCGAGTGACTAACGGGGGTAGCATGACAATCGGCGGCGTCGTTGTTACAATCCAGCTCGGTGTGGATTCTGGCCCGGGAGGATATCCGGAAGCCCAAGGGGGCTTCGCGATGCCCGACTCGTTCATCATCCCAGAAGAAGTCGCCGACACCATTATGCCTGAAGCGACCAGTGGACATCCCCCAGGCGAAGAAGTTTCGAACGAAGAATTTCTACAACAAGTGGGCTTCCTTCCGCCAAATCCTTGATGACTTGGTTAGCCGCCAGCTTACCAGCTGTGCCACATCAACGGCGTTGGATCAATCTTTGAACTGAGATCAGAGGTTTCAAGGGGTTGGGGAGTGTTAAAATTTGTATGCATCTGAACTGGTGAGAGTAAAAGGTGGCGGCACATCATAATTTCGAAGCTCTGTAAGCTAGCGAGAGGTCTCTGAGCTTTCTGTTTGACTGTGAATTTTAATGCCAGCCACTCATTGATGGACGCGAGATGCAAGTCCCTTTTCCTAAGTTAATAGATGCACTAGTAATGAGGTATCACATCTATGCAGTAGTTGCGGGTAGACAGGGGCTAGACGTGATTTTGGTTAACAAAAGACATCACCCGTTGTAAGCGTGGACGCTTCTCCGAAAAAGAGTAGAAAAGAACTAAATCGTTTCAGTCATAGCTAACAGAGGTATGAAAAATTGCAACTGTTTTCCAAGATTGATCATGGCTTTCATTCCTAGGCATAGGCCTCCTGGCTGTCTCTTGCCATTTCTGGAAGGCAGCCGCCGGAGAGCCCGGCGCTCAGCACATCCTAGGTTCTCTTTTACCAGCGGTTGGCGCAACCTTTACCACTTAGCCTCCTTGGAAGCCAAGAAAGCCTGAAGGATGGCAACAATCTTCTCGAGGGCATCGAGGTAGGCCTTGAGGTCCTCCTCGACCTTGGCCTGGTCATCGCCCATCTTGACGTAGAAGTCCTTGCGGTAAGGGCACGCGCTCATGGCGGCAGAGAAGATGGGCTTGACGAGGAAGGAGTGGAAGGGCTTAAGAGTCTCGGTGTAGGACGCGCGGAAGGAGTCGGCGAGTTCTTGCTTGGGATCCTTGAGGTTGACGAGGAGAGCACGGCAGGTGAAATCGAGACCTCTATTATGATACAGGCTGGTCAGTCGAGGTCACAAGGTGGGGGGTGGATGAACGCCGACTGGAGCTCGTTCGCCCAATTGAAAGGGGAAGGGAAAGGCAGAAGATGTCTTACCGGACCAACCAGAGGAGGGCCTCGGTGGCCGAGTGCTTCTTGGTCTTGAGCTCATTGCGGCAGAGGTCCTGAATGTTCTCCGACTCGGCGGGGGCAGCGAGCTGGCGCTCACGAATCTTCTATAAAGACGAATCGCCAATGGCTATATGTTAGGCCTTTGCCGGCGGAAAACGTGGGGCCGGCGGGGAGGAGGGCGAACCTGGACGTTGAAGAGCATGTCCTTCTTCACAGGCGAGAAGGCAAGGGAGCCGAGGACATCTAGTAGAGGACGGTGTACGTTAGACACTGCAGCTCCTTTCCGTGGAATGGTCCCGGATTTCCTGGCGAGGGGAGATTACGCACCAAACATGTAGGTCAAGGCCTCAGCGGCCTCGAGAAACTCCGAGGTCGAGACGGCGTTGCCGTTGGCGGCATCGACGGGGACATTGGTGAAGGACCTCTTCAGAACGTCGATGAGGGTCTTGCCGGGGGGATAGCCTGAACTGTCGCCATTTTTGAGGTGTTTGGATGATATCGAGTTGTTCTAAGGGGAACTTTGCTTTTCTGGTCTCCTTGAAGGTAGGCTTGGGTAGATCGGCGTCAAGACCGGGAGCTCTGGAAGTTACGGGGGAGAGGAGTGGCAGGGAGCAGGTCTAAGGAGAAATTGATAAGGGTCCTCAGGCCAACTTGCAGGAACTAGGGTTTCGGGGAAAGCTGGGAGCCTCAATGGATGGGGCGATGGGCTTTTCAGTTGAGCGAACTCGGAGGGTTGAAGGGGGGTTCGTCGGATGAGTTGGGAGGTGGGGGCTTGATGGGAATTTGAGGGGCAGCGTGCAAGGGAAGGGGTCCGCCACTGACAAGGGTACCTGCCCAGTGCGGATTTTACGTGAACACCCCACCACTCCCCATAGATACAATGAGATAGGCCTGTGATTACTTGTATTTCGCACCGTATCAGTACCAACTCCTGCGCCATTCGAGCTTCCCTGAGCGCTGTCTTGGCGGAGGGTTGTGGTTGAGCAGAACACCGCCCACCGCCCACCTTCACCGGCCGGCCGCCGGGGCACTGTTCCGCCACTGGCAACAATGGGTCAATGAAGCCACGAACCTCGAGTAGTCTCTGACACACACCGAAATCAACATGTCGTGGCTCTCGTGGCCGGTCCTTATTTCTTAGTCATCACACAAACCATCTTGTCCGTTTGACCTATTCGTGTTTTACTTGAGGGTTTCCTTTCTTTGGGGAAAAGAAGAACGTGTTGAATGGGTACGTACAAGGAGCTTAGTGAGCAGCGTTTACGCGAAAGGCTTGGAATCAAATCTCGACCACGTTTGTTCTCCACGGAGAGCATGCACAATGAAAATGCCCCAATCTCTCGGTGCTCGAACGGCATTCCGCGCTCCACGAGAGGCTACGCTCCCTCCCCACATCGTGCGACCATTCTCATCTGCTGGTAGCCGCACCCAAGCTTAAAGCTATATGAACGCCTTGTACAGCTCGTCATCCCCTTGACCCGTCACCATTATTGCGTCCCTCCCATCAATTGATCTGCAAAAGATCGAAGCGAATTTGAAATCAACTAAGCTTCATCACCCCACCTACTCACGTTTCCCTGCTCAGCACTCCTTGCCCACATCCACAACCCCTAGAGCTACCAAAACATCATCGGAAGAACCCAATCCCTCTTCCTCCCCAATCCCAGTAGCCCTTCGATCGACGATCAATTCGGCAGCTCCGTCTGCCGCCAAGGAACAGGGAAGCAAAGAAAAGTCCCCCAAGGCCCGGGCTTTTTTCCCCATTGATTTAATGAGGGGGCGGCTTGCCTCGCAGCCGCAAGCAGTGCTTCCCGACCCTTTGCGTGACGTCATACCATCCCACACTCAGGCAAACTTGGCCCCTCCCCAAATCCTTCCATTTTTTGGGACTGTTTTTGGGGAAGCTTGCGATCATGACCGACACGCCTCTCCCATTATCTCGTAAAGTTCGTGCCATTTTCGTCGACGACAAGAATCAAAACTCCTACGTGGCCGTAGTATCGTTCTTAATCATGCCCTCTTTTACCTTCCCCACCAAGCCCGGATAATGAGCAATGATCCGTGTGAATCCTACACCCCTTCGCCTCCCCCTCCGGGCAACAGCTACAGCGCCATGCCGGCTCTCCTCTCTCAATTCCCATTTCCTTCTGCTCAAATATCCATCCTCATTCCCTCTTCCCGAACGGAACGCCCCTGCTCATTTGGAGGCTAGTGACGCGCGGTCCTCGTGTACGCCATCTTCAGCTAGCCCTGTCTCGTCTCACATGCCTTCTCGCATCCCGACGGGCCAACCGTATTAGGGAATGTAAACCCCATCACATCGTAACTCCATGATGTCACCTCCCCCTCCCCCGGGATCTCCAAAACACTGTCGTCTCCAACCTTAATCCCGGGAAAGCCCTATGCGAGATCCAGATCAAGAAGACCTGGCCAAAAAAAAGAAAAAGTGCAAACAAGAAGTGTGTCCCGTTCCGATTATCCGGCTTGGGAATGGCGTAACCGACTAGGAAATTGGGCCCGTTACACACCGAGATCCCAATCACATTGCCATTGTGGATGTACCTGATCTGCGCTTCTTATCCGCTTCCTCGCTGCCCTGATAAAAAAGAGAGTTTATACTTAAGTGCGGGGAGGTCGCCTGCCCGTGAATTGTTCCTCTCCTTCTGCTCTCTCTCTCTTTCTCTTTTGACCCCATCAACAGTTTGTGTCGGAAGCAATCAAGGCATTCAAATCTTGATCGAAGGATCATAAGCCATCTAGACGTAGCCACCTGTCTCCAATGCCCTTGCGACGACACCAAAAAGGCCAATTGATACTTTCTTGACTCCATACGAGTGGTGTGGACCCAAGGCCCATCCCCCATAATCACAATGGCCAGTCCACCACCAAAGGAGACGGGCTTCTTCACGAAGCTGAAGACCACCGGTCTCGAGATTAGAGACAAGATCCACGATGTCAACAGCGATGTCAAGGACAAAATCCACCACGAGACTCTCCACGACGTCAAGGTCCAGCTCATACACAAGAAGTAAGCTCTCATTCGTTCGTTCGTGTAGTCGAGGACCTCGAGCACGCTAACATCCGTGTCAGACATCAAATCGGAAAATTTGGCAACTTGGTACGTGTGGCCGAGTTGAAACGACCCATACCTTCCCCCCTCCAAAGCTGTAATTTTGCGCATCTTCTTCTTTCTCGCTAACCCCTCCTTCTCTCCACAGTTCAACAAGAACCATCGCCACGACGAAGAACACGAGCAGGCCTGCGACGAGAAGCGCACGAAAATCTCAGAGTCCCACCGCTTCGCTTCCTACTTCCCCGAGCGCGAGGGCAACATCGCCAAGTGGTACGTGGATGGCCGCGACTACTTTTGGGCCGTGTCCGAGGCCCTCGAAGCCGCCCGCGAGACCATATACATTGAAGATTGGTGGCTGAGCCCCGAGCTCTTCCTCCGCCGGCCCCCGCACTCGAACCAAAAATGGAGGCTCGACAACATCCTCAAGAGAAAGGCGGAGCAAGGCGTCAAAATTTACGTCATCGTGTATCGCGAGGTCGAGGCGGCCCTCACGTGTAACTCGCGGCACACCAAGAACGCCCTCGCGGCTCTGTGTCCCAAGGGGAACCCCGGCTACGGCAACATCCGCGTGATGCGCCACCCGGACCACAACGTGTTCGAGAACGTGGCCGACATGACGTTTTACTGGGCCCACCACGAAAAGTTCATCATCGTCGATTACGAGCTCGCCTTCATTGGTGGCCTCGACCTTTGCTTCGGCCGCTGGGATCTCCAGCAGCACCCGCTTGCCGATTTACACCCGGACGGAATCACGCACGCCATCTGGCCCGGACAGGACTTCAACAACAACCGCGTAATGGACTTTAAGAACGTCCAGGACTGGAAGCAGAACGAACTGAGCAAGGCCGATCACGGTCGAATGCCCTGGCATGATGTGTCCATGGGTATCGTCGGCCCTTGCGTGTACGACATCGCCGAGCACTTTATCCTTCGCTGGAACTTTGTCAAGCGGGACAAGTACAAGCGCGACAGCCGGTACGACTGGCTCGAGCTGCGAGGCCGTCAGGGCGAAGACGAGGATCTCGTCGGTGTTCAGAGACCGAAGCATCCCGTTGGAGAATACATCTTGCATCCCCTGACACCGCTCGAAGGCAAGGCGCTCGAGAACCGCGGAACCGTCCATGCGCAAATCGTTCGATCGAGCGCGGATTGGTCGAGCGGAATCTTGACAGAGCACTCAATCCAGAACGCGTACTCGGAAATTATCCGCAAGGCTGAGCACTACGTCTACATCGAGAATCAGTTCTTCATCACGGCCACGGGAGATAAGCAATCTCCCATCAATAACACGATCGGCGCGGCGATTGTAGACGCAGTGCTGCGCGCTGACAAGGAAGCCCGAAAATTCCGAATCATCATCCTGATCCCCGCCATCCCTGGCTTTGCCGGCGACTTGCGCGAGGATGCGGCCATGGGCACCCGTGCCATCATGGACTACCAGTACAAGTCCATCTGCCGTGGCGAAGAATCCATCTATGGCAAGATCAAGGCAGCAGGCGTTGACCCTGAAAAGTACATCTTCTTCTTCAATTTGCGGTCGTACGATCGTATCGCCAGAACCGCGGCCATTGTGGATACGGAGAAGGAGACAGGCATCAAGTACCAAGAGGTGCAGCGCGGTGAAGCCGAGGAGCTCATGGGCGGAGCCATCCACCAGCGTGACGATGACATGTCAGACCGGAGCCGGGAGTCCTCGCCGACGAGGCGTAGCCGCAAGAAGATAGCGCACAACGAAGCCGAGATCGAGACGGAAGGAAAGGCGGCGCAGGAAGCTAGAGATAGGTTCGAGGAAGTGCTCGCCAAACACCAACCCAACAACACGGGCAAGATTGAAGCTTCGGTGGCGCATCACGCGATGGCGGGCACGGGCAACGGCGAAGCACTCATCAACGAGCCGTGGGATGAGGGCAAGGAGGGAGATGAAGTAAACAACTGGATCCAGGAGGAGCTGTATATCCACTCGAAGCTACTCATCGCCGACGACCGGGTGGTGATCTGCGGTTCCAGCAACTTGAATGACCGAAGCCAACTGGGCTTGCACGACAGCGAGCTGAGCATCGTCATGGAGGACACGAATCTCATTGAGAGCACAATGGACGGAAAGCCGTTCCGTGCCGGCCAACACGCCGCCACGCTGCGACGCTACCTTTGGCGCGAGCATCTCGGCCTGCTGCCGCCACAGGAGCTCGATGCCTCCAACGACGTGAATGCCATGCCCCCGGCGACCGCTGGCCGAACGATCCTTGTGAAAACGATGGTGGTTACGAATTTGTTAGCGATCCGCTCAGCGATGAGTTGTGGCAGACGTGGACGGACCAGGCAACGTACAATACCGAGACCTTTAGGCACCTGTTCCACGCTGACCCAGATGATAATGGTATCGTTCCTCCCCTTCACTCCTCCCTTTTGTTATTCTCTTCCTCTCCCTCCCCCTTTCAGACTATTTCCATCTCCTAGGAAGAACCTCGACTAACAGTACGTGTTCGCAGTGAGGAAATTTGATGATTATGACAGGTATATGGCACCTCGTGGTGTTAAGCCCGGCCACATCTTTGACCAGTTCATCCCTGTCCAAGACATTCGCGAGAAGCTGTCCAAGGTCCGCGGTCATCTTGTTTGGATGCCGCTCAAGTTCCTGGAGGAGGCTGAAATGGCAGAGAAGGGCTTACAGGTCAATCAGTTTACCGAGAGCGTGTACACTTAATTTGGATGGGTGATGGAAAGAGGTCTTTCTCTTCTCGGCTTGTTCCCGTTCTTACTTTATTTTCCTTCTTTTCCTCTTCTCTCTTCTTTTGAGGGTCGGTTTTGGATACCTGTCGCCCTGGAGGTTTGACCAGTTTTGGTTTTGCATCACGATCGCGGAATACATCTTTTTAATGAAGTGACAACAAATCGTTTCGGCTTCTTCTTGCATTGTTTTGTCGCTGCGCGTTCGCGACGCTTCTGATTTGAGGGTCTTTATCGGCTGTCGGTTCACAAGGTCCAATAGTCTAGTTGGTTAGGACGTCGGATTCTGATTCTGAAATTTCCGTAAGCCCAGGTTCGAATCCTGGTTGGACCTTCCACTTCCGCGTATTCCACGCGTACCTTTTTTTCTTTTTCCTTTTTCCCCGCCCGGCGCCGCTCGGCGCCGCTTTCCGTTTCTTACGAACAATCCCAACCATTTTCTCTTTTTCTTACTTCTCTCCTGCATCGGTTCTTTGTGTATTTTATTTCGGTCGAATTCCTCTGCGAATTGACATTAGAATCAAGTCCCTCCTTGGTTGCTTTCAGTTTTTACACACCCACATGGTGTAAGCTGCATATCCTACCTGTCATGGAAATGCCATTCCGGGAGCCTCCGAATGAGCGTCCTAGGGGTTAGACTGGACAAGCTGAGACTTTCTTCCTTCCCCGGCAATGTTATGGGCACCCTCTGTGTTTTATCCTCGAATTCTTGATGTTGGACAAGAAAAACAGGGGTTCTGAGCAAGGGTCAATGGCCTAGCTGAGGTGTGGCGCCTCGACGATCGATCACAGCCCCGTCCGTGTCACTGGGGGACTTTCCCTCTGGAAGCCTTGCCCTTCCTTGATCTCACGACATCATTTCGGACCAGCGCGCATGGATTGACAGATATTCTCGGGGCGTATCACCTCGGTAAACCCTGTGCCCTGCGACGGGTCCCGCCAAGGAAAGCAAACCAAGATCCGCTACTAATTGTTTTCTTTTCGGCTGGGGGTTTCCTTGACGGTGATACAGCTCCCGCAACTCATGCCAGAACGATCCCTGGGAGACCGATCATGGCCTTTCCAGGTACCTGGTTTCCGAGTTTTTCCATTTCACAATGATTGATGAGCTTGAGATGATGACCGGGGAGGCATGTTTGCGAGGGAGGTCATCCTGGGCTAGAGCTGCTAGCAATTCAGGGATTTCCCGAGAAAACCACTGGTTAAATTTTAAAGAGTCCCTGTCCAAAATGGGAGAAATCTGGGCAAGAAAATGGGGGTTTCCTACATTCGATGGGCTTGGTCACTCGAGAAATATACGAACTACTGGATCTGGCCCAGTCCTCCATATTCTTTTCGCTCAAGATCAACGGTTCGGGTCAAGGCCTCCCCTTCTCCTACTTGAGACAATGCCCGCCTCGTGCGACTACAACTCATGCCGTGCTCACCTGTAATACTGGATGCCAAAGGCTGAATACTAACAAAGCAATTTGCGAGGGAACTTTGACACCCCGACCGCGGAGCATCTGCACGAACCATTGAGCCTCGGGTAGACGGATTTGCCCCCGAGTAATGCAGATAATTGTCAAGATCTCACGACTAACACGGATTCAGCAGGGCTTGTCTGGCCATCAAGCGGGTTCTTATTCATCGTTCTTCTTCTCCGCTTGCCCCTTCGGCATTCTACTTCTTCTTTGGGCATTTCTGGGGCGGTCTGGGCCATTGTTACCCGAATCAAAGCATAAATGGGACGAGGGATCATCTATGTCTACGCCGTACCATGCCAAAAAGAAAATACGATAGAGGAGTGAAGGTGTGTAGCGAGGTAGCAGCCAGAAGATTGGGTTTGCTTCCACTGCATGGTTCTTCCGATAGGATGATTCATTGACCAGTTAGCATGGATTTCTTCCACCGCACACCTTGAGAAGTGCCAGGGTCACATGGGATACGTGACATGCACCAAACTTGGGTGATGTCGTTCTCTCTCGCAACGCCCCATCTCCCATTCCTCCTACCAACGGGATTGCGAGACGGAAGAATGGCGATGCCACGACCGTGGTTTGGGGGACTCTCCCCTGCGAGAATGCAAGGCGCGCCGAGGAGCCTGCACCTTTAATGTCTGCTGAAGTGGCGGCAGCGCTGTGCAACACCGGATGTGGGATTTTCTCTCCCTTGCTTCCACAATCCCACTATTAGAGAAGAAAGAATACCAATGAGGTGTATTACTATAGGTCAGCCATGTTTCATGGGGGTACCCATTGCCATCCGGTCCCAACGGTGGGTCTTTGCTCCGTCACCCTTGCCTATCGTTCGTTGTTTGGGCCGGAGAATTCGGAAAACCCACGACTTCCTGACTTGGCTAGTCTTACAAGATTCTAGGCTCACCAGATCTCAGCTCGTCAACATAGTTGATCGACGACGACCAAGAGGCCGCGTCAGATATTAGTGCAAGCACATCTGATTATCCGCATACCCCATGTTCTTTCTTTTTTTCCTTTTGGTTGTAGTCGTGATGTCTTTTCCAATTCTAGGACCAGACATGTACAAGATAAGCGCACCCTGTGATACCGATCAATCGTTTCAAGTGGGCTGTCAAGGGTAGCTACACAGGTTCAACAGGGAGATGGTTGATATGGGGCAAATCTCGTGGCACTGCGGCCTGAAGGAAGCACGGATCTTCGTGGAACCGTAGCCGGTGGCGTCGCATTTCGATTTGTGAGAGATGCATGACAACGAGCGAGTCGAGCCGTCAAGGGATGACGAGGAATCGTCCGCTGCTTGTTGGTGAGACTCGCGCTGTCGGTTTGTTACCCAACCCCACTTAACTATCAAAAAGTTGCCCCGCGACTTAGATGAGAGCCAAGGGTTCAACTATCCCCAGCTAGGCCCGTACGTTTACTAGCAGGGGGACTCAAATCCCTCTCCCCAAATGAACATCATCTTGCTCCTTTCTTCTTGAGGGCTTGAGCTCGGCCCCCACAAACGACGGCAGAAATATTGAGCCACCCTCCCCCTCTTGCCGGCGTCGCGGCTCGTAGGAGTTACCACGCCCCACAATACACAGTCGTTAGGGATGTTGATGAGGGCTTAGGTGGAGATGCCATGCTTCGGGTCCGTATCCGCGCCTGTACGCTTGATAATCCCCGTGTTATCCACCCCTAGCGATTCAGTGTAGTGTGGCCTGGGGAGCTAGTACGATATCGGTAAAGAAAACAACCAGCGGTGGAAGGTTTGTAGAGCTGCTTTTCTTCTCGTATATGAAGGCCGCGTCTTTCCTGTACAGCGAAGGAAGCATGTGCGTGCATCCATGACCGTTCTGATCGTGTTTGAGGACGGGAGGGTATCAATAGCATCTATGCTACGGGTAGCTCCCAATGTTTGCATCTAACATGCTTGGTTGCGCAAGCTCTCGCGCAGATGACCGAAGCATAAAGTCCCAAGGAAGCTGCGCTACCCCCATCTTCTAGACCGACGCCCTCCGTGAAAACTAAGCGGACTTGCTTGACGGGGAGCCACGTTAGCCGAACAAACCCTCACTAGGCGTTCCCTCGTCCCAGCCTTTGACCCCGCGTCCAACAACCTGCTAAATGCCCTCGAAGATAAGGGATCAGTCAGAAGTTTGGTTCTCCACGCCCCGGGACTATCCGCGTCTGCAGTACGACTTCCTCGTCCGACGCCATCGCGCCGAAGAGATGGGTGACCTTTTGCTATGTGAGCCCAAAGGGGGACTCTACGGGTACCTTGTGCATCATACATCACCGAAGTGGCAGGGTATGAGGAGTGGGATTTGCATGGCATTGCTTATTATCCTCTGTTAATCTATCTTGGACATGATTGTTCGCTGTTAATCCCAAAGGAGGGCGGTCCTTTTGCGAAATCTGCATCGCTGTTCTGGACATAATCGAATGAGCCTAGGATCAACTGGGTGCTTGGGTCTTGGAGGAGCGCGTACTCACTACCCAGGACACCCTCATGGGTTGCTCAAGGGTCCCCCAAGTCGATATAAGGGTGGCTTGTCCGCTCTCTGTACTCAAAAATGTTCCTAGAACCCTAACATTCTCGTTCAGGCCTTTGCAAACCGTCCACCCTGTTTCCTTGGTTCTCTTTTGCAAGTCATGGACATTGTGTACTGTCTTACCTCTTCTTGGTTAAGTAGGCTTGCCTACACCCATTACCAAAACCTGCCCTCCCATCAGCAAGCCGTCTCGACGCCTCGGTCGGTAGTATTCTGGGCCCTCTTTCTCTTCCAGTACCTTGCGATCAAGTTCTACCGCATCGTTATCCACCCTCGATATGTGTCTTCCCTCCGCCACCTCCCCGGTCCAAAGGTAATCCATCTCATGTTCACTCTTCCCCATTCATCGTGAAGGCCAGATCTTGCGGCTCTTTCTAGTCTATGACCCTCCATCTCTCCAGAAGAACGGAGGGGAGGCGAATAAGTCCAGGGGTAAAAAAGCCTGACGTGCTAACCCCTCACAAGAACAACCACATCCTCTTTGGCCAAACCCTCAACCAGTTCCTCTCCGGCGATCCAACCCAGCCGTACGTCTCCTGGGTCCGCAAATGGCCCGACGCCGACATGATCCGGTACAACCTCTTCGGGACCATGCCCGCCGTCCTCGTCACGAGCCCCGAGGCCTTCCGCCAGATTCTGCAGCCCTCCTGCTACGAGTTTACCAAGCCTTCCTGGTACAAGCGGCTCATCTTCCCCATAGTGGGTAAAGGGTTGGTGTTTCTGGACGGGGAGGAGCACAAGAGGCATCGGAAAATCATTAGCGGTAAGAAAGATACACCACGACCAGTGCTGAAAGGAAAAAGAACAGCTACTAACACACATCGTTATCCTAGGAGCGTTTGCGCTGTCGCATCTAAAGCAGCTCATCCCCTTGATGGAGGACAAAGCCACCGAGCTCTGCACCCACCTAGACACCATGATCGGATACGATCGCGGCGTAATGAACCGTACGTTTCCTCCCTATTACCCCTTCTACATATTCCGCAGATCATCATCACCCTAAGCACCATACAATCCCCCATCTTCTTCGCTAACCCGCCTCGCCCCACAGTCATCCCCCTCTCACGAGCCACCCTCGACGTCATCGGCTCGACCGTCCTCGGCAGGGACCTCCAGAGCCTCGAAGCCGCCACGCCCTTCCACGAACTCTACCAGACCGTCTTCGACCCCCGTCTTAGGCCTCGCGCTGACCGCCATTAACTCGATCGTGCCCATCCGCTGGATCTCCGTCGGCGAGAATCGCCGGTTCAACCGCGCCATCGCCCAGCTGCACGAGCTGCTGCGGCGCATCATTAGCGAGAGGATCGCTGACATGGACAAGGAAAAGACGCAAGGGGTCCGTGGCTCCGAAAGGAAGGATCTCTTGACGAGGATGATCCAGGAGTCGAGAGCCGCGGGGAGAGTTGGGATGAGCGGGAATTGATTGGACATGTAAGCAAGGACTGTTCCTAATCCCCTTTCTTTCACGTGTCCCTCCTATCAAGTGACTCAAAAGCTAACATTATACGTATAGGTTCTAACGTTCATGGCCGCTGGCCACGAAACAACGTCCAACACGCTCGCCTGGGCGATTCACTACCTGGGACTCAACCGTCCGATCCAAGATAGATTACGAAAGGAGATGATTGATGCGGTAGGCCCAACGGCCCTGGGAATGGAATACAACACAATCGATAGTCTTCCTCTGCTAGATAACGTGTACCGCGAGATTTTGCGAGTTAAAAGCTCAGGTAAGTCTACCATCGCACCTAACTCAAGACTGAATTGCCGCGTCAAATCCTTGACTATCTTAACTAACGGCTATGAAACTAACCAAGCAACATTTGCAACCCGCGAATCCATCAACGATGTGGAAATTTGTGGCACCGTCATTCCCAAGGGGACGACGCTTATGTTGATGCCTAGTGCCATCCACCAGAACCCCCGCATTTGGGGCGATTCCGTGGATGAGTTTGACCCTGACCGATGGGATCGTCTTGAAGGGGAGGCGGCTAAGCCCAATGCATTCTCCGCCTTTTTCATGGGACCCCGAGGCTGCATCGGCCAAGTTTACACAAGGTTAGAGTTCAAGGTCATGATGATTGCCATCATTCGTCGGTTCGAGTTTGACGCCATCGAGAAAGGCGAAGTCCCCTTGGTGAACCCTAGCGTCGTTCTTCGTCCGAAGGGTGGGTTGAGGGTCTTTGCCCACAGACTGACTCCAAAGGTCTAAGAAGCGCACGGCGCGGCGAGCGGGTGAAATAATGGCATTGATCATCGATGCGGGTCCGGGACTGGGTGGAAACATGGCTTGAGAACGAGGCAGAAAGGGGCCGGAGTTCGCTTGAGTATCTTACAATGAACAATTAAGTTGTCCTATCAGTAGATATCCCATAAGCTCACTTTTCCGTCCTTGCTTCCTGCCGCGATCCAGTGCGCAGTCTTGGCATGGTTGATCCGCCTCGCCTTTACGTCGAAGAAAGCAGGGCTTGTGATTTGGGCGCCAGTGACAGCATCGCCGCTCGTCCGGCTCACCGCAGCGGTTCCTTTCGCGTCACCGCTGACATCTGCTGGTTGAAGACTCGCATCGATCGCCTGGGTGGCATGCAAGGAAGCAAAGGAAGTCACATAACAGCCGGATTTGTGCCACTTTAACACGGCAACCTCCTTCAACGACTTGGCCGAGTATACCCGAACCTTGGAGTCCCAACCCGCGGTGGCAAAAATGGAGCCGTCGGAGCGAATCCTTAGGCCTTGCTGTCCGGCATGCTTAGTGTTGACGGTTTTCATAGGGGTGTCTTGTGCATGCTGCGGCCCGCGGACCTTTTCCGGGGCTTTCCCGAATTGTTCTCGTCCTCTTCGGCACATGGTTCGCTGCGGGGATGGGGTGTTTGGCAATGATAGCATCGGCGCCAGAGGTGATGAAGTGGGTGAAGCAGGGCGAGACGTCAAAAGAAAGGATAGGCTGCGAGTGTGCTTGGCTCTTGTACAGAGGTATCCACTCTCCCGCGTGCAGATTCGCTCTCAAGAGGACCACCGCCCCATTCTCGTAGGCGGTGATGAGGTGGAGGCTACTGTCTAGGTGAAAGAGGGAGACCGCCATGGGCATTCCGGCACTCGGGAGGGGCTTCAGGGTGTGGATGCGGTGTTGACTGGGCAGGTGATAAATGTCCACCTTGAATCATGTGTCAGTGGGATTCTGTAGCTGCCCTGGTTTCTCGAGAGACGCTTTCCTCGAAATAGAACAAAAGTAAAATGGGAAAATGAAAGTGAAGAAAGAAATCACGGGGAAATGAATAAACATACCCCTTCCAGTATAGTAGGATTGGCAGCAGCGATCAGGACCTCAGGTGAATCTGCGATGCTCTGGCCTGCCTTGCATGACGCCATGGAGAATGCGCAGAAGTTCATCGAATTTACAGGGAGTACATGCTGGGTCCATGGCTTGGGACGATCATCGGTGACGCTGTCGAGAGGTGGGATCTGGCTCAGGCTAGACTCATCTTGGGCGCCAAACTTCCAGACGATCAATTCGTGATCCCTCCCGTGCCTACGTGTCTCTAGTCAGCTCAGGCGCGACCACGATGTTTCCCCGAAGAGGGAAAGGGATCTTCCCCCGTCATGGCTTTCTTCCTCTGCTGGGATCCAATCCAGGGAGGCAAAAGGGAACGAGTAGATGCGCCTACGTGATGAGCTTGTTGGGACCCCACTCTTGGACCCCAAGAACCGTCTTTTGATGGGCTCTCCATACAGCCTTTGCCCGCATTATGGTGAGGTCCCATACAATGAGGTAGCCTTCGGCATCCGCAGTCACAAGTCTCTCGTTATCCCGAATAAAGGTGGCGGCGTGAACCTGTGCATTGTGGCCGCGAAGAATGGCCTTGGGCTGTGGCACGCCGGATGGTGGGTCCATGTCTCGACAAGGCCACCCCTGAATCCTGCTGAAGAAGGCAGAGATAAAAAGACGAAGGGGAGAGAAAGAAAAAGGAAAGCAAGGCAATTCTCGCTTCAGCTGCACAGTAAGAGGACGATCAGGGCCCAAAAAGACGGTCACAAAAGCTGTCGAAGCTTGAATCGATATGACGGGTTAAACCATGGATCTCTGCACCCATTGGATCCATCAATTTATGATTTGCTTCTGTCCGTTGGTGGGGCACAGATTTTACCCCACATCAAAATGCGCCTTCTCAATCTTTCTGATGGGAAGTGAAGTGAGCTGGCAATCAAGGCAAGCGCCAACCAGAGCCCAACATTGAGGAGACCCATTTCATCTACCCATGGCCAGCTCCGCTAGAGCGATCGGCGGCTCTACTGCTTCCTTAGTCACCATCCACTGACTCCCTATCTCAGCTCGCCTGTGCTTCACCACTCCACCCAGGAGGGCGCCGGACGCGCCAAAATTCAGGTCCCTCATTTACTCTGGCGAGAGCTGAGAGGGACCAGTGCTGTCTGAATCAATTAATGAGTCCAGTCAAACCAAATCCAGTCAACCCGTTTCTACGCCATGGTCGTTGCTTCGCGTGACCAAACTGGCTGGATGATCTATCTCATCTCGCTCAGCCGTTTTGTGCTGCGCCCCGATCTGGTGCATCGTGATTATAAGGGAAACAGGAAAAGAAGGGGAAACGGGAAGGTGAATAAGAGAAAAAGCACCCCCAGCAGCTCCCACCAATGTCCCGTTCTCGGAATCCAAATGGTGCCAGGCAGACTCTGCTCCTATCCTCAACACCACAGCTCCAATCTCCATTCCCACATCGCGGATTCGGTGCGCGGGGAAGTCATTTCCTCTTTGGATTTCACTCTCTTTTATTTATTTCCTTTTTCCTTTTTTTTCTTCTTTTTCTGGTTGGTGTCATCGGAGGTCCGGACCCTCGCTGCTGCACTAAGGCGGCTGCGCCGAGGGGAGGGAGGATATGTGCCCCGCCTTCCGGCCGAAATCCAAGCTTGCCGTGCTCAGACGGGCGGAGGGAGGAAGGCCACACTCTACGTGGCAAATCGGATCGGGCTAAACCACACATCCTGTTTGTCTCATCGGGAAGCAGTAATAGAGACTCCGCTGCCTGAAGAGGCTTGGTATATTCTGCATGCGTTGGAAGGGAGGGGAACCCCAAGAGCGAGGAAGAAAAAGGAAATCAGGCAAGCACCACAACAAGAGTTTAGAAAACAGGGTTCCCTGATGCCACGAACTTGGGCAGCGTTATGTCCAAGGAGAAGAAATAAGTAAAATTGACGCCGTTGAGACATGCCTGCACCCCGTCACGGCCGCATCACGCACGATATCGCGAGGGAAGTTGAACTCGATAGGCCAGAGCCAGTCTCGACGCGGGCCATTTCCGCTCTCTAGGCCCTGCTTTTGGAATCGTGGATGGGCACAACGGCAACATGGGAAATTTCGGGTTCCTAATCAAGATCCAGGGATATATTCATCTCGATTCTGAGTGTGGCGGTTCCCAACGCTCAGCCCTCGATCATGCTCGACAAAGCCCGACCCGAGATGCGATGCGAGCGGCCAGACGAGGCAGGCGGTCAGGATTTGCGGGCGCCAGCGCCACCTGCACCTCTGGGAGGCGCCGGTATTGCGGCAGGACTTGGGGATTAGTGGGTGAATGGTTCTAGCCTCCGGCCAAATGCGGCTTTCAACGATGTGAGCGAGGTGTGTGTGTATGTGTGTGCGTGTGTGTGTATGGAAGAGAAAAAAAGGGAATGCGTGTAGGTAAGAATGCTCCACATCCATCCTGCATTTTCTGCGGGACTATCCCCACGATCATAATCTTACCGGCTGCTGTGCAGTTCTTTGGCTGCCTTTCGGGAGCTTGGTGGCGGCCGCTTCGTTCTTGAGCCTGTTCGTCCCGAAAAGGGTGCTGCTCGCACACATCGGTGCCAAACACCCCACTTATCTCCGGGCGTGTTTTCGCATCGCCTGCCGTGATGGATGATTCTTCGGGCCCTTGCTAAATACCGAGACAACAAGCCCCTAAGCGCCATGTGCGTGTGAACTGAGAACTCAGATATCCCGTCGGCCAATCGCTTCTCTGGCCGCTATTCACCACCCCGTCATGTCTCACAAACCTTTCTTTTTCTTTTCGTCGAAGCACGTAAATTTAAGTAATACTGGTCCCCTCTTTCGCTGGCGACAAGGCTCGCTGACGTCGATGGCGGACAGCCCAGGGTAGGAGGGGAAGACATGCTTAATGCCTTAGTCCCGATGGCCCTTGAAACGGCGCGAGTGGCCCCTCTGTTTCTACTTCCGGAGATACTTGAGATGCCGTTGGTCTCTTCAACACCCATTTCATCACATCTCAGGAATGAGCCATGACGGCCAAAAGGCCCCCGAAAATGACAGAAAATGACAAGAACCTCAGCTTACAGTTTCTTTCACGAGCCCCTACCTCACGGGCGTGGTTTCTTGGCAGGTAAAATCAAAGGGGCGATATCTTTTCCCAGATCGAGATTATCCAGCATGGGCACGTCCATCGAGCCCTCCAGGCTCTTGTCAACATACGCCCAGCTTGAGTGTGAACGAGCCCGTGCGGACGGATGGTGGACGGCGGGGTCCCTTTGGTCTGAACTTGGCATGTATGAGCGTGACAGCAAAGAAAAAGGTAACCCCACTCCTTCGCCCTGCAGAACCGAGCCGCCGCAGGATCACGCTTGCTTCCCGAGACCGAGAATGGGGGCTGGGTGAGGAAAAAAGAAAAGAAAAGACAAAAAACTCCGGATGGAGATACCAGGCATGAGTTGAAATGTGTGAGCAAAGGCTATTCCAGAAACTTGGACCCGCCATTAACTGCACTCTGGCTGAATTCATTCAAGCGTTCTCTGTTTCGCGATTTTGTTTCGTGGCTCGGTACTTTTGCCTCCTTTTTGACCCCATCCCGTGATAAGTTCCCTGCTCAGCCTACACGTAGTTTTATTTGTTTTTGTCCCCTTAGCGGGATGGGGGCGGGAAGTGAACAAGACAAAGAGGGAAGAAAAAAAGAGAGAGAAAAAGAAACAAGTCTCAAACCCTGGACAGAGAGAGCTGTCGTCTCTGCATTCCTCTCGAGCTGCCCACATGTACTGACCGCATTGGGAAAGAAAAGGGAGCACATGCAGGATCGGAGAATTAATTTACGAGCGGGCGAAGGACCTGTTCTGGTTCCCGGTCCTACGTTCGACCCTGCTTGGTGGACGCGGTTGACTCCCCACGAGTCTTCAAGATGGTTGCAACAAGAGGGCTTGGGGGAGTAAGTTGAGTCGGGCATAATGAATGGATGGTATTGATGCCAGATCGTATTTCAGTTTTTTGTGCTTTAATACTCACCTTCTTGCATTGACGTTGTCGAGCCATCTATCGCTTTGCTAGCCATGCGGATGGACAAGGTGCCGATGGTGGGTTTCACTGGGGGAATGGGAAAAAGATAGGGAGATGGGGTTGGTCGGGGAGTTATGGGGAGGGCAGAGGTAAAGAAGGGCAAGATCTGATAAACGGGCCTCGTAGTTGAGGGTTGAAGGGTACTCATACATGATAAACAGATGGCAAGCAAAGCAATCTCAAATCCTCAAACGGACCGCTCACCTAGTATCACGGCGGCCGGGCCGACATAGGATCCACCCAGCAGCCGATAATCAATATTATCCCCGGGTTGCTTTGACGGACAGGTGGATTCCCGGAGGCGCGAAGAGATGCTAGAGTATCGAAGGAAAGGGAAAAGAAAAGGAAAGGCTTCCAAATAATGAAGAGTGTGCTGTCTTGAAGTTGCTTTACATACTTCACCGAACTCGGTGCTACAGCGTGCTGGATCGACGAGAGAGAACCAAGAAGAAGTCTTGTCGAACAAAGCGTCGCGGCGATCAAACATGGCCCTCCCTCTCTGCAAAGAATGGCCCGACATGCTGAGCCTAAGCTCTCAGCCAGCAACAACAAGTCGCGGGTTTGGCCGAACGTGAACTAGAAGAACCTCGAAAGAGTCAAGTCCTTTGGATGATCGCCCGCAAGGCAGAGCGATGAAAAGGAAAAAAAAACAGAGCCTGCCACCCCACGTTCGTGGAAGCGAACGCCTTGGATGGGCACGGGGGAGGGAACAGGTCTGCCAAGAAGTTTTGTCTCGTCGCCCGAACCGAAATCCCAAAGTGCTCCCCAACTATCTGACTCTCGAGTAATATCGGTAAAGAAAAATTTAGATGATTATCTTTCCCTTTCTGGAGAATAAAAAAGGAGGAAAACCAGTCAGAGAGGCGGACCCGAGTTTTTCTTTCGATCATTGTTAGTGGAAGACGAGCTCTCGCCCTGCCTGTGCCTGGCCTCGGCCAGCCGTCATGGTTACGGTGGGAAAGGGAGCTCTGGGGACTGTGCATTCTGTGCGAAACGTCAGGAGATTGGGTCCCATACTCCTCGGGCAACATGGCGGCTGCAAGCGACATGGGCTGGGAAAAAGGTGGCGGACGTCCTTGCGCTGGCTGACACGGGTCCCCTTGAGCTAAACCATTAGGCGAGGGTGAGGCGAGTTGAACGGGTGCAACGGTGGCTTGACTAACGCTGGGCGCGGGGGAGAATGCAGATAACCTGTGGCTAGTGTCGTGGCTGAAGGTACCGTCCATTGGGTACAAAGGACCAGCTCGAGCTGTCAATTGGTGTCGAGCCTCTCTTGAAACCAAGAGGAATTGTTGGTGAATTGTCCCTGATTTTGTACACACTACTTGTCATTTGTATTATTGGAAGAGCCGATTCTGAAGTTTGCGGTACCTTTACTCAGCTCCCAGTGGATGTCCCTTATTCCCCATCGATTCGGTAGCCTCCCCAGAGATCTTGCGACGGGGAATTTATGGCGAGTGGGCTGGATCCACTGGAACCGAAACGCACTGACGAGGTGATGGTCAAGATGCAGTTCAAGCCGAAGCACATCTCTGACAAGTCCACCTCCGTTCGACCCGCCCAATGCGGTGGATCGCCGCCACTCGACGATGCGTTTCTGACGAGCTCAAGGTTACAGGATATATAGGCTCGAGAAGAAAACGCGGGCAGTCCATCCATGCCTAGCTTGGGAGCTGGCCCTGCTCCCGGCTGCCGGCGGAGGGAGGGAGGGAGGAAAGCGCCAAAGAAGCATGTTCTCTTACACTCGGCCCAACGTACAACCTATTGTCTGTCTCTCTTGTCTTTGTTTCTCCATTCCTTTCTCGCGAGCAGCCCTCAAAAGAGACTTCGGAGACACTGGCATCTACGTATGGTTATCCAGAAATAGCTCTAACTCTAGCGGCGCCTTGGCCCGCAGAACTCGTGCCTTTTGCTGATCCCTCCTGTTTTTTCTTCCCTTTTTGCGCTTTCTTGTCGTGTGGCGAGGGTTGACGTTACTTTTGGAAGAGCTCGAAGAGGTTCGCTGGACGTGGCCCCCCTCCCCGTCCGAAGCCCTTTGTCTTGTTGCGGTCTCGTCGGTGTTTGCTTTGCTCCCGCTCCCCGGCAGATGCCTGAACGTTCGTCATATCACATCAAGTGCCTGTACGTGCCATTGGAGAAACATGCCGTCTGCTTGCCAATTCATCAAGGCTCGCTCAGTGAATGACAGGGGAAAAGAAAAGAAAAACCAAAAAAAACGAAATTCGCCTGCTCGTGCTGTGTTGTATCGTGGCCGCTGCGCTAGACCCGCGCACCCGCCCCGGCAATAAGACCACGGCCAGACAGACCCTTTTCCATACCGCGCCACCCCGTCAATAGTTGACCTCTTGCTCCCCAGCAAAGGAGACACCCAGACCGCTTACAGCTACATTAGGAATATTGGGGGACAGCAACGTCGTGCTCCATCTTTCTTCCTTGGGTGCCCCTCCCCTCAGATCCACATCCCTGGCCCTTAGCCGGCGCCCCGTTCCCTCCTATGCACCCTCTCTGGTCTCGGACGAAACCTTTCTATTTTTGATATCCGTGTTTCCTTCCTTTTAACTTCAGGTGCGCTCGCTACTTTTGTTTCTTCCGCTCCTTCTTATTCTTCGACATCTCCAGGCGTTTTTCAAGGGCCGGGGTCATCATCTGCGCGATCTCCCAGTTTCTTCTTTTTATTTCTTCCCCTCCCCACCTTGCCCACCTTCCTCTTGACCCTTTTCGCTCATCCTCCCCCCCCTCTCTCTCTCTCTCTCTCGATATCGAAATCTCGACAACCCCCGTCTAGTGTGCCTAGTGTAGTCCCACCGAGCGAAATCGACATCATACAATCCTTAGCGGATCCCAAAAGCAAATTGAATCCACCTCTCGCCTTGAACAACCTGCCCCATCCGAACTCGGCGAGTAGGAACCAAGCCAAGCAATCAACATCAAAGGTAAGCTGCCAGCAAAGTTATACCGGACTGGATTATCGCCCGGAGATTTAGATTATCAATCTCCCCCAAGCCCTTGTTTTATTTTGCTCTTCTTCCTCTGCTAGTATCGTATCATCGCCCCTACACGTCCTCACGATCACTTATTGCTCCTTTTACTGTGCCGTCCCCTTCCTATCGGCGTTCACCCTGACAAAAGCCATAACTCAAGCGAAGAAAAGGAGATCGTTAAGCCGAAGTCTCGGTTGCAAGCCTCATCGTCTGAGATATACAGTTTGTCTTGCCCTCATGTCTCGAAGCCCCTCTTTCGCACCTCCACCCTCTTTATCGCCTATGATCTTGAGATTTTGCGCGTTGATCTAGATTTCCGATTGCGTGTAACCCGGATGTAGGGAGTTAGGCCTTGGGCGGGGGGACAAAATTACCGGCGCCCTTTTTTTTCTTGAGCTATCTCACTAACCTTTTTGGCCGGTGGCAGGCGCTGATTTCCTTCTCACGCTTTTAACCATTTTCGAGGCGTCCGCCGTCGCCTTTCCCCCGCGTCCTTGACTCAGCGACCAAAGCCAAAGTACCAACGAGCCGCCGCTCCTTCAACTCGACCACCGAGCGAGCGAGAATCGCACCTTTCTCCAACCCATTTCGCAGCTACCTTCGCCCGCTCCTCCCTCGATCCTTCGGTTGTTTTGTTCGGCGTGTAATAATTTGCTGCGAATCTAAGCAGCAAATGGTTTCGGACTCCCATTTGAGCCGCCCTCCCTTCCCTTCGATCCACGAAGAACAACCTCACTCGAGCTCCCACCGACTCGTGGCGGATGCCGACATATCATGACCCTGCAGCGTTGAACTGGTTCACCAAGCAGGCAAATCCCCTCTTCTTGTCCTCGATTTTCTCTATCGACGGCCATTTCCACCACCGACCAAACACCTAAGCGATTGCTCTTTGGGTGCTCGCGCGACCGCCCCCACCCCTCCTCCCTCAGCTCGGTTAAAGAGCTGTAGCCCTGGCGGCTTCTTCTGGGCGGCACCATTCTCCGGTCCTCCGGTCCCTTCCTTTTCGAGTTCCAATATCTTGCATCCGTTCAACGAGAACACACCATCTACTCAGACACATACACACATAATGACGACTACTTTACCCGACCGACCCCTTGACGTCTCCCCCACAAAACGCCAGAAAATGCTCGGCGGCATGCGGGGTGGCACTCCTAGCAGCAGCCATTCTCGTCGCCGAAGCGGTAGCGTGCAGTCGCTCGCGACCATTGCCGACGAATCTTCGAGCCCCAAGAACGCCGCTGCTCCCGTGGAAGCGCCAACGACGGCGACCAAATCGAGGAGGGTGCGTACAGGATGCTTGACGTGTCGTGAGCGGCATCTCAAGTGCGACGAGGCGACACCTGATTGTATGAACTGCCGCAAGAGCAGTAGGGAATGCAAGAGGGGCGTACGGTTAAATTTCATCGATATCCAGGTGAAGAACCCGCCGCTTCTCCCCCTACCCCTGATTGGTCTGGTAAGTGGAATATACCGGCTCCTCTTCTTTATTTGAACAACCCTGGCTTTGGGGAAGCGAACAAAAGCTAACAAAGGTGGATGGAAAGTACAATTCCAGGATGAGTCGAGATCAATAGCTTCCGAATATCTGGGAGGCCTTAACCGTTACGATGTCCTTGGAAGGCGCACACTCACCCCGCCTAGGGAGGCTGAGGTTGAGACGGCGCTGAACCTCCAGAGGCAACACCAACAACACAGACGCGCCGCGAGCAGCATGGCATCTATGGCCATGCCGGAGATGTCAATGCGGGGTTCCGTATTGACGCCGGCCTACGGCACTCCCGAGCTTTCCCATGTTGATGGGCCCCAGTCTGGTCCCACTTCTCATATGCACTCTCGCCAGAGCAGCACCGCGTCCTATTTCGGTGGAATAGGCTCAACGCACTCTCCCGGTGGATTCGGACTTGGTATTCATGACTCTCTGAAGATCAAGGACGACATCGCCCGGACAAAAGCACACGGCTATAGGGGTAGCGATGCGAGCATAACATCCTTGCCCGTAACGCCTCTTGTAGCACCAGCACCACCTCCTACGGTGGGCGGAAGTACAGGCAACATGTCGCCAGATGGCATGGTGACCCCGCCCCTAGTGAGACTGCGCTGTCGGGCGACCGGGCATACCTCAATTCTCCTGAGGAGGTGTACTACATGCAGGTCTTTGTCGAAGAAGTAGGCGTGTGGATGGACTCCATGGACAAGGAGAAGCACTTTAGCCGCCTCATCCCCTACCACAGTCTGAAATCGCCTATGCTGCTCAATGCAGTTCTTGCCTGTGGTGTCAAACATCTAACCCTCGTGAACACGGCCTACAATGACGAGAAGGCCCTCTTCTATTACGATACGGCAACCACGCAGCTCCTCCGCTCTCTGCAGAACCCAGACCGGAACACAGCTGAATGTGCCACGGCTGCAGTCGTTCTTAATGTGTACGAAATCATGTCGGAGAAGCCCGCCGCACGCATGAACCACATTGCTGGCGCTAGGGCGCTCATCCGCGAATGCGGCTGGAACGCCAAGAGCACGGGCGTGGGTGCTGCATGCTTCTGGCTCAATATCGGCATGGAAGTGCTCTCCTGTCTGGCTTTCAACTGGCAGACGGCGTGGGATCCTGATCAATGGGGCGTCGACATGGACTTTAGCCCGCCCGATGGCGATGATGACCCTAGCGTCACCGACGACCAGATCGGCAAGGAGGAGATTTGGGTACAGCGCATCTTTTACATTGTCGGCAAGATTGCCAACTTTAGGGCGACTATCCCCAAGTTCCAGGAGGCGTCGCCGCACGACGAGCAGGTTCGCTTGGGAAACCGTCTGGCGCAGTGGCAGGATCTCAAGAGGCTCTGCGACAACTGGAACAATGCTTGTCCCAAGACCATGCATCCTTTTGGGTATCTGTACCCTTCGCAGACGGAATCCAAGTCGGCCTTCCCCAACATCTGGTAGGTTTCACTCATATCTTGTTTTGCGTATCAATCTTGCCGGCTTGTGGTAACTTACAGTGTCTTTCTCCATGTAGGCTCATCAAGCGCGCCGCTATCGTCGGTCGCCTTTTCTATCACACTGCCCAGTGCCTCCTCGCGCAAACAAACCCCTCGAGCCAGGCCGCGCGTCCGAAGAGATGCGTGCCATCCAGCTCCACCACGCCCATCAGGTTTGCGGTATCGTGGCCCACGTCAAGGATCGCGGCGTATCATCCGTCGCCATCCGCAGTCTTGCCATCGCCTCGAGCGTGCTCTCGGACCCACGCGAGCAGGACGAGGTGCTTGAGATTATGAAGAAGATCACCAAAGAGTCGGGATGGGGTCTCGGTCGAGTCATGACGGAGCTGAAGAAGGCTTGGGGCAGGGATGCGGGTGTCGGCGGTGCCGCGACCAGTGACCGAGGTGTAGGACTGGCAGCCAAATTCTTTGGGCAGAACCAGGCATCTCAGTCTCCCGGCCAGAACCCAATCCCCCATGCAGCCCACGCAGCCACAGCAGCAGGTCCCTCCTATGCACCACCAGGCATCGTCTGACCAGGCAAGCCAGCACCAGCAGCACAACTACCCCCACAGACGAGCGACGCATCCTCAGCCACATATGCAGCAACAGCAGCCCCAACAACATCAGCAGCATCGACAGCATCAGATGCACACGCCACCCATGTCCGGTCAGCAGCACCAGCATCACCACCAACACCTTATGGGCCCGTCTAGCTCAGCCCAGCAGTCGCCGCCAGTCATTGCACCGACGCCGATGAAGGCGCCGGTGAACCCGCTCTCGTTTGCGGACTTTAGCCTGCCGAACCATCCGTACCAGAACTGGTACGAACCACCGAGCCGGGTAGCGACTACCATGGCGACGACGACGGCGTCTTCTTTTAACCAGGCCTTTTTCTGAGAGGCGCGCCCCACCTTCTCCTCTTTCGCCTTTCCGACGGCGTCCCTTTGGTAGCCCGTGAATCTAGCAGAGCGCAGCGGGCGATGCTTAGAGCGGGGGACACGTACAACCCAATTAAGCAACATATCTTTTAATGAGTGAATGAATCGACATGTCGGTACTTTTCTGGCTTTTGTTCTTCGAGCGGATCCCACATTCTTGTTTTTTTCTTCTCCGGTACCTTTCTCTGTTTCTTCTCTACTGTCTTCTTTTTTTTTACTTTGGGCTCGGGGGCCGGCTTACTAGATTTGGAATCTTGGGGCATTTTGGAAACCTGGGCTACACGCGCACACACACACACAACGCATCTGGATATATCTATACACACGTATTGGGGGCATGATTGGGGTAACGGACTTTTTTGGGGTCCGGGAAACCCAGATAGCAGGGTCGCAAGGAATGATAAGCACCCCCATCTTTGTGGAAAGGCTTGAAGATTCACCAGCCCAACACGGGCACGGGCACGGGCACGGCGAGGGGTTCTTCGAGAGTTGCGCAGAGTCAGCTTGGTTCAACTGCGCGCGTTTATGATGGGTGGAGGCATCCATGGATGGTATGCGGTAACTAACGCCTCTCTTTCTTTTTGCTTATCCCTGAAGAAATGATATAAACCAGGAAAAAAACTGAATAAAATGTTCAAAATTCACTTGCCCCCTTTCTTTTCGTAACTATGTGTGAGGTGGTTGCGCTAGTCAGTCCTCTACGTATTGACCATGACCCCATCAAGGTAAAAGAGTATCTGTTACCCCGGTGTCCATGTACGCTATAGTGCGGTCTACAAGGGTCATGGGGGAACGGAGCGATGTGGGACCTCACGTCTACATGTATTATTGGCAGGGAATTCAGTTCGATTCATTGGGTATCGGTTTCTATTGATGATTCTATTTTTCGTATTGGAATGAATCTTCCATCGATGGTTGATTTGCGGTTTGATTGTTCCACAAAATTTCCATATGCCATCTCAACCCTTCCCCGCTCCATAGGTCAACCATGTCATCTTGATTTAGTTTCCGTTTCCCGTGTCTATACTAATTTCTTCGTCTCTAGTCTGGGGCTCGTCATAGAATCGTAAAGTGAGAAAGAAAAAAGGAGACCGTTCTCGTAGAAGTGAGCGCGTGCAATGGACTCGTTCCCAACGGACAACGACTCAAGGACGCTGTGGCGCCAGTCGCATTCGCTCTCGAAAAGCGCGAGCGTCTCCCAGCGTGTATATAGGCCGCAATAGAGGAAAAATCAATAAAGGAAAGCGGCAATGGAATACGAGGGCTGAAACTTAGGCAGTCTGGGCAATGAGCTCGCCGTCGGCAGTGTCGAGGCGCATAGACTTTCACCGTCGACAGAGACATCGGGGATGACGATGCCATACCTTTCGTAAGGGAAGTTCTCGAGGGAGGGCAGGCGCTCGGCCCAGCCGTCGCCAACCTGGCCGACCTGGTGGAGGTCAACGTCACCGGCTTCACCAGTGATACCGGCAAGAACCTCGGGCTGGCGGTCGGCGTACTCGGTAAGCAGACCGGGGTGGGGCACCCAGATGACACGCATCCCGGCGCGTCTGCCAGCCTCGACGCCGGGAACGCTGTCCTCGAAGACGAGGCACTCCTCGGGCGTGATTGGGGCCTCGCCCTCGGGCAAGCTGTCGTTGATGGTCTTGAGGGCGAGGAGGAAGATGTCGGGGAGGGGCTTGCCTCGTCCGGGTTGGATGCGGGGGTCGTCGCCGAGGACCTTGCGGTTCGTCTCGAAAACGCTAAAGAGCTCGGTCAGGTGGTCGGTCTTGAGCTTGAAGTTGGCGAGGTGGGAGCTCGTGGCGAGGGCGATGTGAACCCTGGAGCGGCCTTTGGCGGGGGCCACGTCCCAGTAGCGGGTTCGGCCGAGGTCGGAGAGGAGTTGCTGGACGCCGGGTAAGGGGTCGGTGCCGGGGAAGAGGCGGCGCTGGTGCGAGGTGACCTCGGCGAGGTAGGCGGTCTGGTCGATGGGCAACTGGGCCCAGGCTTCGAAGATGCGGGTGGCCTCGAGGCCGGGGCGGCCCTGCAGCTTGGCCTTGATGTTCCAGGGGAGGCGGGGGCGGTTGTACTTTTCGAGCACGAGGTTGATGCAGTCGGTGTAGAGGTCCTCCGTGTTGAGGAGGAGGCCGTCCATGTCGAACAGGCAAGCTCGCACGGGAGGGAAGCTGTTTGGTTGGACACAGATTCCAAATGTTAGAGGGGCTCTCTTATTCTCTCGCTTCAACCAAGGAAAAGACCGGTTCCCGGGGGCTAGGGACGTACTCTGTTTTAAGGACCATCTTGCTGGATCGGGAGTGTGATCGTGGGATTTGGCTTGGTTTGGGTAGCTTTTGAGGGTTTCTTGGGGGTTTTCTCGGCACGTAGACTTTCAAGGGTGGGCAGAAGGATGGCTTTATATACTCAAGTACGCCAGGGGTAGATTTGCTCAAGGTGGGAAAATCGCAGCTATCTACGATTTAGGTTTTTCTCTTTTCTTTTCAAGAATAGGCCCTGACGCTACCGGTGGAGAATATCGAGAGAGAAGAATAGAAGAATGGGGCAACGTTCTTATTATAACATATGACACATGAATGGCGAGTGGTCCCCTCCTTGTCGCTTTCTTTGTCCCTTTTTTTTTTTTTTTTTTTCACTTTTCCCTTTCCGTGGTAGTCCCTTCCCTATCCTTGTTTCCCACCCTACGTCTTCCATTTGCGGTAAGGGATTGGAGAAGGAAGGAGCAAGAGATGGCGGGGGCGGGGTAATTTTTTTCGCCATTTGCTTGTGAGTGAGGGAGCTTGAGCTAGCTTGGGGTGTTGTCTCTTTTCATTTTTTTGTCCCTTTCGCAAGGAACAACGCGTCGGGTTGGTTCGCCAAGCTAGCATTGGCAATCCGGCTTCACTTCAATCTTCTTCTATTGGGCTTCTCTGGCACCTTCTCGCTTCCGGGCTTTCCCTTAGCTTCCGGAGGGCTGAGATTCGGTCTCCACATAGGTCTCGCCATCTTCCAGGACCCCCGACGGCTTAGCGCCACCTGGTGTGCTTGAGCCTAAGGCGACGTGGATCCACCACTGATTAGGAAACGGTCCGACGCTCGCTGCATCGAGTACGAATCGTCGAGGGTCGGGAAATCAAAGTGTACCAGCCCCCGTCGTCATCGTGGGCCAACTATCCTCGTCGCACTTTCTAAGCAGTACCTTGCCCGCCCCCGCCAACGGCCGCGCATCGCACACGTTCTCGCACAACAAACCACGCCCAGACAACCACCGACACCGCCAGCCACGCACGCACATAGTTCCGCTGGCGTCTCCACCTCTGCGGAATCTCAATTTTGGCCGGTACTCGTTTGCCTAGCTCGACTCGTAGGGTTATCCGCACACATCGACCTTGATTCAGCCTACGAGGACGGGCATCTCAGATTTGGGTAACCCCCGGCCCCGGGTTCCTCGACCATGTCCGCATCCCGGCCTGTCAGAGAGCGTCCAGTCGTCAAACCTGATGCAGCGGCCGAAGGAGCCGATGACGTTGAAACACCGGCCGCCGTAACCTTTACAGCCGAAGAAGAAGCGGTAAGTGAAAAAGAAAAAGAAAGGGAAAAAAGAAACAGAGGCCCGATCTCCAAATGCACCCATCCCCTCTCACCCCCTCCTCTTCCCCCGAGGAGCCAATTTCCGGCCCGGAGTAGCCAGTCCCGTCATGCACGTTGATGATGCTCTTCCAAAGGCGCCCTTGCGCTAGTTTCGCTGTAACCCCATTATCGCATGTCTGTCGTTTTATTTGTATTAAGTGAAAATGTGATTCTCTTATTTCTTTCCCCTTGTCACCCCTATCACCCAATCATCCTCTGTTTTTGCGACACAAGGGAAGGGAAAGATGCGGAGGAGGGCCGGGCTTGACTTTTTTCGGTTTCGCAACCATCTTCTTTTGCTAACTCACCGCCTCCTGCTTTCTCCCAAACCCAAAGGACCTCGTGAAAGAGTCGAATGACAAAAGGCCGAGGCAAATGAACTGTTCGTCTCCAAGAGGTACAATGACGCCTTGGCCAAATATGAGGAGGCTTTCTCGGTGTGCCCGCACTACTTAGACTACGAGCTTGCCGTTCTCAAATGCAACGTCTCGGCATGTCACCTAAAGCTCGAGGAGTGGAAGGAAGCTGCCGATACCGCTACGGCCTCTCTCGACGGGCTGGATCGGATAGGGAAGAAAGAGACGAAGCAACTTGCAGAAGGCTCAGCCAAGGATAAGGACAGCATACCAGGCGAGGAAAAAGACGTCGGCGCTGAGGAAGAGGAGAAGGAGGAAGAGGATGTTGTTGAAGAAGAAATTATTAGCACCGGCGCGGCGAAGGCCGCCCCTCTGCCGATAACGATCAGCCCTGAGGAAGAGGCAAAGAAGAAACGAGAAGAGGACGTAAAGCGCATACGGGCCAAGGCACTAATGAGAAGAGCGAGGGCTCGAAGCGAGCTAGGTGGGTGGCGCAACTTGGCCGGCGCCGAAGAAGACTACAAGATCCTGGCCCAGATGGATAACTTGGGGCCCAGTGACCGAAAGATTGTCATGGTGCAACTAAGGCTGTTGCCACCAAGGACAAAGGCTGCTCAAGAGGCTGAGACGGCCGAGATGTGGGGAAACTGAAGGACGTAAGTTTCGTTCATCTACTTTCATTATTTCTCTTCCCTTCTCCTTCCCTCCTCGTTTCTCATCATCCTGAGAGCAATTCTCTTTGTTCTCTTACCCTCTGACGCCATGTTTCTGATCTCTGACGAGTGGGTGTACAGCTTGGAAATGGTCTACTGAAGCCGTTCGGCCTCAGCACTGAGAACTTTCAGTTTAAAAGGATGAGAACAGTGGCGGCTACAGCATGAACTTTCAACCTGGAGGGTCAGACTCGTAAGCTTAAAGGTGTACTGGTGTGGATCGTCCTGCAGGATATACGTGACGGATACGACTCTGATAGTATATGTCGCCGACAATCCGGTTTTGATAGAAGTGAAGAATACATTGCACATGGTCACCAATCTATTCTCAGAACGATTTATCTATCCTACGCTACCCTCTCATGATCTTTGCCTAGCTGGCCACCATACCGTCCATGGAATGATCCCTCCGAGGTGAAGGACAGACGGGAACACGATGATTTGGAAATCCAGCCAGAACGGTAGAGGCACCATAGAAAAGCCAACGTCCATTTTGCACAACTGCACAGAAGTCCGGTGGCGTCCCGTTTAGGAGGGGGCCCTTGGCTTGCGGCTCGTGCTACCGGCTGCGCGGGCAGCGGATCTCCGTCCCGGATGCTACCATTTTTCCCCTTTCTCTTTCTTTTTCGCTTCTGCACTGAAACGTGTGTGCTATTCTAGAGTGTGTGGTGGTGGAAGGCCCGTTGGTCGCTATTGCGTTAGGAGGACCCTCTTTTTTGCTCTTCTTCATGAGAAAAGACGAGAACACAGGACCCAGTCAAAAGGAGGTATTGGAGGAATCCGGATTGTCGAAAAGTGATGGCGCGGAAGAAAAGTGACGTAAAGATGGCTCCTTCGAAGAACTGTCTTGAGGCTGGGGCTGTCTTTTTGAAACCATTTGTGCAGAGGTGGCTCAATAAACGGCCCACTCGGAGCATGAAGAAGAAAAAGAACAAAAAGTCTACGGTCATATTCTTTAGACGTACTCTTCTGTATTCAAACTTGATTGATGAATGGTTTTGGATCCACGTGTCGCAAACATCAAGGCGAGGGACTCTGTATCGCTTTCAATCCACGCTGAGACGGGTTCGTTGTTTCCAAGGGGAATGGGAACTATTGATTGACACAAAGCAATTAAGAATGATTGTGTTTCATTGTTCTTCTACGCTTAACATTAAACACGCTCAAGAGATGAATCGATTCGCGCTTCGAGGAATGAAGCCACCTTTCATCCGCAAATTCCACACTGTTGGAAGGAATCTATCTCGTCTCTCCGAGACTTAGCCCAAGGGCTTCCTCGAGGATGCTCGTGTCCACAAGCGCCTCAATCTCCTCTTCCGTCAACTTGTCCCGCCCCTGAAGCTGCGCAACCCATTGATCCTCCGTCTTGAGCACGTCGTAAATGTCCCCCACCAGCGTGCCTCTCCACCCATGGATGCCCCAGACCTGCTCAATCACGTCGGCCTGCGACCCCGTGGCGTCGGCAACCCGCTGGTACAGATCCTCGGTCGGCTCTTCGGCAAAGACACGCTGGGCGGCGTTGAGCGAGCGGACAAACTCAACAATGAGCGCGCGCGTCTCCGGATCCGCTAGCTTGGGCGCCGTGCTCTGCAGGTTCACGACTTCGCGGTACACGGAGCGGTCCTGGAACACGATGGCGTCGTCGCCCAGTTCGTTGACGGCGAACTGCGGCGTCGGCTCCCACAGCGCAATGGCATCGATGGTGCCGTTCGCAAGCTGCATCGGGAGTGTGTTGCGCCCACATGGTGCCCGCAGGCAGGTGCCGCCGTAGGCTAACTCGTAGTCGTCGGGCTCGAGTCCCACGGTGCCGAGGTATTTTTCCACAAAGTACGCCGCCGTAGTGGTGGGAATAGTCCCGATTCGTTTGCCCTTGAGGTCTTCGAGGGTTTCTATACCCGCATTGCGGTTCGCCACGATGCGGTAGTACGTCTCCGTCATGGTGTAGATGATGCGCAGGTCCCTGTTGCTCCCGTAACTCTTGAGCGAAGGGATCTCGGCATTGGTGCCCAGTGCGACTGTGGGGTCCGAGAGGAGTGCTGCGATACCGCCCTCGACGATCTTGGCGGGGCCGTCATAGAAATCCTCGATGGCGATGCGACCAGGCGTGTGCTCAATCGTCATAACATCGCTCGCAATCTTGAGTATGGTGCTGTTGTTTCCGGCTACGGTCTCTGGTTCTGGCTCCGGCTCCGCCTCTTCCTGGGCCAAGACGGCCAGGAAGAGGGCCGCAGAATAGAGCAAGCGCTTCATAGTAGCCGCTAAAATGTGAGACTCCCCCAAAAAGCTAATTCAGAAGATCGAGAGAGTCGGCCTTTAGCGCAGGGACAGACGGTCGGCAGTTGGAACGGAACAATAGTCAAAAATGGGGACGGCAAGAAAAAGCCAAGAACGACGGCCCCGGGGATGGCCAACTCAATACATACCCGGGTCCTCCCCTCTCGTGCCCGGTCGGTAACTCTAGTTTGCTGTTTTCCCCTTTCACTTTGCAATAAATTGATGTCGTAGTCGAATCGTTTGTCCAATCCTCAACGTGAAAAGTTCCCTGCGATTGCGCCAGTGCCCCACGAGCCGCATACCCGATGTCAAAACCCGGGCGGCCGGGGTCGTCGTCCCAAGTGATTGCTTTCTTCGTTGGCGCGCCAGTGTAAGTCAGGGTGCCATTCGCTCGATAAGGAGGGAGTTTACCCGGACATGGCGTGTCAACGTAATGGCGATATTGCACCATTGAAACGAAATTTGAGATGGTATGGCCCCGGCGCGGGTTGAATAAAGTCGGTCTTTAAATTAAAAATATCAGTGCGGAAGCCCCCACCAGTGTGCCGATGTCGTCTTTCCCTCGTTTCGGTGCTTCTTTGGAAGAAAACAGCGGATTAGGTCTCTTGCCGTCTAGATGATACCATGATACCATGCCCCCTCCCCATCTCTCGCCGCCTGATGCTGGGTAATCTGTGATGCGTAGGATGTCGCTAAATGCCACTTCTTCCTGACAAATAATGCTGATGCAGCCACAATGAATGAAAGGGAGGAAAGGAAGAAGAAAGGGAAAAAGATCTATTGGGTTGTTTCGTCTCCATTCATAGCGCCGGCTGCGCGAGTTTCTTGCGCCGGCGCCACCTGGTTGTTTCTAGGTTTCGCTGCAAGTCTCCTCCCGAATGGAGCCATCCACACGTGAAAGGCATTCGTAGCTTTCTTATCCTCGTTGTCCGGGTCATCTAGGATTTGATTCAGCAGGTTCATGACCTGTCGGTTCGACGTTATCGTCGTCTGCTCATGAACCCATCCTTGAACGATGGCGGAAATGTTCATCGATTTGAACTTTTCCTCATCCAACGTAGCCAAGACCCGTGGCAATGCGCCGGACTCCACCAAGGCGTGCACCTCCTCTTCACTAGGCGTATTCACGACGCGGATCGGCAGCTGCAAGTCATCCGGGACGGGATGTACCGAAAGCTGTTGAAACTCTCGCAGCAAGGAACGCCTCTCCTCATCGGAAACCTCTGCCGCGGCGCAGTCGACAGACTGTATCAGGATTTTGGCGCGCAAAACCTCCGTCTCGGTTCCGATATCGAGGACGGTGTTGAGGAAGTTGACGGCCACTTGCTCGGTGCAGACGATCCTGCGGCTGCCGAGAGCGGGGTAGATGCTCTTGGGCAGCCTCGGGCCGTTTTTGCGCTCGTCTTCCAGGTCCTCCTTGATCCTGGCCTCGTGTCGCGACTCGAAGCTGTCTGGACTAAAGTGGGCAGTGTCGGAGCCTAGGTTGAATAGGATGGTACAATCTAGGTTGAGCACAGACGTGAAAGTGAAATCCTCTTGGGGCAGAAGTCGCAGAAGAACCTCTTCGAGAGGAGGTTCGTCGGCATCGGCAGTCAGCAGCTCTGGTCCACACTCCACTGTAAGCGTGACATTATGCTGCTTTCCCAAGCCACGAAGCATGTTGATGAGGGCATCTATATGCCCATTCTCGCCTTCTATAATCTTGGGAAGCAATATCCGCACCCTCGGGGTCCGGTAATAGTAGCGCCCAGCGCGTGAAACAGAGGCAGCGGCAACCAAATCCCGAACCATCTCTAGGGCCTCCATCCCAGAGTCGTCGTGCTCCACAATCTCGATTCCTGGCTCACCCTCGTTGACGTCCCAGTCCCAGCCAGCATTGGTCATCTGGAACACGAGTCTTCGTGTGTCGGCAGTGATGACCTTGATCCATTCGGCCCCGTTATCCACCATGGCGTCGACCTTGGTCAGATTGCGCCTCGAGCCCGCCTTGACGGGTTTGTGGGCCAGGGGCACCTCCACCTCACGCAGCGCCGCGATCAAGCCGCGCTGCTTCTTCACGACGGTCCATAGGATGTCGTAAAGGTGATGTTGAGGCAGGACAGCCGGGTGAAGGCCCGGCTCCTCTCCATGTCGTCCGGGGCGGTCTTGAACTCCTCGAGATACTTTTCGGCACCCGCCTTCTCCCTCCGAAGCTGCCGTGTCAGATTCCCCAGGATGATGTTGCGCTTCACCAGGCGCGGGCTATGCGGTTGGTTTGCATCATCGTTGCCAGCTCCGGTGTGGAGCTCCAGCAGACGCGTAGTCTCGGAGAGGATCCGGTCTGAGACGGTGATGGCGTCGTGCGCCAGCTTCTCCGCGCCGAGAGTCCTATCGAGGTCGTTGTAGTCCGGAATCTGGCCCTCGTAGGCGGCGGGTTCCGGCGTGGGGCCGAGGAGCCCGACACTGCATCCTCGTCCGAGGAGCTCATCTCATGTATGAGGTGGGGTGCGCAGAGGGGTAGGGAGAGTGGGATATCAGGACGCAAATAAGTAGAGTGACCTCACGCAGGCGCTTTTCTTTGGTGGGAGCAAAAGGAGGGAAAAAAGTAAATAATAAGAACAATTTACAAGAAGAGAATCCACACCAAGAGAGACCCAGGGGGTGGGAAAAATATGTGTGGACTGGCGCCTAGTAGAGATGGTAACCCTTCGATACTGATCGAACATACCATGCATGAGAATGACTCTGTCGCTCCTTCTCAATTCATAGGCGTGGAGCGCAAAAGGTTAACGCATTACCTAAGCGGGTACCTTGGCGAGCTGTCAGCTGTCGCAACTGGCGAATCTCTGCGATATTCGACGACGACTTACATCCACGGGCGCTTCGCACACTGCTGGATTCCCTCTGAGGCCCATTGTTGAACAGGAAGCAATTCCGAGTCGATGCCACATTTCTGATTCCAAGGCACGAGGGCAAATTCCATACCATCGCCTCCAAAAGCTACGCTTAGTGGAAAATGGCGCAGTCCATAATTGTGCGGTCCAGTCGAAGCATTCCGTCCCCACAATAATGGGATCGCTGGTTCTCATACCTCAAGCAAAGTAATATGAGCACCTCGATTATCACGCAGGCTGTTCCATTCCTCAACACCAGTCCAGTCCCATTCCAAATCCACATTATTCGCCCCGTTTCCGGCTATACGTGTACTCTTTTGTTTCTCTGACACACAATTATAGTCTGCCGAAATTCTCTTTGAACAGAAGCCTTGGGCCGTAGAATCTGGGTACAAAAAGATGGCATTTCCTACGACCGAGTCCTACTTCTCTTTTTATTCATGCCTATTCTCAAGGAAATCTTCTTCATAATCTGGTTTCTGGCCTTCGAGCTCTCCGAGAACTCTCAGCCACGTTTACGAACAGACTCCTGAACTTGAACACGCCGACGCACGTATCAGCCACGATGGAAGGCGCCGGACCTGACCCTTCTTCCACAGACAACATCAAGCGGGATTTCCCTGGGAACGAAGACCATATTCAACGGCTTGGCCAAGTCTTTAAGGATGCCTCGAATCAGCGCATGAAGCTGATCCAAGAAATCGAATCTGTTTGCGAAAACTTCCAGACCGACCAGGTGTACCTGACGGAGTGGGATGACCGCCGGGGAAGGCCCCGCTGCGTCACGTTCGACTGCACCCCCATCACCGACCTGTGGCTCCCACCCGCCACCCCGGGCCACGGATCAGAGCTCGAGGCGAAGCTCAAGACTTATAGCCGGGAGTACTGCAAGGTGGTCGGCCTCGAGCACGAATGTCACGCTGCCGCGGCCGGGTGGACGGGGAGCGCACGATTGTGCAAAATCACCTCTCCCTCGCGCTCGGCGCCTTGGCAGAGTACGAGGAATACATCAATGAGTGGAAGGGCAACGACCAGAACGTGCTGAAGAGGTTGGATCAAATCAGCCGCCTGGACACATCGGCGCGCTCGGTGTCCGACTTTACCGTCACGGCGGAGATTGTGCGGGGCAAGTACCGAGGGGCCATCGCGTACATGGACTCGGCCTCGTCCACGCGCTCAAAGCTCCTCAGCAGCGCCTTGGGCTCCCTGTATGATGCGTTGGAAGCGAATGGGCTGGTGGAGGTGCGGAGGAGGGAGTTCAATGAGAAGATGGGGCGCTGGGTGGATGCTCGGCGGGAATTGGTTGCCCTGGTCTGTGACCTGAGGAAGGAACTTGAGGCTGAGGAAGCTACTCACGGCGACTCTGGTGGGGATGAGTAGGACTTGCTGGACGTAGGGCGGGTATCAAAGGTTTTGGTCCGGTCATCTTGTATCGCGTGGTCTCGAAACGCCCATTATATCTATAGAAAAGAATCACGCCCATTCTTTCTCAAAACAAGCATTGGGCATTAATGGTGATAGATTGATAGTTGTCTGAGATCACACTACCCCACATTCTGCCTGCAGCTTGACCCCGCCCCAAGCTTTAAACCGGGCCCGCCCTTGCATGTTCCGGGACCGCTCTAGATCCGCCCATGGATACATCCATCGCCCTCTCCAGTTGCCATCCATTTGGCTAGCTCCAGTCTTCCTACCTCCGCCTAGGGTTGTTGCTTGAGTTGCATCACTGGGCATTCCCGGCCTCAACATCACCCTTCTACACCTCTCGCCGAAAGCCCGCGGTCTGAGATGCCGACCAATCAGGAAAGCCAAGTCATATACGCGCCCTCCAAGGAGCTGCCCCGCGGCATAAAGTCCGTCTTCCTCGCCGGCACGACCAGCAGAGTTGATACCACCGACTGGCGCGAAACTCTATCGTCTTCCTTATCCCAGCACCCAATCACCATTTACAACCCTTACCGCGCGGACTGGGACGGCACATGGCGGGAGGATCCCGACTTTGCACCGTTCCGCGAGCAAGTCGAGTGGGAGCTGGAGATGCAGGCCCAAGCGGACCTTGTGGTCGTATATTTTCACCCAGCGACGCAGGCGCCCGTCAGCCTGCTCGAGTTTGGGCTTTCGGCGCATGTCCCGGGCAAAGTCATCGCAGTGTGCCCCGAGGGGTATTGGAAGAGGGGAAATGTGCAGATTGTGTGTCAGACGTTTGGAATCGAGTTGCTCAACGCTATTAGCGAGTTGGGGGAGCCATTGTCAAGAAGCTATCGCTTGATTTGGCGAAGTAACTCCATCAACATCTGCCTTCGAGCAGCTAGCTGGAACAGGCTTCCAGTGCTACATAGCATGGGGTTGTAGGAACGCGAATGCGAGCAGCTTTGGAGCCCGGAGTCCAATGGCCCAACCGGTTTTTAGTTCGAATACCGTTGGTATATAGCGTATATATATGGCCCCGATCTAGTCGGAAATATTGTCAGGTTATGACAGTCATCATGGTATGTAAACTTTGACAACATATGCTAGAGGTTTTTATTTTATTTTATTTTTATTTTTTAATATACAGGCGCCGGTCAGCTCTCATTTAAAGACCTGATCCTTTCTATGTAGGCGCAGCCAAATATCTGCGTTTATGGGCTGGCTTGATTCTCATTTATGGCCTGCTTTATGTTTTGACATGGATTCTGGGCTTAATGTCTATAGCATCTATGGATCTATCGACTGACTTAGTCCGTTCCCCACAGGCGTGCACTCTTTTCAAGGTTGTCAAAATTAGTCAGCCCCCAAACTACACTACACCGCAAGTGCGCGCTTCTCGTTCTTATCGATTGCTTGAATTTCCTAAACCCACCTCATCGATCTAGAAACTCAATTCCGTTATATTGCGCGCCGCGGCCCTAGCAGTTCCCGCGTCACTACTGCGTCTACCTAGCATAGTTTCACACGGCGTCAGAGCCACTTAGTTGCGCTTCCCTTAGTACACGGCTATTCTTGATGGACCTCAATAGCTTGCCGACAGAGATCCTGGGGCTCATCCTCGGCCACCTGATCGAGCCGATAGACCCCGAGTGGGAACCCGAAAAGTTTAGAATCGAGCCTATCCGCCAAGCGCGATTCGTCTGTCGCAAATGGAACACCTTGGCGAGCGCCCACCTCTTTGGCACCGTGCACCTCGTCCACCATGGCGTGGACCCCGAGGAGCTCGCCTCGCGCCTCCACCTGCCCAACGCCGGCTTCTGGCGCTGGGATCAAATGATTGACAAGATCCCCTGGTGAGGCAGACGGCCCGGTGCGCCGTCATCCATAGTGGCCCCGACGAGGTGGACCAAGAGTCTGATTTCGCCTCGTGGTACGAGTGGATTCTCCGCGGCCGGTATCCCGAGTATCTGAGCGCGATCAAGCGCATCGCGGATCTCCCCAACCTCAACGCAATCGAGGTGCGCTTTTCGAGGCATTGGCTCGAAACCGGCTCCGAGCAGTTGCTTCCCGGTATCATTGAGCCTGCGGAAACCCGCGAGCGAACCTGTAAAGCCGTCTTCCAGGCCATCAAGGAACGTGCCCAGACGGCGGGGCCGGGCGTCACGCAGATCCGCTCGCTGACGATGGACAACTTGCATACTCGGCCCATGTGGGGTTCCGAGCCTAAGGCTCTGTTCGCCGAGGTGCTCGGTAGCATGACGCAGGTGCATTTCAACTTTTGCGAACTCTTCGATCGCTTCGACGGCTCGATCGACATGCTCCACAAGGAGCGCTGGAAGTTTGAGCCGCATCTGCAGAAGGAGCTCCTTCCGCTTCTCTCGGAGCAGCTGACGACCCTGACGCTCTACTTCACCGAGTACTGGGGCACGCTTCCGGGCTACTTTAGCGGAGAGGGTCTATCTTTTCCCAACCTAGTTACGTTGACGCTCGGCCACTTCGTCGTCGGCCACAACGATCACCTGGACTGGGTTCTGAGGCAGAAACATCTCAGGTCTCTCCGCCTCGACAGGTGCTACATCGTGAGCCACTTGAACGTCGATTCGAAACACTTGGTTCGCTGGGGCGCCGCCACCCACGGCTGGGTCCCTCATCCTACCGGATCCTTTGGGTTCCGGGCGCCGATACTCCCGCGCTCCATTTTCACTTTCAACCTTACGTGGGCCTCCCTGTTCGATAAGATCCGCACCGGCCTGCCCCGGCTCTCTGACTTTCGGTTTGACGCGTCGCCCTACCGCACCCGCTTTTCCAACACCAACAAACTAGGAGCCAAACTCCGGGTCGCCCGGTATATAGTCTTCAACGAAGACATGACGCCAAGCCCCTGGGTTGAGCCCGACTTCGATACTGGCGAGATGGACTTTGGAAATGGGATCCCAGAGGCAAAAAAGTTGAACAATAATCCCCAGGCGCGCAGCCGTGGGGAGATCAATCGGGGTAGGGAGACGGCGACGGGAGACCGCCGGGCTTTTGAAGCCCTAGTAGAGGCTACGCGAGGGAGGCGATAGTCATCTCTTCTGTTTCGAGTGCTATTCTGGTACAGCGGTAGATGTGTCTGAGAGCCACACACCACGTTGGGAAGGGAGCTCTTGACGTGGCTTGAGGTTGTGAGATAGCATTGGAAGAAGGGGCGATACGAGATTACCAAATTTCCATGGACTGAATTATTCAATACATGGATAGATCCATGGATCCATGTATAGTCTGGACATGGAGCTAAACACGACCAAAATTGGGGGCCGAGCTCACTACATCACAAACCAGATAAATCTTATGCCTAGATCAATAGGATAATTTGGCCGCGTAACACTTTAATAGAGAGCGTGGAGTTTATCGGCAGAAGTCGACGGCTAGTGGGCCAAATTCCGACAGGAACAAGAAATAAAAAGGAAAACGAGTGGAAAACGAAGTCCGGGTAAAGTTGGGCGCACCCCGAAAGTGGAAAGCACGGAGAGCATCAGTCCAGTCTCGCCAAGAAGGGACGAATACAAAAGTAAACCCTCGTGAACACGTCGATTTTTTCCCCCGTTTCTTTTCTTAGTCTCCTCCTCAGTCACAAAGGTGGGACCATATATCAAAAAGAAACGAGAAGAAACTGGGGGTCGGTTGGCACGATGGGTTCGTACTGGAACTCGTCGCTTCGTCGCTACGGTCTGCTCCTCTTCGCCGCGGCTGTCGCAGGACAGTCTAGCCCAAGCTGCAAGCCTATTCCCGGGGACGATCATTGGCCGTCCGTGGAGACGTGGGAAGCTCTCAACGAAACAATAAGTGGACGCCTGATCGCGACTGTGCCGGTGGGGAGTGTATGCCATGTCGGAGGCGAGTTCGACGGGCACTATAATACGACGGAGTGCATCGTCTTGCAATCGGCGTGGAATTTCGCACAAGCGCAGTAAGTTATTAAGTCTCTGGAGAGAAGAGGGAGGGAACTCTCAGCGTCCAAAGTATCGTTGTGCAGCCTCCTCTCGGATTTCGAAATAGGCTGACAAACGGTTCAATGTTATCTGCATCATCAAGCTTCCCGTTTCCTGCAGAAGTTAGCTGGCCCTTTGCGCAAGCATGTGACCCGTATCCCCTCTGAACAAGACTTGCGAGTTGGGCAAGTACGTGAGTTACTCGATAAACGTCGAGGGCCCCGACGACGTGGTGGCCGGAATCGAGTTCGCCAAAGAGAATGATGTGCGACTCGTCATTAAGAACACGGGTCATGAGTAAGTTTCCCCTCCCAGTCCATGGATCCAGCCCCGATGCGGGATGCTGATGGGGGTCGAAAACCAACAGCTACCTCGGAAAGTCAACGGGCAAGGGAGGACTAGCACTTTGGACTCACAACCTCAAAGACATCGAGGTAATTGAAGCCTATGAGTCGGATTATTACACCGGTCCAGCTTTAAAGCTAGGCGCGGGCGTCCAAGGCTGGGAGGCGTACACGGCGGCCAGTGACCGTGGATACATGGTCGTCGGCGGGACGTGCTCGACGGTGGGGATCGCGGGAGGCTACACCATGGGCGGGGTCACTCGACGCTTAGTAGCCTGTACGGCCTCAGCGCCGACAATGTGTTAGAGTGGGAGGTGGTCACGGCCGAGGGAGTACACCTCGTGGCTACGCCGTCGGAGAATAGCGATCTATACTGGGCTTTGAGCGGTGGAGGTGGCGGCACCTTTGGCATCGTGCTAAGCATGACCACTCGGCTTCACGAGGACACGTCGATCGGCGGCGCGCACCTGCAGTTCGACGACAGCGTAATCGGGCACGACGCGTACTGGGAGGCCATCGAGGCGTTCCACAGCCTCCTACCGCCCATCTTGGCACAAGACACCTCGCTCCTATACTCGGTCCACAACAACTCGTTTAGTATCTTCAGCCTCACCGCAGCGGGCAAGTCAAGCACCGAGGTCATCGAGCTCCTACAACCCCTCCTTGACGAGCTCGACGCGCGCAAAGTTCCCTTCGCCATCCAAATCGACCAGGCCCCCGATTCCTCGACCACTTTGTCGGCGACTTCGGCCCTTTACCCTACGGCTACTTCTCCGCCGGCCAAGTCACGTCCAGCCGGCTAATCCCCGCGCCGTGCTCTCGGACCCAGAGGCCAACGCCGCCGTGACGCGGGCCCTGCGCGAGGGCACCGCGAGCGACGACTTCTTCTTCGCGTGCCAGGCCCTCGACATGAGCCGCAACGCCTCGGTCGCCGCCAACGCCGTGCTCCCCGCCTGGCGCGAGGCCGCGTCGCACTGCATCGTCGTCGGCCAGTGGGACTATTCGGCCGTCGCGGTGGCGCAGGGCCGCATGCAGGCCATGCAGGACGCGCTGGTAGAGGTGATTACGCCGAGCTTGGTCGCGGCCACGCCGGGTCCGGGACCTACCTCAACGAGGCGAATTTTCAACAGGAGGACTTTCAGGAGCATTTTTACGGGCCGAACTATGCTCGGCTGCTGGAGGTCAAGGACCGGTATGATCCGCTGGGGCTGTTGTATGCGGTCACTGCGGTGGGGAGCGAGGTGTATGAGGAGGATGCGGATGGGAGGTTGTGCAGGGTAGAGGCGGAGGCGGCGGAACCGGCGGATGCATAGCGATCATGGGGCCGGAGACTCCAGTGCGGTTACTATTTTTTTTTAAATTCAGGCTGCACCTTTTGATGTAATGTCTGAGAACTTTATTCTCTGCAGGACGCACAAAAGCGTAGAGACATGGAGAAGGTGGTCAGAGGTGTTCTTGCGTCGTGATAGCTCTAAGAAGACTAGTGACGTTAGTAATGTCGTCCCAGAGTAGCAGTTTGTTCTATATTGAAGTGCCAAGGGCTTTTGGAGGGTTTTTCCCCTTTGGGTCCTTGTGTAACAACAGAGAACATGCTCAAGCTCTGGGAATCGCCGGTCAGTCTTGTCCTTTTACACCCATGGTTTGTTGTCCTCGAACAACCAGATAAAAAGAAATACGGCGAGCTATCATTGCATGCATTGTCGGAGACGGAATAGATCGGCAGAGTAAGCTCGCTCACTCCTTTCCCCGCACATCTTCTGCGCGAGATGGATGCACGTAGGATCGATGGGCGGATTTGGCTAAATGACCGTGCCGTGCAGATGTCTCTCTCTCTCAATGGAGGCGGGGGATTAAAAACAGCAGGTGAGACGACATTTCCCCAATGATGTTTTGGAATAAATAAGTGATCACGAGCCTGAGAGATGAAAGGTGTGGATAGATATGTGAGTATATATATATAAAGAGGTTCTCATGTCGCGAGACAAGTGAAATTGTTGTTGCGAGTTCCAAGTGCCCCTTACCACCTGTCCATTCACCCCACAGTAGAAAGGTGCTTCACGCAATTTCTTACGGGTCGTATAGACTTTACCGAGACATTAGTCAGGGCCTTGCTGGATATCGAGACGCTTTAAGATGAGGGAACGTGGGCTATTCACTTGGGCCATGTACGCATGGCTCATCACCCTGGGTCTCTGCGGCCTGCCGTCTATCAAAATGTCTTGCTCCCTGCTGGTGATTGACCGTGTGGACCCGTGAGTTTTCCAGGCCGTTCCCCCGTCTTCCTAAGCCCCGAGCCTGTTTTTACCCCCACTAACAAAGCAATGCGTGTGTCCAGTATCGTAGACCCAGGCATCGTCGGCACGCCTCACCTTCACCAAATCGTGGGCGGCAACGGTTTCGACCCGCTCATGGACCCGGACCAGGATCCAGCCGAGCGGTCTTCTTGCACCACGTGCACCTTTATCGACGATTTTTCCAACTACTGGACCGCCGTCATGTTCTTCCGGGCGCGCAACGGCACGTACAAGCGCGTTCGGCAATTTGGGGCCGTATTTCACGAAGCGGCACGCGGGGGCGGCATGACCATATACTATTTCCCACCAGAGAGCGCGGCGGACGATAGCATCAAGATCACGGCCTTTCCCCAAGGCTTCCGCATGCGCACGGGCGATCCCGGGGCCAGGACCGCCGAGGCTTCGGAACGGTATCAGGGCCCGCGGCGCCGCCGGATGGGTACAATGTCAACAGGGGCATCTGGTACACGTGCATGGAAAACGAGAGCACGCGGACGCGCAACCAGTCCCGGACGTTTCCGGACCACGCCTGCCCCTTTGGCGTCCTCACGACCATCTGGTTCCCGCCCTGCTGGGACGGCGTCAACCTCGACAGCTCGGACCACTACAGCCACGTGGCGTGGCCGGCGGACGGAGATCCGATGGACGGGACGGCGTGCCCCGAGACCCACCCCGTGCTAATACCGCAAATCGTGCTCGAGACGGTGTGGGACACGGCGCCCTTCAACTCGGCCGATTTGTGGCCTGAGGACGGTAGCCAGCCGTTTGTATGGAGCTTCGGCGACGATGTCGGGTACGGTCACCACGCCGACTATGTCTTTGGCTGGCGGGGCGACTCGCTGCAGAAGGCGATGGACGAGCGGGACTGCGGTGACCAGATGTGCGGGCTGCCGGTTCAGGATATTCCTACCGCGAACGAGTGCGAGGGGTGCCTTTTCTTTCCGAAGAGGTGGATGACTGGCTAGATCGGCTTCCCGGGGCGCGAGACGAAGAGTAGGGTTGCTTGATTTCCGTGGCATGACTCTGCTCGGTGGGCGCAGGCGCGTCCTTTGTTCTGGAATGTATGGGCGGAAAGAGTATGCTCGAGAGGTTCTATGCGAAGCGTGAAAGCCGCTGTAACCTACGAGAGTATTTGATAGGTCCCGTTTAGAGCTTATATTGGTGAGTGCATCGCAGAGAATTTATGCTTCAAATCATCCACTCATTAGATATATACGGCTGTACCACTCGCAGTTCCTTTACCAAGAATAGCCTTTATATATGGAGAGAACTCGGAATGGGCTAGGTTGAGTTGATATTATATACCTCCCCGCTGCGCTAAGAATGCGGACAACCAATCGCTTGCAACGAATACTAACTGCAACTCAAGGATACATACACGCTCCGTAGATATTTGACCCATGCCATATCCGCTCCGCTTGTGCACGTACCGCAGAACGTTCCATTGCTCCTCGGGCCCGCTTTTGATGGTCTACTCCACTTTGAACAGCAATGGATCCTTGAATGCTCCTTCTCAACATTGAACTCTCACTTGTCCTCCATAGGAAAGAAGGACTGTCTGATAACTTTTCTCTCCAATTCCGTTACCTCGAGTTCTTCCATGGGGGAGTTTGGATCTCTTTAAATTGACACCTGACATGTTTTCTTTGCTTCCATGGAGGGCCAAGACTTCCGCTTCAAGCTGAGCAGACGGCATAAAGAGTGTGCAAACATTGCCCAACATAGCTGCAACGCGATCTCAACTCCCAGCAAGGAGCGCGCTACTATAGGCACGGAATGCCGCCTACAAAGATGCCAACCACAGTCGAGGATGTGCGCTCTAGGGGCTCTGAATCGGAGGCTAGATGAGCAGAAGACGTAGGCAGGCTGAGCCCCTATTCCGAGAACTAGAGGCCCTGTAAGCGAGTCTTGTGCACCTCCTTTCCCTCATCCCTGTCATCGCCTGCAAGCTGGACTCAAGGCCAACTTCTGAGACCCGACAGTGCGAAAACATTTGTGGATCGAACTTCTCGTCTTTGATCGGTGAGGCCAAAGAGTATCCGTATTGGGGCCAGTGTCGTGTCACTCCTCGCCCTGCACCTTTTTCATGTTGCTTCGCCGCAGAAATATTATCAAGGTGACTTTAGTTGTCTTGAAACATCGATACTATCACGGATATTCCAGGGTATTCCTCTCTATGACGTTTTCTTTTTCCTTTTTCTCCCAAAGAACAACAGCCACACAGAGTAACGGTGGAGGTGGAAGTGGAAGGCCTTTCTCTCCGCCCCCTCTCTTCCCCCACCTTCTCTGAGATTCTGCCATCGGAATGAGAAAAAGGGCGCCAAAGAGAGAGCAGGGGTCGCAGGAAATTGGAAGAATAACTATCATGGTTGACTGTGGCTGTGGCTGGGGGCTGAACCTGCCGGGGACTGCAGGGGCGCCATCACAACCAACCAAATGCCCGGATACAGATTCAAATCCTCGGGGTGCTGGCCGGCTCGCGGAGACCTTTGTTGAAAAGCCACCACTAAATTTGATTCGTGAGTTCATCTTCTAGTGCATGTTCTCCTTTTGGTTGTTATCCAGATGAATGACTCAAATTTGCAGCATCATTAATACAGTCATATCCCGCCTCTATTCTCTCTTCTGGCTCCCGCCCCGGTTAGAATAGCCATGATTTTACCTCCCTTTTTGTTCAACCTTTGCGTTTATTTGCTCAACATGGCATTCTGGCCGTACCCAGATGTCCCGGATTTTCTCCACGTCACAAATGAGGCTGGCGAGACCGCTCCCTTAGTCCTCCCCATCATCCAGCCCTCCCCGGACGTCTCATCTCGCCCATGGATACGTTACCCATATCAACTGTTACCCACTCCAACATCGATCCGCATCCTTCGTCTCGACATCAGTGACCAACTAGGCTCGGCTGCCGACCTGGTAACAAGTCCTGTGCGTGGCTCCATTATCGTGCGCGATCTACGGGACGATCCCAAATACATTGCCTTGTCTTACACCTGGGGCGATCCACTCACACTCTATGACGAGCGAGATCCCGTATCTCCGCCCAATGATTGGACCGCCCCAGCGTTCGAGATATTCTGCGACGGTCACCCGGTCTCCGTTACCACCAATCTTTACACGGCACTATTGAGCCTGCGGGCTCGTGCGGTTGCCGGCGAGTGGCAGACGAGTGTCGCGGGGCGCAAGGACAAGTGGCGCCCGGTAGGCCGTTCACCAAGTACGGAGTCCTCACCAAACGACCCGGATCGTCTGGTCAGCGTCCAGACGTACGATGTTTGGATCGATGCCGTTTGCATCAACCAAGCAGACGTGGCTGAGCGAGCCTCGCAGGTAGGCATCATGCAGCACATCTTCTCCCGTGCCATTGTAGTGGTCGCCTGGCTGGGTGGCGACGACTCGAACTCACGCAGAAGCACCCAGACGATGGGTCGCATCCTCGGCAAGTTGTCTTCCGCGTCGCGTATCAACAGTGAGAGCTGGGTACGCTTATACGCCTTTCTCAACCGTTCCTGGTTCAAGCGCGCCTGGGTCGTGCAGGAGGCTAGGCTTTCCCGCCACGCAGTCTTCCTCTGCGGGCTGCGGTGTATCTCAATGGTTGATGTCTTGCACACCTCCTTCGCATTCCACTACTCCGTATATACGCGTGATTTGATTCTACAGGCCGAGGCGCAGGTTTCGGGGCACCGCGATCCTGAGGTCTGGGGTGCCCCCATTGATTATTTTGAGGAGGATATCCAGGTTCGTTTGTACAGGCCGCGACCAACGCCCGGTTACACCCCAAACGTCCTGCCGCACATGTTGTTAAATCGGGGGTACTGCGCCTTTCATCGCCAGGACTACAGACCGATATCGTCTCTCGGGAAAGCCCTCGAGTTATTTCGCTCCACGATAGCTAGTGATCCTCGCGACAAGGTTTTTGCGTTTCTCGGCTTGCTTAGTGATTTAAGGTTCGATCTAAAACAGTCCCCGCCTCTCACTTTCAGCAAGACCACCCGCGACGTCCCGGCGCCCGTCCCAGACTACACAAAATCCGTGACCCAAGTGTATACGGACGCATCGGTTTACCTGATGCAGTCAACTACCAACCTTATCCAGCTTTTTGAGTTGAAGGAGCCCAGATTCGAGGACGAAGCCGGAGCCTTGCCTTCTTGGGTTCCCGATTTCTCGATAGCAGCCCGCGGTGTATTCGATCTATTTGAGCCCAGATGCATCAAAATGTGGGCAACGTGTGGTAGTGTCAAATCAAACTGCTTCAGACTATTAGACGAACGTACCCTTCGCGTATCTGGCCGGCGAGTTGCACACATAGAGCACAAGGCTGCACAGGCTTATAGCGTGGATACCCTCCCCGAAATCGCCGACCTCCTCACCCACATACCCGAAGAGTCAGAGATCCGAGCACCACGCTTAACGGCTCCGGTGCTCAGTTTTCATAGTCTGGACAAGAGTGCTGATAAAGCCCGTCTTCTACGCCTGAAGGGAACTCACGCAGGCCAAGTCACCATCCAGTCACGGTTTGAGGTGCTCTGGCGGACTTTACTTCACAACAAGTGGAACGACGACATATCCATGGACCTATGGCGGGGCTATCCAGCTCCTGAGGGTCTCGGAGAGGTATTCTTAGCCCTCATCAAGCAGGGTATTACAATGTTGCGCCTGCGGCTCTTGGAACCCATGTTTGGCCACTACACAGATTTTGCCGCGTATTCGGGAATAATACTTGTGAAACACCCATACCCTCGATCCTTCTCTACATGTACTGAGCGAAATTATTACGGAGAGAGACAAAAGCTGATGACAGCCGCATACGAGAAGTTCAAGGGCGAGCGCGCATGGGATGACGATGTCGTCCCCGACCAGTTTCTCATTGATATTGACGGCATGTACAAAGATATACCCCCAGCCTTTCCGGGCGTGGGGTCCATGTTGGCATCGTATGGCGACCCTACCACCGGCAAGCCATCAAATGTGCCCGAGCGACTGCTGCAAGGGTCCTCCATCCCCTCTGGTCACCACATTAAAAAGAGCGTTGAATTGGTGGTAAGCCAGTACGGGTCCGACTGTCGACTCTTCGTAACTTCCACGGCGCGGCTCGGCCTTGGGCCCCACACCGCGCGCGAGGGGACGAGATATGGGTCTTGGAAAGCAGCGCGATGCCGGTTGTGCTGAGGCCGGCGCTCGGCGGCGGGAACCGTTTCCATTTCGTGGGTACGGCGTACGTGCATGGGATCATGCACGGGGCGGGATTGCGGATGGGGATACTTTTGAGGATATCGATTTGGTATGACGATGTATATCTATATGCATGGCTTATGACTTTTACGAGTGTTTGGGGCGCGTTGAATTTTCCTTTTTTCCATCTTTAGCAATGCACATTTTAATACCACCTTTTCTTATCCTCCGTTTTTCTCCCGCAACCGATTGGCCATCGGAATGGTCGAAACGTGTAGATAGCCTTAACTTCGATACTAACCCTGCAGTACCACTTGAGATCGAAACAGCACAGCAGAACAGCCATCGGAACCGTCACATTTTGTAAATGGAACAGGGTGGACGGGAAATATCTGGCGGAACTCATTAATGACCCCGAAAGAGTGGAGGAAGGCCGGAGGAGGATGGACGGTGTTGAGGTCTTGGCAGGCGCGGAGCGGGGCCGGGTTAGGGTTAGGGATCTGTCAACGACGAAAATCAAATCGCTGCCTCATCCCGGAGGTCAAGTTTGGCCTTGACTGCACGTACGTGCAAGCGTGGAGAGTCTTTCAATCCTCGGGTTTTGAGAAACCGAGAACGGGTTCCTCCAACTCGCATTCTCCTCAAGAGTCCGCTTTTTCTTTTTCTTTTTCTTTTCTTTTTCTTCGCGCTATCTCAGGGCATTGGAGTAGAAGCTTGTTGCGGGGAACGCGGAGTCCGGCCGTAGGGTCAGTCTTATAGCGCCACCATTGGGTCACAGACATGTGCGTCAAAACCGCGAATGAGGGTGCGTGGGCGCAACCTACGCGACGGGTTCGCTTCCAAGTACATGTATAATCGTGAGCCTGAGGGGCGGATAGTAACTCCCAGCATAATGTCTGATGAGAGGAGCGAGTATCCGCGGTGGAGGTGGAGAGGATGTGACCCCACATACACTTTGTCGGTTTTCACACACTCCATTATCACGGAGAATTATAAAGGGGGACGTGAACAGCCCTATCCGTGCTTGTCATGAAGGAAGAAAATGATAGCCGCGTTCAAGGTATGATATACGACGGCAAAGGTGGCGTGATCAGGAAACGGGATGTTATCGTGAGATTCTGCGTACTATTGCATCAGGAAGTATTGGAGAGGCGCACCAGCCAAGAAAGAGCCCCTAAATCATCTACTTTCGACGCAGCTTGAAATGTAGGTTTTGTTTCTTTTCTTTTTCCTTTTTTCCCCGTCACATCACGGGTGGGCGAGACATCCACGGTTACGCGTGCATGGGAGATGCAACCCTCCAACTCTCGTGCTTGGCTCGAATGCTCCGAAAGACAAACGAAGAAAAGCAAGTTTTTCAAGCCTTTGTCAAACAATGATCCTTGAAGAAGAGAAAACCCTGAAAATATATATCAGAGTAGGGTGCGAGACATGGATGAGAAGAGGAGAAGATATTCCTCAGTCGGGGGCTTCTTCTGCGCGTGGCCACGAAGCGCGACGAGGAAAAAAAGGTGGCGTCTTCAGTGTGCTGCGCACGTGTCTCCCATTGATTACCTGAAGCTTCACAGTTTCTCAAGAAACCTTGCAATCTTATATTGGGCGCAGCGGGATTAAAGTTGTCAGTCACTTTTCAGCCCTTAGTCTCTTGCTCCGGTCGCCCTTTTTGTCGCATTCTGTCCCAGCGTCACATCATCAATCATGCATGGTGTTTCCTGATCCAGGCTACCACCACTTCGTGTCCAAAAATGACCTGCAGATGATCGGATCCGTAGTTCTCGATATCGCCCAGGAAAAAGAGAAAGAATAAAATATAAACATAAATAAGGAAATAAATGAATAAAAAAGGAAAGAAAGAAAAAAACTATTGCGTATCCAATTGTCAGCAGGCTCTTTGCGACTCTGATCGCCCGATCCCTTGAGAAGAGCAAGGCAAGTTCGTTGGCCGATATTGATGGGATCCATTGGTCAATTCCGTCAGCGACGTGTGCGGTCCTTTTTTCCTTCTGGTCCTGTCCGTTGGTTGGTTGTTCGTCGGTGCCGATGTGCCGCGTGGTTGTTGGAGAATGGACTCGACTCCACCAACTTTTCCTGCCAACTCCACCTTGTTCCCCTTCTCCCCTTGCCTCCCCTTGCTCCATGACCTCACCTCCCGACGCTAGCATCAAAGGTGCGACTGGGTGGACCACATTAGGCCCAATGTTGGCAGAAAGCGTATTCCCCTCGTACCTCTTGTACCCAAAAGGGTAGTTGAGAAGAGAAGCAAAAGGGCACTTGCAACAATTCCCCAGCCCTTCACTTTTTTTTCTCCGGGCCTGCTGCCAGTCGCGAAGTACTCAGCCCTCGATGTTGGCGGGCTTTCTGGGCCAGCCAATCAGTTGGGGTGACGTCAACAATCCGGGTAGCAATCAGTACATTGCAAGTGTCACGCCAGGATTTTTTTGTTCGCTTTCTTTTTCTGCTATTTTGCTCGCTTGCAATCTATTTACAGGCAGAATACGACTGCATTATTGGAAGAATTTATAGGCCGCTTAATATGACGGGATGATTACTAGCAGGGGAATAAATCCGACCATGGATACTCGTGCTACCTAGAGGCTGCCGCGGGAACAGGCAGGAGCAGGAAGCGGCAACTGAGCTTGTGCCTGTTTTTTTTTTCCTTAATTTTTGGGTTCCCGGAACAGATAACATTGGGTTGTCTCTCCCCGAGAGGGGTTGTTCCATTTTGGCTCCACGTTGAAGTCTTGATTTTAGAGAATTGGAGACCCAACCTGTCATTCCTCATTTTGGTTCCTGCTTCTTCTTCTTCTTCTTTTTCCCCTCCCTTTCTTTTCCCTTCCACATCTTCATTACCTCATACATCATCCTTTTTCCAACCTGCCTCGCACCTTCAGCCAAAGTCGAGTTCCCCGCACCACCTTGCATTGCGACAAAAAGCGCCACAGCCGCACCACAGCAGCTACTCGAGACCCAAATCCCAAAACGTAATCCAACAAAGACCCGAGAGGGCAGAGCATCAGTCATGGTATGCCACTCTCCTCAATCCATCCCGTGCGACCGGCCAAGCTCCAAACGGGGAATACACTCCAACTCGCCACCACGAAAGCCCTCCTTTGCACAACCCCTCCTCGCCCTCGTGAACCGTGACTCGTGGAATCGTGATCCGCTAACCTTTGACCTGGCGCAGTATATCGAGCCCCACCTAATAGAACCGAGGAAGCTCAAGAGCCGCGAAATCACCGGCCTCGTCATCGGCGTCGTCGCAGCCGTCTTCATTATCGCCGCCCTCTCCATATGTCTCTGCTTTAGGAGACCTAGAGCCCGCCGAGAGGAGGATTACGTTGGCGATACCGACTCCGAAATCGTTCGTCGAAACCCATCTCCCGGCAACAGTAGCATCTTTGGCATGAAAAAGATGGGGAAGAAGGACCAGACGCTTTACAACGCCCGCCATCCGGGCAAGGGCGTCGTGTACAGCGGGTTCCAGGGCGATGACGCAGTTAACGGGGTGTCGAGCAGCCACCCGCCGCGTATAGGGCGTAGGGCTCCGATGGTCAAGGATAACAGGGATGCCTTTTTTTTCCTTCTAATATTTTCTCCTTCTTCTTCTCATCCCTCGTATTCTCCATCCCGAACTGCGGGTAGCGACGGGACGAAAGCGAAGGGTTACTAATTTCATGGTTACAATCACCTACCCACTTCCAAGGGGAATTTCCGTCTTGAGAAGCTTGGAGCGGCCACGTTAGGAGCGACGGGGAGCATGATTGAATTTGTCAACTAACGGCCGACACTCATTTGGACGCTTGTTTTTTTTTTCTTTTTATGGACTGCTGGAGTCAAGGTTGGATGCAATGTACTATCGGCTAGCGGATGACTGCAAACGCAGGGTTGCCCGCCAATTTCACTCGGTTCGGATAACTCCTTCGTCGAGATCACATATAAAGAAGCTGTGTGCCCGTTTGCTTTGCTTTCGGTTTGTCTTGTTGAGCCGCAACGGCTGATGCGCGGTGCCCAAAGTCGTACGTGGTTTCGACGGTATGTGATATCCAGGGGAAGGGTTTGTGTCACAGACGTGTTTTCGCTTGTCTATCCGCGGGCCGTCCCGCAGCCTTCTTTTTCGAGGGAGGGGCTACCCTTCAACGACTCATGGGAAATCGATGTAGGCGAGAGAGGTTGAGGAAGAAATGTTTGCAATCCACTATATCATATCTATGGGGGCCGAGTCCCTTGGAGAGCGGAAACTGTATGGCCCTGGAGCCGCAGTACGCATGCTCAAGAGCACTCTCAGTCTGAACCCTTCTCGGTAGTAAGTATGGGAGATGAACGAGAACCACCCTTAGAAAAGCGATAGAGTTCCTCCTATTCTAAGGCGTCATTGCGTCCCGATGACTGGTAGCACCTTGTGTTGAGTGGCGCGGCTGTGATGATGCACTCTTCACCTACTGACTTAAGGAAAGCGTACTTGGCGGGTGCATCTGTCCTATGCGCAGAAGGTTATTCTACAGCTAGATGAGATGAATGAATGCTATCTTCCGCAACCGCCCCATTTTCTCCGCCCATCTCCTCATCATAAAACAGTGCTCGACTTCCAAGGTATGAACAGACATCCAAGAACCAGGCTGGGATGCTCAAAAACAACTTGTGATGGCTCTTTCGGTTTCTCGAAGCCATATTCAACGCTATTGATCTTATGAGGATCCCTACTTTGAATCAATGGCAGAGATGAGTGTGTGTGTGTACATCTACAACTGAGGAAGACAGTGAGAGGTGAAATAAGGCCGTCCAGATCCATACCTCTCGATATATATCGTGGGACGGTTAATAGGCTCACTAAAGCCCAGGCAGGAAGGAGGCTCTGGTTTCCTCCCCACCTTCTCATCCATCGTATAATAATAACGTTGTATTGTCAAACTATATCTAGAGCGATGCAAAAAGATAGCTGAAATATAACGGATTTATTGGCCATAGAAATTATTCTTGGTCCGAAAAGCAAAAAAGTAGTTCTTGATGAGGTCGTACCCGGGTTCGAACCGGGGCTGCCGGAAACCATTTGGCTGATTGCGTAATCAAAATCCGGAGTCCTAACCACTAGACCATACGACCGACCATGGGAGAACTGTATCCGTTATTTCGTTAGAAGCAACAATTACTTTGCTGCTTCACACCATTTCCGATCTCCTTATCGCAACTATCCAGAACACCGCCTGTGTCATCACTATTCATCATGGAAGCGGGTTGATGGTCAGGGTTTGTAATATTATCATGACTCTCTCTCTAGGCCGATGAAGCAAGAAATACATACGTTAAAAAATAACACTGAGAAAAATAATAATTAAAATATAATTCGGTTGAGCGGTAGTTCATCAGTGACGTAGACGTCCAACAAGGCTATGGTTCGACTATCTGTTCGCGTAGGCCCCTGTTAAATGAAGCCGAACGCAACTCGCACTAGACACTCAGAAGCCAAACATGCCTTCACGCCAAAGAAGAAAAAGGAGGGGATTTGACCTGCATGAACTACAAACTGACAACCTCAGAGATGCTTCCGCTACCCACATATTCACTACATCGAGCTATGAGAGTACTCATCGTATAGTAAACGCTTCACAGTCCATTGCAGTATTGCCTTCGCCTAGTGGTATCCCATCCCCCGATAGAACTTCAGGTTACCGAAGGCCAAGAATCCCCATTCCCCGTGACCAAGACCATAGTTGACCTCAAATTCCGGTATCGTGTGGCCATAATATCCGCCACAGAAACTCCAATAGCCTTTCTCCGAGAAGTGCTACCAGGAACCCAAGGATCACCGATAACAGGGAGATAATCGGGGCCGCAGTTGCCTCCGTCGTAGCAGTGAGGCCGGCTAGAGCTGTGACAAGCTCACTGATAGTAGATGCTAAAACGCTTATGGTTCCTAGTATATCGGAAAGAATGGCCGTGGACTGGTCAACTGAATCACTTAAACTGTCTATCGATTCGCCAAATTCTTGAATCGCGGCCTCCGGGATACATGTCGAGTCTAGCGGGGATCCTGAGCCTGTATCGGTTTCAGCAGCAGTCGACGTGTCAGTTGGCGACCCGGTTGAGCTGCCTCCTCCACTGGAGCCATCGTTATACAAGTTCTTTGATCTTATCTCGGCCTCGTCAGGGTTGGACTTTTGCTATGGTGTTGTGCTTCTCGTTTCTCGTTTCTCCCACGTTGTTTCTCCCTCTCCTCACCCCCACCATGTCTGATAACCGCGCATTGGATAGCGAGTGCGGTTTCGGGTCATCATGGGATACTGCTTCAAGTGTCCCATACCCTTGATTTCGGTCTGCATATCCAGCAGTCAGCAAAAGGAAGAATAAAGAGTAAAGGCTGAGCGGTCGTCTTGCGAAAATCACCATGTAGACAGTGCCGTACGTCGGCTGGCTAGACCGGTGTTGAACTATCGTTGGCCATACGAGAGCGCCAAGGCTGTGTTTTGAAACGACTACGGCGGGCGGTTGAACACCCGATAAACCTGGAGAGGAGAAGAACCCTTAGGCTACGAATATCATTTGCTAGGAGATTGCACATTCCTAATCGACTCAGTGAGCCCGAGCGCTCCAGCTGTTTCAAACAAACCAAGATCAGCGTGGCCGATGGAAAGGAAGGTGGAGTATGGCTTTGGCATCAGTGCTTTCGCCGATCTGAGAGATGGTGGTAGTAGTCACGGTGAACACTGGGAGGTTTGGGAAGCGCCGATCTGGAGGGAAACCAAGAACAGAAAGTCCAGTCACTAGGTCCCCTGTAGGGCCCAGACTCTACGAAACAAACGTCAATATTACAAGGAAGGAAGGAGAGAGATGATTGCAAGGCATCGGGTTTCATGTTGCTCTGTGCTTCTCTCCGCAAAGATCGTCGAAGTTTAAATCACACCCATGCAACGGGGGTTCCTTCCGGCAGGAGGACTGCAGAATACCTGGACCCTTCCAAAGTCTAGAGAGCGGCATGTGATGTGGAGACCCGTACGTGGCAAGATCGACCCGCCTCCTAAAGCTGGCGGAGGAATCCTCCGCTCCTGCCGCGAGTTCATCTCGCCAGGTCCCCCTCACAAGAAAGATCAATCAACAATGCAGGGTCTTTGGGAATTTCACCGGACGGCCTTTCCCAGAGCTATAATGCTCTGCAGGCTTTTCAATAGCAAGCTCAACCCTGCATTATCAAACATACGCGGGTCCACCAACCCAGCCACCTGGTGCATACTGAGCTCCTTCCTATTTTATCGGTGCTCGGGCTTTCTAGACTGCTCGGTCTGCAGGCTTTCCACTACTGACATCCCTTGCTCTCTATCAGGTTTATGACCACAAGGATGAACATCAACTGCGTATGGGTCTCGTATCAGTGATGCTTCGGAAGTCGCCAAAGACTCTGAGACCCTCTGCAGGCGCACTGGACGAGCCACCAATCTTTTTGCCCTGATTCATTCCCGAGACCACCTTGGTTAGCTTGGGAAATGCGTCGCATGGGAGGAATGACCTCGTCAAGGCGGAGAGGAGGTTGTGGAGATGACGATTATTTCCCAACGGCGAAAATCAATAGTTGTCTTGGAAGTTTTCGGAGCCGAAGGACGAGCCTCAAACTCCTAAATGGCGTAAAGGAGCAAAATAAAGAGGAAGAAAAAATCCCCGATAAGCTCCAAATGATGGTGCATTGTCGTAGGGCCAAGGGATCTAGACTAGCACTTCACACCTGCCACATTCAGGTCTGCACTGACACAAGCAGACCAGACCTCGACGGCCCTACTGCCATCACCAAGTCCTTGGAGGTGCGTGCGCTGTGCACTAGAGGGAACAAGAGCAGTGATCGGCAATCCCGTCCCGGTCCACTCTCTGGCTCGAGGGAGCATTTAGTTCACCTCTCGGCGCCGTGTTCCGAACTCGGAAACCCACTATTCCAATTCGAGTCTTGCCAGCACTGATCCTTCCCAAATCCGCTGGCAATGATCCCTTGAGAGGAGTCCCGAGGGCGATCCTCTTCAAGTGGATTTGGCCGACTTGAATGAGCGCGTATCTGCCTATTTTCACTGCGCAGTAGAAATCAAAGAATGAAGGGGGTTTTGACTTGTGCGACAGTGGGCCTGCTCCTGCCCGTTGTGTCCGTCCGAGACGAGGTTGAGCCGCCTTCCTCAAAAGCTGAAATCCGGGGGTGCGCAAACTGACGAATCCAAGCATTTGTTTGGCTGCCCGGTCACGGAGACCCCAGTGCGCGTGGCTTCGGTGGCTTGTTTTCTTATTCATTCCTTCATCCTTCCACAATCTACACTAATAGTAGCTTTTCCTGATGGTTGAAGTTTGTTGAATTTCCGCGGGGGAGGTTGGTAACGCCACGACGTGCAGGACCCTCCGGCACCATTTTTCTTTGTCATGTCGTGATCAATCAGTGACTGGCGTTTAGGGGCACTGCGCCGAATCTAGTGTAAGAAGGCGACTCAACGCCGGCAGAGCTATCGCACGCCCCTATCTAATAATGGCGTCTTTATCTGGCCGCTTACCGAGTCGTCTCCTTCGTGGCTCCTGGAAGGGACTCTTTCGCCAAGGGCCTGGACATCCTCCTCAGGTGCCCGAAGACGAATTAGGAAGGCCTCAAGTGCTAGATGAATATTTTTGAATAGTGAACGAGCCGAGCATTATGAGGCGCAAGATCTGTAAGGGCTACGTGACAACGATTGCATTTCCAATACGAAAAACGCCAGCTTCTTTGTAGCGCACTGCATGTGAAATGTGAAATGACCCTGACCCTTGGCCGCAAGCACGGAGAGCACAGATGTGCCGAGCAGTCCGCTCGAGATCCTGAACTCACAGTCTCGGCTTGGGGATGGGAATATTAAACAAAGCCCCAGTCTTAATGTGGGTAATGCTTCTCACGAGAACCGCGAGGGCTTCGCATGAAGCGAGCGGAGAATAACGCGAGGGAAAAAGGAAAAAGAAAAAGAAAAACAGAAGGAAAAAGGAAAAAGAAACAAGGGCATTTGATGGTGCTCATTCCATTGGCCACAGGCCCACTACACGTGTGTATCCCTTCACTGGTAGTTTGAAGGCGCCGAGGCCTAGAAATTGCCTAGTCGAGAGGGGCACGCCTAGGGTCTTACCTAAATTTGTGAATAGTTTGCTTGAATTTGATTTTTCTCGTGTTATCTTTGGTCCTTTCGCTTTTCAGAAGCCATATGAGAAAAACGTGAGCGGGGGTCGATAAGTGAAAAAGAAAAAGGAACGAAAGCATGAAAAAGGAAAGAAAAGAATCACAAGGCAGGTTTTGCTATCGAGTTTTCAAGGAAACTGTGGGAGGGGAGCTGCAAGTCAGTCCTGGACTGGACTGGTATAGCGTTTCGCGGGTGGCTCCCCGAGTTAATGGTTGCAGGGAGCTTGACGGCTTCTTCGACCATTTGGCACAGGGAGGAAGTGACCAACCGACGACTCTCTCCATGAAGACCTCGGAGGGAGAAACAGACAGGACCACGTGCATGGGAAACTAACGAGTTTCCTCAACTTCCTACACCTGTTAGGGGGTGGTTCTTGCACCCGCGAGATTGGGCCAGTTGTCACCTCCTTTCATCAACCGTCGATTAACTTTGACGGCCAGGGCAGCGGGCAGCGGGAACACAGTCCAATTGAGGCGGGATGAATCCTGATTGGAGAAATCATTGGCGACAAAGTGGCAGTTTTGCCGGTTCTGGAGATGACCGGGAGGTACTGGTCAAGGGACAGTCATAAGGTTTGTCAGGGGCCCCTTGCGTGGTCGATCCAAGCCCTGACCCTCAGGACAAGAGCCTGGTTGATCAGTCTGATGGGAGCCAGGGGCCAGAAGTACAAGGGTTTTGGTGTGAAGGCCCCATAAGAGCATAATGGACGAAGTCCGTGTGTCAGTCTCCTGGGCACCTACCAGAAGCTAAGGCGTCGGTCCACTCGACAAAGGTGTCCGTATCGCGGAGCCCGAACTCTCCCTCTTTTCACGATGACAGGACTAGTACGCAGTAGCGTACCACAGGATGGGAGAAATGACAGTTGCGAAGTCCCCCAAAAGAGGAGATGGGTCAATGCAGAGGTACCTGTTAGCCTTGGGGCTAAGTCAGTGGGGAAGACCAGAGCAGTGCTCAAGTCTCTCGGCGTGCTATCCAAGGGGGTAAGCCATTGGCGCCTTTCAATGTTGTCTTCCACTTGCCCCCGAGGCCTCTGGCGAGAGCCCTGTGCGTGCGTATGTGAACGCGACAGCCTCTATCCCTTTATCAGTTTGTAGTCCGAACCAGGAGCGCGCTAGAGAGAGACGGAGGAAAGGCTTGAGAAAATGGACGGGGATACGATAAAACAGGAACAGTGGCGAGCAAGTAAACCATCGCCCTAATCCTTGCGCTCGTCACCTAGCCGCTTCTCATGCACTCTCTTCAACGAACTCGCGAGTGTCCCCTAAACAGGACTGATGGATAATTCGAGCAGCACGGGTGGTAAGTACAAGTAGCCTGGCCCTCAAGGCTGTCACCCACTAAGAAGGGGTTGCCAAGGGAGGAAGCTGGTCAAGAGGTGCAGAAATCTCAACAAGGTAGGTACAAGTCGAGGCACTGTTGAACCTTACAAGTACGCTTTGATTGAGGAAGGAGATTGGAGGGATGGGGCGGATTGGCTTGCGGTGCAGAGGTCAGTCTCTCGAAGGGCCGAGGATGGCGCGTCAGCCCCCATCCGTGCGGAACGCCTCAGTTGTATTCTCAAGCAGGTCCAATACACTCTCACTCACTGGCTGCTGGAGTTATCCCAGTTGGTCGCCACGTGTGCATGAGACAACACTTTCAATCCCCAAGGGAAGGAGAGGAAAGGAACCCCCAGGTTCCCCAAGAACATTGAAGGATCTGGATCCGAACCGATGATTTTTATCTGCCTGCTTCGGCCCTGACACAAAGGAAAGACAGCTGCCGCACCGCATCAGAGGGACAGGTACAGGGTGGAAAGATTGGTAGCGACATGATGGGGAACTCGTGAGCAGAAGACACGAGGGAAAGTGCGGTGGCTAAGTGACCCCGCTTGTCTTGCTCTCTCTTTGTTAGCGCAAAGACCAGGGAAAGAACAAACAAGCAATCCCCACAACTCAGCTGAACCTGCAAATGCCGACCCACCCACCCCACAATCGGACCTATCACAATTCGATTTCCGGCTCTTGCTCTTGCTCTTGAGCATTTGAGCATGAAAGGCGGACTCCATAGAACAAGAATGGGGACCTCACTATGCCGGAAGAGCGTGTCCTCCGCTCCTTCTCGACGACGAAGCTAGAAAAGAGATTAAAAACTGGATCGATCAGAGAGAATCCAAGGGTGCACTCAGTGGGTATTGTATGAAGTAGCTTGCCCATGGACCGAGGCATAAATGGGTCAAAAGCAAGGCTTGTCGTGAGTTGTTCGTTGCGTCAGCCACTCAGAGCGGGAGGAGACTCCAGCGGTGGTTGAAACTCGCAGCGCTAATGTCGTGACACTCGCGGCGCCCCTCAGTGCTGCACCACCGAAACAACCCACATCACAAAACGAGAGAAGAGAAAAAGAAAGGAGAGGAGAAAAGCATGGTGAGGTTATGACATTTGGCTCTTGTGGAGGGCGTTGGAGCGACCCGACCCGTTCGTCCTACCCCTTCCCTTCACTTGCTTTTTTCCATTTCCTTTTTTTCTTGCCTGCAGCTGCTCGTTACCTAAGTGTTTATCCCACCCTCCTAAAGATGCCTTTTCCCCTCTTCTCGGCCCTCGATTACGAGGCAACGATTGAGCGAATCCTCGAGAATGCGGGAGGAGTGGAGGACGAGCAAAATGGACCCGACGTACTGGGGCAGAAGAACGAGCATGAAGGCGGTTTGAAATTTTGGGTTCGGTGGAAATCTTCAAGCAGCCGGGGGCGCTGCCGCTTTGCCCGTCCATTATTGGACAAGGCAACGACTCCCTTGTTTGTCCCGAAGACAGGTTCAATTCAGGGAAGGGGAAGAATAGCGCAAAGATGGATTTCGCTAGTGCGAAGAGGGCAGGAGACGAAGTGCCTATGTGGACGCACGGCCTTCAGCACAGGCGACGCTTGTTGTGGCCAGCCCCCAAACTTGTCACTCTTGGAGTGGGAGACCGGAAATCCGATGAAGTCCCTTGGTGACTAACCCCGGCGGCTCCGAGTGAGGAGACGGGAGGAAAAAAAGACAAGTCTCATTCTCGGAAGCGGGTACCGAGCAATACAGTCACAGGCACATGCATACCCAGATCTATGGTTTGGGTGGTTTGGGTACCACCTGCACTAGCGCCGTTCCAGGTTCCCTCTTCCACCTCGCTGGCCGGCTTGCGGCGAATGTTGCTCAGTGCTCCAAGTCTGAACCAACAGACAACTGCATCAACACCGTCTGGCATGAAGAGCCCCTCAAAGGAAGGCTCCAGGACCCCGTACCATATGACCAAGTCCTCTGGCGAAAGACTGACAATCTCTCCCTCAACCGTTCGGTAAGGCTTGGAGCACCCACCTTTTCTGCAAAAGAGGCTTCAGAGCTCTACAGCCACCAAAGCGACTGTTATGGGCCGCCCTCAGGACCAACATGCTAAGAAGGGCGGTGGCGATAGTTTAGGCTGCAAAGCAAGTGCAAGAATCAAAACGCCTCCAGACCTTCTCTCCGGCTCTCTCGATCACTGGCCCGCCCTCCTAATTTCATCGTTTTCCAAATTATTTTTCCCTCCCCTCTCCGCCCCTGTACTCTAAGTTCTGCTGTCACTGCGCTTCCCCGTTTCCTCTCCGATCCCGCTAAGAGCCTATGGTGGGTCCCCTAACTCACCTCCCACCGTACTCCTTCGCTTCTCCTCAGCCTGTCGTCCTCCTTTGTCCCAAAGCAGCACAATCCCCACCACGCCTACACTACACCAAGGACTTGTATCATATCAATCGCTATTCCCTACCCTAAGGCTCTCTGCCGAATGTTGCAAGTACCGTTCCATCCCTACAGGCTGGCGTGGCCCAAGCACCCCCAAGGTGTACTAGTGTGAGCTGGTTAGCATGTTGGGTGTGTTTTCAGCTAGAAACCAAAGGGGCCCAAAAAAAATGACAGGCCATGTCCCATTGCATTGTGGGCCGGAACCCCGGAGCATGATTCTCAAGGTTACCCTTACCACCATCTGACTTTTAAAGCCACGCAAATGGGTTCCAAATCGTCTCCATTTTCGACCTAAGGCTAACGTTAGGTGAAGCCAAGGGTGATGGCGAGATAACGAAGTGGAGGGGCCCAAACGCCAGGAGGGACACCATCTCTAGATCTGTCCCTTGCGTCCCGGCTGGGTTGCACTAATCCTCGCTTCCCAGTGCTGGAAAGGGTTCAGGTTGGATGGTGCATGGCCAAGGCAGGACACCCCACGATCTGTGCCACCCCACCATCACAGGCTTGCGTATCATTGCCAGGGGCCTTTTCCTATCGATTTCTCGTTTCTTTTTCTTTTTCTTTTTCTTTCTTTTTCCCGCGCCCTCTTTTCCCTAACTAGAGATAGCATAGTGGTGGAAAGTTTCTGAGGGGAGGGGTGCTAGCGGATTCATGGAGAACGGGTAGGCAAAGCATGTAGACGCCCAACCTGCATGGAGCACACCCCCTTCCACCCCCAATGGATGGCAAAGATTCAGCCAAGGCGTGAGACAGCCCTGAACTAGGACGCATATACATACACTGGAGGTTCCCGGCTGCTTTCGTTCCTGACCTCCTTCCAGATCTTTCCTGGGGAACTCGACTCTTTTGGCGATCACGGTGTCGCTCTCGACGTTCTTCTTCTCTTTCTCTCCTTCACTTCGGTTATTTTCTTTGTCCTTCCCCCTTCTTTCTCCCGATATATTCATTCTCATGGGAAGGGATCTCTAGCTCGCCCTTTCTTTCCGGCACCCGTGCCCTTGTGTTGAGCCGTCTTTCCGGAGGATAGTACGTAAAGGCGTACCCTGGGAAGGTGGTAGAAGAATTATCGAATACAACAACACGACAGCGACAGCCGCGAGAAAGGGATATTCGCCATGGCATCCGTCGAAGAGCTCAAGGCTTTGTACGAGGGACACATTGTCCCTCGGTCTTTCAATGCAGGCTATGTGGCCCTCAGTTACGTCGTGAGCTTCATCGGCGCAATGTCAACCCTCGAATTGATCAACCGTCGCACCGCGCCGAGAGGTCTATTTAACCAGTAAGCTGTGACTGGCGCATCAGCGTCGCTGGCCCTAAACTGGGTGGTGCTTTTGACGGACTAGGAAAAGCAATTCTAACCTCGATTTGCAGCATCCTTCTTGTTGGTTCGGCCGTCACCATGGGCGGCGTGGCTATCTGGTGCATGGTAAGAGCTCACGCCATGATTCAACCTAAAACTACGATCCCACATGCCTGAATGGCCACTAACTTGGCCCCAACTCTAGCATTTCATCGGTTCTCTAGCCATCGTCCTAGCCGACGGCGAACACCTCCTCCAAATCGTGTACTCCTCCAAGATCACCGCCGCTTCCTTCTTCGTTCCCATCATCGTCCTGGTCATCGCTTTTGTCGCCATTGGTGCCGGTTCGCAGCCAAGTTGGATTCGCGTCATCGGCTCCGGTGTGCTTGCCGGCATCGCCATCTGCGGCATGCATTACCTCGGAAACGCCTCCATTGCCAACTACACCTGCATCTACCAGCCTGGCTACGTCGTCGGCGCTGCCCTTATTGCCGTCGCGGCGAGCACGATTGCGCTGTTCCTCTTCTTCGTCTACCGAGCGGCTTGGGCCAACTCGTGGTGGAAGACACTCGGCTGCGGTGTTCTTTTGGCTGGTGGTGTCTCGGGCATGCATTGGTGTGCTGCCGTAGGCACCGCATACAGGCTGAAGAGCGTCTCCGCGGGCGGGAGTGGTATGTCGCGGACGGTCACGGTCATCGTTGTGATTGCTTTGGTGAGTAATTCCCGACTCTAGGTCTTGTCTTTGTGCTCTTTCTCAAGCGAGATATTCTGGGATTGTCTTGCTAACCGTTGTTATTAGTCCGTTGCCACTTGCCTTATCATGGCTGGTACTGCCATTTATACTGCTCGAGTCCGCAGGCAAGTTGCCAACAAGGCCCAGCAGGTGGTCCTCGCATCTGTTATCTATGATCAACATGGCCGTATCCTGGTGAACCGTAACGGCCTCTTGCCAAGCGAGAAGATCACCGACACTTTTATCGACAAGGTAAGAGTTTACCGCTTCTCTTTTTGATCCCTTCTCGTCGTCATCGCTAACATATAATACCCAATCCATGAAGACCTCCAAGGAAAGATTTGATTCCGGCAGCCCTCTTTTCCAGTGGATGTTCCAAGCGTCTCGCAACTGGTCTGGAATACAACCACTTTTGGACGGCATGATGAACCATCTTGCTCAGCTACCCCGCCAAGGCCGTGACCGCGACGCCCGCACAAACATCAACCTCGTCAGCGAGCACGGAGAGGTTGTCAAGAAATTCGACGTCATCTTCCGAGAGCTTTTGCGTCGCCGCGGCGACACTATCTCACCGTATGCGGGAGAGTATCTCGGACCAGGGAATTCTCTACGAAGAGATCCTCGTGACCGGTTCCGGGCGGGCATCTCTAGACGAAGTCAGATCCATCGACGAGTCCCTTAGCAGCGGTAGTAAAGCCGCTAGCAAGGTCAACATCAGGGACATCGAGAAGGAGGCCGCCAGGAAAAAGAAGTCGCAGGGACGGGCTACCGGCTCGCTCATGCTGCTCGTCAAACAAGTCCAGAGTGACCGCGACGTCGAGAGGCTCGGTGCTGCCGGTTATCGCTTCGCCGATGTCAATCAAGTTGCGGCCCACATCACGACAAGCATGCAGATCAAGGATCCCAACTTTGAAAATAAGCTCCAGCTGTTGGCCAATTACAGCGACACGAGAAATACTCTCGAGCCTGGCCCCCACGTCGGCCTCTTCGCTATCCGGCCTCGTTCTACTGGCGCTGGCTACGATATCATCGTGCGCAAGAGGGCCAAAAATCTCTTACCCAGCGTCCCCCTCCCCGTCGGCAAGCTTACTTCATCTCATATCGAGTTCCTCCGACGCCTAGACCGCGCGAGCGTTCCGAGATCGAGAGGAGGCTGTCCGCTTGGAAAAACCTGTCACCTAATGAAGCCACCTTTGCCCGCCACTTTCTCGAGGCTATACAGGGACTCTGCGCTTGGGTGGGCGACAAATGCATAGAGGAGGCGCGCCTAACGGCCAAGCTCCTCCGTGTTCCTAACTTTGTCCAGCGCGGCGCGGGCCCTCCGCCCTACAGCACCATGATTGCCCTCCGCGTCGTCATCCCCGCAGAGTCGAGGGTGGTGAGCGCCAACTGCAGCCTCGTACCCCTTAGCTTCTTCAAGGTCCGCCAGCTCACGGCGCCCGGAAACGCCAGCAACGCTGCCTTCACGCGCGCAGTGCACAGGGAGCTCGGGCCCATCATTAACTCGGCACCCAAGCGGACGACCCAGGCGCAGCGCGGAACCGTCATGTTTGGAAACAAGAAGCTGCCCGGCAAGCTGCGCATATTCAGGAAAGACGGAGAGCAGTACGAGCAGCGCGTTGACGGCGATGGCAATCCCATCCCCACGGTATTTGGTCAAAGGCAGCACCGTCCGTCTCCAACCAGTCTAGCTCGACGCTCAAGCTGTGGGGCAGGCGCAGCGCGGAACACCAGCAGCAGCAGCACGGCGGAATGGATTCGCCGTACGACAAGCCGCCTCCGCAGGCGCTCTCCATGCTGGGCGGCATCATGATTTCTCAGGAAGTCACGGTGGCCGTCCACAGCGTGCCCGAAGGCGGCGGCAGCCGCTCGTCGGACGACGGGAGCGCGGGTGAGCGGGCGAGCCATTCCTCGGACGAGGGCCGGCGCGAGGCAGGCATCGAGCTGGCGCCGCTTAAGGGAGGAAAGGGTATCTCGTCGAATATCGAGGCGGAGAGGTTCAGCGAGCTGGTGACGTTTGTGGATGAGCTTTACGCGCTTTGTGTGGAGAGGACGCCGTAAAGTTAAGGGGCGGCGACGGGGATGGGGTACGGACCAGGACTGGCGGCTTTGATGTGATACGATAACCCAATCTGCATGTGTACAGAATAATTTCTTTCTCAAGGATATCATAACGGGGGTTTCCAACTTAATTTTCTCACAATACCTTTTTTATTACTCAAACAGACATTGTTGGCGCAGGCCACTCTCTCCATCAGAAAAGGAACACAGGTGTGATTGTTTAACAAAAAACAACAAGTTGCTGTTGCCAGGGTATGTGTGTGCGTATCTACTTGTACAATATTCAAACCAAACTTGATTTCCCGATTATGTTTCAAACACTCTCATCATGGCCTGCCGGGAGTCAGCTTCTTCCTCCGTCTCCTCTGCCTGAAGAACGGCGTCAATGGGGGAGGACGACAACAAAAGAAATAGAGAATGAAGAAAGCACCTACTCTACGCAGGGCTCAAAGGCCAGGTTGACCTGCTGCGTCAAGGCAACGGTCGCATTCTCGTCATTAATGGAGCCGGAACCCGTCTCGTTCCTCGACCGGAGGTTGATATTAGTCTGTATAACGAGGTCAACCTCCTCTCCGCAGGGCGAATACACCTTGCGGTCGTCGGGAATGGTCGCGGTGGCCATGTACTCCTCGCCGCTGGACATGCTCTCGGGCGAGCTCTCGATCGTCGAGCTCACGAGGGAAGACTGCGCGGCGTTGCCAAAAGCGTAGCGGGACTCAAAGGTGCCCGAGACGCCCGGATCCAGGACGGCGAAGCCGTGAAACGTCGTCTGGACGAGGGAGATGGTGTGTCCGCCGGGGTACTTGAGGCGGAGGCGGATGGAGCAGGTGGAGCTCTCCTCCTCGCGGGTGGCGCGGCCGGAGCGGCCCCGACGGCCACCGGGGGCTGGGGCCGATGTAGGCGCGGAAATTGTCGTAGCCGAGGGTGACGACGGTGCGGTCGGTGCTGATGATGGTGGCGACGGAGCCGGCGGGGCAGCCGCGGCCCGAGGTGGTGACGGAGACGATTTGGATGAGGTTGGCGTTGTCGCCGTCGGCGGTGATGCCGATGGAGCGGGATCCGCCGAGGTTGATGACGATGGGGGAGGCGACGCCGGCGAGGACGGTGGGGATAAGCCCGAGGAGGAGGGATGGGGGTTTCATTGTTGATGTGGGCGGGTGAGAGAAGAGAAGAGAAGAGAAGGAAAAAAACAAAAACCGCGGCGATTGAAGGGGAGGCTGGACTCTTTCTCGCTCGTCGTGTTAGAGGAGGGATGTCGCTCTTCTTGGTCAAGTCCTTGCTTCTTTGCTCTTAGGGATCCCGTGGGATTGGTGATTGGAGTCTAGAAGAAGGATAAGGGTTGTGTAGGGAAAGGGTTGGATGCGACAAGGGATATATAAGAACAGTCCCTTCTGTTCCGCCCTCATGCGAAGAATAGAACAAAGAACACACGCGCACATGAGCTCGAGGGCGAAACGAGGGCCGCAATATACCAACCTATACTTGCGGTGGATATGGTCCGGCCCTTTGGCGAGCTGACCGGCATTCATACAAGTCCGACCCCTCACTCGCTGGCTAGCCAGGTTCCGTGGTGGGTCAGGGGAGCCAAGGATTCTATTTTTCTTCTTCTTTCTTGCTCTCCCCTCCTCTCTACTAGTATCCTCAGATATCGGGTCCTCTATAGAGGGACAATTTAGAGTTGGCCATGCAGACCGGGGTGTCGGCGACCACGAGGATCTCCGGAAAAGGGATCCCCGTGTGCTGGGCACTATGTGTTCTCGAGAACAAGAGCGCCTCCTCCCCAAAAATAAGAAATCCAATTGATGGATCAGGGAAACCATGGAAGGGAATCCTCTCTCCACCTCGCCCGTTTTCTTCATTCGTCGAAGGGCGGCTCCTCTCTCGCCCACCCACCTCCTCGCTCGAATTCTTGGGGGCCAGGGCAAATACCGGATCGGGAATTATTCCTCGCGCCTCTTTTTTCCTTCTCCTCTTCCTTTTCATTCTTCTCTCGTCCCGTCTCGCTCCCTCGGGGCGAGCGTTGCATTCGGAGGGGGCCACACGGGGATGTGGTGGGGGCACCAAGCGAATGGCATATTGCGGATAATTACCAGGGATTTGGGAGCAATCAATTTCTCCCGGCAAGGGAACAACTGCCATTTGGATGAAGTGCCTCGCTCATGGAGGATTGATCCCGTCCCTCCGGCTCATGTGAGCACCCTCTTCTTCTCGAAGAAATGTGTCTTTGAATAGTACACTTCTTGGAGACGCGCGCATGGGCTGCGTAAAGTGTGAGAAACAAAGCCGGTACCAGAGAAGGATTCGCGTACCTTTTTTGACACCGCCGGTGATATCTCCAAGGAGTTTTCCCTTCACGTCGATTCTTCCCACCACGTGCGAAGGGCAACGAAGGGCCGCTTTGCGCAGATATTTCTCGTTTTGTTCCATCCTAGACGAGTCAGGAACCGGAAGTGGAATATTTTGACAAGAAACATGAGACTCAAGGGTAGGCACATGGAGTTTGGGCTGGAAACCTCTCCTCCCAATTTCTCATTTGGCCACCTTCCCTAGAGCTTGGTCAGGAAGGCCATCAAGATAAAGCAGTAACAGCAGAGCATATACTCAAAGCTCGCTCTTTCAAACAACCAAAGGGAGGGGCAGATGAAAGGCTCTATCTAGTATGGGTGCCATCCCAAAACATCCTAGGAGTCCACGTGAAAGTGGAAGATTAGGTTGGGGAAGTCAAGACCCTCCTCCTAGTCACAACTAGATCTCGCGATAGCTTCATCATCAACGAATAGAGCAAGAAAGTGAATCACTTTCTAGTGTCCCCCACCATGACTTTACTGCCCTCTTTTCTGTTTCCCCCTCTTCTCTCCTTTCATCCTCTCCACCCCAACTCTCCCTTTTCCCCAGACCTCGAGCCTTCGATTCTCGAGGAAACCCCATCAACTCGATCACCGAGATCCTTTCCATTCCATCCTTCTGCAAAGCACGCTTTCCAAGCAAACATCGACTGACTCGCCATGCCTGAGAAGACTCCTAAGAAGGCTGGCGCCGCCGACGGGCTCAAGCACAAGCCCACCGCTCGCGACCTCGAGCTCATGTATTTCGCCCTGCAGTGTGCCAGAGACCCAGCCGTAAGATTTAAAATGCTAAACTCCTCTCCCCTTCCCTTCTCCTCATTTTCCTCGTTAGTCAGCTCGTGATCCTCGCTAACAGCCTCGACCTCCGCAGATCGACTATAACAAGTTTGCCAACGTCGCTGGGTTCTCTTCTGCAGCCAGCGCTCGCTCTTCATGGTGCGCTCTCAAACGCAAGTTCTTCGAACACGGCGATGCCGCTGGCACCCCCGTCGACAGCGCCAAGAAGGGCAAGGCCACCGGCAGTGGCCGTAAGCGCAAGGTCGATGTCCCTACCTCCCCGCTGGAGAGGAAGACGACGACGACGACCTCGAGTCTCCCGCCAAGGCCCGCGCCACTCGCCGCAAGGCTACTAACAAGACGCCCAAGAAGATGATCAAGCTGAAGCCCGCCCCCGAGGCCGCCCCGAGGCCGCCCCCGAGGCCAAGGCTGAGTCTAGCGCCAAGCCCAAGGTTGAGTCTTCTCCCGAGGCTGCCCAGGAGGGTGACTCTCTCGAGGTCTGCCCTGGCTCGGAGGAGTCTAACTAGTAGTTCCCCTTGTTGCTGGGATTTATTTTCTAAAACCTAGTTTGGTTTTACTTGTATCCCACGTCGTTGAGTTGAAAGTTGGCATGAAGTTCTCCTGGAGCAGGCGGGAAAGGATTCGGACAGAGAGAGATGCATTAGCTCAGGAGTAATTTGCCTTTTAAAAGTCTGAATTCGCGTCTTCAAGCCGTCAGCTACTACTAGTCAAGTTTAATTGAATGAACGTGAACCCAGATTCCCTCGCTAGTGACCCCTGTGTTGGCGTAGGCCGCATCCGTAAATCACTTCGTTTCTTCCCCTCGTCCGCCCCAACGGCTATCAAGGATCCGGTACAGCAAGACGATTGACTTCAGAGACTCATCATCTTCTGTTACCTCTTTCTTTTCCCTTGGCCATTCTCAAAGAAGCAAGCCTGGGGTGCGTCAAATCGTAGTCACCTTTTAAAGTGTATCATTTGCATCACTAAACACCGGCGGCCTCAAGTAAACACGGACGAATACATTAGGAAAGAGCCATGGACGTGGGAATCGGTATGGATGTATGGATGTATGATAACATGGCGCGCACAATCTGAAATTCGCCAGATTGTGGCTAGAGACCCAGATATGACGAATCTTGTGATTCATCAATTTTCCCACTATTTATTTGCGTCTCCTCCCTCGCCCAAAAGTCAGCAAGTGCAGGCTGTAGAGGCAACAAAGGAGAAAATTATGGCGGCAGGAGCCGCCGTCTCGTGCCAGAAGGCTCGGCTGTACGCACGGGGTGGGGAAATCCCGAGGAACAAGGAATCATAGATGTATATCAATTGTTACAGCTTCAAACTCAGAATGGCAAGGGGATCGAAAAAGAAAGCAAAAGGGAGGTGTAGAGAAAAAAATCGGTGGAGGGAAGAAAACTAAAAAGAAAGAAGCGAGCGACGCAAGACTCGAACTTGCAACCTTTGCTTTGCGCTCCGTGATAGGATAGGAGAGCAACGCGCTACCATTGCGCCAGCCGCCCGATTCGTTGTTGGTTGACATGTCAGCTTCCTATTTTGCATTATTAGCCGAGGATGCCAAAGTCAACCAAGGACTCCTTGTCTTTGGGGAAGCAAAAAGCTGTGGACCACTTGGTGCCCCACCAGCATTCAGTCAGTCCACACCAACAGCTTGCGACAAACCAAACAGTTTAGGTAGTAAAACCAGAGAGTCTCGTCGAATAGTGTTGGCTCGCCATGTTATATATTCATGTCTATTCCATTCATAAATTATTACCCCGGCGGGAAAGAAGAAAAAAATAAGAAGATCGTACAAAATCTATTCATCATGACACAGGATAGGAAATATCTTCCCTACTTTCCCCGTGAAGGGCCTCTCGTCTTCAACTGTTCCGCCAGTCAGGAGGCTGCTCAAAGAGTCTTAGAAAAGTGACTTTTAAACTTCTTGTTGGCCCGATCGGCCGCGCGGTAGAGAAACTGGTCGCCGTGAATCTCAAATACGAACTCCTCCGCCTTGCTGGGTATCTTCTCTGCGTCTCCCTCCCCTGTTGCTCCGTAACGGCCTTGCCCTCGCCTTCCTGATCCGCGGCGACAGAGGCAGGCTTGACCGCCTCAACGGGAATAACGACGCGGAAAATGGTGCCCTCCTTTGGTATCGTTTTCACCCGATTCCTCTTCGTGACGACCTCGAACACGAACCTCGAGTCCTTGATCACGATGCCGCGCACACCCACCCTGCTCACGCACGCGCTCCTCGAAACCTCCACCTCGGCGCCGTGGAAGTCGGCGCTCGTCAGCTTCTGCGCGGCGTCCGGCCCGCCCCTGTACACGTCGCCGCCGAGGATCTCGCGCGCGTAGCCCAACCACAGCCCGCAGGGCTCGAAGAGGGCGTACTTGGCGCCGGCGCGGGGACCTCGTACAGGCCGAGGCGCCGGCGCTCGGCGGCCGACAGCGGTTTCGGCTTCTGCTTTTTCCTCCTCTGCTTCTCGGCTTGGCGGGTCTTGCGTCGGGCGTCCCGCGCCGTGGTCGGCGGGGGAGGAAGGGCGCAGGAGGAGGGGCCGGTATTGGATCTTTTCGGTGAATATGCGCGCGGCGCTGTCTGGGGAGTGGGCGCGGGCGAGGAGTTTCTGGACGACGGCGGGCTGGGGCGTGCTGGTCGCCATCGTTTTCTTTACTCTTTTTCCTTTCACGCTCGTTTCGGGAACTCCTTCTTTTCTACCTCGGTAGGGCACGCTGTGTTGGGATATGAGTCAAGTGTCACTGCGGCTTCGAGCCACCCATGTTAGGGAGGGGAACAGAAAGGAGAGGCGCGCGGATTTGTGGCCCGATAATGAGGAGCGCACGCCAGAATCAGGGTAATTCCACGTTTGGGAGGGCTAGAAGCCGATTCGGGACTTGGGTTTAGTGACGATCTCTGCCTTTCAACTTGTCAAATACTTGAATGTATGAAAAGGTTTTGCCATCATCGAACAATTAACTGGACACCCTCTGATTGGGTGGTGCGCTAGCAAGCTCTCCCACCCTCACCAATTTTCCTTGCACTCCAAGGGAAAAGAAAAAAAGATGGATCCATGGATCAATCAATGGATGACTAATGAACCTCACTTTTCAGACGCCTGCTCACTAAACTCTCAGTGCTCGGCACAAGACTTGCAACTCTTTTCGAGGCAATTTCTTTTGGGAATGTGATCTCTTCTTCCCGGTCCATATTTCTCCTCATTCCATGATGAAAGTGGTGCTCAAGATTCCAAGTTGATATCCAAGTCATCCGCGGTCTTGTCCTGTTGCAATCACCTCCACGGAGTAGCCTGGAACGCGCTGCTGCATTGGGGCCGCACGGAGTGCCTGCGTCGAATGTCTTAGACAAAAGCGTCCACAGAGCTATCCTCTTCCCAAATTAAGGAGGCTCGGGAGGCTAGCGACCGATGAATGGAATGGAAGAAGAAAAGACGAAAACAAGGCCTAATGGCTATGGCGCTGCCCCAGAGTTCGCTTAGCCAGGTGCCGAGACTTTGGGGGCCAGCTTCCTCACTCGCTCCGCACAGAAATTGATGTGCCTAGCTTGATGTCTCCGCGAATTGTCTCTGGAACAATGGCTCATGAAGAAAATGTAGAAGCTTTGCGCCGCGAAAAGAACGGCCGGCCAAACATGTCGTCTTTGGCAGTTTTGGCCATCGTCACGCCCAAAACTCAAGTGAGGGACAACAAAACACTTACGATCAGTCAGTGAAGCAATTCATCCTAATTCCATATCGACAACTAAGTCGGAGTTTTGATTCAAGGTTAAGAGTTAGGGGACCGGATGGGCCATTCTCCTATGCTACCACTGTCGTCAGAGAAAAGCTAGACGAACATAATCTAAATCAGTAACTAGGAGCTATATAAACGCCCCATTCACCTGCACATGTCCACTCCCGGCCCCTGCGAGTCACCCACAAGTTGAATCGTGAACGCATCTCCCTCTGACGCGTATCCTCCTTCATCTGCTAAGCTCACGCTTTCCACTGTGGCGTCCACGTCGGTTCTGTATACTTGGATAACACATCCATGTTCTACTTTTGGCGGGATACCTCGAACAGCTTGGGCTGCGACGTCACGGTTAAATCCCAATCATTGACAGCCTAGAGTCAGATCCTAGGGCCCATCTACCCTGTGCACTAACTTCCGGCCGCGCTCCGGGGCCACTAGCTTCCGCACTTGCTAGGGCCCGCTACGGGATGAAAGCTGTATTCTCTGGGCCGTCTTCCCGTGTCATCACCTCCTTCCTGGTGTCAAGGATGGCAGCCCCTCTCAATAAACATGCCCCTAGCATAGAAATAGCTTAACAAACAGTAGCGCGCGGTTATCCCGATCGCCGAGCTAGAAAGAAAAAAAGAAAAGAGCAATGTCTGAGACCAAGATCGGCCGAGTCCAGTTCCCTGAGAAGACAAGGCATTCCAAGTCTTGGCCCACCCTCTTGTGGATGATTGGTATGGCAAAAAGAAAGGTATCGAGTCTCAGGGGTCGAATTCGCAATTGATCCAAGGTCTGGTGTTTGTTGTGATGCTTCAAGAAGCCCTTCTTATCCACTATCTATACGGGGACTCTATCGACGTTTCGATCCATCCCCGCTGCTAGTGTCTAAGACTATGGACTGTACGACGACGACGAAAGGCTTGCTTTTGGTTCTTTTTGTCACTCGCAGGGGCCCTACCTCTTGCCTTGTAATGCCTAAGGTAAGCTTATATTTTAGTGGGAGGGTGACACCATCAGTCAATGCGAGGCGTCCGGGGTGTCCTGGGATCACGTATATGTCAAGGCTTACATTGAAAGGGATAAGATATGAAAGTGGATGTACCGCATATAAGCCACGGTTTCCAGAATGTTTCTAAAAGAGCAAAGATAACAATCATCAAGGCCACCCAATGCCAGACCCATTGCATATAAGGAGGAGCTCGAGTTAGACCCCCGTCACTCGCCGGGCCCGCGTCTTTACCTTCTCTCCCTCTTTCTCTCTTTCTCTCAAACAAACAACACACACACATATACGTGGATTTTGAAGCGAACAACCCCTTGATCCATCAGAGGATCTTGTCCATCATGTCTCAAATCCTCTCTCCCTTCGATGCTTTTCCTTTTGTTCTGGTTACCGGTTGTATTCGCCGAGGCCCCGGCGGGGGTCCTCCGCCAACGGCGTCCACCACGAAGTATGCACGCCCATCCCCAAAAGACGGTAAACATCCTCACATTCACCGCCATTGCCTCGGTAGCCCCAAGCGTTGACAGCTGGGGCCGGGTCCTGGAGCATATTTGCCCGGCGCACGAAGGGCCCGCAGGTGCCGGTCCTACGGGCGGCGCTTCCGGAAATAGAATCGTCTACGTTGACCCCTTGGAGGGGCCTCTCGGGGGCAGTCTCCGCAGTGGGAAGGGTGGGAATTTGTGCCTGCGTTGGTCTATCCCGGGCCAGGAGGCGGTTCCGGGGGTAGCGGCGATGGCGCCGGATCTGGCCGGGTGGTGGCGGCGTAGGTAGCGGCGGACCAGGAGGTGGTGGCAACGGCGGCGGTGGCCCGGGTGGAGGCGGTAACGGCAGCGGCGGACCAGGAGGCGGCGGACCTGGAGGTGGCGGACCTGGTGGTCCAGATGATCCAGGTCGGCCAATCTTCACGCGGACGAGCGCCACACACCCCGTAAATTCCACCGATACAGGTGCTATGGATGCTACAAGTGCTACAAATGCTACAGGTACACCAGCCACGGGTACGGGTGCGACAGATACAGAGGCCACGGGCACGGGCGAGACAGCTGCGACGGATGCCACATCTCCGACAGAAGGAGCGACAACGGAGCCAGCGACGATGAGCACAGAGTCGACCGCCTCGTCGTCAACGCAAAGTCTATCATCACCAGAACCCAGTCCACTCATCGGGCAGTGCCAAAACCTGCTGAATGGCGATTTCGAGCAAGGCATGGAATATTGGACCGTCGAGCTCGGCGACAATGTAGACGAGTCGGAACTCGTCACGACGGACGACTACCACTACTATGAGCTTCGGTAGGCCGATCCCGCGCTTGGAGGTGATATCCAGATTTCCCTAAAACATCCCTTGCGACCCCCTAAGGAGTACTCTACCTACTTTTTATTCTACATCATGGTGCCTTTGAGTAGCGTTAACTCCTGTGACTTCTGGACCTATTGGAATGAGGATGCCATTGGCCCGCTGACTATTACGCCCAGTGCCGCCTGGGCCAAGGTGGAGATCTTCCATAGAGCTTTTGGGGAGGGAAGCAACACTTTTAGAATCTCCGTCGAATGCCCCGAGGCGGCAGAAGCGGACGTGGGGACTTTCCGAATCAGGACCCTTTCTAGCAACAGCACTCCCGTCGGCTAATGCTATGTGGGGTCTCAAAGGTATGCTTGGCTGGGAGTTGAGGCGTGGCTTTGGATCCATTCAGTAGGGAGTCGATACACGGGCGATGGTGTTGGGATGGATTTCACGTATACACTAATTGATATCTCGTCAAATTTACGTTGAGTGTTTCTGGGGGATGTATGTAGTGCAAGGGAAACTAACGGAAGAGAAAGATCATCGTGATATCTTCGTCTGCCTTGTACGGGTATAACACCCCTCCATGCACGTCGGGGTGTTGATCTGAATACCGACCCGTGCTTGACGCTTCAGCTTTGGGACCCGCAAGTTTATGAAATGGAGGCAGGATTTCTGGCATGTGGTCGGAGAATGGGTCTCGGGCTCAGGACGGGAGATACTTGGGTGTATCAATTGATCCATGGATATCAATCCTCGTAGAGGTTCCCCATTGGCTGCGAGACATGGACGTTGTCCGACGGGCTCAGCGAATACCAGCAAAAACATGATCCTGCTCGGCACGTTGCATGAGTTTCCCTTGGCCAGATGCAGTGTAGCGTCATACATAATTTTTCCAATCTCATCTTCACATGCCCGACGACTCGGAGCTGCAACTCGCATCATATTTGGTCCCGTGTCAATGATATCCATTTTCTTGCATTGCTCCGTGTCTGCGCAGTGATCTCCCCCGAGGTTAGAGCAATAGAATCAATCTATTGATGCATTCCGTTCCATTCAATTGAATGCAAAGAAAATGATTCCATTGTGTGTCCCCCTTTCGCCCCTCCGCTAAGCTCAAACCAGCGACAGCGACAGCGACAGCTTTTGGTGGCTGGCTCAGGCTCTCGACTCCCCGCAGGCCAATCCAATCTGCTGGACCCAAAAAAGTCCCCACCGCTTTCCCCAGATTTCATTGCTCAAGCTCGGCCTCGGGTTTCCACTTTGACCTTTGCTTCGGCTTAAACCTCTCTCTCCCTTTCTTCCCTTGCCCCAAACCATGGGACCTTGCCTCTATTGATTTCTCTCCCCTCCTCCTGTTCCTCCCCCCCTTTTTTTTTTTTCCCTTTCCGTTTCTTTTTCTCCCCTTCCCGCATCCACGGAGATCCTTCATCCTTCCCCCACCCCCTCGGGACACGCCACTCACCCGCGCAACCCCCATTCCCGTCCTCAATCCACATCCCCCCGCGCGCGCGTGTCCCCTCCAGGATCCGTAGAAACCCGCTCAAAGCCCGGCCCGGCGGGCCCTTCCATGCACCTTGTCAATGGCGTCCGAGAACGACAACTCCGACAACCTGCCTCCGGATCTCCAAATTCTCGGCGATGAAATCACCCTCCAGCCCAGCGGCCTCGTCGAGTCGCGGAGCCGGAGCGACGAGAAGGAACATGCTCTTATGAAGAACACGGCCCGTTTCCGCTCCGAGCCCCTACAGTATGTCGTTTGCCGCTGTTCCCTTTCTCGCGCGAAGCCTCTGCGGGCCACCTAGTAGGGAACAGAGCTTTTGTCGCCATCCCCCCTTTCTCTCGTTCTATGGATATATTCCTCCCGCCCGCCCTTTTTCGCCCGTTTCCACCACGCTCTACTAACACTTTCCACCTCCTTCCCCTCTCCCACAGATTCCTCCGCGAAGTCTCTCTCTACGTCTCCGGCACAGGATGGCGCGCCTACGACCACATCATCGGCCAGCCCATCTACTACCCAGGCTTCACCGAGCACATATCGAACCTGATCCTCTCCGCGCCCCTGCTGCAGTCCCGCATCGCCGAGCTGGCCGAGAAGCGCCTCCGCGTCGAGGAGGAGCAGGGCATCCTCGATGTCCAGGACCCGGCCTACCACGTCAAGCGCGCCCAGCGCCGCTCCGAGCTCGAGACCGGCCTGCAGCAGGTGGCCGAGAAGCTGACGGACAACATGATTTGCAAGTTTGAGAGCAAGCCCTTCATCCGCGGCGCCTACTACCTCGTCACCCAGCTCACCCTGCGCGCCTATCACCAGGGCATCCACGTCTCCAGCGAAGAGGTCGTGCGCCTGCGCCGCGTCGCCGAAATCGCCCAGCGCAAACGCCAGAGCATCATCTTCCTCCCCTGCCACCGCTCCCACGTCGACTACGTCTCCTCCAGGTCATCTGCTACCGCCTCGGCCTCTCTCTGCCCACCGTCGTCGCTGGTGATAATCTGAACTTCCCCGTCGTCGGCTCCTTTTTACAAAACGCCGGCGCTTTTGGATCCGCCGCTCCTTTGGCGACGACACCCTCTACACCACCCTCGTCCAGACCTACATCGACACCCTGCTCCAGGGCGGCTACAACCTCGAGTGCTTCATCGAGGGCGGCCGCTCCCGCACCGGCAAGCTCCTGCCCCCAAGTTTGGCATCCTCAGCTTCGTCCTCGACAGCCTGCTCTCCGGCCGCGTCCAGGACGCCATCATCTGCCCCGTCAGCACCCAGTACGACAAGGTCATCGAGACCGAGGGCTACGTCACCGAGCTCCTCGGCGTCCCCAAAAGAAGGAGAACCTGGCCGACTTCCTCACCGGCGGCTCCTCCATCCTCTCCCTCCGCCTCGGCCGCGTCGACGTGCGCTTCCACGAACCCTGGAGCCTGCGCGAGTACCTCGACGGCCAAATCGCCAAGCTGACGACCGCCGCCGCCACCGCCACCGCCGCCGCCCAGACGACGCCGTCCCCGCGCGCCGACGGCCCCTCCTCGACCTCAACCGCAAAGACGACCCGCAGGTCCTCGCCGTCCGCCACAAGCTGCTGCGCTCCTCGGCTACCGCGTCCTCTCCGACATCAACGACGTGTCCGTCGTCATGCCCACCGCCCTCATCGGCACCGTCCTCCTCACCCTGCGCGGCCGCGGCGTGGGCCGCCAGGAGCTCGCCCGCCGCGTCGAGTGGCTGACGGCCCGCGTCCGCGCCAAGGGCGGCCGCGTCGCCCATTTCGGCAACGCCCCGCTCTCCGAGATTATCGAGCGCGGGCTCGACGTGCTCGGCCGCGACCTCGTCGGCGTCGTCGACGGCCTCGCCGAGCCCACCTACTACGCCGTCGACCGCTTCCAGCTCTCCTTTTACCGCAACATGACGATCCACCTCTTTGTCTCCGAGGCCCTTGTCAGCGCCGCCATGTACACCCGCGTCAAGCGCGGCGGCGGCTCCGCCATCCAGGACATTAGCTACGCCGAGCTGCGCGACCAGGTCCTCTTCCTCTCCTCCCTCTTCCGCGGCGAGTTCATCTTTTCCGGCGAGGGCCTCGCCGTCAACTTGAAAAGACGCTGCTCGGCCTCGAGGCCGACGGCGTCATCGCCCTCGAGCGCGACCCGCCCGCGACGGCGCCATCGTCAAGGTTGGTCTCTCGGACGGGGAGAGGCGCGCCGGTCGGGAGAATTACGATTTTTACTGCTTTCTCATTTGGCCCTTTATCGAGGCGAGCTGGCTCGCGGCTGTCTCGCTCATGGGCTTGTCGCCTGTGCTTGGGGAGACGGAGGATGTTTGGGTCGAGGTGGCCAAGGCCCAGAATAGCGCGCAAGTAGTAAGTTTCTTTTTTCTTTTTTTTTTTTTCCTTCCTGGATACTAGCAACCGCACACCAGCAACAGCATCGGCCGCGATGGCAAGTCGGCTAACTTTTTTCACTCTTTTTCTAGCTCGGCAAAACACTATACCACCAGGGCGACCTCAGCTACTTTGAAGCCGTCAACAAGGAAACCATTAAAAACTCGTTTCAGCGCTTCGAGGAGGAAGGCATCCTCCAAGTCGTGCCCTCCAAGAACCCCAAGGTCCCGCCCCGGCTGCGCCTCGCCCCGGAGTGGCGCCCCACGCGCGACAACACCACCGCCTCGCCCCTCCCGCGCCGCTCTCGTCGCCGTCGTCGCCATCGTCGTCGTCGTCGTCGTCGTCCAGCGACCCGGTCCTCCCGGGGCCCTTGCTCGCCTCGGTCCCCTGTGGGACTTTACCGAAAAGATTGCGTCGTGCCGTCGCGAGGGTAAGAACCGCCGCGACGGCGCGACGGTCAGCACGCGCGTGCTCAGTCTCACCGACGCGCTGGGCCGCCAGCTGCAGGAGGAGGCCAAGGCGGACAAGGGCAACGTGCCCCACCGGCTTAGTCGGGAGGAAGAGGAGACGCTGGCGAAAAAGGTCAAGGATAGTCGGGGGCGGAAGAAGTTGACGACGAGGGCGAACTTGTAGACGTTGCGGAGGGGAAGGGGGCGTTTTTGCTTGCTTGGGGAGGGGGCGAGAACACTTTGGGTATATAGGAAAGGGGTATGGGCCGTATATATCGTCTCGAACGAACTGAGACTTGTGCTTTTAGTTTTCTTTTTCTATTTTTTTTGGGATGACAGCTAAAGCATAGCCATTTTCCACACACACACACAATGCGGGAAAGCGAGGACCTATATCCTCGACTTTTAAATCAAGCTCTTGGTCTGCCACTACCTTTAGTCTTTTGGTTCGTTTGATGTCCCAGGTTTTTTATTAATACAGAAAGAAGGGAATGTGAGAAAACGTTTATTTACAAGTATACAAAAGAGAAAGCATCAAATGGCGCTCGCTCGTTCAAGATGGCTTTTTGTTTATTCTATATTTTGTTTTGGTCCTTGGCTTGGAATTCGTACATTCTCTCCAGCCCACAACCCACAGCCCCCTCTCCGTTTTTGTTCTTTTATTCCTTTTTCTTCACTTGGTTGATACGGGCTGGAGTCGGATATTGTCAATCAACCTGACGGGAGGACCGCCGCTGTGACCTAGATCCTCGCCCTCGCGCGGCTCTTCGACCTCGAGCATCTTGACGGCGCCGCTCAGGATAGCGCCCTTTTCGGAATCGACAACGTCGAGCTCCTGCATCGTGTCCGGGTCGGCGAGGGAGATGTAGTCGACGAGGTAGGTGGCCCTCTCGGAGGGAGCGAGGGCCATTTGCTGGTCGAGGGTGGTCTGGAGAACGTGGCGGGCGGCGCCGAGGATGACGGAACTCTGCCGGGCGCCGCGGGCGTACTCGGCGTCGGCGGCGCTGAGGGCGCGGCTCAGGACGGTGGCGAGGCGCGGCGGCGGGTGCCGAGGTAGGCGTTGCGGGAGCTCTGGGCGAGGCCGTCGGGGTCCCTGACGGTGGGGCCGACGACGACGTCGATGGGGAGGAGGAAGTCGCGGACCAAGCGGCGGATGATGACGGTCTGCTGGGCGTCCTTTGGCCAAAGTAGACGCGGTTGGGCTGGACGGCGTTGAAGAGCTTCATGCAGACGGTGGCGACGCCGCGGAAGAAGGTGGGGCGGCTCCGGCCCTCGAGGACCTCGCCGACGGGGGTGATGGAGACGAAGCTGCCCTTGAGTGGATCTCCTGGCCGGGAAGCCCTCGGGGTACATGTCGGCGGTGGCGGGGGCGAAGACGGCGGAGACGCGGCCGAGGTTGGCGCCGTCGTCGGCGAGCTCGCGGTCGAGGCGGGCGATGGCGGCGACGTCGGCGTCCCAGGTGGACGGGTACGAGGCAAAGTCCTCGGCGACGCCGAACTGGGCGGGGTTGAGGTAGATGCTCACGACCACGTGGTGGTTCTCGCGGGCGGCGAGGCGGATGAGGAGAGGTGGCCCTCGTGCAGGGCACCCATGGTGGGGACGAGGCCGACGAGGCGGTGCTGGTGGACCAAGGGGTCGCGCCAGGCGCGGAGGGCGGGCACGGAGCGGAGGACCCGGATGGAGGGGCGGAGGGAAGGGTTTCGCGCGAGGACATGGTTTTGCAGGCGCGGAGCGCGGGCGAGCTGGAGATTGTTCGGGTGGGCTGGGGGCGTGGGTAGCGGGTGGAGGAGGAGGGAGAGGGACGGCGGAGGGTGAAGCGGAGCGAGGGGGTTGTTGAAATGGTCGAGGTCGAGGTCGAGGTGCGGAGGGCGTTGCCGAGGCGCGACGGCAACAGGCGCATTGTGGGGGTGTGGGTGAGAAAGGTTCTGATTTCCAGAACCGTTTTTTTCGGTTTCTGCCCTTTCCTGTTTTTGCCTTTCTAAAAAGCTTCAAGGAGGGCCTAGTTTCTTTTTGTGGAGGGGGGTTGCTTAAGTTGCTTTTCTGGTGTCTTTTTCGAGATTATTTTCGATTAGGCTTGGACTTGCCCTTTCTTTTCTCTCTTCTTCTTTCTTTCAATGAATGAAAAGGAAAAAAGAAAGAAAAAAATCCCTCCTCCTTTTATTCCTTTTCGGTTTTCTCCCCAAGCGCCTCCCCGCGTGACGAGGTAAATAACGTCCGGACCTGTCGGCAGAAGGGAAGCTCTCGGGAGAGTGATGGATTCTACGGCGAAGTTTGGAGGCCGGGTCGTTTTGGGGTCACAGTGACGGTTGGAAATTTTGGGGGTTTGCGATTGTGACGAAATCTGGCGGTGGTTGATCAATTGTGTTCAGAGGAGCTTTCTCAATTGCCCAATCAAAATCGCAAGCTTCAACAGAGCTCGGTGCTGGCGGGTTTCCTAGAATCCTGGTCGCGCGCGGGATGCTCGTGGTGGCAGACTGACTCGTAGGAAATGCATTCACAGGCTTGGGATGAATACAAGCGGTATCGGACGGGCTCAATGACTGATTATGAACTTTCAAACCGTGCACGTACGTACAAGTAGATAACATTGGCTGAACCGGCGCCAAGGGCTTTCTGATCGCCGCGCTTTTGTGCTCGATCTGGTTCATCAACCCCCGTCAGACCCCTGACGCAAGTTTCAGCGGTACCCCGGATTTCAATCAAGTCCACTGAGAGCTTTTTGTTCTTCCTTTTTTACTAAGCAATAGCTGAAGCCCCCAGGCCATGCCAAAGCGTGTTTCATCAACCAGCGCGAACTTTGACGACCTTCACGACTCGAAATCTCACCATCCGCCCTTCATCCACCTCAACAGCGACACATACGCATACACATACACACACAACACACAACACAGGACACATTTAGTCCCATAGCTACACCCACTCACTCACCTCGCTCATCTCGACACATCAACACTCCCAACTCTCAACCTCCAACACATCCGCATCTCCCGAACCCGATCCCGATCACCTAGAGCTCTCTCTCCAAAAAGACGAGCCTGCCCCCACCGCGACCATGCGCATCGTCCTCCTCCTCACCACCCTCCTCCTCGCCCTCCTCACCCTCCGCACCGCCAACGACCCCGCCACCCCCACCCCCGCCGCCAACGTCCTCCGCACCGCCTCCCACTCCGTCAACGCCGCCGTCATCCTCAACGCCGCCTGCTCCGTCGCCGCCCGCGTCACCGCCGCCGTCCCCGCGGCATGGAGTCCGACGCCTGCGCCCCTGGAGCATCGCCGCCGTCGCCGTCACCGCCCGCCTCTACATCTTTGGCATCGGCGGCTACGGCCGCGAGGAGTGGGCCTACGCCCGGAACTTGCACGGCAAGGCTGCCGATTGGGTCGTTGGCGGTCCTGCGCGCTGGCTCGAGACTTTTGATTTTGAGTGATAGATATTCTATATCTCTTGTTCTCATTTTCTCTATCCTCGCTAGCCGTCTGTCGATCTATACCATGTCTCTGTTCGTGTTGCCTTATTATTCTTTTCTTTCTATACCCAGAGAGGGGGCCGGGCCTCGCTCTCCAGCGCGGGAGCAAGGGCAGAGGAAGGGGATTCGCGTGTTAGAATACGAGGCCGGCGTATACGTAATGCTCTTGGTACTGCGAGCCAGTTTACCTCGCTTCCTTCGAAAGAGAACCCCCAGCTCCAGCGCCAGCTTCAGCCCCAGATGCCGGAGCCTCCTCTTCTCCTTCTGCGCCGAGGCGTCACCGGGGTTTCTCGCTCTCTTTCCATGTCCAAAGACAGTCAGGCGTTTAAGTCGATTTCATCCTTGTATTCACTCATCCCCGGCACTGTACGATATTATCCAACTAGGAGGAGTTAGGCCGGGTCGGGCCAGGCTTATACTTGAACGCGGGATATGGACTGGTTGGGGTGCTTGAAGGAAACAAGGCCCATGTACCCGAAACAGGTGGAGGAAGAAACAGGCACGAACATGGTTGCTTCAAAGAAGTAGGACTAGTTTTCTTGATATAAAAATACGTTAAAAACTGTCTAAGAATCTCGGTGATGCCCTTGAAACCTGCTTCGTCGCTTCTAGCACTAATTCAGAATCAACGAAATCAACGAAAAAAAGGAAGAAAAAAAGAGAAAAGTATGCAGAGTAAAAACGCCCACGATATGCAATTTCTTTTTTGGACCGCGCCGAACAAACGAGAAGCGAATGCCGCCTTCTCCACCTCCCCCAACTGCATCAACCCAAGTTGAACTCGCTCGCTCCCGCCCTGGTCGCCATCTTGCCCATCCGCCAAAACAAGTCCTTGCCCGCGTTGATATCCACCTCGTGCTGCGGGTCGTCGTCGCCCTCCCGACCCCGCTTGACCCCCGCTCCCGCACGCCGCCCGTCGTTGTCGTCCCGACCCCTCCTAGCCGAGCCCTTGCCCGCCTTGCGATCAATGCCGTTGCCGATGCCGCCCGGCGCCTCGCGCAGGCAAAAGCTCTTGGCCATGTGTCCGAGGTGCAGCTGGCCCATGTCAAAGTAGCAGCGCTCCTCCTTGACGTGCGTCGCGTACGCCCGAATGTGCGACTTGAACCCGTTGCGTCCGAGCTCAAGCCGCTTGCGGTCGTCCAAGAGCCGCTGCTCAAAGTGCAGTTGCAGCGCCTCCGCCTTGGCCGTGTACGACTGCTCGTCCGCGATCTTGGCGTGTGTTTCGAACGGGAGCTCCATCGGAATGGAAAGGCCCTGCTGCAGCACCGCGTCGTACAGCTGCGCCGTGGGTGCCGTTGAGGCCCCCGTCGTCAGCAGAGACACGTAGCCCTCCTCGCTGCCGGGAAGAAGGAAGAGGACGGCCTTGCCGGATCGTCCAGCACGCGCCGTTCGCCCGATCCTGTGAATGTGGTCCGCCACGCTAAAGGCTGGGTCGAGCTCTATGACGAGCTCCACCGACGGGATATCTAAACCACGCGAGGACACATCTGTCGTGATGAGAACCGCCGGGTCCGTACATTCTGAGAACGCTCGCAGCGTCGCCGTGCGGACGGGTTGCGGGAGGAACCGTGCAGCTTGTGCAGGACCACCCTCTTGTTCGCCGCCGATGTAATGTACGCCGCGTCAGCCACCGTGTTCGCCGTTAGGTTGGCTGCGTCGCGCGCCTTGTTCTTCCCTGCATCCGAGCTGGCGTTGGCACTGCCATTGGCGTTGGCGTTGGCGTTGGCGTTGGCGTCCGCCTCAGGCGCCCGGAGCAGCTCGTAGTGGAAGTCGACCGAATCGGCACAAGAGATGAACACGATAGCCTTCATGACCGACCCCTTTCGCGCAAACGTAAACTTGAGGAACGACACGAGGGTGACGAGTCTCAGCTTCGCCGGCGCCACCAGGTACGACTGCTTCAGCTGCGCCGGCGCAGCAAAGTTGGTCTCTTGAACATCATCCTTGCTCGACTCCTCCCGGGACGCCTCGACGTGGACCGCGTCCTTCAAGCTCATGTCCCCGAGCTTCTGCACGCTCATCTTCATCGTTGCCGAGCAGAGCACCGTGATGCGCCGGTCGGGCAGCTGCTCCAGGGACACGCCGTCGTACGTCTGGGCCGCCACCTCGGCCTTTTAAGCTGCGACAAAACCTTTTGAATGTCCTCCTCGAACCCCATCTCCATCAGCCTGTCGCCCTCGTCCAGAATCAGCCACCTCACCGTGCTCAGCTTCAACACCTTGGTGTTTTGCAAGTGGTCGCCAAGCCGACCGGGCGTGGCGATGAGAAAGTTGACCCCCTTGCGTATCCTCGCCTTCTCCGATTTCTTCGACTCCCCGCCGATAACGGGCGAAGCCACCAGCCACGGCGTCGACTTGAGAAGCTGGCACATGACCGTATACGTCTGCTTGGCCAACTCTCTCGTCGGCGTGAGCACGATGCCAAAGATGCCGGAATCGCGGTGGATCTTGGAGGTCTGGCTGAGCGCCATCACCCGGTGAAGCATGGGTAAGACATATGCCAGCGTCTTACCCGAACCCGTCTGCGCCTGTAGGAACGCGTCGTTTGCCGTGTCGAGCATAATCGGAATCGTCTTCTTCTGGATCGCCGTCGGCTTCTCGAGGCCTAGCTTGCCCAGCTCGCTCACCAACCGGTCCGAGAGCCCCAGCGCCTTGAACGAGTCCTCCGCCAACGGAGCGTTGGAAGGCTCCGCCTCTGCCTGATTCTCATCGGCCTTGTCTATCTCGTCGAACTTGGTCACCGGCGTCGGGTTGAACGAGAACAGGCTCGACGTCACCTCTTTCCGCGCACCCGCGCCAATTCCGCCGCCTCGACCTCCCGAAGGCTTCCCGTGTGGAGGCCTGTTCCCCGCCGCACCATCCACCTTGACCCTCTTAATCGGTCTCTCCCCTTCCTCACCATGCTCGGCCTCGTTCGTTTCCGCAGTCTCCCTCCTCGCTTGTCGTATCGCATTCGGTCCCTTGGCCGGTCCCGTCGCTTCACCTCCCCCTCCGCTCTTTAGCGATCTTTGAGCCTGAACTCTATCTCGCCAGCGGCCACCCTTGACTTTGACGACCCGGGGTTTGACGGGAGAGTCCCCCAGGTCAAAGTTGAGAATCATGCCGTCGTCCGCCATGACTGGATGCCGCACCAATATTTGCTTTCGACTGATGTTGTTTGGAGCGGCGGCACCTAAAAAGGGGAAATAGGCGTACTGAGTCCTGCAAAATGTGCAAGAATCGCTGCGTTGTAGTTTTTTTTGTTCCCAAGGGCGTCCTGGAGAGAGACCCGCACACACCTTTGTGAGAATATATGGGATCCCAATTTTTTGGCGGGGTGTCGCTGCAGAAAATTCGAAGCTTTCCTTATCGCGATAAGATTAGATAAGCACCATTCATACCCACCCGCATTGCACTACTCATCAAGTTGAGGCTGGGAGGATGCGCCAATGCTTGAAAGCGATAGGCAATGCATTCACAAGATTACAACACAAGAGACAAGCATGTAATCTCGAGGATCTTCTATTCAAAAGGACGCAGCTGAAAATGCAAGGAACCGGCAGGGACAAAAAACACCCTAATCTACCAATGTTTCCCCCATGATCCGGATCCCAAAACAATCTATGCTGCCTATACCGGAAAGGCAAGGAATATTGTCCTGCCCCCGAGATGCTTTCGCCTGTATACCAGAGTGGAGTGTAGTGGTGATGTTTTGTTCCTTTGTGTGTGTGTGAAGGGGGTCTTGTCCTTGCAATGTTGATACAAGCCCTTGATTCCTCCTCATTTCGAACCATCCCTTGTTTTTTAAAAACGACTTCGTTCAGCCAGAAGTCAAAAACCCATTTTGTACACCCCCGAGTAAACGCCTGGTCCTACCCTGAATAACGGACTTGGTGTTGGGACAAAGGAAAGAAAGGTATAGATGGAAATAGATGACGAATAAGAAAGGGACAAAGGAAAAGAAAGGATCAAAGGGCGGCTCCGCTGTAAGCACGCGGTGCCATGAGATAGTTGATGCGCGCAACAAAAACTCAAATCCCTCCCATCGACAGACCCAACCCACAAGAGAAACAAGAAAAAAATCGCCCTTCTATGCTGCTTCAACTAGCCCCGGGTATCATATTACAGTCAGATGGGAGAGAGACAACACGAAACAAAGGAAAAAAGAGAAAAGAAAACGAGTCAAACTCAAGAAAATGCGGGCTTGGTTCGAGCGAACCAAGTGCTTGAAGGCGTGCACCGAGCTCCAAAGGGCGCAAGAGAGCTAGGCAGCTATGAAACCATGGTACGGGCTTCAAACAACAACTGCCTCCTCCCCGCCGCCCAAAAGCTCGAGAACTTTGTTCACTACCGCGCTCGGGTAACCACGGCTGAGCATCTCGCGCACTACACCCTGCGCGTTATCTCTCTCTTCCACGGCGAGGAAGGCTCGGGTCATGGCTTCGTAGGTGCTCGGCTCGCGCTTTTCCCGTCCCACGCTATCGTAGATGGCCCGGGCCTTAGCAATGTCTTTGTGCGCGGCCCAACCGTGAATCAAAGTGTTGGCGATATAGGGAGTAAGCTCTACTCGCTTCTTTTGCATCAAATCGAGAATCGGCTCCGAGTCCATTACGCGGTGATTGGCAACCATGGCCTCGAGGAGAGCCTGGAAAACGCTGGCGCTGGTAGCAACAGCCGGGTCGGCCACCACCGAGTCGAACACCCTACGGGCGCCCTCCAGATCGTGCATGACACAGCCACGGGAGTGGATGAGAGAAGCGTAGTGCACGGGCTCGGGGCGCATGCCCACAGCCTTAATTTGAGCCAAGACTGCCTCGGCAGCAGACAAGTCCACGGGCTCCAACGAAGCGTGAGTATCGATCAGAAGCTTATACGTGTGGGAAGTGGGAGAAATGCCCTTGGACTTCATCCGCTCGTAGTAGGCAAGAACCTTGGTCTTGTCACGCTTCGTGGTGAGGAAGAACTGCATCATGCTGTTGTAGGGAGCAGGCCGCGCCTTGTAGTTGGGCATCGACTCCATCTCCTCGAAGAGGTCCTCGGCAAGCTTCTCGTCGCTCACTCTGCAGAGAGCGTTGACAATGGTGCCATACGTCACTGAGGTCGGCTTTACACCGAGGGCCCTCATTTCAGCAAAGTAGAAGAGGCAGTCATCAATGCGACGCGCCTTTCCTAGCTTCCCGATAAGAGCATTGTAGAGGAAAGAGCTAGGCTCTACTCCTCGGCACGGGCTCGGTGGAAGATCTTTACGGCCTCGGTGGCCTCGTCAAAGGTCTTGGTAGACTCCTTGAGCGTGGTGATGTACAGACCATACGTGTTAGCAGTGGGGGTGGCACCCATGCCAAGGAGCTCCTGATGGAAACTCTCGGCCATGGACCGGTTGCCAGCGCTGAGGCACGCACCAATCATGGCATCGAGGATGGAAGACCAGCCATATCGAACAACGGCATACTGCGGGAGGAGGGGAACATCACTCCGGGCCATAGCCAGGATGTCGTTGCAAAGCTCAAACTTGCTTTCACGAGCGGCGGCGGAGATGAGCTTTGCGTAGGTGATGTATCGGGGATGGCGACCGGCACGGCGAATGTTGCGGAATCGGATCAACGCGTCGTTCAAACGGGGGCCTCGGCGGCCATGGGAGCCCTCCAACTCATCCGAGATCAAAGACGAGCCTTTGAAATCGGTGCTGTGCGCATGTGGGTCAAAGGAGTCATCAAAGCTGCTGACAGTGGGGGTCGAGAGGAACGGAGAAGTGCCATAAGCCGCCACCGGAGAAACAGTAGAAGGAGGAGGGGTAACCTCACGAGGGTCCGTGATGCCGCGACCCTCCATGAATCGGCCAATGTAGGACACGCCCTCCTCGATCTCATCCGCCACTTGTGCGTCACCATGGTAGGCGGACGCTCGGATCCTATGAAACATGATCTCAGACTGAGTTAGCCCCTCAGAGACCTGTCCAGTCAGCATCAGACCGACTGCGTACATGACAGTGGGCTCGATGAAGGACTGGGTAGGAACCAATGCAGGATTGCTGAGCACGTGCCAGTAGCGACCAGCGGCAGCGACATCCCCTCCCGTACGCTCAGAGCGAGGAGGGCCGAAGCCGGGCCCGCGATTTCCGCGGCACCCAGAGGGATGTGAGCAAAGGCAGCGACAGCTGTCGCTTTGTCGCCCTTGTCTGCCGCTGCAGTGGCAACACGGGCCATAATTTGCGGCTTGGACTCGTTCTCGACAGACAGGGCCCATTGAAGGGCATCCTGGAAGATGCCGCGGCGAAGGAAGCCGTCGACAAATCCGCTCGAGGCGAGGGCGCTGGTGATCTCGGAGATGCCGACACCGTATTCTTCGACAATTCTCTTGTAGAACTTCATTGCGCCAGCGAGCTTGTCACAGGTGACGTACGCGTTGATGACGGCGGCATAGACCATAGAGTCCTGGCGAGTCGAAATGACAGATTCGCCCGAATCAGCGGCGATAGCCAGGGCCCGATACTCGTTGTAGCACTCCACAGCGCTAATTAGATCACCCGATCTGGCGAACGCGGTGATCATGGCAGGGAATATGGACGCGGCTGGGGTGGCCGCTGTCGTTTCCATGTGCTCAAAAGTCGGAGCATGTCATCAACACGGCCGGCAGTGGCGCATGCCATGATGACTTGGGTGTACGTTTCAGATGAGTAACTGGCATTATCGGTGGTGACGGACGAGTCGAAAAGTCTCATTGCGATGTCCAGACGGTCATCCTCACTGAGAATGGCAAATTCGAGCTCATGAGAGGCGAACATGAATTTCCCAGCCTCTTCGATGCCGCCGTAGCGGGCGCGCTTGTCTTCCAGTGCCTTTTTGAGCAGGGAAACCTCAAGCGACCGGCTGGCGAGCAGATCAACGAGGATATTATATGTGTCACTATCGGGGAAACCTTGCGCCGGAGCATGTCAGTATAGACGTCCAGCGCCTTGGAGACAACTTCGTTCTTCTCCGGCGACAACCGGATAGCGGCTCGGAGGAGGGCATTGTATGCTGGGGCAATGGGTCGCACGCCAGCAACAAGCATGGCCTCGAAGACAGGGGGATCTCCTTGTATCGTCCGCCATCGGCGAGGGACAGGAGATGATCGGCATAAGTGCGGGCCTGGGGGTGGATCGGTGACGTTGCGGTACGGGCAACACTCGCCGGTGTGCGCGATCTATCGAGTGCCGGGCTGCGGGTGCGAGAAACGGGGGCAGTGGCAGAGGCGCCTGGTGTCGCGCTTCGTTCAACCGACTCGGATGCCTCTTCCAAGGCTTCTACTCGCCTACGTTCCTCGATCGCCTCCTCTAAGGCGGCATCAATGTGCGCGAGCACGGCCTGATCCTCTGGACTGATGCTAGCAGCGGCAGCATCTTGATCAGCAATGTGGCCATCAGGTCCAGCCTTGATATCGCCGAGGAGGATGGAAGCCGGTGTAGGCTTCCACTCGATGCGCTGTTGAAACTGGAACTGGGACCATTCATCATCGATGCCTTCCTCCTCGCCTTCAGCCTCGCGGGCCTTGAGTGCCTCGAAATAGGCATCGAGGCCTCCGTGACTTAGTGTACGGTCATGGCGCTTATCTGTCGAGAGACTAGCGAGAGTCTGTCTCTCCGACTGGAAAGCGGACGCGGCTTGGGACTGAAGGGTATGGAGTCGGCTGAAACGATGGCTCTGGCGACGGCCAAAGGAAGGTCGGTTTTGGTTAAGAAGGTGAGGGTGGGATACGGCAACGACGGACTGGGCGTAGCCGTAGGTAACAGATTTCGCTAATCCTGAGCGGATGAAATTCTGGTACAGCGATGAATAGGGAGCGGGCATTTAGGTGATGAGTTGGGAAACTATAATATCGCAGAAGTAAACATTAGCCAACATCCCCAATTGGTCATGCCATGTTTCTGAAAAAATCTCCCCAAGAGACGAGAAGGTGGTGCCATTCCCGATACACCCGGAGGAATGGCGTTACGGGATATACGATGGCGACGGGTACAAGACTTGGCGCAACACCTGATGACCTCGCGAGGGGGCAAGACGACGCTGAGAAAGACGCGCTTCCTATGACTGAATCTCCAAACTTACATGAAAAGAAGGGTAAAACGCTTGAATGCAGGTTCATTTGACAGCAACCCACGCCGTCAAACAAACGCGCTACCTTGAGATGGTATTAAAAGATGGTGTTTGGAGGGGAGGATATTAAGATCTGGGGAGAAGAAAGGGAAGCAAGAATCGAAAAGAGGGACGAGAGGGAAGGAAACCGTGGGATTAAGGCAGAAGGAGTGTATGTTGTTATTTTGGCTGTTGTTCGTTTTCCTCTGGCTGGAGGAGGCGCGCGGTGCTGGAGTGAGACGAGACAGTTTGGAGGTTGGGGTAATATTTTTTTCCTCTTGCTCTCTCGAAAAGGGAAAAAGGGCCCTCGGACCCGTGCCGTTGCAGCAAAATTCCCCAGCACCAAGTCATGGGTACATGGAACCTGGAAGAAGCCGGAACGAGGCGAATTTAGACCGGGGCCAAAGTTTCGATGACTCAGGGCGTGAAAACGTGGGGCAGGGTGGGGAGGGAGAAACCCACCAAGCCCACCTGGCAGTGCTTAGCTCACACAGCCCTTTTTTGGCACCTTCTGGAGGAGGAAGTTCTGCTCGCGTGCGAGAAGAACGAGGAGGGCCTTGGACCAGCGCTGCAAGCGAAAGGTACGCAATTTCTCAGTCAGGTACTACTACCCCGGCCAGCATGAGCACCCACGGCCAGGCTTCCGTTTCCCGCGTGCGCCTTCTGCAGATTTAATATCGCTCCAAATCAATCGCATTAGCCCCAGCGGTATTGCTACCTCGCCTTCCCAAAGGGGACTCCCAATATCCAGATTCGATCTCCGGCTCCTGTCCGCTGGATGTCGCTGATCTTGGAATGACGATAGCCCCAAAAAGGGGCGATCTACGGTTGGCCACCAGCGAATACACTTTTACTAGCACTGAGAGGAGGCGCTCATGACAAGATCGAAGTGGCCTCCCTCTCTCTTTTTCTCCCTCTGTCCCAAGCCAATAGCGGAGTGGATTGACAAGCGCACGCCGCTTCCGTCAATGCATTGTTTTTGACAAGCCCTGACAAGAAGCCAGATTGATATCAATCAAACAAAAAAGCTGGATGACGAACAATGTCCCCAGGCAGAAACTTAATGGGTTGCGTTCTTGGCGTTTCCAACAACGAGGCACCTCCAAAGTACAAGTACCATCGACTTCGGCAAGCATCATCGACACCCAGCTCGCGCAAAATTCATTACCCTCCCTTGTCGTGGAATTCCACCACTCTCCCTCCCTTTCCAATGAACAAGGGCCGCGCGGAATGGAGGAATACGACGAAATGCGATGCGCTCTGTTGTCTGTCCTTCCGCAGCGGTACCTCAGATACCCTGCAAAGAACAGTGGCCAACCCTTGCTTCAACCCGTACCAGGGAACATTTCCCAAAATACCGATTTCTTTTCTCATCCCAACTCCCGTTCACTGTCGCAAGGAAGAAGCCGGAAGCGTGAGATTAAGCCCAGCCCGTCGGGATCCTGCACAATGCCATCCCCCTTCCCTCCGTTGTTGGTACTGGACACACGGACTTATGCCTGACGCCCTGAAGACAGGCTTACTTCCAGGGTAACTTGAGCTTCCGGATGTCTTCTCGACACTGTAATACTGACCACTGATGTCGCTCAAAACGTGTGCTGGCTCCAGTCCCAGAGGAGAGAATTTCGCCGCCTCTCGGGCGCATGAAAAGCAATGTCCTCCAACAGGCCCTTCTCTTTCTCTCTGCCTCCACTCGGTCGCGCCTTTGAAATTTGAACTGCTTAGCCTCGGCGGCCCCTGTTTGCATCCACCTCTTTCTAAATTTGGTTTCCCTCCCAAAAGCAAGGGCAGCTGAAGGGAAGAGGGCAACTACTGAAAATGGCCGAGTTAATATTTCTTCGTATTACCCTTCGTCGACTCTTCATTGGCCCTCTCGGCCGTCGACCCTTGTTACCCTTTCTAAACTAAACCTAGGTCTCATTTTCACCTTCTTCTTTTTTTTTTTTGTCCACATTTTCCCCTTTCCTAAAGCTTGGCAGAGAAGGCCCTCCCGGGCGTCATTTTGCAGGTCTTCACCCATGGGGCCAACATTTGAGCTTTTCTGTCTCCCCTGAGATGGTGGATGGTTGTACTATTACTCTTGGGAACCAAACTCTTTTTTTTTTTTTTTCAGGTCACATGCCCCGCGCCCACGAAAAAGATCCGCCTGCACCAGCGCGATCCTTCCCTTGCCTTCCCTTCCCTTCCTCCCCCCACCTTCGGTCAGACGGCAAAACAGCTTTTTCGGCCCTGTCATCGAAGTGACATTTCCTATGACCCATTCACCCACGCCGCACACCCGTCGCATAGCCGTGGCCCAGAGTACACCGAACCGTGGCCAAGCCGTAGGCCATGCAGACACTCCCATAGGGCCAAGCGGGAGCCTATGTGGGGTGTGTACACGATACCTTCCGACCCTCTCTCTTCGCCGATGTTTCGAGCGGGAGCTGTCAAGTTTTTCTTGTCCCAGTTGGCAGGTACAAGTACTCCTCAGATCACTAGCCCTGTTTTTCGCCTGTTTGACGGATTAGGCAATTTGCATCCTTCCCCCCCCGGAGCTTCCGAGGAGGGAGCTGTCGGTTTCACGGCGGTTATTGCGCCGACGGGGTTTAGCTTGAGTCCGAAATCGCCGACAACTCTCGGCCGGAGCGCCTCAAAACAAGTTCAAAATTCCACATGAAGAGGATACAGTATTATTATTATTCTCGAGGAGTCGCTCCTTGATAAGCCCTCGCCTCAAAATGCACACAACCCCCAGGCGATTTCAAACTGAATGAGGGGTCACAGGCACCGGGTCCCTCTATTAGATGCGCCATATTTCGTGCACAAACTTGGATGGGAACCATGTGAACTCGTCCCTCAGACCAGTGCCTTGACAGACCAATTGCCTCCTAAGTACATTACACCACCTTGACTACCGCTAAATAGTTCTCGTATATACTACATCTTGAGCCCGCTTCCTTATTTTGGGTAATCCTTCAAATGGTAGCTCTTTAGCTTGACAAACTGGTCGAACCCAAATTTACTCAGAGTCACACCCCGTCCCGAGTTCTTCCATCCTGTCCATGCAAGGTCCTAAGAAGGTTGGCGTCAGCATGCATATTGCGCGCAAGATAAGAAGGGTCGGGAGACGGGCGTTGCTCGCATCATATCCAGAGGAAGTTGGCAATAGATGTGGGGGTGGGGGAGGGATGTGGAGATCTTTATCTGACTTACTGGGCTTGGATAGTCACAGCGATTGACGAACACTGTTCCGGCCTCCACCTGGTCTGCAAGACGATATCCTGTTTCGGTGTCCTTGGTCCAGATACTCGCGGTAAGACCAAATTCGCTATCATTCATCTTTTCGACCGCATCACTGTCCCCGTTCACCTTCATGACAGGAATGATCGGGCCAAAGGTCTCCTCCTTCATAGCCAACATATCATGTGTGACGCCAGTCAGGAGTCTCGGCTTCACATAATTGCCCCCGGCCGGTGGATTTTCAAAGCTGTCATTTTCGGGTGTAGCGTCCGTTGCACCCTTTTCCAAAGCCTCTTTGACCTGCGCCTCGATTGTCTCCTTTGATCGCTTCGAAATGACTGGCCCGATATGCGTCGCCGAGTCAAAGGGGTCGCCCAGCCTATATCCCTTCAGTACATTTTGTACTTCCTCGACAAATTGGTCGTAGATAGACGCGTCGACGTAAACTCTCTCGATAGAGCAACAGCTCTGGCCCGAGTTGAAGACTGCGCCGTCAACAATCTCCTCGGCCGCCCAAGCAACATCAACGTCTCCTCGAACGTACGCGGGGTCGTTGCCGCCCAGCTCCAGTCCGACGTTAACGATTCGGTCCGCGGCGGCCCTTTGCACCGCCAAACCCCCAGCCACTGACCCCGTAAAACAAATGTGCTTAATCTGAGGGTTTCTTACAATGGTCTCGATAGTAGAAGGAGACCCTGAGTGGAAATACTGCAAGACTCCCGCCGGAAGCCCTGCGTCCGCAAAGATCCTAGTAATCTGCTCCGCAACGGTAGGCGTCTGCGGCGATGGCTTGAGTATCACAGAGTTCCCGGCAAGGAGAGCGGGAATCAAGGCATTCACCAAGATCAGATAGGGATACTAAGCGTGAGACCAAGATAAGGACTCCCGTCAGTATAGATGCAAGAGCCCAGCACGTAGATATCAAACACACTCACATTCCAAGCAAAAATGACAAGGACCGGACCAACCGGCACTTTGCGAAGAAACCTCTTGAACCCCTTCTCGGCCTCACCCTCCGTATCCTTCAGCGCATCGTCGCTGACCTTGAGGAGATATTCGGCCCGCTTCACAGCCGTCGTCACCTCCTTGGCCGTGTAGGCGATGGGCCGGCCCATTTGCTCAGTGAGCTCACGTGCCAGCTCATCCTTCTTTTCTTCGAGGGAGGAGAGGGCCTTTCTCACAATCTCCTTGCGCAACTCCAGGGAGGTCTTGCGAAACGAGTGGAAAGCCTCCGTGGCGATTTTAGGCAGGAGGTCGAAGTCGGTATCGGAGGGGCCGTTTCGCGTGAGGATGGGCTCATTCGTGTTTGGGGAGATGGTGGTGATCACCTCGGCGGACATTGTGATGATGCTTTGAGACGCACGATTCTATAGTGAGAGTCTTTGATATCTGCTATTTTAGGTCGAAGATGCGAAACGAAAAGAAGGAAGTGGGTGTAAGGGGAGGGACAAAAATCCGGGTACCGAAGGCGAAGATCGCCACCTCCAATGAACATAGCAGCCGTTGGAGAAACTGGAGCTCGTCTACCCCGCTCATGAGCTCCGGAGCTTCGTCACAGGGAAGAAGCAAGCGGCCCCACCAACGCGATAAGATTCGATAAGAACCGTCCGTCCGCAACCATCCTCAACAACCACTGAATCCAGACAGAATAATTCAGCTACTTGAGGAAAAGTATGGTCGACGATTTGTTGTTGCCTCAATATTGTGATTACCTTCACTTTAAATCAACTGCCATTGGAGCCCAGCCCTCACGCAGCTGTGTACTGTTCTCTAAATCGCTTTTTTGGTCCAAATCCTCAAGATGTTTTTGTGAGGTTGGGGAGAGGGCAGGCCCCTATGTGTACGTTTTAGCTACTTGTGCAACCAACCATCGAAGCTCGCGAGGTCCTCCATCCTGACACCTTCGCTCTCACATTTGACCCTCATAAGATCTACCTGGTAATCCGCCGTTCGAGCGTCCTCGCAGCATTTCCTTATCCTCTCCAGGGTCTCATCATCGTCCTTTGCGACAATTGCCGCTGCATCAAACCCTCCAGCACCAGGGACAACACCTCCATACACACCGTCGACCGCTGATAGCCTGTCGAGCAGCGCCGTTTGCTGCGGTGGTTCAATGGGCACCTCGCTCTCCTCGCTCATCGCGCGGATTATGCCGCGGCACCGCGAAATGGTTTCGGCTATGTACTCAAAGTTTCCCTCCTTGGCTCGGAGCTGCTGCTCCAAGAACAGGTTGAGTCCATGGAGGCCCCACCAAAGCTCCGCGGCCCGCGCAGGGTTTTTTGAGCGCCATTCCAAGACTTTCTTCACCATTGAGACGGTTTGTGTACCTGAGTGCACGTCAACCATGCGGATCGCAAGCCCGGGGGCAGGGTGAAGTCGTCGATGCTACCGTCCCACTCTTTCAACACAAGGCTCTCGAGAGCTGCGCCAAAGCCGGGCTTTCCGGGTTCGGGCAGCTCCGAGAGTATGTTAGGTGAGAACCGCTTGTAGTTGCAGGCGCCATACACGGCTGCGGCGATATCGAAACCGGAGCCAATCTTGCCCTGCGCAGCTCCGTGCGCGACTTGGGCGAGGTTGTGCAGGGTCCTCTTCCCTTCTGGCGATGAGATGTCAAACCCTCCCGGCAGATAATGGGTCAACAGCGCAGCAGTAAGAGATGTGACCAATGCAGCCGACGAACCCAGGCCTGTCTTCGGGGCCTCGCGTATAGGGTAAGGAAACTTTGCAAACCTTCCGAGGCCGGTGCTTGCAGTGTCTCCAGAGGAGGTTGAGTAGTAGTCGTTATCCGCAAGGATAGTCAGGCGTGTCGAGCTTAAACTCTGTTGAGTGTGGTACCGTAACCGGCGATGGATGAAGGTCAAGACGTAGATCAAGGTGGTCTCAACAAAGGGGTTCTTCGCCGACAGCGTTTGCCCACTAAGAACGGGGAGGCATCAGTCTTCTGGATACGCCCCATAATATGCATACCAAGAGAGGGAGAGAGAAAACTCCATCACGGTATTGAAGCTAGTGGGTAGCACTTACGTCTGAAGTTGGGTAACATGAATACCTCCGTCATCCTCCGAGAGGTGAAAGCCGAACCTCCATTCCGCATCGAGGAACTGGGGACTATTCACGACAATTTCGGTGAGCTGCACACCCTCGCTGGTTCGAATCGTGCCCGCGATTACGTTTATCCTCGCATTGAGGCCCAGGACCAGGCCGTTGTGGGCGGGATCTAGGACCAAGTACCCGCCCGCAAGGAGCACCTTACCGGGGGCGGACACCGCTACTGTTGGCTCCATCGAAGTGAAATATATGGCGCGTCCGCGGCGCTGAGAGGGTTCTCGAAGAACGAGGCGCAAATTTTGGGACGGAAACCCAAAAAGAAGAGAATGTGCGGGGCAGTTTGGTCCCGAGCTTCAATGGAGGGGTTGCGTCGCCAAAATGGTAGCTCGTGCGCGCTTACTGATGGTGGGGTGAGGTGAGGAGTGAGCTTGTTCGCATGCGAGGCTAACAGAAATGAGGGGCCCAGTCTCGACATCACTCCTCCCAATGCTACATCCACAGATGTAGTACTAAGCGCCGCCTATCGATTCACCTCATTCCTCTGGCCTCCCTTCAAAGCCATTGACGCACCAAACCTAAGGATTGTATTAATCGAAGTCGGGCCTCATGTACAATGCGGCGCAATACCTCATTCAGCAAGGATTCAAATCAATCCAGCCAATAATGAGCGATCAACACCCGTTGACATATATGGTCTCACATCGACAGCTCCTCGAAGAGGACCCGATTCAGCCCAACCCGTGGTTTAAAGTCGTGATATATTGAGCCCCATTTCCCGAACATGCGCGTCATGTAATATATATCGGGGCTTGAAAAAAGAGCCCCTTACAGCCAACAATCTATTGGGCTCTGCGGCCCTTTCCTCAACGCGGCTTCTCTCGCTAATCTCAACCTGGAATATATGTACATGAATAAAAAGCCAAACTCTAGCTATATAGAGGTCACATTGCTGAATCATCTCAAGTCTCCGATATCTGCCGTTCTCGTGGTGAAGGGAAAGATGGGCGAGCGTGTGCTTCGCTCTCCAGCGAGTCGCCGGTGCGGCTGCTGGCTAGCTCCCTTAAAAGCGCCATTCTGTTCATTAAGGGGATATGATGTTAGAAGATCTGGACCTCCATTGAGAGGGTTCTGAGCTATAGAGAAGACTTGCTCGGTCTGTGAAAGCCCTGGAAGTGTTGTCTCTTCATGCCTGAAATCGAATGGAGCGGACTGATGTTCCTTGTTAATTGCGGTCAAATTGTCTTGATGCCCACGCCATGTATAGGTAGGTGAGAAATATATGAGAAGCTGGTCGAAGGAGACGCATCGAACACGTACTATTTGTATTTCCCTAGCAACCTTTACGCGCTTCCGCCCAATCTTAGTCTGCATTTTGGAGTAAATGGCGTTGACATTCTCACTCAGCCCCATGCTGTTAGAAAGCAGGAGTTCAGGTATTTCGTGCTCGAATATGTCGGCTTGTGAGGACAGAGAGGTTCTTGGTAGACCCTCAGACAGTGGAAGATAAGGAATATATATCGAAAGATTCAATCGTTATTACTGGGAATGCGGCGAACTCTGGCTGTCAAGACTGATATGTTGGGGATGATGCCTCGAAGCAGGGAGGATCAGCGGTGTGCAAGATTCCTTCTCCGGTATGAAGTTAGCAAGTCAAGGTACCCGCGATCGCACGATTGATACAGGAGGGTGCGGATGCTTGTGGGACTCGTCGAAGATATAGCTGAAGATTAAAAGAAATGAAGAGCACGAACTCCACGCCGCCAATATGATCTAGGTTGGCATCCTTATTATATCATGATAGGCTCCGGATGATTAGCTCTGGGCGAGGTGCCCGATCCATACCCAAAGAAGGGAGACCCAATTTCAAAATAGCTGAGGCTCGCCCCAAATTATAGCGGCATTGGCTTCCTCAACTCCATCCGTTCTAGTTAGCGGCATAACGAGCCCCCGAGGTAATGAATCTAGAGTAAGCCACAAAACCTAGGCACCCCAAAAACCCCTAATAAGGGACAATTTGGTACCCTCTCTACAGAACTTATGGTTTCAAGAAAGGGAGAGCTTGTGGGGAAATCCGAAAAGAAAAATAAGGATCTAAAGATAGCTATCGTCTTGAGTGCCTGCGCCGTGGTTTGGCGTTTGTGTGGCACTGGGCCAGGCGGGAGCCGGGACTCGCCCAGTCAGGCGAAGCCCGTGTACGCCGTTGCGTGTTTCCGTACCCTCCAGTCTGCAGCACAGCCACGGGTCAAGGCTTTTGGGCAGAGGTGCGGTGTCTATGGCGTGTCTCTGCCTCGAGTTGTTTCAGCCTGGTAGACCCCCAAGGAAGCAAAGTTAGCCAAAACCCCTCTCAAAACTAAGAAGAAGGGTCCGAAGGACGGGAACGGGTGAATTGATCAGAATCGCGGAGTTGGGGGTTAAATTCGCCTGGGAGGATGAGTAGGTGCGAAAACACAATTAGCACGGACCACGTCTTCAAGCGCAACCATGGCAAGCATGGCTGATCTGGAGGGGCATGAAATTCTTATCGATAACGGAACATTTTCATCCTCACAGCCATTTTTTTTCTGATCTCTTCCCCTGTTCACCTGCGGAAACTAACGATCGAGGAAAAGGCAAGCTCGCGCTCGAACAGCCAATATCCCTAAAGTACTTTCTTGTTCCTCGAGAGATTACCAAATTCGCCCTTCGGGGACCCCTTGTCAGCCGAAAAAGGAAGGAAAAAGAGAGAGAAAAAGAAACCGCCCGCCATGGCGCCGGAAAAGCGAAACAACTTTCTTGACGCCGATGACAGCGACTCCGACGCCCAGTCACAAGGCTACGATTCCGATCGTGAAGTTCGCAAGGGCGCACGCACCGCCAAGCGTAGAAAAATCGATAATACCCGTGCTGGCAGCGACGGTGACGACTATTCCTCCGACGAAGGTAGCGGCTCGGATCACGGCGTCCGTTTGAGCAAGACCAAAGCCAAGGGCCCCGTTGCGCCTGCAGCGGTGCCTCCCGGCAGTCGAATAAATCAAAGGGCGACGACGGCGATGCGGCAACGGAAGTCTCTTCCACCCTCGAGGAGGACGCCGACAGCGACGACCAAACCCACGAAGACGGCACGAAAACCAAAAGGTCAAGGTCCCCAAGCTCATAAATACCGCCGACCCGCTCCGGTCTCTCATCAAGCGCAACCTCGTTTCCTCGGAAGACGCCATCAAAAAGTCGGGGGTCCTTTACGTCTCCCGAGTCCCGCCCTTTATGAAGCCTCACAAGCTCCGCACCCTCCTCGAGCCCTTTGGCACGATCAACCGCACATACCTCGCTCCCGAGGACCCCGCAAGCCACCAGCGCCGCGTCCGTGCCGGCGGCAACAAGAAGAAGCTCTTCACCGAGGGCTGGATCGAGTTCGTCGACAAGCGCGACGCCAAGAAGGCGCACCAGCTCCTCAACGCCCGAACCATTGGCGGTAAGAAAGGGAGCTACTACAGGGACGACGTCTGGAGCCTCGTCTACCTCAAGGGCTTCAAGTGGCGCGATCTCACCGCCCAGATCGAGAAAGAGAACGCCGAGCGCGAGAGTAGGATGAGGGCCGAGATCAGCAAAGCCGCCCGCGAGAACCTCGAGTTCGTTCGCAACGTCGAGCAGGCCAAACAGCTGGATGGTATCAAGGCGAAAAAGGAGAAGAAGGATAAAAGAGTGGCCAAGGGCAATTCTGCTGGGCAGGCGCCCTCGAGGACCTTTAAACAAGTTCCTCAGGTCTCCAAGAGGAAACCTGGAGAGGTCGGCGAAGAGCCTGCAGAGAACGTAAAGAGGGTGCTTAGTAAAATCTTCTAGAGGTAGTGCTAATGGCGGCAGTTCACCCACGTCTGGATTGTCCCCTTTTGCCCTTCTAGTCCTTTTCTTGTTCTTCATTCTGGCCTTCTTCTCTTTTAGGTATGGCGTTTTGGCAGGCTCATCGCTTGAAACAGGACATCATACGCAAAACCAAAGCCTATCGCCTATCGCGGCATACACATAGGACCTTGCATCAAGATATTCAAATATAACCCCCTCATTTTTTTCATTGCTTCCCTCAAAGATAAGTCATGCTACGTTATCTAACCTTGATCTACTTTTAAAGGCGAAATTTTAATCCCTCGTGATGCAAATGTGCAATTCCCCAACGACAATCCTATTTAGGAAGAAACATGATCAACAAAAAACAAACAAAGATCTCACTCATCTTGAACCGTGAGTTCTTCAAAGTCATCCAATAGCTCCTCAACGTTGATGCGAGGGGCATCCCCGTCATCGTCACCCTCCGTCTCGGCGACACTCATCTCATCCGGGTCCGTCTTTTTCGGAGCCTTGTAGAGAGCCATTGCTTGCCTCATCTCCTCATCATCTTCGACATCCCGTAAGAAGAGCTCGTAGTCGTTGTCTTCCTTGGTCATATTGGCCTTTCTATTAAACAGATCATCCTCCTCCTTGACGATGTGCTTCAACTTCCAGTTCCTGCGCCTATTTCTCCTGCGGTTCGGGAAATGTTTCTTGACGAGGATAACGTCGGGGATAGCTGAGCTATACGTGTTGGAGGCCTCGGCCGCATCGAAGTGTTCATTGTTGAAGATGGCTCCGGAGAGCAGATAGCCCATGACAGAATCACCGGGGTGCAGTAGGTGGCCAAGATGGGTGCGAGTGAAGTAAGTGACGTCGTTGACCCCGAGATCCGCCGCACGTGCTACTGTAGCTTCGCAGAGGTGCCACTTGCCCTTCCGGACTGGAGTAGAGTCGATATCTAACACGATGAACTCAACGAGTTCTTTCGCATCGGCCAACGATATAAACGGGGACCGCCAGTAGACCTTGTTGCTGATATCGGCAGTCTGCAGGGTGTTGGTGTCGAGAAGGTACACATGGGTTCCGATACGGTGGCAGAGAACAATAGGAGAGATGTTGCCCAATGACTTGGCTATTTTGATAGGCAAAGCGACAAGATCATCTTTGCAGATGGGGATAAGCTTGGCGGACCAGCTAAACTTATAGTTTGATGTGGCTGTGTGGGCATCCTCGGAAATTAGCTCCTTAGAATTCTTGATATCGACGGGGACGACCGATTCCAAGAAGTGAACAAAAGTCTCGGCGCTGTTCTTCTCGGCAAAGTAAAAGTCGACGCCGTCCCGAGCCTCCTTGATGTTCAAGGTATCTCTGTGTGCATTGTGTTTGAGGATAAGCTGTTCGAGGTACATAAAGGTCCTCTTGTGCGGCACCTTCTGCCTCACCTGTACGGACGCTCTCCAAATGTTGGCTGTGTAGCTCTTCTTACAGTCGGGGCACTGCTGCGTGGAGACGACATAGGTCACCTCGAAGCCTTGCTGCAATACTACGCCGTGGGCGACGCTGTCTTGTACCGTAATTTTGACCTTAATTCGTCTCGAATGCGGTTCGGTCCAGATAAAACTAGCGTCGACGACTCGAACTTTGTGAATATTCAGTTTCTTCAGGCATATCGCTAAGAGCTCTCGGGACTCGGGCTGGGCAACAACCCAAGTAGTCGGGGGTAATAGCCATCGGTCGCAGTCCCTACAGAAATGTAGAAAAGATTCGCGGGGATTCCAGCAGAGACATCGACCGTGAGCTTGATACAATCGTCGCAAAGAGCGCCTCCCGATACAGTCCCGTCCAAAGGAGCGCCGCAGTTGTAACAAAGGATTCTATTCTCTATGGTTAGTTTTTCTTTTCCTTTTCTTTTTTTTTTTCCTCCCGAAGGACGGAAGAGGGGGTGCATACGTTGCCGTCCGCTGCTCTGCCGACGCATCGGCGGGGTTAAAGGAGACAACGTCGTCCAAGTCCATCTTGAGGTCCAAGATTCTAACTAACGATGGAGTTGCTGTACTTGAGGTAATAGATCGACTCCCGAATGACGAGAGAAGAGACAAGAAACCCTGGTTCGCCGCTGCAAAACCAAACGCTAGGGGGTATCTTGTGTGTGTGAGTCGATGTGATGATGAATCAAGCAAGGATGGCGGGGCAGTTGGAAAAAAAAGCCAGTCGAAAAGTTTTGCCCCTCCAGAATAATTGATAATCGTTATCGATAAGTCGCCTTAACAGCTTGGAGTGGCGCTTGTGATTGTTAGGCTCCAAAATTTTCAACTGCTTCCTTGGCAGGTGCGAAAAGCAGACCATATTAGTGACAAAGCAGAGTCCATCAGTCAGCTTACACTACTTGAGCGGCGAGAAGCAAAGCGACTAGGCTAATTTCTATTTATTTACACGAGCTGAACTAGTACTACAATGAAAGGAAGGGTATGGTATTAAAAGAGGAAAGAGGGCATGATGGTACCATCGCTTGTGGTCTCCTGTTTGACGGTGGCTAGAGACTCATCACTCGCCTCTGGTTTTGGCTCGACCTGGTGCATGGACCGCCTTTTCTCCTTCTCCTTGCGCCTCTTAACGAGGCTAGCAAACAAATCATCATCGCTATCGGAGAGGACTACGAGTGACGTTCTTTGCCCCAGAGGTCTTTTCCTCCCAGGGTCTTTGGCTGGAGAGCCTGAAGTGGCTGGCCACGTCGACTGGCGAGCCTGGCTGCCATGGCCAGGAGAATGTAGCTTTGCCGGCTTTGCCGGCTGCACCAGCCTAGCAGAGGGCATTGTCGTTCTCCTAGTAGGGAGCCCTGGGTCGACGACGCCATCCCTAGCTAGCCTTGCTTCTACCCGATGTTTAGCTATTTGCGCTGGGGAACCGCTCCTCGACTCAGTTCTATGAATTATCGGCGGTCTTGCCGAGGCCTTAGTATTAGGCCCGACAGAAGATGTAAGGCGGGACAGAGGCTTCTGCGAACTCTGGGGGACCTCCATGAGTCCTTGTAAGGATGTTCCCGTCCATGGGGCTTCGTCTTCGCTGTCAACCTCTAGACCCTTTCCCTTGCTATTGGCAAGCGCTGCTCGGAGACCTTCCTGTCGTACCCGCGCCCTGACTAGCCGCTCATTCTTTACCTGCACACCCACGCTCATGCGCCCTACGACCGGGCGCGAGATGGAATCGATCGCGTCTGCATTGCGCGACTTGGCCTGATGCTTCAACCGATGATATTCGGCGGCGTGGAGATGGACCGTGAACTTTCGTGCTACTGAAAGCAGCTCATCCTCTACCATGCGGTATTTGTCGTCGTAATCCATTCCTTCTATCATGCATCTACGTGTTTCTTCAAGTCAATGCGTGCGCTCCGACTGGTTTAGGGCCATGATCGTACTCACATTTGTGGTGGAGGCTCTGGTGGTGGAGAGGTCGATGGACTTCTTCCTGAAAGAGAGCAGTGTGTAAGCTCAGGGAACCCCTCTGTTCTTCCCAAACCGCTCTTTTCGTCCCTTTTATTTTCTTACCTGCTCGCGTTTGTCGATCGGTGAGGGTCAGTCGCTGGACTGGCTCTGTTGTGGGCGTGCGCGCGACCGCCACAGCCGGCCGGGGTGTGGACGGAGCTGAGATGTTATCTCCAGGGGCTCGGTTTCTTTTGCGATCCCAAGGGAGATTCCTGCCCATGGCTGCTGTGTAAATATTAACCTAAATTAGGAAAAAGAAAATATTCAAAAAGAGGTGTGGATTCAAAACAACCAAGATGCGAGCATTCACGCCCTCTGACTACCTAAATCATCCTCACTGGTAGTGGCGCGTGAGAGCTATCACTAGGCTTGACCTTTTTGAGATGTTGGAGCGGATTATTGCAGCCCGTTCCACAGCTGATGTCAGTTGCCCACGCTTAGATGACACCCAGAGCGTGAATTGATGGGTTTGCCGCCACCAGAGAGCCTCCATCGCGTGGCACAGTCCGCTTTAAATAGTTGGAAAAACACTTTATGAAGTAAATGAATTTGGCTAGACTTTTGGAAGAGACACTACGCTTTGGGTATATTCTATACGCTATGAACAGATCTATGTGCTATATACAAAAGGGGAGGAGGTGGGGTGTAATGCTCTTTACAGAATACCGTGACCGGCCACAATACCCTGACAACCAGGCATGGACAAATATTGCGTCTTCCATGCGTTCAGGAAACTCAACTTCGATTATCTGCGGCTTAGGATCGAATGGGCTCGCCGTTGTCTTGCTTCTCTAGATCACCCGCCGCTCGGTTATCCCATCTTCTCGCGGCACCTTCGCTGCCACCCTCAACAACAGCGGTGTCTTCATCACTCCCGCCACCAAACGCCTCGGCTTCCGTGTTGATGTGGTCCGCAAGTGTTCCTTGGTCGCCTTTTCCTGGCACCCCATTGAAATAATGTCCAGGGGCAGAGCTGCCATCAGGGATGTGGAATCGTCTGTCAAAGCGCATCAAGGCGTACGTGTAAACGACAATAAGTTCGATCACGAAGTTGACACAATAGAAGGCTGCTCGGTGGTGGTACCAGGCAGGCGCGGACCTGGGCCTTGGGTCGTAAGATCCGCCTAGACGGAAGCCGGCACCAAACGAAAGTAGGGTTGCGGTAAAGAGCACAAGCATGACCTTTGTCCTGAATCGGCCCTGGCCAAACTTCTCGATCGCATTCTTGCGCGGCCAGGCCCACGCGGCCAAGACGATGGGAATGGGCAGGAAAGAGAGTACGGCAAGATAAGTACCAGCAAAGAGCTGAATCGTGCGGCACTTTTGAAGAACGCTGCGATTGAGGGTGTAGAAGCTGATGACTGTCGCGGTGATGACCATGATGAGTAAGGCGACAATGCTGAAGTACAGAAAGCGGAACATCAAGGTAGGGACTTTATGCCACCCAAAATTAGGGTGATAAGCCCTGAGTAGTCGCTGGGTGAAGATGAGGTTCACGATGAAGAGTAAGAGAACTCCGGCAGAGTTGAAAATGTTGGACGCGATGGCGACGCGGATGTTGGTGATGTGGGTGGCCCACACTATCCTCATGACGAGGGTAGTGATACGGGCCATGCAAAAACCGAAAAGAAGACCTGATAGTATGAACTTGTGGTCTCTGCGGCGGTTGATCTGGAGGACCGTCATGTTGAAGGCTGCCGCCATGACGAATAGGACGAGGAGGACGGCGCTGATCGGAACATCAACAGACACCGTCGGTACCCCACCGAGAAGGGCGACAACCGGGAAGTAAGGTGCGTCTCCTTGCGGCTAAAGACACACAGAGGAAGGGTTAGTAACCTTGAAAGGTTCATTTCGTATCATACTGTAATAGTACGTTTGCCCAAAGCATTGGTTTAAGAAAAAAAAAAAGAAAGAAAAAGAAACATACAGTTTGGGCACTTGCGCCCGCGGGCGATGACATGATGCCGGATTTGAAGTTTGAAGAGAGAAGTGGCGTGTCGTCAAAATTTGAAATGAAATAACGGGCTTGTCACGCCACTTGAGTACTAAGTTGCTTGTTCAAGGCAAAGTCTCGAGGCAAGGTTATAGAGAGAATAGTGGTGATGATTTGTGTCAAGCAGAGTTCGAGTTTACATGTACTTTGAGCTGGGGGTCGAGGTGCGTCTTATACCTCAAAACGAAAATACAGATCCGAGATTTGCGAGTCAAAGCCCCATCTACAAGTATTACGTCGCTCGCTTGTTTCCCCCGGCCCACCAACAAGATTTCCTTGACAAGTCCCCAAGGGACGGAATCGGAGTTAAGCATCGGTGACTAAAAGCACGAATGAAATCTCCGTCTATGGAAAGGGAAAGGGGTGGAAAAGCCGCCGCCTCCCGAGCGCAGAGGGTCCTATTATTCCTCCGTCGATTGGCACAAGACGAAAATGTCCTCCGAAAGGGTGAAGGTGCGGAAGCAAGAGGACGAGTCCTCGAAATCACTGGCGCGGACATGGGTGTTCCTCTCCACCCGCAGTACACTCGATACCCAACGTTTGGTCGAAAATGGCAAGGGTGGCATGGATATCGGCGTTGTCGGCACCGAGTTTGCCGATTTGACCCGCTGAAATTGTTAACTTATCAATCGTTAGCTTCGACTGAACAAGAACGGAGAAGTCGGTGCCGACAAAACCGCGCGAAAAGGCGAGCAAACTATTAGCCCCGCCAGCCACCCATGTTTGAAGGGCCAGTCCCCCATATTATCTCCGGGCTAGCAACCAAGTCCAACTGCGTTTAATAAAGGGCCCTTAATAAAAGCGAGGTGCTTTCAATTCTCATCAGTCCCCGTGTCCCTTACGCCGCTCAGAGGTTCCCGCCAGGCCGTGGCGTTCCGCTGCTGCTGCGACCAACATTCAAAGCTTGGCAACAAATGCAGCCCCATGTGACGGATGAGCTTGGCGCCCGAGTCTGCCATGTGGTGGCCCCGACGACGACCCACTTGGCAGGAACAGTTCTACCATCGATGCGACGCCTCGTTTTTACATATAAAAATGATAATAATAAAAAGAAACCACGCCCCCTCCCCCAAAAAAAAAGAAGAAAAAACCAGTGCTCTCTTGCGGACAGGGCCGCAATTTCAACGGGGATCCACATATTTGAGGCAATGTCCTGGTTACAGCGTTTTACTCTTTCTCCTTCCATCCAGAATAGAAGATAGATCCATTAGATCCATCAGATCCATCGGATTCATATTCACTAGCTGTAGCTAGTGATGTACAACAAGATTAAAAGCCCAGGTATCTCCTCACCAAAGGCATTTGACAGACCTTGAAGCGGCGAAAAGAAAAAAGTTCGACCGATATCCACAAACTAAAAAAGGGTTCTCCTATCTATTTCTCCAAAACAAAGATCCGCGCCGGCAAACAGATTGGGAGTGCGCCTCTCGCGCCAGGCGCCTTCTAGCCTCGTTCCGAGCATTTGAGGCGCCCTAGCTTCCCGAAAGCATCTGTTTTTCTGCTGCACCCTGTCGGGAATTAAGGGCTATTCGTGTCTTTCTCAGAATAAGACTAACAAATGAAGGGCAGGGCGTTTAAGACATGATCTAGATATGCATAGATATGTTTGTCCCCCTCCAGAGCCTCTCCCAAGGCGCTTTCAAGCCAATCTGCTTTCTAGGTACGTATATCCATCGATGGATAGATATATCTATTGGCTTCAAACTTCGTCACTGTATCCTTAGATATAGGGCCACACTACCTGCCAGGTGCTTTTAGGTATCCTTGGTTCATCCATGGATGGGATTGATACATAGATAAATCTATGGATCTAGCAATGAGGGTGGCCTATCGGGTCGTTTCAAGACACGTACAGTCGATTCATAGAGGTTAGAAAATGGGCGGATCCCAATACCTCAATCTCGAGAGGTCTTTACGCGGGTGCCGGTAACCACGGGTGGGCATGTTCTCTAGAGAACAAATTATCACCACACTACACGTATTGATCAAGCCCGGGAGTCGACCCCATCGATGCCAAATTTTGCAACGACTCCCACGGGGTGAAGTGGTGCGGTGTTAAGATACGTGCTTTGAGCTGATGATCATATATATATATGTCTTTGATTCACAACAGCTTGCGTGTAAGCCTACATGTAGTCACGGGATGGGGAAACACTGGGGACCAAAACTCAATCCCAGAGTTCGGAGCCAAGTATTGATCTAAGTATATATGAATTTCTAAAGGGGGTTGACTTTAATTGGGAGTGTGCCGCAAAGGTCTTTCACGCATAGCTCTAGTGTAAGCAAGGGTCTCTTCTTCCTTTGTTTCTATTTTGAAAAGAGGGAGGAATAAGATATTCGAAGAGAGGTCCTCGAAGCCTTCCGAGGGTGAACAGTGGAGTTTGAAAGTGCATGACCTTTCCTACAGTCAACGATTTTAGTTCTATTTAGTCTACGTTTCTCTTCTTCAAGCGTTTAAAGCTTAGCGGCGTCCCTCACAACCTTGTCGATCGCCTTGGCGACATACTCGACATTGCGGGAATTGAGGCCAGCCATGCTGATACGGCCATTTCCGGTCATATAGACGTGAGACTCTTGGCGGATCTGGAGAGCCTGGGCCTGGGAAAGACCAGTGAAGCTGAACATGCCGATCTGGTCAGTAATGTGGTTCCATGTACCAGGGGTTCCAAGTTCCTCAAGCTTAGCCCTGAGGGCCTTTCGCATGGTGATAATGCGACCCGACATGGTACGGAGATTATCTTCCCATTCGGCAAACAGGGCGGGGTCGTTGAGAATGATGCTGGCAATGCGGGCACCGTAGATAGGGGGTTGGAGATCTCAGCTCGCTGAAGGAGAGTGAGCTGGGAGCCAATCCTCGAAATAGCATCGCCGGCATCACTTGCGGGGCTCGTCACGAAATGGAAGCAACCGGCGCGTTCGCCATAGAGACCAAAGTTCTTGGCAAAGCTTTGAGCGATGACGAGCTCGAAGCCTTGCTCAATGAAATATCGAACAGCCCAGGCATCGCGAGCCAAATCGCCGGAGGCGAATCCCTGGTAAGCACAGTCAAAAAGGGGAAATGGTTTTCTCCCTAATGACAGTAGCAAGCTGTTTCCATTGCTCCTGAGTAGGATCAACCCCGGTGGGGTTGTGGGCGCAGACGTGGAGCAGGATGATGGACCTCTCAGGCGCATCGGCGATAGCTGACTTCATCCCATCAAAGTCGAGGCCCTTGGTCTCCTTGGAGAAGTAGGGGTAGGGGCACTGCCGATGCCGACATTGCTAAAGATCTGGTTGTGATTGGCCCAGGTAGGATTCGAAACGTAAACAGTCTTGTTACCAGTGAAATATTTGGAGAGGAAAAGGGCGCCGAGATGGACGGCGCCGGTACCGGAGACGGTCTGGATCGAGGCTACCCGCTTCTCTTTGAGGGCAGGCGAATCCGCACCAACCATCAACTCAGCAGCCTTTCCAGTGAAACTGGCAATTCCAGCAATCGGGGCATATTCGTGGTCCAAATTCGGGTCGTTACGAAGGATCTCGTCAGCCTGAAATGTTGGACAACCGGTTAGTTGTAACTCATGACAGTTGGTAGAGAGAGGGAGATTTGGAGAAGAAGAAAAAAAAAAAAAAAAGAGCTAGAGCTTGTGCACGACAAGCCTAGGCTGAATGGCGGGTGGGGTGAATAAATTCATGTGGCATTGGTGGGAAGAATGGTGGGGGAGGGGAGGGGATTTCAGCAGCCAGCGCGGGGTGGTGCTCGTGCTCCTCTGTCGCAATGGTGGGGCAAAAGGGGCACCCAACACAACAGGTACCGAGCCTTCGAAGTGAGCAGATGACACGCCATCTCTTGAAAGGCCCAGACACCAGAGCTTCAAATGGAATCTTCGGAGCATCGAAGGAACCACGGTCTCGAATAGAAGAAAATAGAAATGGAAGGGGGTCACACAATGAGCGTCACTTGCCTTCTTGACAACAGGGAGGACCCAGGGTTTCGCAGTGTCATCTCTGTACGCGCCGATACCCTAGATTGCGCAATCGTCAGTCAAGCTGTCCAAAAAGAAACTCGATGGGCAGTGGCGATTCCAGCGGCGTCGGCGAGGGCGGTGTGAAGCACTTGGGGAAACATACCAAATCAACCTTCTCTTTAGACTCATCGGCCCTGAAGGCCCTCATGAGGCCAAAGAGCGGATCCTCCGGGGCCTGCGGAACTCTGTCCGCGGCGAAATTCGTTGTAGAAGCCATCTCCTGTTCTGTTTTGTAGGGTAAAATAGAAGAGAAAAGATTGATTGTTGTGCTGGTTTCCTCCAAGGGAATGCCTTCAATGTTGTCAAGAGAAAGTTGCTTGGGGAGAAAGAGATGGGAGCTGAGGTTTTGTGTCTATAATGTTACTTTGTATGGGGGCTTGCTCTCGTTCTCGGATGTACTAGGCGTGTATATGCACCAAAGACTTGACCGACATATTATTGATCAATGTATAGTTGATTGACTAAAAATAAGTTGCGATTGGTTGCAAAACAACCATCAATCGTTGTTCTAGGTCTGGAGGTCCGTCTTCTGCGCACCACCCGTCCATCCGTTCAGCCATGACTCAACAGCATGAAGAATCTCCTTCCATCCGTCAACTGTACTTGTCAAGGGGCATAAACAGTGCCTGTACGTGCACAAATAGGTATGCTACGAAATACAAAAAGAACCATTCATAAACTAACTAGCTTGACTATGGGCTGATGGCGAGCTAGCTCGCTTCAAATGCTCAAGCGGGGCGTTTATGTTACGTACAAACCAGCCAGCTGCCAGATGAGTACTAAGAGGGAACCTTTTCGTCTGAGCCAAACGAGAAGTCAGTTTTCAAATGTTATTTTCTGTAATATGTACTATTGATATCAATTTACCTCAGTGCTGGAAGGGAAGAGTCAATCCTAATCGCTCCCAAACGCCGTGATGCCTCGGGTCATACATTTTTCGCTTTCGGTATGCACAACACCCATCACACCCGCCAAGTCCCTCATGCCACCATGCAACCCTCCAACCCTCCAACCCTCGGCTCCCCAAGATTGGCATCTGCCTTGTCCCCCAATGTACTTAATCTACAGCAACCTCCCCTCTAGAGGATTAGGCACCTCGTCACGCTGCTTTGAAAAAGAAGCAACACACATCTAAAAATAAAATAAAAACACTGACGGGCATCGTCCCACCACTATACCAACGATTACGTTCCTTTGATGCAAGGGTGGGAGGCTTGAAATCATTGATTTTCCTGGCTACCGCTAGGTCATAGACCGAAGCGGTTAAAAAGAGGAAGAAAAAGAGGAAGAAGCCAAAGGCCAAGATATAATGTACACGATGATCAGTACGATATATTATAGATCCAATGCTGGGTCGCAAGATTGAGATTTTTCGACTTCCCTTAGGAATTCCCATATATTTTACCCATTTTCACGTTAAAGGATAAGAAGGTCTCCGTTGCTGCCCTGGCCTTGGGCAGGTTGAAGCACATGCTGTGGCGCGTGGGCGCTCACCACATACCCGGTTTCTTGGCCGATGCCCCTCCGCCAAAGACATCCCCTTGGTCAATTCTCATCGCAGCCATTTGTTGGGGTCCAATGCTTGCGAAATACGCATCCGCGTCATTCAAGGCACTAGGGGAGGTTGAACCGTTATTCGTGTTCACCGCTGCGGCTGGTCTGTTCCGAAGGTCAATATCAGACGGTTGGCCACCCTTTCCAAACATGCTCAGCGATTTCTGTCCGTCGCCGGGGGCGATGATGGACTCTCTCTGTAGGCATGGGGAGTCCGGCAGTCGACGCGGCCGCGCAGACCGGAAAACCGTTTGAACAGGCTTGAGATAAACGGTAGCGAGCGTCCCAACGTTCAAGCACATCTCTTCAAGAGTCTGGGGGTCAAGCTTCTCTGATTCTGCTGTGATTGGCGGTTTCTCTCCCATGACGATCTGCCTCGCAGAGTTCATATCCGTTGAGAGCAAGCGCCAGTACATGTAGGCACGATCTCGAAGGTCGGGGTTATCGGTCTCTTCAGTGGCCCACTTCAGCACCTTGGGGACAAGATCTTGGCCTCTTGTGGGCCTCTGAATGAACAGCTTCACAGTCGCTGTAAGGAGTGCTAGCTGCACCTCAACGGGTTCCTCGGAAAACGAGTAAAGGAAATCTTCTAGCAGAGCATCTGAGTTTTCGATGCGGTCGGCGTACTCGCCAATCACCCACACCATAGCAGCCTTGGCCTCTGGTTCGTCTAGGGAGTCCAAGTTCTCGCAGAGAGTTCCGATAATCGACTCGTACTGATTCGGGTACTTCCGGAATATGTTTCGGATTACCACGGTCGCCTCTTGAACAATGTACGTGACCTTGGTCGCTACCAATTCAGGAGAAGATTTATACAGCGAGTAGCGGCTGGTTCAATCTTGATCGCTAACTTGCCAATCGCCCTTACCGCCTTTCTCACAAAATGCACATCAATCTCCGTGGCATACTCTCGTAATTCAGTCAACACTTCTTCGATATTGTTTTCATTGGCGAGCATGAAAATCAACTCGAGTTTTGTGACTTTGACGTAGATGGGGTCGTTGTACTTGCAAAAGAAAACGCGGATGTCATTGCGTAGGACCTCGGGTCGCCTCTGTAGAATCAAGAGGGCATTTCGGAGGGCGAGGTATTGGACTTCCGGGCCTTTTGCTAGTAATGTAACGAGTGGGGGTGACAGCTTTTGCAAAGCGCGGCAATTTGCCTCTTATCAGAGATGTAGTTCATTAGGTATAGAATGACACGAGTGCAGGTTAGGACGACAGAAGAGTTCGAATGTGATAGCCGGGGGCTATGCGCTCCGCCAACAGAGAGGCCTCTGAGGATTCCTGGGGTACATATGTCATCAGTGCTTCGAGGATATACGTCTGACCCCATCTGCGTTCAAGCATTAGCGGATATTCTACACCAATTTGGCCCGTACTTTCGAGGACGGAAGCATTTTCACATACTCTGAGCAGTCTGGAAGGATAGCCACCATTTTAGAGGCATTGCTGTAGTCGATCGTAAGCTTTATTGCCTCGCTCCTTTCCCAGATGTCCATGAGCGAGGCAAGGGCACTGGCAACAACGGTGGGGTTGTCGTCCCGAAGTAGCGAGTTTAGTTTATCGATCAGATCCGACTTCTCAATCATCTGCTTATCATGGTCATACAACTTGGCGACGCAAAATGCCGCTGTTTTACGGACATACGGATCGCCATCCCTTAAAAGCTGCCGAACTTGAGGGACAGTAGCATGAACAAACTCCTTGACATGCACGTAAGACATGGTACGAAGGGCAAGTGCTCGGACTAAGGGATTCTGGTCCGCCATATCCTATATAAGAAAGGGTTGTAAGATGTTTGCTGGCTTCGATACGCACGTAAGTAAAATGATACACTTACGTGTTCTAGAACAGGGATTGCCTTGACAGCAATTTCGGGGCGGATCCTCGAGTAGTTGACAAGGTAGAGGAAACACCTGGAATCAAGGGAGTCAGGATAGCTGTACTACGGTAGACGACGAAATACGGGCTTGGAGCCATAATATTCTTACATCTTCTTGATCTCCAGACTTTGAATGTGCATACATCCAATGATGTCGGGGAACAAAGCGACCATGTCGTTGTTGCTCATCGTCATGTTGGCGACGATTTTCTTGAGCGCAATCTTCTTCGTCGCATAGCTTTTGTCCTTCTTGCCTCCACTATTCAGCTCGAGGCGAAGCTCCGCCACTTTGCCCTATGGATTACTTAGTCCCATATCAAAAAGAGTGCCATGGAGGCGAGTCGGGCGTCTTGAGGATCCCAAGCAGAGAATAGCCAAAGGCCGAGGAGAGGTGTGGTATTCGCACATGAGATGCTTGCGGCGAAGCCCGAGGCACGCGCAAGAACTCTAGGACAGAAGAAGAGCGGTAAACTTACTCGTGCAAATAGCTTGGAATCTCCTCCTGGGGTGGCGGACATGGTGAGATTAGATTCTCGATCTCGACCTGCCTATTGTTGTAGTGGGAGTGGGCTTGTAAGCCGGGACCTAGGAGATCCCTTGTTCGGAGGGATGAGTGCGAAGCCGCAATGTGAACCTCCCGATCCTGAGAAGAAGTGCTGCAACTTTGTTTGTCTCGTTGCTCCTGTAGACGCGAAAGATTCGAGGTCAAGTCGGAGGTCGTTGCGCCAACCGACACAGGAAGGATATGTTGGACGTCCTGCTCGTGGGATGGCGGGGAAATTGAAGATTGACCACGGGCCCCGAATCCAAATATGTGGGGGCAAAGGGTCTGCTGGGCGTCTAGCTGGCTGTGGTTTTGACACGGCTTCCAATTCGCGATTCCTTCTGCCCGCTTAAACGGAGAAAGACCAAAGGTATGACATTTGAAGTTTTGGCGCTGCGAGTACAGGAGATCGATTCTCTGGCCCCATGAAATAGGGATGAGGTTGGTGGATAGACCCCTGACGATTGTACCCTGGTCCGCGGGTGCGTCTGACTAAGGTGGGTCAGCAACGCCAGCGAAGTTGGTCATAATGGTGAATGCCACCAGCTCAATGCGAAGCTTCCGAACAACATCAGACCTGCAACACACGCTTTGTGCCAACGACACACCCGTCTCACAGATTTCGCATCAAGATTCGAGCGGCGCAACATGTGGCAGAATAAAGCTGAACTACCCAAATGGATTGCGGACCTCAACAATCCGCCCCTGCCCAAGAGCAAGGCGGCGGGTGTTGTGGATCCCCCAGGCTTTCCCTCACAAACTTCAACCAAGGTAAATAGCTACTCTTCGTTGATAAACGCGCGCACTTTATTTTGTGGTAGTATATCTAATTATTTTTGTATCAAATATAGAAATCGAATGCCTCGAGAGACAAGGCCCCTCAACGACAACCTCAGACCCCCGCCGAGATGGATACGCTCAAGATCAAGAAGGCGTGGGAAGTCGCCCTTGCCCCCGTTAAGGGTTTGCCCATGACAGCGATAATGATGTATATGTCTGGAAACTCGCTGCAGATCTTCAGCATCATGATGGTCTGGATGGCTTTCAAAAATCCCATCATGGGCCTTATCTCTACAAACCAAGCATTCGCGCGCTTCGAGTCTGAAACCAACCGTTCTCAAATCGTACCTATTAAGCTCATCTACGTCGCTATGCAAATCCTGGCTCTTGGTGTGGGTGTGTGGAAAATAAATTCAATGGGATTGTTACCGTAAGTCAACGAATTCCCTGAAGCACGAAATGAATCTCTCTCTAACGCCCCCGCCTTAGAACGACACGATCAGACTGGCTTGCCTGGGAAAGCCAAAGGGAGCCAATTGAATTCGCGATTCCGGCTTTATGAAATGATCTCACTCCATCCATGTATATTACCACAACAGTTACGGGTTGAAGGGCTGAGGGTGTTGCCGACTCTTCGGGATTCACATGGTATTCCTAGTTGGCCTACTGGGTATACTAAGTGGTAAGGAAGGCGCATATATAATAGCGAGCTGAAAAAATTGGGAAAATTGATACTATATGAAGTTCACAACAGATTGCTTCTCGCTAGCTTAAGAGCCGCGGTAAAGGAATTTCTCCTGGAGATGTAGAACCCAAAGATCTGGCGCAGAGACGGCTATCAATTGGCAATTGTACTTCAAAGAGACGTGAGCTTCTGCTGAGGTATAAACTCTCAATCATCGATGGCTAGAAAATGCCACAATTATTGACACAGCATCTGCGTTTCCCCCAAATAGATGACGCCTGGTGACGTTTGGTGATTAGCTAGCTAAAATCAGAGCAAAGTACTTTGGTACCTCATTCCTCAATTCGCTCTTGTGGGGCCTGTGCACTGCACATCCATCTCACTGGCCAGTCAAGCTTTCACACCACGAACATCTGGCAAGTTCAGCCAGAGAAGCGCAACTCTGCCAACTGAACGCAAAGCAAACCCACAACGTTCCCGACCACAAGTACGTGAGAACGAGGCCTGGAAGAAGGGGAGGACTATATTTTTCTCCGTTCTTTAGATTTCCCAATTCGATTTTCCTTCTCGCCCTCTCTCCCGCCTTTACCTCCCCTCGGCTCAGCCATGGACCTATCTGTGCCTTTTAACGAGCTTCTCCAAACACATAAAGCTCCCCCGATCCAGCGCGACCATGGCCTAGATCGGCTCGACGAATTCTTGGCTGAAGCCTATAGAATAGTAAGCATATAACGAGAGTAAAAGACGCTTCTCGACGAGGCTGACCAAGGATCCTTCAAACGGCAGAACTCGCATATTTCAAATCTTCATAACGAACTGAAAGATGTCCGCCAAGCCTACCTCTCAACCGCCCAACCGCGCAAGACGCATCTACGGACAGGCCAAGCTCAAAGATACTTGACCGACCGAGATCGAGAAGAAATAGATGCCAATGCGAAGCAGATAATTCGTGAGCTCAACGCAAGCATTCGCATTCTCGACGACGCTGAGAACAAACGACGCTATGACGAAGAGGCCGCGATACGTAGGAAATACGGGAGCGGTTTCGGGGCCTTGGGGTCCTGGGCGGCGGGAGGCAAGAAAACCGACGAGCACGAGTTAGCCGAGGGGAAAGCCAGGGATGCCGGTATCCACCGAGACGGCGTCATGTGGTTTCTGCGGAAGCGGCTGGAATTATGCTGCGCAACGCAGCAGTCCATGATGGAGGCCAGACTCACACGGGAAATGGAAAGAAATCGCAGCGTGTTAGCTAATGCCAGTATTCCGTTACCAGGATATAACGCGAGCCAGGAAAAGTCACATGTCCCATCTTCCACCAGCTCTGGACTTCCTACATCCTCCCTGGCAGACTCTAGTTTGACTGAAGAACAAGTTCAAATGTTCGAGAAGGGTAACCAGGACATGATGACCCATTACCAAATGACTCTAGATAAAGTTCGGTATGTTGCTAGAATCTCAAGAACAAAACACCGCCCGGTGGATAGTGAACTAACGAACCACCGCCTCGCTTTAGGACGGCAGAGCAATCCCTCGTTGAAATCGCAGAGCTCCAGACTGTCCTAGTAAACAATCTAGCGGTTCAATCGGCCCATATCGAACAGTTGGTCGCCGACTCGGACAATATGGTGGACAATGTAGGAGGAGGCAATAAGGAACTAAAAAGGCAACTCAGCGACCTAGCGCCGCAAGGTATACCTTCTTCGCAGCAGGTGGACTATGTATGTTCTTAATAGTGTGGGATCTTGTTATATAAACCAAGACACCTAGCTCCATTAGCTGTTCCCAAGCCATCCTGAAGAATGAGCATGAGGGCAATAGCAATTGTATATATCTTTATATTAGCTCACGCGCGGTGTTGTATACCAAGTGCTTCTCCAGCTTTTCTCTGGGCTTTAAACATCCAGTCATAAGGTTGCAGTGAAATATGTATTTCACAGCGTGGCTTGACCGATCAAATGAGGAGCCGAGTCTAGCATCAGACGTAACGGAAGTCGCGGAGTGGATTCAACTCCCAGATAATATCAAACACAAAGATGTCGCGATTAGGATTCAATAAGTGATAAATCTTGGACCTGTACAAAAAGTTAACTCTGACTAGTTCACTTTTGGAGCCAAATCGATCCGCCTTCCCCAGGTGGCAAGATACGCCGCTGATGCACCCTGGCTATCTCCTAGGTGCTCCGAATACTCCGAATACTTGAAAAGAAAATATTTAAAATTTCGGAAGCTGACAGGCAGCGTTTCAAACATCAGAGAATGCGAGATCGACGGACTGCTCATCCGAAACACATGATTGTGGCCGGGGTTATATTATAAAGCGGCCTAAATTGAGCCATTGAGGAAAGCAAAACGGCTCTTTCTGTGCTCGGTGGGAAGGGAGGTATTAAACCGGCGGCTTCAAATTTGGCCCCAACCAATTCCTGAGTCGCCCCATGGGCACATGTATTTCAATATGATGAATCTTGGTTCCTTGCGAAGGTATCAAGAAGACCCGGCTCCACATGTCACAAAGGTGGACTTTCCCTGACGGGCTCCTGCTTGTCACCGAGCCAACCTTTCTCGACAGAAAAGAGCCCCTTAAATCTAGAATTCCGCCAAGGCCGGCTTTATGTGATGTCACGTCAAGACGAACTTGTTGGCAACACGCTGGCCGTACATGCATTATCAACGGATTCAAAAGTGATATAGATCTTCGTATCTTGGCGACGAAGCCATCGGCACAATCGATAGTTATGCGCTTCTCCTTGCGTTGGTCCGTGCGAACAGTGATATGCACAGGTCAAGCCAGCTACGCATGTGAACCAGGGAGGGAGAAGTAATGAGCGTTGGTGGTTGCGCCAATTTTGTTATTTGAAGCTCACGAGTCCAGTTAATCGGATCACGACATTTCCCCAGACAAATTGGCTTTAAGTCTCTTTTCTTCTTTGGGGGTTTCTTTCTTTTTGGTCTGGTGCAATGGGTATTGCTATTCCCGACCCAGACAGTAGCTCGCGCCGTCGTAACATGCCTTGGGACTTTGCGGGGAACTGAGCAACGTATGTGAGAGGAGGGAGGAACAAAGAAGAAGAAAATTAGGGACAGGGCTCCGCGCGATACTCCTGCGCTCGCTGCAAGGTCGGACGAATTGAGCGCTGTGGTTGCTTAGACAGTGCCGACCGCCTTCGTAAGACCGGCAGGAGCAGGAATTCGGAACGAGATAATGAGTCTATTGGGTTAATTGCTTGCTTGTTTTTGAAGGTCGAACATCTCCGAGATTCTTTCCCCCTTCCCACTTCCCCTCCTCCTAGATCCACACTCGGCCACTAGCGGCGGCTGCGTTGGGCCACATCAATCCATGCAACACTCCGCTTCTTGGGATTTGATGGACTCTTGCAACAGGTTAGCCACTAGAATTCCTAATAAATCCTGGCTCTAAACTTGGACCTTCCAACTCCAGAGGCTTCCAATTCCCTCGTCCCTCTCAATTCTGCATGTCTTGATTGCTTTCCGTCATTTAGCAACGGATCAAAAGCGCCCTATTAAGAATCACCCGGATCTCCCAGCTGCCCCCAATTCCTCCTTCCTTCATTTTTAGACCTTTGTTTGGGTTGCGCTATACTAGTTCCTTGTTATCTTCTTTTTTTTTTTTTCAGTTGCATTTCACGGGCGCGCAGGAAGACCTCATCTCGACCACTTTATTTTTCCCTGTTGGCTGAACAGCGCCCTGTCCCCCCTGTCGCCACTCTCGACATCACGCATTTCCCTATCCTCCCCGAGGTCCATCGACGGCTTCGAACTCGTCAATCGTGAAATATCCTCGCTTTCCCCATTGACCATTGACCATCGCGCTCGCGACCACGGTCTCTGTGATGGCGGATTTCCCGGCACCGACCAAGCCTGAAACGTCGGAACAATCAACTTCCTCGGTCATGATGGCGGGCGCCGAGCAAACCGCTCCATCCGCCTCGGGGCTCAGCCAACCCCAAGCGCAAGAACAGATTCAGGTCGATTCCACCGCCAGCAAATCACAAACCGTTGCAGTCGACACGATACCATCTAGCACTACTCAGCCCGATCTTGCCCAAGAGTCTCTCACTATCACCCAGGGAGCCGCAGCCCCCGTACCACCTGCCAAGAATGATGACGACCATGATGCGAGCCCCCGCAATCGAAGAAGCGACAAGTGACGATGCGACCAAGGCCAATCCAGTAACCTCAAGCGACGAGGGCCCTGTGTGCGTCATCACTCTGCTCGTTACTTCGGGCAAAAAGCATCCATACAAGATCGACGAGAAGTATCTCACAAAGCGAAATGTCAATATTCCAGGAACAACAGAGTCGGGCCATAAGGACCCTTTCAGCATCAGTGTCTATACTCTGAAGGAGTTGATATTAAGGGAATGGCGTGAAGAATGGGAACCAAAACCCTCGAGTCCGACTCTAATCCGTCTGATACATTTCGGAAAACTCCTAGCTGATAAAGATCAACTAAACCGTAAGTCCTTATCGGCGACCGTCCTCCCCCGTCTTTGCCAAGCTAGTTGTCCGTCCGTTTGCACTCGCCAAAGTCGGTTCTAACCCTGCTTTTTCTAGAATACAAGTTTAGTGCGGAGACGAGCAACGTTGTCCACATGTCGGTGCGCCCGCAAGAGATCGTCGAGGAAGACGAGCCCAAGGGTACTGGCAAGAGTGGACGAGATTCAAGGAACCCAGATGGTGAGGGCCGATGCTGCGTCATATTATGAAGCGTCTCCGGAAAGCCCAGCCAAACCGAATCACTACAGAACATCCGCGTAACAAAGGCGAATGTTCTTTTGGCTACCAAAACCCCTTTTTTTTTTTTTTTTTGTCCTTTTCTTTTGCAGAACATGAGGAAGCCCCTTGGTGCAGCCCTTGTATCGTCCACGCCCAACCAAACGGCACCCGTCGGATCCGCGTCGCTCTTTATAGACGCCGACCACGACTCAAGGAGGTTTGGGATCTCACCGACACGCTATTCCCCGTATATTCATGAAAGGAGACAACGCTGTTTTTGTGGAATGTGGCCCTCCGATGTCTGGCAGCAGAGTGTGATCCTCGATACAAATGACGCGGGCCAAATCGTTCCCGGGAGAGGGGGACGTGACGAGACGGAGCTCCGGGCCTTGCGACGATTTTAAGAGAGAGGCGGTGAGAATTGCGCAACGTCATATGCCTGTGCTAGTCCTTTATCTTTGTTTTTTGTTGCCCGTATGTATCATGTGTTGGTTTTTTTCCCTTTCCCTTGACTTTTCTTGTAATGAAATCGGAACTAGCATGGGCAAGAAGGGAGAGATATATGGGTTCACTGCTGCTACGGCGTCCTTCACTTTGAGTATCACAAATATTGAATATTGTATTGTCTAGTTTATTCTATCCTGCCCTTGCCCTCTTAAATGACCTCAATGCCTCGCATTGCTCCCAGACGCGTTGTCCCCGGATTGTACGTCCGCCTTCATGAGGTGGACCTCGCGGTTGTCCTTCCTGAGATTGACTCTGCCCTCGTAAACGAGAATACTCGACCAACCTTCTAAAGAGGACACTAGGCTTACCGCCTCGTGTGAGGGAGGCGCTGTGAGCCTATAGTCCTCATGGAGATCGGGTCTAATAAACAAGTTAGATAGGTGGAAGCCACCCGGCAGGTGGTTAGTGGCTCTCCCGGGAAAAGGCAGCGCTAGGCGTAGCAGCGAGGGTAACGAAATCGAGTAGGCCTGGCAGTAAACATGTAAAGAAAAGAGGAAAAAGAAATGGATTTTGCTTCTTATCAAAAATTATGATACAAAGGGTGGTCCGCCATGAGGCACAATATTTTCTTGTGACAAAAAACGTGACGAGCTTCACCGTTCCCCTTCACAACTCGCGCAACCTGCTCTTACATCTTGAGCTTCCTCTCCATCTCGTCGTGGAACCCGGGAACAGGCCGCATCTCTTCGCCAGTAAACACATCCTCCCAAGTGACAGTGGTGTCCTTATTCTTAAGAATATCCTCGTGAACGCTCGGGACCGGGGGCCCGAGGGCAACGGGCTTCCATGTCGTATCCCTCACAATCTTGAGTTCCATGCCCTGACGAATTGGCTCCGCCATGCCAAACATTCTACGCAACGTCTCCATGCGAAGGGCTTCTTGCGTGGCATCCCAGTTCTTGAGGCGGGCTTCAAGGGGATGGGCAGAGTCGAGCGTAGCGGGTGCATCCGCGTCTGCGGACGCAGAGCTTAGGTTGGCTGGGCCGACGCCAGCACGAAGAGTATCATGAAGACCAGGGGCCGAGGGGGCTGAGGTCGACTTGGTGATGTGCGAGAAGCTTGTCGCAGCAGTATCGGCGGGGTGATTCGCATCGCCTATTGGGAGGAACGGTCACAAGGCATTAGCTCTGATCAAAAGTCCGTTTCGCCCACAATCATAGCTCGAAGGATAGGTTCCCGGGTGATGTTGCGGATGCAGAAAGCTTACCATATTGAAAACTAGGCGTTTGATTTTGTATTTTGAGGTCTCCTTCGGATGAGCTAACAGTATCACAGCTTTTCTCGGTTTCAATGGGTCGTTGAGGTGTGTTTGTTGGGCAACGGCGCGAGCGTTCGAGGATGGACGATGATAGGACTTGGTGATGGATGAGGACCAGCTTGGCAAGGACCCAGGCTGCAGGCGAAATGCGTATGAAGGTCGCAGTAGCTATGTTTTTATTGGCTAGCCTTGGTTTGTTCTGGCCGATGGTGCGCTTCTTTATTAATCGCACGGTATTAATAGTTAGTGCCTAATGATATTATCGACTTAGCCGAGGCGGATGCAGTCCCTCCTGATAGGTAAATAATATTCGTTTTACCAAGTATGCTAGGCCGACTGGTATCGTATCTACACTAGTCAGAGCCAAGTCACTTGCGTTGGTTGTGACACTCTTGACGTTTCTATGAATGAATGCTACAACTTTATTCATCCTTGAGGTCCCATATATCTAGCCATCCTTCATTATCGCCCCTAAGCGGCTTTTTGAGCCTCCCAAACCGAGCCGGAGAACCCGAGTTAGCCTCTGGGAGACACATCCACTCTCTCACGCAATCCGGAACCTCTTCCTTGATATGGCTTATACATATAAGGGCCTGTTCCTGGGTAAGGCCACAGATGACAGATTTTCCCGCCTTCTTCGTCGCGCTATCAACAATATTTCCCTCTTCTAGAGATTTTTCATCTCCGGAAGAAAGGAAGAGAATGCATTTGTCTCTAGTGCTTTCATCCATGCCGCTGAACGCCTCATCTAGAACAACGATGTCGGGACCCTTAATCATGGATCGTACGAAAAGCGCCACGCGTTGCGCGCTGAAAGAGAGTTCACGGAGCAAGTAATGTTCTGCCCAAGAGAGGTCCTCCGTCACCTCGGGATTGGAGTGGTGCCCTGGGTGTAATTCGGGGGCAAACCACCGCAAGGCTGCATCAACCCTCGCAGAAGCATCTTTATCGAGTTTGGCTCGGCTTTGAAAGGTGTCGGCCCAAGCATTTTCAAGAACCTTGCGCACAGTTAGGCTCCGAGGCATGTGTTGATGGACTTCAGGGCTCGAATGCCCTATGCGGGATTGAATATCCCAAAAGTGAGGACTTGACTTTCCGAGCCGGGCTCCGGGAGACGACTTTTTCCGAATATCCGAATAGGGAGTGAGTAAGTCTGCGGATGATCAGAGCAAAGCAGAGAAACAAGGGTCGTCTTCCCAGAGCCGTTGGGCCCGAAAACAGCCCACCTATCCCCTCTCTTAACCTTCCATCGTAAACCATGCTGGTGGCCATCAGTCGTGAGCTCGGTCCAATTTCCAAGTGCTACTTTTTCACCATATTTGACCTGGCATCCGTTCATCTCCACGAGGACGTCCCTGTTGTCGGAGAGGAGGTCAGGAGACGTAGGTTGTGGCGTTGAGCCAGGTACCTCGACGTCACTCCGAATTCCACCACGCCACACCCCTTTACTGTATTTGCTATGTTCCGACAAGACCTTATCTCTCGGGCCCATAGCCTCAATCTGGCAGTCGTCTCTCAGATATACAAGATGGGAAATCCAACTTGGGAGAGGATCCTGGGGCCTGGCGCTAAGTACAATACGAGGGTTCGCCTGTCGGGCGAGTGATTCCAGTAAGGGATTCAGGGCACGCACGGTTGGGGGATCAAGTCCCATGAAAGGTTCGTCAAGAAGAAGCACCTCCGGGGTTGTCAGGAGGGCCCTCGCGATGCGTGCGCGGCGACCCTGGCCATTACTCAAGAACGCGACAGGTAGGTCCAGGAGGGGAGTGAGGCGGAGATCTTCAACAGCACGGTTCAGAAGGCTTGATCTCCCAGGGTCAAGACTGCTCGTTTCCAATGGATTCAGCTCCGTATTCCCCAGCAGGTAATCCCGTAGGAAAAGTCGGTAATTTCGCGCCTGGACTCGTATCGGGCAGAGAGGTAGGCAGATGTGGTGATGCCATCGCTCGGGCCCGCCCCCATACGCTCGCCATCAAATCCAACATAGGCAATGGCGCGGTCTGGTGTCCTTAGATTGTGGGGAACGCCATCAGTAGAGAGATACGGGTAAGATCTAGCAGGAGGGGTTCACAGAGTAAGCGGCCACGGAGGAGGTGAAGAAACGTCGTCTTTCCGGATAACGAAGGCCCAACGATGCACCAGTTTTCGGGGGATCGGAACGGGAAGGCAATTCGAAATTGAGGTTCCTGAAGAGCGCCGGGTTGGTAGAAGATGCATCGACATTAGGATGGCGCCTGTAAAGGTACCATTTGTAACCCGGACGATGGGCGAGCGAAAGAGTTGGGGCCGCATTGTAGATCAAATCGTCGAGCCAAAGGCTACCCATGAAAAGATAAAGGAAACTGAGGGAATGGCTAAGATATTCACTGTTTCAATGATCCATATGCTGCTTGAGACACACCCATCCCACCACGACGACGACGACAACAGGTGAGTACCAAAACAGAAGGTCTAGGTAGACCACGATCGTAGGATTTATGACTGATGGTTGAGAATGGGTATATTCAACAGTGCCGTCAATACTAAAGGGGAAGAAACGAAAGAGCAGGTGAATCGTAGCATCGGAGAAATTCGTTGAAGTGCATTTCTTCCTCCAGAAGTGAGAAGAGCTCAGGCACGTTCCTACGCTCGGCCTATCGATATACCCGATGTGTGGTAGACTGTGGGGACGTGAAGAGTCATCAATTGATCAATCCCGCAGCTTGGTAGATTCTATCGGAGCCCCGGCACAAAGTGCACCGAAGTGACCATGATACAACAATCAATCCAATGATCTATGGATGGATTTATAGAGATCGACCTTCAGGGCTCCTTCATCGCTCTACCGAGTATTATACTGAAGTTTCGGTCTCTAGGAGGAGGCATCGATAATAGAACTTGGTGTGCAAAATATATCCGTTCCTGAAGGCACAAAAGGAAACTACTTCGTACATATATATTCATTGTGACATATATATAAATCAAGTTTATGAGGCAAATTCAACAGTTGTCTCCAGCCATCCACCTCTCGCTTCGTGCTCACGAGGTGGTCGCGCCCCCACGATTGAGCCATGCTTTCGTAATAGAAGGAGAGAAGAAAAAGAAAGGGTACAAATGCCTGATGACTATCATTTATATCGTTTTTCTCCGGTTTTCTTCTTCTTGTTTTTTTTTCTTTGGATCGAGAAGGAGGTAGGTGGAAGGGGAAGGTCGAAACACGAGCATGATGCATAGCGGATGTAATTTTCAAGTGGACATAACATTTATCGCGAGTTCATGATAAAGATCACCTCAACAGTCTCTCTTTCCTCAAGTGCTACAAGTACGGATGAGATCGGCCAGAGTGCACCCGGTTAATAGGTCTCATTTGAAGAGAAGCGCAATTTCAGTGGGAGCTGGGACAGGGGAGTTCACTGCGCCTTCCCGCGTGGTTTTGTGATGTGTCGAACGATTGGCTGTCAAAGCAAACAACCATACGTCTGCCCCACGCGAGCCTAGTTGCCCAGTCAACCACTGAAACCTCGACACTTGCGACAACCATGGATCCCGTTTGTGTACATTGACGGGACATAATAGCTATCCACCCAGGAAAGCTGTCAGCAATAATAGATTAAAACTCCCAACAAGAGAAGCACCGTCACCATAGACGCTTCGCCTTCAATATCTCGTCCCTTCATATCTTGACCGACCATTACATTTCGCTCACGAGCAAACGAGCAAATCACCCACATCTCTGTAACAAATTTCAGCTTCGTAACCTTGCTACCAAGACTGCATCTCAAGATCGCACCGATTCAGGCCAGCGCTATCCGCGCAGTCGCCTCCCAAGTCGAGCCTCGTTCGCTAGTCCTGTATCAAGATGGACCACCACCCAAGCACTCCGACCCGACCACCCGACTATGCTCTGCCGGGATACGATGATGACGAAATTCCTAGCCATGGCGCCGCTGTAAGGCTTTTGACCAGCATGGATGATCCCCTTGACCATAGACAGTACGTCTCCCTCCTCTCTTTCGAAAGGCCGCTCTCTGGCCCTTCAGCATCGAGCCCACCCGTCACCCGGGGCCGTGCTCCTAAATTTGAAAGTCAGAATTCATGCTCACTACGATCAACATCTAGTATCCGCCCACTCCATCGGCCATACCAGCCGTCTGTGGTCTCCTCTCACTCCCGCCCCTCCTCCATACTAGACCCCCGAGCATGCCGCCCCGGATTCTACCTATGTCCCCTTCCAAAGACGAGACAGCATTGCTAGCTCTCGCGCTTGGAGCCCTTCCCGGTTATCGGGCGGCTATTCTCGCCCACCCCCTTCTAGCGTCCAATACGAGCCATCTGACCTCAACGGCTCCCCGCGCCCCGGAACCCCTTCGTCGAGGTACGGCGGTAGTCCCCGCCGCCCTTTGCCTCCTGAGCCGCTGTTTTCAGCTGGGCCTAGAACTTCCGCCGCGTTCGCTGATGACGCCACCGTATCCATCCCTCTCGATGATCACGATGACGATGTCTTTGGTCCTGAGACAGACTACGTCGAGTCGCGGCACCCGGATCGGGATTCTTACGGGATGCGCTCCGAAGTTACTCTCGGCGAGATGGATCACGAAGATGATGAGTACGACGAGAAGATGGGACATTATGGACCAGCTCCAGAGGGAGAGCAGGAACGCCGAGGTGTCAGGGCACCTCAAACATCGAGGAAGGAGGTTCAACTTATCAACGGCGAGCTCGTACTTGAGTGCAAGATCCCTACCATTCTTTACAGCTTTCTTCCCCGGCGTGATGAGATTGAGTTTACTCATATGAGATATACTGCCGTTACGTGCGATCCCGACGACTTTGTTGAGCGCGGATATAAGCTTAGGCAGAATATCGGCCGTACTACCCGCGAAACGGAGGTTTTCATCTGTATCACCATGTACAACGAGGACGAGTTCGGCTTCACGCGTACAATGCATGCCGTCATGAAGAACATTGCGCATTTCTGCAGCCGCTCGAAATCGAGGACTTGGGGCGAGAACGGGTGGCAGAAGATTGTCGTCTGCATTGTGTCAGACGGCCGAGAAAAGATTCATCCGCGCACGCTTGACTGTCTGGCTGCCATGGGCGTGTACCAGCATGGAATCGCCAAGAACTACGTCAACCAGAAGGCCGTACAAGCCCACGTTTACGAGTACACAACGCAGGTTTCGCTCGACTCTGACCTCAAGTTCAAGGGCGCGGAGAAGGGTATCGTTCCATGCCAGATGATCTTTTGCCTCAAGGAAAAGAACCAGAGGAAACTCAACTCGCATCGGTGGTTTTTCAACGCCTTTGGAAAGGCGCTTAATCCTAATGTTTGCATTCTTCTCGATGTCGGAACTCGACCTGGCACCAACTCTTTGTATCACCTTTGGAAGGCTTTCGATACCGATTCCAACGTCGCCGGCGCATGCGGCGAGATCAAGGCAATGAAGGGGCGGTTTGGTGGCAACCTGCTCAACCCCTAGTGGCCTCGCAGAACTTTGAGTACAAGATCTCCAATATCCTCGACAAGCCTTTAGAGAGTGTCTTTGGCTATATCACCGTCCTCCCTGGCGCTCTCAGTGCCTATCGATACCATGCACTGCAAAACGATGAGACGGGCCATGGCCCACTTAGCCAGTACTTTAAGGGCGAAACCCTTCACGGGCAACATGCTGATGTCTTCACGGCTAACATGTACCTGGCCGAGGATCGAATTCTCTGCTGGGAGTTAGTCGCTAAGCGGCAGGAGCGGTGGGTGTTGAGATATGTCAAGAGCTGCACAGGCGAAACGGATGTGCCCGGTAAGTAAACGCCACGCTTACAACAAAGGGGAAGGACCGGGCGGGCGGTTTAAGAAGCGCCCCCCTCCCCACCTTTGTTCAATGCAAGTCATGATCTATTTTCTAACCTAGGTGGCTTAGATACGGTACCGGAGTTCATCTCCCAACGTCGACGATGGCTAAACGGTGCCTTCTTCGCCGCGGTGTATTCGCTGGTGCACTTCAGACAGATTTGGGGCACCGATCACACGATAGCGCGGAAAATCTTACTCCACGTTGAATTCATCTACCAGTTTCTGCAGCTTATCTTCACCTTCTTCTCGCTAGCCAATTTCTACCTTGCCTTCTATTTCATCGCTGGTGGCCTCGCTGATCCGGTAGTGGACCCTTTTGGACATGGGATCGCAAAGTATATTTACACAATCCTGCGCTATGTCTGCGTCCTTCTCATTGCAACGCAGTTTATTCTCTCGCTTGGCAATCGGCCGCAGGGCGCGAAGAAACTGTATCTGTCGAGTATGATTATATACTGCGTCATCATGGTGTATACAACCTTTGGCTGCATCTACATCATCATTCGTCAGCTCACTAGGAAGGAGACTGGCCCTGATGGCGAAGAGATAGGACTCCAGCTCGGGAGCAACGTCTTCACCAATCTCGTTGTTTCCATCGCCTCGACCATGGGACTCTACTTCCTCATGTCGTTCCTTTACCTCGACCCCTGGCACATGTTCACCTCATCGTTGCAGTACTTCCTTCTTCTTCCGAGCTACATTTGCACTCTCCAAGTGTACGCCTTTTGCAACACCCATGATGTGACCTGGGGTACCAAGGAGACAATGTCATGAAAACAGATCTCGGCGGTGCGGTGGGAAAAGGCTCCACCGTCGAATTAGAGATGCCATCGGAGCAGCTAGATATTGATAGCGGATACGACGAAGCCCTCCGCAATCTCCGCGACCGACTTGAGGTTGCGCAGACTCCCATCTCTGAAGCGCAGCTCCAGGAAGACTACTATAAGAGCGTACGGACATACATGGTTGTTACGTGGATGGTTGCCAACGCCATCCTCGCTATGGCTGTATCAGAGGCGTACTCGGGCCACACTCTCGGAGACAACTTCTACGTCCGTCTTCTTCTATGGAGCGTGGCAAGCTTGGCGCTTTTCAGGGCATTGGGCAGTACAACCTTTGCCATCATCAACGCAATCAACACTATCGTGGAAGGTAGAGTGAGGATGAGCCTGAAAGTACCGGAGTGGATGGGTGGCCTTGGAAGCAAGATGTCTGAAACTATGAGTAGTATAGGCAGTAGTGTGCGGAGGTGAGCGTCAATGTTAGATGCGGCTCACTAGGTCATTCGTTCTGGGCGTTTTGGGGGTATTTGGGTTTGATATCTTTGTTTTTTGTTTCCCTTCCTGATCCGCCTGTCTTAGGCTATATCGGGTTTCATTTCATTTAGTAGCCAACTCGTCTACTGTGGAGGATCTTGGGAATGCATGCATAATGAAGCCTATTATGGGTATACCTCTTTGTTGCCACGCATAGATGAGCGATGATGGCGGCACTTGGAGGACATTTCAAGAGCAATAGGGCCGTTGCCATTTCAATATTGTCCAGGTAATGACGGATACTGGTCAATCTTTGCAGAAGAAAAATAAACTTTTGATTTATCATATCGCATGCCCTTTACCGATTTATGTATTGTTTTAACTGAGTAGCCGGACGTGCCAATACCCACGCCACTCTCGCTCTCTTCGCCTGCATGTACCCTTGGCCGCCCAGCATCCTCTTCTGTTGGTGGACGCCTTGTGTTAGCTCACTTTGTGCAGATTATTTCACCATTCATGACACCAAACCAAGCCTCTTTGGAAGTGGACCACTTTCTCCACGCTCTCACACCAGCATCCATCTCTTCTGCCGGCATCACGCCTACCTCGGCCACCCGCTGCCTGAGTTCCGAATCCTCCGCCATCCTGTCCGCGACACTCTCGCCCCACCATCGCACGTCATCCTCTGTCGTAAAGCACCAGCTTCCGACGGAGCATACTACTTTGTCGGGTTCAAAGCCAGCCCTCATGGCCAGCGCCTTGAGTCTCGCTCCCATGTCCGGGTCCGAGCCCGTGGCCCTCATGGTTTCGGCCAGCGCTGTCTGCCACGCCTTCATATCGGGTAGGGTGGGGTACCAGGTCATACTGGATACAACCATGTCTTTGCATGCAAGCAACCCCCTACTTTGAGTACCCTCCTCATCTCCTTGACTGATCGGAGCGGGTCAATGAGGTGAATCACGACTTGGTGCGCGTGTACCAGATCGATTGACCCCGTAGGGATGGGTATCTCCTCGACGTTGCCCCGCACAAACTCGGCATTGGACAGCCCCCGCTCGGCAAAGACCTCCCGGGCGGCCTGAAGCGCCGTTTCCGAGGCGTCAAAGCAGATTACGCGCCCCTGAGGCACCAGAGCGGCAAGGTCCGCGGAAATGGTTCCTGGCCCGCACCCGACGTCCAAGATCGTCATGTTGGGTTTGAGGTGTGGGAGGACGTAGGGCGTGAACGTTGCGGCCGTGCGCCGCGCATGGGCTGAGAGAACGGCGGCCGAGTGCCCATGTAGATAGTGTGCCGGCTCCGCCATCACTTCAGACCTCGCTTCGGGACGCGGACAGAGCTTCTCGAGGAGAAGGGAAGGAAAGAAGAGGGATTAAGAGAAGCCCTGTCCGATCCAGGAAAGAGGAAAGCTGGTGGGCCGGGAAGTGCAGGTGAAGGAGTCGCGTATCGGTAGAGATATGACAACAGCGAGATGTCTGGTTGCGGTGGAAAAAGGAGTAGTCGGGTCACCAATGTAATGGTCCTCTGGGAATGGAATCCAAAGAGAAAAAAAGAAAAACAGAAAAAACTCATTGTAGGGCCCAGGACCTGCCAGTGTTCATTCGTTGTGGAAATTATATATGTACTGTCATTACATTCGCAACGAGGACCTGACGGATTTTCCCCGGACCGCCGAACCGAACCCGGCTGCACGTTGCACCACGTTGAGAGGCTCGGTTTAGGAGAGTCCGGCTTTCCACCAGTCCCAGGACGCCATAGTTTGCGTCTTGGAGGATTATACTTTCGGCCCAGCAGCGTTTCAACATAATCAACCGATACTCAACTGAAATTGGACGGCGAAAATGGCTCACTTCGTCGCATTCTTCTCGCTTGGAGCAATCTCTCCATAGAGGCAAAAGATCATGGCGTGTTAACAGAATCCAAGCAGAGAATTATGACTCGGAGCGGATTTCTCCCAAAGCTCTTATCCGCCGATATGCAAGCAGGTCAACGGAAGGCCCTCGACATTGCAACTTGGTTTGATTATACCAGAGCTCTCTATATCCTGAATACATGTAACTATGGGAAAGAGGAAAGAAAAGAACAAGGAGAGAGAAACACAGCTTTCCTGAGTGAGAATGGCGTTTGGAGAAGTATGAGAAAACAAGCCGAACGAACAATCATGCCATGGTAAGGAACACCACAAGATACCAAACCCCCGCCGCCCCCTCCTTTGAAAACAAGAAAAAGAGAAAAAGAAGCTAGCCAGGTATGTGTCGATATATATCATCAAGCTTTCACTCCCCAACTACTCCTCATCAGATCCATCATCCTCGGCAACCTAGCGAATGTTAGTGAGGTCCGTGAGGTCCTAGCCCGCAGTTGAAGGGAGGGGAACGGAGAAAAAGTAATAAAAGAGGGATAGTGAGAGTTTGGGAACCGTTGGGGAAAACTACACAGAGGGCAATAGGCTACTCACATTCTCATGGAAATCTCGACCCTCGGCGGTCGCGTGAATAACGCCGACTCTAATGCAGAAATCTCCAAACCTTTCTCCTAGGTTTCGCTCGGCCGCGTATCGCTTCAGGAGACCTTTCATGATGGTGAGGATCTCCTCCTCCTTGATGCTCGCGCGAAACAGCTTGTTGAGACGCTGCCCGTGGTAGCCCCCACCGAGATACATATTGTATGTTTCGAAAGCCTTTCCGACAAAAGCGACTTCGGCGAGCCATGGGCGAGCGCAGCCGTTGGGGCATCCGGTCATGCGCATGACGATGGAATCCCGTCGCAGCCCGTTTTCCTCAAGGCAAGCCTCTAACTTGCCAATGAGGACAGGGAGGTACCGCTCGCTCTCTGCCATTGCGAGACCACAAGTTGGGAACGCCACGCATGCCGATGAGCTGAGCCTCAGTCCAGAGAACTGGATATTGTCCAACTTATACTTCTTGAGTAACCCAGACATAGCTTCAACATCTTCATCCGCTACGTTGCTCAAGATCAAGTGTTGGTTACCAGTCAAGCGGAATTCGCCCTTGTGCACTTTGGCAATCTCGCGCAGGCCCGTCTTCATCTGGAAGTCAGCTGTGTCCTCGATACGTCCGTTCTCGATGAAGAAGGTGAAGTGGTTCAGGCCCTCTTCGTCCTTCACCCAGCCAAACGTATCAACGTTGCTCTCGAACTTGAACGGCCGCTCCACCTCAAACGATTGACCCCACATGTTCTCGACCTTGGACTTGTACTCCTCCACGCCTAAGTCGTCGACAGTGTACTTTAGGCGGGCATGTTTTCGGTTCTTTCGGTCACCAAAGTCTCGCTGAACCAACATTACTTTTTCGCAGGCAATGTGCACTTGTTCCTTCGAGACGAAGCCCAACATCCGTCCAATCTGGGGGTACGTTTTCTTATTGTTGTGAGTCGCGCCCATACCGCCACCGATCAACATGTTGAAACCAGCCAGGCTACCATCGTCATTTTTGATAGCGATCAGACCGATGTCATGGGCATACACATCGGTGTCATTGTGCGGAGGTACTGCAATGGTGATTTTGAACTTTCGGGGAAGATAGGTAGGGCCGTAGAGGGGTTCAAAATCCTGTACCGCATCGCCTGCGACCTGAACTTTCTCATCATTGTCATCCGTAAGCCAGATTTCGTGATAGGCCGTCGTCGCGGGGAGGAGGTGGTCGCTAATCTTCTTCGAGTATGTGTAAACTTCGCGGTGAAATTTGGACTGTGTAGGTAGGCTGCTGCACATCACGTTGCGATTGACATCTCCGCAAGCCGCAATGGTAGTAAGGAGAGCGCGATTGATGGCCTGCATGGCGGGCTTGAGCTTGCTCTTGACCACGCCATGAAACTGGAAGGTCTGGCGAGTGGTCAACTTCATTGTCTCGTTTCCAAGGGAATTGCTGATATCGTCCATCTGAATCCATTGCAAAGGCGTCGCGACACCGCCCGGTAGTCTGCAACGAATCATGAACGAATAGGCGGGCTCAAGGCCCTGGGCCTTGCGCTCGTCACGTATGTCACGGTCATCCTGCATGTACGTTCCGTGGAATTTTGTGAGCTGCTGGTCAGCTGCAGATATAGCCAAGGTAGATGTATCCTGGAGACCTTCCAGAATAGTACCCCGTAGGAAGTTTGATGCGATCTTTATGTCTTCGTTTGTCAGCGGCGCGGGTTCCTCAGGGAGTCCTTCAACATTGTCGACGCCGAGGGCCTGCCAAACCTTGGGCTCCCACTCCTGGTAGCCCGTTTGGTAGCCATCCGGATCCTGATCGTCACCGAGACCAATCTCAACAAGGCGAGCCGCCCCTAGATTGCTCAGCACTCTGTCCAGGTCCTTAGCGGGCTTGTTATAGTAAATCCTATCCTGCTTGCGAGGCCAGTAGTGGCTGTCGCCAAGGCCGAAGATAGAGAACTTGACGGAAGCGAGGTCGAGATCAGTAGAATCCTTTACGGCATCCCAGAAGGGGCGACCATTCTGCGGGAACTCGCCCTGGCCCGCAGTGGCTGTGATGAAGACAATGTTCTCTTCGGTAGGTAGATCCTCGACTGGATAGTCCTCCATTGCCATAGCGGCAGTCTTCAATCCCCGAGCCTTGCCACGATTCGCTAACCTCCTTGCAACCATTTCAGCGGTACCGTTGTCTGACGCGAAGAGGACGGTAAGCGGCGCGCCAAAGAGCCCTTCAAGCAGCTGGTTATAAGCATCCTTAGCCTTCCGTTGCTGCTCAGCACGTACTTCGGTTCCGTAATCCTCCGCGAGGTTGGCGCCGAACTGTGGATGTTTCCGCATCAATTGCGTGAGCTGATTATCGCGGTCGAGAAATTCTTGAAGCTCGGCTTTTATGCGCTCGGAATCCAAGGAAAAGGTTGGCTCACCCTTGGTCTCATTGCTGGGGTCCCATCGATAAAGGGGCCAGTAGCCAAGGTCAACGGCCTTCTTGGTTTCCTGAAGCACGGTAAGGGGGAATCCTGCTCGCCAAAGTAGGGCAAGTAGGCTAGGATGACGGATGGACCGTCGAACTTGTCCGCCTCAAGCATAGCCTGTAGAACTTGGGTATAGGAGCTGTAGACAGCTACGGATGCGACATAGGCGTTGCCAAAATTCATAGCATAAAGCCCAATATCCTTCTTTCGGCGGTTAGCGTCGGCGGCTGCGCGTTCGGAATAAGGGGTTGAATCAATGATGAGCATGTTGACATTCGCTCCGGAGGCGAGGACATGGTGAACACCGGAGTTACCCAAATCATATGCCCAGGCATCGGAACCAACGAGCCAGAGAGATTCTTTTCGGAAAAGGCCCTGGTGGGCGAGAAGGCTTCTCGCAAGCGGTGATCCGTCTGTTTCCAGCCTTGAAATCACATCACCTGCCAACTCGCCGCTTTTAGTAGCATCGTCGGCATTGACGGTCCAACGGGTCAACCAGGAAGAAGGCGCATCTGTGACAAATGCACCTTGCTTTACAGCATTTTTCACCTCATCGATAAATCGGCCGCGATGTTCCTTCCGAGCTAGAAGAGAGCCGAATCCAAACTCAGGCGAAGCAGAAACGGTAGCCGAGATACCGGCATCCTTGGACGACAATGCGTTCGCGACATAAGCACGTTTCCCGAATAGTTGATCAAGGATCTTCATGTAAGCGGTCTCGACCTTTGGTGTTTCCAGGATATAATCACTGGATGCCGAGGTTTCATCAGGCCTTCCCACGGGGAGGTTTTGGATAGGCTTCTCCGAGGTGAGATTTTGAACAACACCCCGAAGTGCCTGGCGCACAGTCTCTGACGTGATGTGTCCTAGTTGATAACCTACAACGGTCCTAGGGCCTCCCGGACTACCTTTGACAGTGGAGAGCACGTCCAAGAGCAGAGGACCCCATTTAGTTGTCTTTTTGTAAGTCTGCTCAAGGACTGCAATCCTTGCGATGGACTGAGGGAGAGCTTCCAAAAGGACAGCTCCGAGCCAGGGTCGATAGAGGCGCGACGTCAAGACACCAAGCTTTACAAAAACATCATCGGATTTCGCGTCATCGATAGCCTCCGCAAACAGTCCAGTATCGGATCCGAAAACGAAGATACAATTCTCGGCATCAGCCGGCCCTGTATACTCGAAAGCGTGGTATTGGCGCCCAAAGACAATCTTCATCTGCAACCAGATTCCAGTGACATATTTGAAGACATCTTCTGATGTTATTTGTGAAGCATTGGGCTCGATTGACGTAGCGGGGAGCTGTTGGTACGGGGGTGATGGATTGGCTGCTTTGCCCCTCAGAGTTCCTCGACGAGCCCGACTTGGACGGAACGCTCTGGACCTCGATGGTGAGCTTATTCACATCCAATCTAGCAGCTGGAACGGAGGTCGGCGGAACTTCCGCGACTGCGACCAGGCCGTCATCGGCGTAGATGGTAGAGCCAAGTACGGACGAGGACTGTAGCCGTCGAACAGTGTCCATGTCCAACAGCTCCCGCACCATTGGGATATCCTCGACAGGGATCGGCTCATCACGGGCCGATGTTTCGGGGAAAAGAAGTGAATTACACCTTTTCCTGACCGCAGTGCAAGGGCATGGGCTGTGATTGCCATGTCCTGAGCCTCCTGCAAAGTCTCGGATTGTAAAAGTGTCCACCCCGAACCCCGAATGGCGGTGATAGGCGAGTAATCGGCATGGCGAGTTGGGTAGAGAGAAACATGGATGACCACGGGGTAATTTGCTAGCTTGTAAAGGTGGGAGATGGATGAAAGAAGAACGGTGGAGGATGTCGTGACAGAGAGCAGGCGGCCAGAGCGAACAGGTTCGTAGGCTGAGAGCAATGGGTCAGCGTTGTGGCGAGTCGCAATGATCTGAAGACAAAGTACTGTAAGCGGCTTGTTATGCAAGGAGGAGATGTTAGCTGGTTTCATCTTCACAGCATACCTCTGGGACAGAGTTCGCGGAAGTCGCAACAAGACTCCGGCTACCATTCGCTGACAACCTCTTCAAGAAAGGCGAGAACGTAGAATCGGTGGCATTGGACGGCTGGACGGAGATGACAACATCACTCGCCAGGTAGGCGATACGGGCAACTGGACTTTTGCGTTAGCTGGGCGTTGGGTGGCAGCGGAAAAAGTTTTCTGAGTAAACTATCACCCCATTCACACTCTCACTCAAGATTGCTAACCACATCCCGGGCTTATAGCCGCTGAGGGCGAGGAGAAGAAGGTTCTCGTCGCTGTTACGCGTGATCCACCTTCACCTCCAAATGAAAGCAAGGCGAGAGAGAAGAATGCTCCAGCGTTGTGGGATATGAGCCCGTCTTGGACAATGACTTACCAGCCTCATCAGGAGTCTGAATGCGAGCACCAGCCATGGCTTCAGCAGCAGTTGGTGACGCAGGAGTTGTGGGAGAATTCAGTGCCCTGAATAGGAACGACATAATGGGCAACTGCAAGGACGGGCTGGGCCTTTTGACCTCTTTTGTTGCCGCCAATAAAACGCTCGTCATTATTCAAAAGGCAAATTTTTTTTTCCTACTCGCAACAATGCCCCTCCACATGCCCCCAAGTTTTACCAATCTAAGACGAGTTCGGCTGTATAGACCGACCCCCGCAAGAGGCTGCTGGAGGGGTAGAGATGGGGAGGAACCTGCAAGCAGACACCGGATTGGCGAATGGGTGTCGGCGGCAGGCTTGGCCTTGTAGATGTGTCGCCTCCGCCGAGTTACCTCGAAAGAATATTCCCTCAACATCCAGGTGATGTGACCTCTGTCCTTCACACGTTTGCGGGGACACCGGAGATTCATCGATTCTGCCGTCGATTGCGTGATCGACTAGTGCTAGGACCATGACCCATAGCATCCCCTTGCGGCAGTCCTTTACGGAGTCCTCCTGGGTATGAGATGTACTTCGTGCGGGACGGTACAGTGCACAACCCACTCAGAAGTGGAGCTAACCTGAACCCTCCCTCCTCAACTGGATCTCTTCTCTTCCTCAATGCGGCCGCTTTCAATCTTTGATTGCTCAGCTGCAATCCACGGTCGATTCTTTTGAGGTGAGTCCTTCTGACCCTGGCAGACATCGTTGGAATAGCCCAAATTCTAGGCAGTCCTCGGTGGTAGCTGATCTTGTCTTCGTCTGTGGCCTTCGAAGCGAGTACTGTGCAATTGAAAACAACGTTCAAGGTTCTACCGCCAGAACCTTGCAGCCTTCCTCTCGGCGAAGAAGAAAAACTAAACAAGGGCCCTCCTTCGCGATCAATACAAAATTCAGTCCTCTGCCTTCTCTAGCAAGTACTTGTATTACAAGGCGCATACCCTGGATACTCAGGTACAGTAAGATCTTTTTCTTGTACTGTTCGGCTTTTAAATGGTACATAGGGGTTGATCAATGGCCGTACTATACTGTAGATGGAATGGGAATGGATCCAATTGATCCATTGGATTACTCCAGTGCACGTACGAAGTATTCGTTGTCAGCCTGTAATAATAAACTTCCAGGAGTCATTCTTCAGGGCGTTACGGTCGTCGGAGCCAACCTACCCGGCTAAAGTCTCCACAGGAGCACCAATGATCCATCCGTTGTTCCCTCCTTATTGACCCCAGAGCGACTGCTTGTACTTTTTAATAGAAATGACAAGAGGGCTCGTTCGACCCGGCAACTCAAGATCCAGCCCCTCACCCCACCAGGCCTACACCACGGCAGCATTGGAAACGCAACGGGGCGAGCGTTTGCATTTTATGGGGGTGGGTTAAGAGAAAGCCCTGTTTTGTTCATGGCGATACGGGCTCTTCTACAATCAGTCTCACTCAAGAGACAATGTCACCTCTGAGATATGCTTGTAAGGAAAGGTTCGCAGCGCCGCCGCCGCCAGAGTTTGAAGGGAAGCAAAAGCAGTGCATGCATTCATGTTTCTTCAAACTTGACCAAACATGAATGTTGGTTAAGATTAGTGAACAGCAACTTGGGTTCAGGGTCTCCAAGTATGGGTGCTAGAGCAGTTGGCCCTCCATATTATTTGATTATAAATTAGTCTACAATGTTTGTCCTTTTTCCAACGAGTTGATTATGCACACGCCCGTGGCTAAATCAATCCTTTCCTTTGATTCCCCACGCCCCTGACTCCGATAGCCGAAAAAATCCGCCCAGCGGCTCTCGGTCACCCGCGAGCCGTGCAGGTCAATAGCATTTCGGGTCCGTTTGTTACTTGTCCAGGATGGCCCTCCACTACCATTGACAGTCTCGAAGCCCATGGTCCCATGAATCCATGTTTAGTGCAAAATGATGGCCAGAGGAAATGCATGGGAGCTCCTGGTCGTCAGGCGGGTACAAGGATGACGAAGACGAGGGAGAGTGTTCTCGCTGATCACGAAATATAGTCACCGGAATGGGAGCCTAACAAGTATTATTGATCCCTGATGGCCCTCCACAGCCGCGAGCCCATGCACTTCGGCGCCGAGATTCAAACCTCGGCTCGGAGGAGTGGCGACGGTGAGGATGTTCTAAACCGGTCACCCATAAGCCTCGCCCAGTCCTCTTGATCTTTATGATCCAGCCAATAACTCCTTCCCAAGGAGAGAAGCGCTCGACCAAGCTTGCCTCTCCAACCTTCTCCTTCGTCGGTGCCAACGGCAAATGGGCCGCCGGATTCCTTTGCTTGCGGCCGATCGCTGTCCGTCTGGCGGTCGTGGTAGCGAACGAGGACTTGCTGAGCATGGGCAGCAACAACAAGACTGAAATAGATCCTTACCACTGTAAACGCGGTGATAAGGACGAAACTGAAGGCAGTATCATGAGGCATGGCCACATCATCTCCATGAGCACTGCGCCGAATCCATTGGTTGAGGGGTGTATATGAGGCGGCAGCATCAATAGGCAAAGTGCCATTGATATGCTGCAACGGGGCACCATCTGCCTCCGTCATGCTACTAAAATACCATCGCACGGCGAAGAAGGTGGTGCATGCGCAGTTTATCAAAGTATCCAGGATATATAACCACGCTAGCGCCAGGCATTCGAACGGGCTTTGTCGTTTGATGTGTGGGATAAAAATCGCGAGGAGGATTAAGACGACGTTGGAATAAATGTAGGTGGAAAGCTGGAGAGAGAAAGCTCGAACCCCGTAAGAATGGCCAAAATCCCATACAACCCGGTGAGCTTGTTGAAGGCAAGCATAATCGAGACGAACTCAGTGCCTGTCTGAAGACTAATCACCCCAAGAAGTGACTGTAGAAAGTATCAGATCCAGATTGGCTAACTTCAGGGGAAAGGGGTGAGGCTTTACCTTCGGGCGCGGAAGTCGGATATGGGGGAGGGACCACATGGCTAAAACCGTACGTAAATATACTCGTAGGTTTTTCCGGAATGTGAAGGCTTGAGGAGTTGTCCCCTGTGATGGTGAGCGGAACACGCACACAAATATACCATAAGGGGTAGTAGGCAAGAGTTCGCTTCATGGATTGCTGAGGCAGGCTCTGAGATGCGGATCGCGCGCGCTGAGCCTTGGGACCCACACCAAATCAGACAACGGCGCAGGAGTGGACCAGAAACCTATATTCCCGTTGATACCTATACCCTTTATGGTCATCTCCGGTCTCCGAAGGTAGAATACGTTCGGCTCCGTTTCTCGAACCCCGATAATGGCCTTTTTCCATAGATGGATGTCTCTCGAGGTATATCCCACAATTCAATACTAACAAGCCTACTCTCTTTAATGAGGCCACACGTAGAAATCAGGCCCCAAAAGAAATGCCCATGACTTCGTTCCGTTGCGAAAATTAACAGGATGGGCTTGTGCAAAGATCCTGCATTTCTATAAAAAAATGATATTATATTCCATTCCCAGAATAACCCGGCGGTACTGTTGTCGCTCTAGCCGAATTCCCCAACTAAAAGCGCGGTACATCGATAGAGCAAATCTTTCTTGGTTCACCACCCCACTCTCACACTCTGCCCCTCCCTCCCAGTTCAGGCCTCCCGCAGCTACGAGAGGAATTAGAGCAAGCGCTATGTCTTCAAACCTCGTGGAATCCGCCAAGAAGGCTGCGGCCATTCGTGCTGTCGATGATCACCTTGACTCTTCTGCCCGCTTTGTTGGTATCGGATCTGGGAGTACCGTCGTCTATGTAGTAGACGCCATCGCGGCAAAAGGCCCTTCTTTCCACGGAAGCATGGTCTTCCTTCCCACGGGAAGCCAATCCAAAGCGCTAATCCGAGATGCTGGTCTCTCTTTGGGCAATCTACCTGACCGCCCATTGGACGCCGACGGTCGGCCCGTGTCTCTCGATGTGGCCTTCGACGGCGCTGATGAAGTAGACCAAGAACTCAATTGTATCAAAGGCGGCGGCGGCTGCTTGCTACAGGAGAAGGGTGTGGCGGTACGGGCCAAGAAATTCATTGTTGTTGCCGGTATGCTTCCATACACCTATACGATGGGCAACACAGCTCCTCGTACTTGACTTTGAGCTCTCTTCTCCTGACCCATATGCCTTGCTCAATAGATTACCGGAAGATCTCAGATCGCCTTTGCACGCAATGGACGTCTGGTATCCCTATCGAAGTCGACCCCTTTTTGCACTCGATGTTCTGGAGGACCTGAAAAGTATGGGAGCTGTGAAGCCCCGGATCCGCTCCGGGCTCCCTGCCAAAGCCGGCGAGTGCGTAACGGATAACGGCAATTGGATTATTGACGCCCCATTCGAACCCCTCAAACTGAAGTCTGATCCTTCGACTGCTGGTTGGGAGGTAGCCCAACTTGGGGCCGCTATCAAGCAATTGCAAGGCGTGGTGGAGACTGGCCTTTTTGGGGGTAAACGGAACGGAGGCGGCGAAGGTCACTAGCAGCAGAGTAGCCCCTCAAAAGCCAATCGCGGCTTACTTTGGGCTGGAAAATGGTGAGGTTGAGGTCAAAACCGCACCCTAAGCCTATGAGCGCGAGGACCATTGAGGTTGAGGCCGCATTCTTCGTACACGCGGGGTTGGGAAAGGCTACCTTGAGTTATGCAGCGCTATTTACTAGAGTATTTTCTACATTGAGGAACATTGGCATTACTCCCTATCTTTCTTGCCTCGGCCAACTTATAGTCTGGCTTCACCATTAATACATAGACTTCTAGATCCGAGGCTGAACCGGGCTACTATTCGGCTCTGGGGACTTGATATGTAGCAATGGGCCTTCTCAGGCCTATAAAAATCACATTGCGGAGAAGTCCTGGTTTGACAAGATGATATTAAGGCCCTTGTCCACAAGCGATGACAAGACCGTAGATCCCAGCTACGCTTTAGCAGGCACACCCTTCCTGCGTTGTTTGCGCGTTATTGACTTTTACATCGATCACTAAATGTATGTTAGAAGGGAAATAATGTAGACCGTTAAGAAGGCCTAGTGATGATAACCTGGAGATACGTACTTTGATTTGACGCCTGTACGGCGGCATCGGTACCCTCCATCCCCGGCAGGGCTTGAGCAATCCGTTTGAATAATGTCTTGACGTTGTGACCGAGTTTTGCACTAGTCTCAATAAACATCAAGTTACTTTTTTTTGCCTCTTCCTCTCCTTGTTGGGTTGTAACCTCTCTCTTGTCGTTTAAGTCTGTCTTGTTCCCAACAAGGACGATTATAACATCGTTGCCGCGTTCTGCTCGAACATCATCTATCCACTTCCTTGTGTTTTGGAATGATTTCGCGTCTGTTATAGGAGTCAGTAAAGCGGCCAAGAGAACAAGAAGGCATCGCCGACGAACTTGAGATGTCATAGACGACTACAGCAACACTCGAATCTCGAATGTATGAAGGTATCAGGCTCCGAAATCTTTCTTGGCCTGCCGTGTCCCAAAGCTGTAGCCGCACGGTTCGGTCTTCTAGATACATGGTCTGCTTGGACATAGGTTAGCTCCCACGGAAAAGCATTAGAAAGCCTCAGCCTGCAGACCTTGGAGAGGAAGTCAATCCCAATGGTAGCTTGGTACATATTATCGAACGAGTCGTACATGAAACGGGTGATCAAGGACGTCTTCCCAACTATTGAAAAAAAATAGAAATAAATTGTCAGCTCGAGTTCATAGACCACACCCTGTTCGTTGCATGCTCTGGTGCCTACCACTTTGTTCGCCGAGAAAGACTAGCCTGTGTAATTTAATGTCAGAGTGGTCTGGGTATGCAGGAGCTTCTCATTGAATGCATACTTAAACTTCTTCAAGGGGGCGTTGTAAGAACTCCCTGTCTGCGCCATGGCGAAATGTTGCCCTTTCCGAGAGAGAATCGCAATGGTTTGTTAATTAACCTTGGGACACATTAACACGCCGCCCCCTACCAGATCAAAACGTGCAACGTCAGCTACGTTTCCGCTCCAGCCCAAGTCGAGTGTGAGGGCTAGGCTGGAGATGAGCGTGAGAGTCTGGAGGGTATCGTACAGTACTTTTCCGCGGTTGGCTCTGCGATGATAAGTGATGTTTCTGGGTGCTCCGTCAACAGCTTGGGCCGGGGAAGTGTTTCGGTGGGCAAGAGGTGAGGCGAGGAGCCGTTGTCAGAATGAGGGTCCTCGTCATTGACCACTCAAGGCACTAACGTCTAAAATAATCATTTCGGGGTTCTAGGATGGACCTCGATAGATCAATATTCATGCTCAGTCTAGCTTGGTACTAATATGCAGCTCGCACCGTGAACTTTCAATTGAACCACCAGATTACCAAAACTACAAGTATGCACGTGCTGATAACAGTGGTCTTTGATAAGACTGGATCAGCGATAAGGTTTTTTTTTTTTTACCCCCTCCATTGCCCAAAAATCGCAGTATTTCATTCATATCGTACCACCAAGAAATCCAAACAAGCTGGGAATTTTATAATCCTAGCGATGCCGGTCTTAGAAGCCCAGGCTGGCTCACGCCATAGGCCGCAACAGCACAAACAGCCTTCCCGAAAAGGCAAGAAGGCGTGGAGGAAGAATGTGGACATATCTGAGGTCGAGCACGGCCTCGTTGAATTGAACGAAGAAATTATCCGAGGGTATGTATGACTGTCTGTATTCTATAGCTCGCGGCTGGACCGCAAATTTGGAAGCAGTATCTAATTTTCGAGTAGTGGGCCAATCGCCGAGAGAGACGCAGAGGACATCTTTGCCATTGATGTCGTCGGAGACCAAAACCTCAAGAAGCAACTTCCAAAGAGACTCCGCACGACTCTGAAATCGGACGAGATCATATCCCAACGTTCCAGGGTTCCAGCGCTTTCAACACGGAAACGAACCACCGACAGAATACCTGACGGATCGATTGAACCGAAGCGTCTTCGGAGAGACTATGTTTCGCATAAGGAAATACGACGACTAAAACAAGTAGCTGACGGGATCCACGACCAAACGGTCACTATCGAAGATGCCACTTACGATATCTGGGACTCTGGCCCTCCATTGGAAGCAGTCTCGTCAGCCCCATCTTTTGTCCCCCAGTGGTCCTTGCTAAACCGCCGGGGTCCTTGCGGGAGAAGCCTATATCGCTCGCGGCAAACGGTAAAGACATACCGGCCGTGCGGAAGCCAACCGGAGGCTATAGTTATAATCCTGCCTTCTCGGATTACGAGAAACGACTTACTGACGAGGGCACTAAGGCCGTAGAATCGGAAAGGAAGCGTCTAGTGGCAAAAGAAGAAGAGAAGATCAAGAGAGAGGCTGCTGCTCGCTCCGCTGCAGAAGCTGAGGCAGCGGAAGCCAAAGCTGAACTCTCAGAATGGGATGAGGATTCGGAATGGGAAGGTTTCCAGAGCGGGACTGAGGAGACCAAGATGACGAAACGACCAGAACGGAAAACCAAAGCTCAAAGAAACAAGATCAAGAGGTATAAGGAGGAAGAAAGAAAGAAGAAACTTGAGGCTGCCGCAAAGCGCAAGCATAGGCAACTCGACGCTCTGAAGCAACTGACGAGGGAGGCTACTAAGCAGGCAGGCACATCCGTACTCGCTATCCCGCAACTCAGTGACAGCGAGAGTGAAGGAGATGACGACCAACTACGCCGTCGCAAACTCGGGAAGGCGAAAATACCTGAGAAGGATTTGGAGCTCGTTCTGCCAGATGAACTCCAAGATTCACTAAGGCTTTTACGCCCAGAAGGTAACCTGTTACGGGATAGATACCGGAATCTGCTTGTTCGCGGGAAACTCGAGTCTCGCAAGCACATTCCATTCAAGAAACAAGCTAAGGGGAAAATGACGGAGAAATGGACGCATAAAGATTTCACTCTATTCTAAATTACGTAGTAGAGCCCAAAGTGGACTGAGTGCTTTATTTCGGTGCTCCTAGTGCATCAAGACAAGCGTTGTTTCAATAGAATCTATTTATGTATTTACCAGGTATTCACGTACTCCACTCTTGAAGACTGTGCCCGCCTAATCGCAATCTCAATGAGCTCCTCGGTATCTGTCCTAATGGTTGTTCCAACCCCTGGGCCAAAAGAGAGCCGCCTCTGACCTCGTGAGACCCGACGTTTTCCCAAGCTCTTCTGTCCATAATAGGCTCCCCAAAACGCAAGTATTCCACTCCTAGGAAGCAATAAAGGGCCAGGTCAGCCGGTAACCATGACCTCCTCCCCCGACCCTGTTGGTGTCCATGCTACCATAAGCACCCGGGTGCACTATTCGCCGCCATGGGCAGATGTTAGCATCATCGGGATTGCTGGGAGCTCGGGATCCGGAAAGTCTACATTGGCTCATGCCATTGTAAGACAGCTCAATTTACCTTGGGTTGTCATTCTCTCAATGGACTCCTATTACAAGTCATTGAACGCCGAGCAGCATAAGAAAGCTTTCGCATCCGAGTATGACTTTGACTCTCCTGAGGTATGCACCTGGTGCCTTGTGAGGTCCTGGCACGGCTTGAGACTTAAAGAACTTCCAGGCACTTGATTTCGACATCTTGGTCAAGACCCTCTGTGATCTCAAAGCGGGGTGCGTCACAACGACTGTCCGAGGCCGAGGAGACGTCGCCCCCGTATGCCATGCCCCTCAAATTCTCAGCTGACTTGCGTACACCGAGGTAGAAAGCGAGCTGAAATACCCATCTATTCCTTCTCCCAACATCAACGCTCGTCCCAAATTACATCGATATATTCTCCTCACGTGCTTGTCCTCGAAGGGATATTCGCCCTGTATGACCCCGGATCACCAGGTTGCTGGACATGAGGGTGTGTCATGTCCTACCCACTCTAGATCATTCCATCTGCTTTATCCTATCCCGTATCCTTATCCTCTACTAACGCCGGCTTGATCCTGACCTCGATACTAGATTTTCTGCGAGGCAGATCTTGATACCTGTCTCTCCAGAAGGAGTAAGTCTCCGACAAACATTTTACCCTTGGAATCATCTGACTTGTTTTTACTCTTTTTCTTTTTTATTAGTTTTGCGAGACGTGAAGGAGCGCGATCGAGATGTAGAAGGCTGCATAAAGCAATGGTTTGCGTTTGTGAAGCCTAACTTTGAAAAGGTTTGGTTTATCAACGACCTTGCTTGTAACGTAGCACCTCAATGAGGTTGGACTAATTCGATCTCTATCGCTGCCAGTACGTCGAGCCTCAGCGCAAAGTGGCCGGTATGGACCCCTGGACATATACGTATGCCTCTAGGTAACGCAGCTTGGACCTTCCGCTAACGCCTCCTTCTTATTAGATATTATAGTGCCACGGGGAATTGAGAACCATGTGGCGATGAGTTCGTGCTACGCTCCACACATGCGGCCCCCAAAAATCCGATGGCTAACGCTTCTGGCTAGGCATGGTTGTGCAATATATTGAAAGAAAACTCCTCGAGAAATCAACGCACCACCGCGCAGCTCTGAATGAGCTCGAAAGAGGCTCTCGGACACAGCCCCTCTCTGACAAGGTTGTAATTTTGGAAATTACTCGCCAAGGACGGGGCATGAATACAATCATCAAAGATATCGACACATCCCCAGAAGACTTCATTTTTTATTTTGACAGGTTGGCGTGTCTTCTCATCGAACAGTATGTGCTTTCAAGCCCAACACCTGCCGTCGCTCTTGAGCATGTTTAACACAAATGTGCTTAAGGGCTCTCAATAACGTTCGATTTACGGAGAGGACCATCAGGACACCCGCAGGTCATAGATATCAAGGTCTCATAGCGAAAGGGGAAGTGAGCGCGGTTGCTGTCTTACGTGGCGGCGCAGCCTTTGAGACAGCGCTAAAGAGGGTAATTCCAGACTGCAAAACCGGACGCATACTGATTCAGTCAAACTTGCGGACTGGAGAACCAGAGCTTCACTATTTAAAGTTGCCGGATGATATCGCGACCCATGAGAGCGTATTGCTATTAGATGCCCAAATGTCGAGCGGTGGATCGGCTCTCATGGCCGTTCAGGTCCTCCTCGACCACGGTGTTGCACAGGATAAGATTGTGCTTGTAACCTACACAGCCGGTCGCATGGGTCTGCATCGTCTAACCATGGTTTTCCCTGATATTTCAGTCGTCTTGTGCAGCATGGTGGCGGATATCGAGGAACGCTGGGTTGAGAAACGCTATTTCCGTTGTTAACCGCATTCCATCCTCGACGGTGTCCTCGCCGGTCACCGCCATCTTGCTTGGGGGCACCATTCAAGGGTCGATTACCGCAATCACCTCTATCTCAACCCATATGATAGAGAGGTTGGGACCATCACAGCGAGAGACTCCAGTCAGAGCGATCACTGTATCACTCTCTGGTCCTCGCTTGACGGATATGGTGATTACACGCACTCTAGGAGCCTGGTGCACGATCACGACCTGATTGTAAAGCGCTTAAAATCATCAATCGCCGGATTTATTCGCGGTTCTCTGTCAAATAATAGGGACGGATTGTCCCTCTGGCATGCACAATATTGCACGTGGATTTCAGCTCGCGAAGCGGACTGAGTGAACAAGGGTTAGTTAGATCAATTTCAGTCCAGCGTGGTCGACCCACATTGCCGAAGTATTGATGACCTGAGGAATCATTTTGGTCAGCGGCCCCTGCACCAATGACGTGCCTGGCTGGCCAACGCCCTCAGCTGAATCAAGTCAACATACAATTAAGCTTGCTGGAAGGTCTCTGGCAATCAACACATCTATGTACATCCATTCTTGTATTAGATAGATTGATCACTCCCAACCTGGAAGACTCCTATTAGCACAACAATGGCTTTCTAGCTCGTTCATTTCTAACGCTTGCATCTCTTTGCCCCTTAAACATCGATTACCACATACTCAACACGCAACCTCCCTCACGAGACTTGCTATCGCCGGTCCTCTACGTCATCACATCGCCGTTCGCAATAGATATCGAAACCCCTAGTCCTATGTACTCTATGCACTAACTTGTGCCTTCATCTAATCCTGTTTGGTTTTTGCAGACCTGCCCCTCCGCTAGCGCCCGCTCCCCTCCCCGTCTGAACATTGAATCCCACCTTGTTCCTCGACATGTCGCACATGAGATCTAGGTGCCTACTCTCAAGGGCCACGCCTTGTTTCCGCGCAGCCGTCCAAGCCAAGCCGCCCTTTTTCGCCGCTCCCTGAGTATCAAGCCCTCGCCATTGATACCTAATCGCCGTACAATCCCCTTCCATTTTTTTGATCCTCAACCCTTACAACCCTCGCGAGATTGGGGAGTGAGGCATCCTTTTCTAGCACGAGGCTTTCCTCCAGCCCGAGATCCCGTTTAGTCACAGCTCTCTATACGACCGCTCTTTTTCTGGGGGTTCTTCTTTGTTGATGGGTATTGGTATCGGCGCTTTCTTTCTTTATGACGCTTCCACATATGAAGAGCACTCCACTAGTCGCGAGATTGACGTGTCCCTCCTAGCCCTCAGTCCACGGCGAGGGGACCTAAGAACTTGCCTATAGCCGATGCCTACATCGACGACTACGACACCGATGAGCGGAAAAGAGCAACTAGCAAGCCCCGCCTTGTCATACTTGGCGGTGGTTGGGGATCTGTCGCCTTGCTCAAGAACCTTAACCCGGGGACTACCACGTTACAGTTATCGCCCCAACTAATTACTTCTTATTCACTCCCATGCTACCCTCAGCTACAGTGGGAACCGTTGAGCTTCGATCTCTTGTAGAACCGATTCGACGAATTTTGGCTCGTGTTTCCGGTCATTTCATTCGTGCTAGAGCGGAAGACGTCGATTTGAAGGAGAAGCTTGTTGAGGTGTCTAGTATCAGCGACGAGGGTGCTGAGTCCAGGTTTTATGTCCCATACGATAAGCTCATCGTCGCTGTTGGTTGCCAGTCAAATCCACATGGCGTTAAAGGGCTCGAGCATGCCTTTTTCCTGAAAAATATCCGTGATTCTCGAAGAATCCGGAACAAGATACTACACAATGTTGAGCTTGCGTGTCTGCCAACTACTACTGAGGAAGAGCGTAAACGCCTCCTCTCTTTCGTTATATGTGGTGGCGGCCCAACAGGCGTGGAGTTCGCCGCCGAACTGAACGACCTCTTGAACGAGGACCTTACGCTATACTTCCCCAAACTCCTAAGGAACCAGATCTCAGTTCACCTAATCCAGAGCCGGGGCCATATTCTAAATACATATGATGAACAGGTGTCCAAATATGCCGAAGAGCGTTTTACGCGTGAACAGGTTACAGTTCTTACCAACGCGAGAGTCAAAGAGGTTCAGGCCGACAGAATTGTCTTTACGCAGGTAGCCGATGACGGCAGCGTCGTAACCAAGGAAATTCCGGCTGGATTCTGCCTATGGTCAACTGGGATCTCGCAAAGGGACTTTAGCAAACGCCTAGTCAACAAGCTTGGCGATGCCCAAACCAATCGGAAAGCCTTAGAAACTGATACACATCTTCGCCTAAACGGCGCCCCGATCGGCGAGGTGTACGCCATCGGTGATTGCGCTACCGTTCAGAATAATATTGCCGACCACGTTGTCTCATTCCTCCGAACCCTGGCGTGGAAGCACGGAAAGAACCCAGAGAAGTTTGAAATCCGATTTGATGACTGGAGAGCTGTTGCGAGCGAGGTCAGAAAGCAATTCCCACAAGCCACAGCCCACTTGAAACGTCTTGATAAGCTTTTCGAAGAGTTTGATAAGGACCACTCTGGAACGCTTGACTTTGGAGAGCTTCGCGAGCTCCTTAAACAAATCGACTCTCGACTGACCTCGCTTCCTGCTACCGCCCAGCGCGCTCATCAGCAAGGACAATATCTAGCTCATAAATTCAATAGAATGGCCAAAACCACGCCACGCTTTAGAGCTGAACACCACTTTGATGAGGACTTTGACGCTGCAGTCTACAAGGCGTTTGAATACCGGCACCTTGGCAGCCTCGCTTATATTGGAAACTCTGCTGTTTTTGATCTCGGCGAGGGCTGGAGTTTAGCTGGTGGGCTGTGGGCTGTGTATGCATGGAGATCCGTCTACTTTGCACAAAGCGTTAGCATAAGAACAAGAATTCTCATGGCAATGGATTGGCTGAAACGAGGCTTGTTCGGAAGAGGTAAGTTCCCTCGGTCATCAATTTCATTCCTCTTACCCCTTGGATGCAGCCCAACTAATAAATACCCTTGGGGTAGACTTGATAAGTTTTGGGTAGAATTACGCTAAGCACACAGGCTTGCGCTCTCTAAAATTCCACGACACCTGATCAAGGCAATGGGGACTCCTCAGAATTTGGAGGAATTTGTTCATTTTCAAATTAATGATTCCACCTTTGGCTTCCCTTTCCGACTCATTGTAAAAGACTGCGTCTCACCATCCCCAGGTCTTGGCTGAGGCAGTGAATACTGGGGGTCCACTGAATGCGTGAAGGATCGATAAACCTCCGACGCTTTGATTTTTGTTTCTCCCGTTGCTCGATAAGTTTGTCCGGCAAAACAACTTTGTGCTGTCCTCTGTGGTAAACCAGAAGCCTCATAAACTGGAGAGTGTGCTCCACGTCCTTAATCGTCATTGCGAGGGAGTTGGAGATCTGCTCCATTGTACAGTTTTCTCCATGATCATTGATCTCCAACAGCATCTCGATGATATTCTCACTCCAATATTGCCGGTAGCTTAGAAGACCTAGGTCGGACAGTGGTTTTTCTGGAGACCCCAGTTTTCCCTCAATCTTTGATAGCTCGTATGAAAACTGTATCAGAAGACGGCCGTATCCTTTTCTTTGATACTGGGGCAAAGTAAGGATGCATGCAACATTATAGCCTTCAGCACTTTCTTTCTCTTTCGAAAAATATCCGACAACGTGATGGCCTTTGTCATCAACCCGTGTCATCACGTAAAATAGGAAGGGATCCACGTCGTAATAGAGAGTCTTGTGATCAAGAAACATCTTCGAGAGAAGACAAAGGTTGCGACACCAAGTCCGTTGCCTCCGGCCGTCGATTTCGAAGAAGGAGACATATTCGTCCCTATAGATTTCATTCCCCGGGGGTGCTGCAACGTACACTTCTGCCGATGCCTTGCGAATGATTTTAGGTCGCCCCGATAACCAAGGCAAAACTCACAGAGGTATACCATATCGGCCTCATTGAGAGCCTCCGGGTATGGAGAAAAGTACCATGGGATAAGATCCCACTCACCAAATTGTACCTTATTAATGTTGCGGATACGGGCGATCTCGGTTGGGTTTTGTGTCATCGAACCCGACGTACGTAATTTCTCAACTTCTTCCTCCCTATTAAACTGACTCTCCCCGGTCATTTCAATGTCCCCATCCGGTCCAACAAGTGCGATATTTGATCCTGATATTTCGGGTTGCGGTACGTCTCTGTCTTCTCCCTTTCCGGGTCCAGGTTGATCCTGGGATTCGACCCATTCTGCTCGCAATAGGTTTAGTATAGAATATCAAGTTTCACACGAGGAGGTATGACTTACCTGACCAGGGATGGGGCGTTGCGGTCTCTGAGGTTACAGATTGTTCACGTTTAGAAGCACGCTTTTGCCCTTTTTTGGAACCGTTTTTTGGCGGGCTGCGAAGTGCTCTTTTTCCCTTTTCCTTCCTTTGGTTTATCTTTGTCAGGACTAGGCCATTCGATCTCAAGAGTGAAGTCTATCCTAGATACAGGAACCCATTCGTCTAGTCGTTTATTGAAATTATCGAAGTTGCAGTAAAACTGCCGCCCATTTTTAGTGTCTCGTATGCTCAAAATCTCGGCGCGGCGAGGTTGCCCATCCTGTGAGTCCAAGTTATAGTTAGGATATGTGCAAGAGGTTGAAGTCAAGTGAGAGGATCAAACCTTCTCGACCATAGCAATACATCCAACCCTGCTCCTGCGTTAGCAAGACTGTCTGGCAGTGCTGGGCTCCATGGGCGGCGGCAAACCTGATCGTTTCGGGAGTAGCGAGTCCTTTTTGGCGAGGAGCATCGGATCCCACTACAGGGCCGTCTTTAGGTGGTGGGCTCATTTTGTACTCCTCTCCTTGCGCTGGTGATTTAACTTGCTAGGCTCGGGATCTGGCAAGGAGCGATGAGGACTTGGCGATACCTCCTACCCCTTGGCAAAAGGGTTATCTTATCAAAGGCGGTGTGGTATATGTAATTATCAAGGTGCCTCCACATAAGGGTATATGTCTGTACCGCATACATGTACCCTTTTTCAACTTCTAACTCCATTTACAATAACTATAAAACCCCCACCTGCTGAAAATGTCTGCAACTTTGTGGGAAGAAAATCCTTCGAACTTGGCCATCCCTTTCGTCTCGCCGTGATGTCTTCCGCGACAACAACACCTATCAACCACATATTTCCAGGTGGCTCTGAGAAGTCTTCTCTCTATCATCGGTATGTCCATATCTTCTCTACTCCTCGCTTTTTATCCTCCTCGAACATCATGTGCATGATGACCAAATCAAACAATGGGAATCTCTCCGAAATTTTTATGCGGAAATCTCTTGATCGTTCTTCTATTCTGATCTGCCATACCATGAATACTTCCCACCTTATCAAACTTATCTTATTACCATCGTCCTAACACTTTGCGGGAGTAGTGATGTGAATAGTGAGATGAATGCCCTGATCCTTGACTACTTAACGTTGTCTGGTTACTCGCGAGCGGCAGCCAACTTCTCAAGCGAGGCAAATTTGAATCCACACCAAGATGTGGACTCAATCCTCATACGTCAGAGGATCCAAAACGCAATTCACCGAGGCAATATCCATGATGCCTTGGAGGCATTGAATGACCTTGATCCGGAGGTAAATATCAAGAACCTTAACCCACCCTCACACTTCACTACATGATTACGAAACAGTTGTACATGCACCACTCTGAAGCACTAAGCTCTGTAGAGACGCATCCACCTTTAAATATGATATCTGTCATGACCTTCCACTTAGCACCATCTCAATCTTGGTTTATTGCAGGGCTAACGTTGGAGACAGATTTTGGATAGAAATCCTGTTCTTCATTTCTCACTGTTACGATTACAGTTAGTTGAACTGATTCGACAGTGTACCGCGAAACCGGGTGGGGATATCACACCAGCCCTTGATTTTGCACAAACACATCTCGCTCCGAAGGCTCCAACCAGTCCACAGTTTCTAGAGGACCTTGAAAATACAATGGCTCTTATAGTTTTCCCCACGATAAACTTGGGCCGGAATTAGAGCCGCTTCTTAACCCAAATCTTCGAAGAGAAGTCGCAGATAAGGTTAACAAAGCGCTACTGCAGAAGCAAGCTGACCGCCGAGAGGCAGCTATCCGAATGCTCATTCATACGAGAGCCTGGGCTGGCAAAGCTTCAAAAGACATCAAAAGCGCATCTGATCAGATGACGATAGACCTGAGCTTGGATATGATAGGAAGCCACCAAACATCTACCGGGGAAAGTGAAGCGATGAACACTTCATGATACCTTAAAGAGAATTTTGCGCCCGGGGTCGAGCCGGATGCAGCATTTAATATGTTATGATGTATGATTGGGATGGATTTGAGAACTGACTTCTCAAGAGGTCAGATTAGGCGCAGTTCAGCGATTTCAAGTTCAGGGAGTTAGGCAGGCCCCTGGCAGGGCTGAGTTTTACTGGTTCCACGATTTAGAGTATACCAATTGATACCCCGGATATTTTGCTATTTTATTCTCATTTACCGAAGTGAATGCCTCCATGAGCAATAGTCGTTGATCTTGCCCAGAACTCAGCGTCAGCAGAACTCTTTGATCTTCTTTCCAGCTACCTCGGTCTATTGATACATGTAATATCCTTTTGCGAGCACCGGGTTCCTACTTGGTGCGAGCCATTTTCAATTTGCCCGCAGAGTAAGTAAAGTTGTTGGCATATGACTTTGGTTTGAAAGCACGAGTGTTTGGTTCCTGCACATAGTATTCGTAGCCTTGCTTTTCAGCAAAGCGAATGGCATCCTCCCTCGACTCAAAGAAAATTCTGGTCCCCTGCATCATATCACCAGACGATTGCCATCCCATAAGTGGGTTTTCCCACCGATGGCCTTTTGGAAGAATGTCCCAGTCCATCCTCCAGTGGTGCCCCTTCCATCCACCAGACTGTGTAGCAGGCTTTGCCTCCTTATAGATTCTATGTCCATGTCAATTAGATAAGGCAGGAAAAAATCGCTGATCCATCGACGCACCTAACTTGTCTCCCCTGCAATTCTATGGGCGCACCGGAGACAATTGCGGCAGGGATGGTTTCGCTCTGCTCAGTTCCACTCTGGATACGCTTTGGAACTGGCGAGAAAGTCCTAGTAAATTTCGTTAGCACATAATGAAAATCACAGGTATGCTAGAAATTTCCCATGGACTTCGGCAGAGGGATCGAAGAGATGACACGTACGAGGTTGCCTTATCAGGTTGAAGGCTGTAGTTAGGTTGATTCTGATGCAGAGCAGGCGCCTCGGGTGGCTCAGCAGGTGCCAGATTGCTCCGGAATCTCGCGCTGAGCCCGGCGGTGCCAAGGGTCCCGGCCCTTCGAAGGACGCCCGTATGGAGTGTCGTTCTTAGTGATGCCATTGTTTGAGAGCGCCAATGGATTTAGACGAGAAAAAGATGGTCAAATAGCTGACAGTCGTGAAGGTTCGGCTCTATTGGCAGTGCACGTACAAATAAAAGGATGATTAAGTTCGTCGGTGATGAATAAATCAGTGTCTGGCTTCTGATTGGCTCGGCCGTATCAACGTTGTGCCGAAAATTTGAGCGGTTTGAAGGGACGTACGAAAGCCAAACTTCAACACGGTTTAACCTCTCTATTCCTACAAACCACCTCAATCCCCATCGTATCCAGTCGTGGTGTCGCTTTCTTCCGATCACCCAGCCATTTTAGTCAAGGTGCTAATTCCTCTCAATATGAGCTACGTACCGAAGCGAGCGTTATCCACGCTCATCCCCCAAGGTATGTTGCAGCCTTCGCTCGACGATCCGGCTCGTCTCAACTAACGTTTTCCAAAGGTCGCCTCTCCGAAGGTAATTTCAACCTCCATGTCCCAAAGCGCGGGGTTTAAATAAACGCCCTTATTAGACTTCTAGTCCAGTGGGGTGCTACCTATAATTTGCATCGCAACTTGAACAATCCCACCACCGCAGAGTCCCAATACTAATAATATCCTACTAATAATGTCTAGGCCATTGGAACCAATCCTGGCGCCGTCCGAATGCAACGAGTTGTAAACTTCTACGAGAAGCTCCCTCGTGGAGCTGCTTCCGAAGTGAAGGCGACTGGCTTGCTAGGTAGATATCAGGCCAAGCACTTCGGGAAGAATGCCTCCGCTAAGCGTAAGATACCTCCCCTACTATTGGCCTACTCCTTCAAACAAACTAACTGCCTATCGCACAGCCATAATCCACGCCGTTGTATTCCTTGTGGCTATCGGCTACGCTCAAAACTACTACTACCATCTCCGTAAGTACTAGAATCATCCATAAAATTATCACTCCTGACACTCTTTAGGCCATCACAAGAACAATGCCCACTAAAATCTTCGGGGTTGTTCTCGGAAATGGACGATGTCAGGCGATATGTGTAGAATGTTGGATGTCGTGAAACAACGTTGTCGACCGCAGATAGTGTAATGTAGTGTTTCTAGACATGACTTGATAGCAAACGTTGTGTCCTCTCGTTGCTCGCGGCTTCATTTTTGGTTCTCCATGAATTGACATGATAAAAGAGTTGGATTCCAAAATCCAAAATTCAATATCTCAATGAAAATGATTTCATCAATGCACGCCATTCCTCTCTTTCTTTTTTTTTTTTTAAATAGCTTTGCTCCTAGAAATTGTCGTTGAGGCAACCTGTAGACGGGGAACAAATTCTGGTGCACGGATTATGTTCGGCTAAATACAGACCAGCTGGTACTTTGGCCGGTACAAGCCAAGGAGAAAACCAGCGCCAAAAGTTTTGCTATGACACTAAAATACTCGGGACAGCGTGCGTCGCAACACCTCAGCCTTCTGCTCACCTCATCCATTCAACTCGCCTCCACCAGTACGAAGCTATCGTCACCGAGTAAAACACCTCGCCGACCCCGCCCCAGGAACCGAACTTGGCCTGAACTTGTTGCGCGCATTATTTTATCATCCACCATCGCTAGCATTCAGGCCTCACTTCAAGTTTCATCATTAGCTCGAGCGCCACTTGTGAGTGACTCGAGATTCAAGCAGGTCATCACGGCGCGAACAAACAACGTATGATGGCCACTGAAGCCACCTTGGAGAAGCACGCTTATGTCCCCATCTCGAATTCCGAATCTGTGAGCTCCCTATATCTCCACGCTGCTAGCTACGCAAGCTATTCTCGTGGTGGCTCAGCGTTGTTGTCACCATACCTTAAATTGCACTCACGTTCAGTTAAAAAAGCTAATACATTACAGACCCCTAATACAGCAGTATATGGACAGGATGATCTCGAGAAGGGGCCGCAAGATGTCGAGCGTAGCAGCGATCAGATAGGAGATAGGCACGCCGGTGTCGACGATCCAACTCCTTCGACAGATTCCAGCCTCAGCGGAGGATCGGATACAGAAGCCTACAAAGCCGATCCTTCCAAGTCGCCGAACCTTGATAAAGGGCATGCGGCCAGCTCATCGGCAGCCAAGAGACCACCCACTTTCAAGACAGTGTCTGTCAACAAGACTTTCTTAGCCTCCAAAACTGGTTTGGGCCCCAGTGCCCCCAAGGCCGGTGACAAATTTATCTCGATATCAGGCATCACAAACACTTCAGCGTCTTCCGGTCTAACCTCTATTCGGCCTCGTCTTGTGGCGAAAACTGGCAGTGGAAATCGTGACTCCAGTCCACGTTTCGCGGCGAACGGCGGCAAACAATCAACAGCACCAGATCCAGCCAGCGTCTGGAACAAAAACAAACGTAAGTTATTGCTTATGGCTTAGTAACACCAGTACCCGTAGACGAGAACATGAGATTCTAATAACAATAGCAGCACTGCCGGCACCTGAACCAAAAAGCTCTCAGATGAAGAACTCAAAAAGTATGGCATTCATATGGCAAATAGGTTACATTCAGAAGATATAAAGGGCCAGGCAAACTGGGCGGATATTGACGACGACGATGATGACTGGGCACCAGAAACTATTACTTGGACTGATGGTACAAGAATCACCCTGCCACCTCCCGATGAAATACCAAACAGCACAGAACCACCTCAGCTTCCGGCATTACCAACCTCCAAGGAAACACCATCTATTGCTCCAATAAAATCTTCACCGCCGCTGAGATCGACTTCCCCATCTAAGTCCGGCGGCCTTGCATCGGGAAAGAGCCTCATTCTAAAGGCAGGGTCCACAGAGAAAGTCACGCTGGTAACGAAGCCCGTAGTGCCGCCCCAGCCCGCGAAGTCTCCTTGGGCGCCCTTACCACCCATTCAGAAGGCATCACCTGTAGCTACCGATGCCACCCGTACACATGTTAGCCCTCGTCCCCCTTTTAGAGAAGCGAGCCTCCATAAGCCATTGCAACACCCACCTGGGCGAGAAATTGCTGTTGATGATTTCACCCGATCATCATGGAGGGATGCGCCGATCGCAACGGGCCGGGAACTTTACAACTCACAGTCTGGACGATATGAGCCTGTGCAAGACCGACGGGGTTCTTTTCGAGCCGATACATATGGCAGGCCCGCCCTCCTCCAGCGTCCATACCCCCATCATGACTCCACTGAGCCATCTCCGACTTTTCAGACCTCTCGTGCTGTACAGGATCTACCTTTTAGTCGACGCAGGGCGTCCTCTAACGTCAGCGGCGGCAGTGGGTTGCTCCAAAAGTCAGGGAAAGGGTTTGAGCAAAGCACTATGCAAAGTGATGTTTTGAGCACTCGAAGAGAGTCATTCACAACTTCCACGGATAGCCACGCTTCGCCGAGAAATTTTTCGCCTTCTGGCCAGTCAAGCGGTAGGTATCCACCTACGATGGCTTGGCCTCCAAAGGCTTCGCCATCCTCCACCTATGCCAGTCCACATTCTGCCCACGTTGGTCCCGAAAAACCACCTTCACTGGCCGCAGCAGGTTTAGATGCGCCCTTGAATTCTGAAGAGGAAGCAGTTGAGTTTCAGAAGCGCTTAATGCGCGAGAGGCGTGAGGAGGCAATAAGGCGTAGATTGGAGGAAGAAGCACGAGAAGAGGCTGCTAAAGCAGAGCGCATACGACTCAAGCTTGAGGCCATGGGTCCACCTCCAGAAAGGAAGAGCATCAAGAGGGAGCAGGCTAAGAAGGATCATGTCGATATCCAAACCATGTCCACACGCCTTCGAGAGACCGGCCCTAACAGGGATGTTCCTCCTTTACACGAGAAAGACACCGTCCCCCAAGGAGAAGGCACGTTACCAGCTCACCCTCCTGCCGCGCCAGCCTCCCCGTCGCCCACAAGAGTCCACTCTCAACTGAATCTCAACAGCAAGGAAAGCTCGTTAGGCAAGCAGGATCAAATCAATCAGATCCGTGGAACGCCTCCACCACAGTCTCCGCTAATCGCCTCGTCTCATGGCCATCAAGTAGTCAGCAGTCGTCCCGTAATGTCTGGGGATCACCAGACAATGATCGCGGGTTAGGTAATGGTACTTTCAACCCAGATCTAGGCCGGGTGCTTGAGTCTCGCACCACGCAGCCTCCTCAATCGCAGCCTGATGAGCCGGCCCCCATTGGACATCTCAGCGGCAGAATGCTTAATCGGCAGCACTCACAACCGTCTTCGCAGAGTTTCTCGACTTCCCGCCCTGAAAGGTATCCCGCCACCGAGCAGCGGCCATTCGGTGAAAAACAGAATCAATGGGTACAGTCCGTTCTTCAAGAAGACGACACCTTGCCGGACAACCACTCAAAGGAACCTGACAGCCTTGACCGTCGCGTTCCTAACCAAGCCTTGACACTTAACGAATCTCGGTCTGCAATCAAGCAAACCTGGCATCCGGACCCAGATCCGTCTCGTTCAGAACATAACAGCCGAGTTGTGACGTCCGCTTCTTGGGCGAGAGGTCTCGATGAAGGGAATAACTATAACAATTCCGAGCCTTCGGAAACCCCTCCCGCCACAACCCGGGGAGCTAGTAGGCCGCCATCTATTCTTCCATCTAGTGCATCAGCGCCGACCACGGCACAAACGCGTGCTTCTAGGTTTTCCCGCCCAAAGAACTTGAATCGAATTGTGAGATTCCCAATTCGTTGGAAGATAAACGCCCCAATTCCCCTTCACCACCCCCACCAACGATGGATGACCACCCCGTCTACGATGGCGATGTAACCCACCCTCATGTTTCACTGCCACGACCTCAGCCCGTTGTTCGACTGCCTCCTACGCCCTCGACTGGAATCCATTCTCGAGTGTCAAAACCAGATGCGGTGTGGATGAACCCTGTGATGTCACGCTCTGGGCCTCAACCCCTCATCAATGTTAACCATAGCTCAACTGTGGCCACCCAAGCCCCCCTCAGTCACAACAGGAATGGCAGGAAAAAATATACGAATTAACAGGGCGCCGGCCAGCCCTAGGTCACCGGCGGTTGATTCGGCGACTCGGATGGTGTTCGATCACTCAATCCAGCGTAACCCTGCCATGGTATCCCTTCCTATCCCCATTGCCTCAAAGTCGTCCAACCTTGAGACGATCACAAGCAAGCCAATGGCCGAGGAATGTTTTGAAGAGCAAGAGATGGGTTCATTGCCATCTATTCGCATTCCACATAAAGCGCCCGATGCAGCCTGGCAGCCAGCCACATCATCAAACAAGGCGTTGCCACGGACATTGATGGTCGTTGCAACTACCACCAAGCTTTTCGACCCGGTTGACATCAATTCGTGCTCCATCCGCATCTCATTTCCCCTTACAGAACCCAGAACAGTGGCTTTAAGCGCTGCATCAAGTCGTGGTTCAAGCCGTGCCAGCGGTCACACCCGCATTACTGGCCGGAACCGGGGCTCGGCTCCCACTCATCGTGGTAGTAGCAACGTAAAGGGACCCCCAATCCCCCTCAAATGAACCAGGTGTCAATCACCAAGGGGTAGCATCCCTAGGATCGCGTGGTCGGAGCGCCTACCGTGGCAGGCCTGGAGAAATGTGGACACGGCGAACTACTCACCCAGCTCCCAATTGAAGACACCAGATCACCCACACACATCAAAGCCCGTTCACTCCAAAATGTGGTCGGTCTTACCAGCGCAGTCCACATCAGTTCAGAACCACATTCTGGCGCGAAGTTTCGTTGACCTACTTAGTGCTTGCACTCCCCACTCTGCGGAAACACCCTAATATTACAATGATTCATTCTTCCCTCAACCGCCCTTCTAGCGGCCAGTGCGGCTCGTATATCCAGAGCTCTTACGGCTAGCGTTTCCACGCGTTAATCCCCGCATAATGGTCGACATTCCTCCACATGGCTCCACACGAACAATGCCCTGATCGCGTGCTTCACAACGGCCCACTCAACAATACCATGATTATGATGGCTTCTCCATCTTTCTCTTTTTCTTCTACTCCGCCTTCTGCATGCCTTTGCTTTCTTGCATTTCTATGTTCTTGGCTCGACTCCGCAATCGTCTCCCTCTCTTTTCTTTCTCCTTCCAATACGACGCCTGAGCGCCCATTTGATCGCTCAACCAGGAGCACTTCTTGCATCCTCAGACAGAAACGAATCTCTATCTCGGAAGGTCTCTCTATCCAGGGTAAGGCTATATTAGCCTAAGTTTACCGCAAGTTGAGCAATCACTTAGAACGAGTACATGTACCATGAGAAGAATCGGCCAGGGCAAAGTCGTCCGCTGTAGATCTGTAGATTCATACCTTGAACCCCTTATTCCCCAAACGGGAACGTCACACTAGGGGTTCGTCGTGTAACTTAGGAGTAACGACTCAGGCTCAATACAAATGAAGGGAAATATCAATCGACTTTCGGGGTATTCTAATATCAGTTCGTTTACGGTGCCAAAGAATTTCGAAGCTAGAGGTAGGAGAGAGAATAGGACAGTTATTCGAGGCGCAAGCCAGAGGAAAGAAACGCTTAACCGGAGGAAAGTCAAGTGTAAGATTTGAACAAATGGAAGCAAGACGGCCTCCCCAAAGAAAATCAGCCGTTGAGCCGATATATCTAGCTAGTATTCTTCGATAGCGCAGTTAGGGTGAAGGACGTATACGGTTTTGCTACTGTGGGTCGGGCTTCTTGTGTCCTCTTCCGTCAAGCTATCGCCACGTATAGCCATAAGGATATTGTCCTACACGGGGCGTCAGAAGAGCCAAGCTCGATCACACAGGCGGTCTTAGCGGAGTTAGCCTTACCTTAACCATCTTCTTCAATACCATTCTCGCCAAAGCGAGTTCTCGATTATATGCGTCTTCGCCGTCAAGTTCATCCTCCTTCTGCTCCAGGTACCACTGAATAAGTGTGTCGCCCTCCACGCCCTCACCTGTGCCAGTTTCGTCCTCATTCACACGTTGCACAAAAACGTTGACCATCGCGATGTACTTATCGTATGTAATCGTTTGTTTAGCGCGGGTGGGCGGAGCTGGAGTCTGGCTCGCACGATTTGAGATGTGAGATGTTGACTCCATGTCGGAATCCGAGTCCGCCTCATTTAGCTGAGCGCCTAGTTCATGTTGTGTGTTCTTAGATGCGATCCTATCAGCGGCACGGCGAAGAGCCTCAGCATCGCTTAGAGAATCGTTTTCCTCTCCGTCATCCATCTCCACGTCGTCATGCTCGACCGAGATGATACTCTGCCGCAGGAGATTGAAAGCCTCCGTGACCATGGTTGTGCTGATCTCTTCGACGCAGTTCACCTTGGCGATAGCCTCCGATAATCGAATCATACTCTCGAGCTGTCTAACAGTAATGCGATACGAGTTTCTGCCAATACCACCCTGTGCATCATCTGCCCTCAATTCCTTATATCTCTGAACCAGAACTTCTTTAGCATCATCCGTGAATTCTGGTCGAAAAGTTCGCGCGAAACGTATATAGCGTTGCAATTGTTCCGTGCTAAACTCGGGTTCAATGGCCTCGTCACGCAGCTGGTGAATGCCAACTATGTGGTCAGCCAACCTTCGGTCAATCTGCTCATTACATTCGTCGAGGATGACGAAGAACAAGTCGAAACGAGACATGATTGGGGCGCTCATATTGATATTGGACCGCAAGTTTAATTTGCGGTTATACCGGCCTCCTACAGGGTTAGCAGCAGCAAGGATACTTGTCCTCGCATTTAGCGTTGCCTGGATGCCAGCCTTTGCGATTGAAATTGTCTGTTGCTCCATAGCCTCGTGAATAGCAACTTGGTCGGCGACGTCCATCTTGTCAAATTCATCAATCGCGCAAACACCATTATCCGCCAACATAAGTGCACCTGCTTCGATTGTAAATTCGCCAGTTTCCTCGTCCTTGACAACCGCAGCTGTGAGACCAGCGGCCGAGGATGCCTTGCCACTAGTATAGACCGCTCTCGGGGCAAAAGAGCAGACATACTTTAAGAACTGTGATTTCGACGTAGAGGGGTCGCCAACGATACAAATGTTGATGTCGCCACGGAGCTGCATGCCCTCCGCTGTAGACTTGCCTACGCCAGACATTAGCTGGAGAAGAATGCCCTTCTTGACAATTTCGTGGCCGTAGACCATTGGTGCAATAGAGTGAACAAGCCGTGAGTAAATATGGTCGCTGTGAACCATCTGTCGTAACTCCTCAATCTCAGACGGGTTCATAGAGGCAAGCACAGCAGCTTGGGCCTCCTCGACAGATTCGGCTTCACTCGACGAATTCTGGGTCAGTGCACTGATAACGTCTGCAACGGAGCCCTTGCCCATAGTCGCGGAAGCGTTGCCAACATCAGGAGTGACCATGCAGGCCAAGAAAGCAAGGCGGTACGTAAGGTCGCGGACGCCCAGGGTCTTTAAACCAGTCACGCCACTGCCGCCGGCATCATTCCCCGCATGGCATTTTTATCATCACGCACAGCAGTAGGTCGAACACCTGGAAGACCCAGTTGGCTCACATCAGGTACGACGATGAGAGCACCCGTGAAAACGCATTTTTCACCAGCTTTTGCCCTGTCGACCATTTCGCCACGAAGGATCACGTCCATGGTGCGTGGCATACTACCCGTAGGAATTTCCGAGCTGTTTTCCTGGATACGAACTTTTGCCAGTCGACGAACGTACTCTGTCGAATGTCAAGCTGCCAAGCCTGGCGATTCAAGCATGTCTGATTAGGGCACTGAGTGGGCTCGGTATACCGAAATGTCTGTTCCACACCGGGAACAACAGTGCGACATGCTTCACAAACAAAGGTAGCCAGCGATAACTCCGGTCTAACCTCTGACGTTCTCGTCACAGTACCGGAGATAGAAAGGAGCATGCCAATATTTTTGGCTCTTAGGCTCCGGATCCTTGACACCAAAGGAAGGTTGTAAAACGCGATAGAGAAAAGCTTGTCTGTTTGTTGATTGCTAGTTCGATTCCCAAGATCCGACTGACCCACGGATCCCGTAGTGCTGAGGGCTGAACCTGCCATATGGCTTGAAGCAGTGGGCTGTCGGTGCTCCCGAAAGTATTGGGGTTCGTGTTTCGCGATCATATTATGGAGCCCCACGGTGAGGAAAGGAGAGAACCGGTAATATTGATTTATTATGCCATCAGCAAGACCACCGTTCTGGTACGAGAGAAGATGCTTAAAGTCGACGTAAAAGGTAGAGAGTTGATATGCGCGCATGTTGTTGATCTGGGCAACATAATATTTATCTGTCGTGAGAGCGCTTGATACCGGTGCGACACTCGATCCAGAGTCTTCGATGAACCTATATCAAAGTTAGCTCGTTGGTCATGCGTGCCACGAGAAAAGACGAAGGAAAGGGGCTTTCACTTTTCAATGAAATCTTCAAAGCTCTCTTGAACTGTTAGTCCTAATTTATCCTCAACCCGAGGGATATCCGTGGCCCCAGCACGACGCGACTTGTTCGGAACTTGATCATCCGCAAACCCGTCGCCTTCATCATCGCTAGGAGCTCCGGCGTTAGATTCCGATGGAGGGGCTCGTGGCCTCGCCCCGGAAGAGCTTGGAAATGCAGTCTGCCGAGGGGTTGTTCCAACTCGAGACAAAGCATCCGACATCATGTATCCGACATCACTAGAGGGGGCCATGATGACACTATGATTAGAATATGTAGGAATAAGAGGAAAGGGTTAAGAGAAGTGGAAGGGGAATCACCCAGGGTAAGGCAAGTGAAGATCAAAAGGTGGGGTGACTTGATCCTAAAAGAGTTAAATTGATAATATCGCGTTCCTCTTGTTGTACGCGCGCGACCCAGATTAGCCCAATTAGATTCCGAGCGCACGCGTTGACGGGAGGGTGAACTCGCGTCACGTGCGTCACCAGAGAACTTCAAGAACTGTGGACTCAAACCACCTATGGTTCGCGAATTCCAGTCAACTCCAATTCTCAAAAATTGATTCCTCTAAAGCCTTAAGTACTCTTCACCCCTCAACTAGTATCGATGGACCCGACTCAGAGTTGGCCTGTTGAACCACATGTTTACCAATTGATTGTTCGCTCGAGTTGCTCAATTCCAGCTCGGCGGTGATAATAGTACCCTTTTAAACTACCATAAAATGCAGATGTGGTGCATGCTCATGTCTGCGCTACATGCACCAACGTCAATCCTCCACGGCAGTCCCATGAATCTAGTCCTGTTCAGCACACTGCTCCCTACATGATCTTGCCTTGTCTCCAGGGCATTCTTACCTTGTACGAAATTTGTAAAAGCTCTTCCATTGCCCTCGAGTAGGCACTGGAGGATTGATCGGGGCTTAATGGGCTATGCGACCACATAATAAAGTCTTGAAATTCTCCCATGGCGTCCAAAATCTGCTCTTTGGGATTATTTTTATCCCCACCAGACAAGACTTCTTGCTTCACAGAGGCGCCTCTAGATGGCAGGGCATTCGGGCTGCGCAAAACAGCACCATAGTGGGTGGTTGGTACCGGAATCAATTTGCCATGGAGTTCACGGCCCCGGAAATGCACCAACTTCTCGCCCTCTGTCGCCATAGGAAGTTAGACAACTAGTAAAACTGAACCAAGAGCCGGTACCTGTCCCTCGGAAGGCAGCTCATATTATCCATGTGATAAAGTGGGTGAGATACCTTGTGTCGAGAAGGTCGTCCAATGCGACAGGCTCGCCGCAAAAGAACCATCAAGATGAAGCCTGCAAGGTAGGAGGTGTGCGGTTGTTGACGCGGCTCCTTGGCTCTTGGGTAAAGAAAGCGACGGTGGACTCATTTTATCCTCGATAATCGAATCGAGACAGGAGGGAGTGTGAGGACAGCAGAATAAATGTCGAAAGCCCTCTTCTCTTGTTCGAAAGTGGTGACCCAAGGCTCAAGTTTCGACCAGGGCAAGAGCGCGTCGCGTCTCCCACGCTCGCAAGCCAGGCCAGACAGCCATGACTGGCACGTTTTAGCTGCCTGACTAATACGCCGGGGTCTTCGCAGAGAAGCCCCAGGAGGAGTCTCGCAATAATATCATCACTTAAACAAGCCCGGATCTATTATTAGTCACCCGGTTGGCATATTCTCAAGCAAGATGGCAAAGTAGATTCTCCAACAATTCGGGGATATAGCGTCTAGCAAACCAGAATAACCCCAAAATTTGGATTTCGAACCTGCCCTTGTTCGAGTGTGTGCACTTTTATCCAGAAGGCTCAACACCGAGTCACACTCGGTACAACTAGCATTCTCCTCGAATCTTGCCCACCGCCCATTTGAAGTTCTTGAAGCGAGGCTCCAAAGCTCCCTCTTTCACCTTTCATAGATGCCCCCTCCCGCCTTCCCTATCCTCAATCTTCGCGCCACGGCAGAATTCTCGTGTGAATTAATTGCATTGAAGGTACAGACGTATAGTCATGGATGATTCAAAGTATTCTTGTTAGCCTAGTTACCTCAGCAGGCAAGACACGGTACGGCTCAAGATAGCCGTCATCCGCGCAATGTCCAGGTGAAAGCTGGGTGATTCCCAACACTGAACATTGAGCCGTGTGACGATCAATTACTGCTCCGAGATCCGAAACTTGACCCCCTCGGGAGCTTGTGGTAAGTATCCTCAGCTACCTCACGTTCCTCCGGCCAATAGAGCCATTGAAGACAATGAACATCTTTTGCAGCACAATTCTCAAGGCTATCCTGTTTGCAGGCCAGGCATAATACAGCAGACGTCTTTTGTCAATACATGTAGTACGAGTAGCTACGTCAGGCTTTTCCACCACTTCAATAACCCCCACCCCCACCCCCTAGTAAGCCGGAAAACCTCTATTTAAACCCTCTTTCTCTCATCTCTCCGGATCCATGGATAACCCAACATTCTGCATCTAACCTAGTGAAGTGGGCATGGGCGTGGGCGCCGTGTCTCGGCAAGGTTTCTCGTCTCAGGTCCCCCTCGGTGACGGCCCGAGCCACGGCCCATACCCTTGCTCGCTATGCTATTAGACCAAAATATCCGACATTTCACGAAACAGTCCGATGCAGTACCGACAGCCCAGATACCCAGGGTCATAAATCATCCTTCTTCTCATTTTGTTCAGTAGTGTCCGACCACCAGATAGCTCGCCAATTAGCCCGCTCAGATCCCAATCCGAGCGTGAGAACATGTGTCACAGGACGGGTCGCATCATATCCTGGATGAATATATATCTGTGAAACTAGCCGTTACACTCCCCACCTTGGTCTTGAAGGATGTTCTCACTTCCTCAGCAATACTTGTCTTCAAGCCTCGATTTTAAACCCGGGCTTCCTTCAAACGGCAGTTTACCAAACGCAGCTCTCTTGGTCGCCGATGAGCCCATCAGCTTCCCAAGCTCTCCAACCAGTATCTTTTTTCTTTTTCCTAAGGAAGTAGCGTTCTCATTCACTTCCATGTGGCCCCTCCTTCCCCTATAATCGCAACCCAGCTCTCAAGAAGTGCCAGGGCTGTGAGAGGGGCCGTTGGGGGTCTAACTTGGAAACCGGCACTCTCTGTTGCTAGACCTGCTTTACTCTCCGTCCTTTCCCGGATCGAGGTAGGAACGTTGGTATTACTTGATAATTCAACTGGAGAGCGCTACGTGTTCGGTCAAGGGCTCTACCCCAAGGCTTCTAATCACCCCGAGGGCTACTCTTCTCTACGTGATGCCTATAAATCCCCTACAGTTCAGATCACTATTCAAAGCGATGCGTTTTGGATGAGAACCTTTTATTTGCAGACATGGGCTTCGCAGAAGCTTACATGCTTGGCGAAGTCGAATGTGCTGATCTCACAGCCTTCTTCCAGGTATCATTCCGCCCGCCCAAGACTTCTAACCCGGACCATATGCAAAGGCTTTAAGACACCTTAACTAATCTCATTTAACTCTAACCAAAGCTTTTTATACTAAATAGGGCGCAGCTTAGCAATGGGACTACTTGGGCGTCAACTTTCTCATCGACTGTTGCGAGCTTTGCACGTAACACGAATACGCTTTCTAATGCCCTTCTAAACATATCGGCACACTACGACATCAGCAACGACATGTTTACGGCCTTCCTTTCGTCCGATATGACCTACTCTTGTCCGATATGGGGTGAGGCTCAGCCTGGTATCATACCACAAGAAACGTTAGAAGCGGCGCAATTGAGGAAAATCGAGCGATTCATCAATGGCGCCAAGATCAAATCTTCAGATCACGTCCTCGAGATCGGTACGGGCTGGGGTTCTTTCGCTATTGAGGCGGCTAAGCGAACTGGCTGCCACATTACCACCATCACTCTATCCAAGGAACAGAAGTGTCTCGCAGAGAAGCGGATCCGAGCAGCAGGGCTAGCAGAACACATCGATGTCCTGTTAGTGGATTACAGAGAACTTGCGGCTCCCTCAAAACCATTCGACAAAATTGTTTCTATCGAAATGCTTGAGGCTGTAGGTCAAGAATACCTGGCAACTTATTTTGAGTGTGTAGATAAGTTGTTGAAAAAGGATGGAGGCATTGCTATGTTCCAATGCATCACGATGCCGGAATGCCGCCATGCTATGTATTCAAGAACGGAAGAGTAGGTTAGCCAAAATAAGGGCTCGTCTCCTCAAAAGATGACAAGGAAATCAAATCGCTAACGAGCTTTATTGTAGCTTCATTAACCATTACATATTCCCAGGTGGATACCTGCCATCTATAACGCAACTCCTGAACCATATCAGTATCGCATCACGAGGTACACTAATTATTGAGAGGGTAGAAAATATCGGTGGCCACTATGCCAGGGCGTTGAGGTTCTGGAAGGAGGCTTTCCTCGCCAATTTTGATACTCACATACAGCCTGCTCTGGAGCAAGAGAACCCAGGCATGAGTGACGAGGAGGTTGAAGTGTTTCGGAGGAAATGGGTGGTTTGTCTGACCCTTCCCTCGCTCCTTCTCGTTCCTCTTGTTGGGATACTAACTCAACTGAGGACGAGACGAACCATGTAAGATATGAACTAATGAACACATGAAATTTAGTACTATTTCACCTATTGTGAAGCAGGATTTCTCACCAAAACTCTTGGGGATGTCATCATCACGGTTGGGCGGGAATGCGCTACTGAGTTGCTAGAAGGCATCCCATTTTGAACCTATTCCCGAGGTAGTTAAAATAAAAATAGCCATAACCTGCGGTGAGGGTCCCAAGCAGCTTTTAACTAAATTGAATGAGAATTCGCCTCAATCCCGCTACGTGCTTCTCGCTTTGCCCTTCTTTTTCGAGTTCCCAGTGTCGGGTGTGTATTTTTCAAATTTTCGACCGCCCTCACCGTAGACTGCGTATCAACACCGAAACCCCAGCTATATGAGTATATGTTTTCGCATGTATTCGGTCAAACTCCGGTTTGCATAAACGAAAAATCGCCATGGCTACCCTAGCATCCTCAATGCTAGAGTGAACCCCGCGCTGCACCTCGTGGCCCATCATTTCACGAGAAAGAGTTCTCAGGGATGGTTTACCACCGTTTCCGTGAAACCAAAGATATCGAAGGGTAGCAGTATCTCGGGTATCCTTCAAGGGGTGCCTTAGCCGGAGCGCTGAGAGATCATGCCGAAGGTCATGCCCGACCAAAATCCTCCCTTTAAGGATTTCTGCAATAAGTGGCTGAACAACATCGAAACCTCGCGAATTATACATCTGGAGAGGCCCAATGCCTGTAATGTTCGCCCGCCAGTCCGTTACCGACTCCTGGGGTTGCACAAATGAGTCGTAAACCTGCCGGCCATGGAAATCCACAAGACTCACGCGAGCCAAGGCAGACCGGGTTCCTCCTGATCCAACTCCGACCATTTCACAGTCGATGGCTACATAGCGGCCAATTTGAAGATCACGTGAAACCCCGTGATTACTTCTTTCGGGAGGCCAGAACTCATCTCCAAGACCAAGGCTATATGTTTCCGCGAGGCATTCAGCCGTCAGCTCACCACTGTTCGCCCGATCTAACAGGGTGCCAGGCACATTCATGGCGGGCAACACGTCCTCGATACGCGAGCTTTGGATCTGGCCCATGGCAGACAAATAGTGGTTGTCTTGAGAATCCAATTGGGGAGGGCGGTCGGCGACCTAACCCTCAATTAATTTGGTAACCTTTGATGTCGTGCAAAGAAAGACTATTCAAAAGGTATCATCAATTGATCAAGTGTGCCGAATGTGGGGTGCTTCGCCTGAGGCGCAGTGGAGTCACTCAATTCATCCTGAAAACATTTAGTACTCCAAGCAAGGGTTATCGATATCTTTTTTTAGCTGCCTGGTTTTTGGGTTACTAATTCTAGGCTCACTTTATTAGCTCAAAACTACCTCGGTACATGCAGACTTCGTTATTGATAACGGAGCCGCGTCGGCATAGCGAAGAACGTCTCTCCCCCGCGACAATTCACTTCACAGCTTATCAATTTATGGTTCTAACGAACTTCTAATGAAAGAAGTTCGCTCACTCTCTTCTGACGCTTGACCCTCATATTAGTAATACTGGTCGATACTTGAAGGGTCGTTCTAGACGGGCTAGGAGAAGCATGGGTGAAACAGCGGAATTCTTAGTCGAGCATGACCCTAACTTTCGGAGGTAAGAAATGCCTTGTCAATCGGCATAAGCATCACGACCCGTAGTGCCGACCAAGACTGTTGATAATAACATATATAGAGCCCGCTTGCCTGCATTATATTCGGACTTTAGGTCGCAGCGCGCCCTCAACCCTGATGGCTTCCAGGCTAATACCACGGCTTGGGCGGAAGGCCTCTCTCGCGACGAGAGAAGGTCGTATATTCTCTAGCTCTTCCACCCCTGACTTGTTGATCTTGTCCGTGGACGACCATCTTTTACGCAGCCTGGAATATAAACACTTTGGCCAGCCACTCGCGCTTGGTTCTGTGGTGAATCAAGCCATCCTAGACAAGAGATTCATTCCCTTGGCGGGGTTTTTACGTGCCACCGAGAGTATCTATCATCGATCGTGGGTGGCAACGCCAAAAGTGTCCTTAACTGGGCGCTCCAGCAACTTTGGACATCTGGTGACACCCAAGGAACTGAAAGTTTGCCAACTGGGCACTTTGTTGTTTTAAGAAATGTGGAGAGTGCCGCCAAAGTGTTGGACGCGTATGCTGCCACTGCTGTGACGCCTTTCGACCGTACATTTACGAAATCTCATTTCTACAAGATATTTTCTAAGATTCTAGTGGAAGGCCAATGTCTCTCTAAGCGGGACCTTGATGTCTTCCTTAAATACATGTCTCGCGACACAGGGGCCCTCACTTACGATGATAAGACCGTCAAGATGAGGGGGTGTAGCACTTCACCCCACGATAATTGCATTACAGAAGAAGATGCGGCCATCGCCGCGATAAAGGAATTGACAGAAGATATTCAATCGCAGATAGCTGCGATGGGGATGCGGGTTGAAGACCTCCGAGCGAAAGCTAAGCAGTGCATTGCTCGCAGCAACAGAATATCCGCAATGGCCTTGTTGAAGTCCAAAAGACTTACTGAAGACGCGCTTCAAAAACGATATGCGACTCTGGCGCAACTTGAAGAGATAGCACATAAAATGCAACAAGCCGTCAACCAAGTCCAGCTTGTCGATGTTATGAAAGCCTCGACAGGCGCCTTGCACATTCTTAACCAGCAGGTCGGCGGTGTGGAGAAGGTAGAACAGGTTGTTAATAAATTGAGAGACCAGATGGACGAGGTTGATGAGTTGGGTAATGTTCTTGTCAATACAGGCTCCGTTGACGAGGCGGAGCTCAACGATGAACTTGCAAGGCTGGAGGAAGGATTTCAGTCCGCTTCCGGAGAACAACACCGGGTAGGGACGGCTCAAAGTCTTGACGTGCGGACTATACTCAATGAAGCACCAAGCGTGCCATCGGTCATCCAGCGGGCCACGGAGAGGAATTGGAACAAGTCCAAAGGCAGGAGACCCTCCCTGAGGATGCAATTTAGCACGCGGGTTTGAGAGGGGCACGTTCATTACCTGAAAGGTCTTATCCGCGCCGGATTTTGAGTCCACCAAATTGTCACCTGCCAAGTTGCCGGAGTGTCGAGCATTTGTCCGAGCCTCCTTCATCGACGGGCTCTGCTAAGAGAAGTGCTGGAACCGTTGCGAAGGTTCTAGTCGGGTTGGATAGGCTTAGAGTAAAGATGATAAGCCGGAGGACTCTGGGAGCATTCCCCAGCTATTTCTAACAGAAGGCATTCAAGGCTCAAGCCCTCAAGATTCAGGTGTCTACCTCATTTGTCTCGCTTGACTCCGGAGCTTTAATGATTGGCAAACGACTCTTTCTTGCGTTAGCAATCAAGTCCTTAAATGAATCCTCGTATTTGGCAGCCCAGGCATTTCCATCGAATTCTTTATCCTTGATTGAGGAAGTGCCTCTAGAAGGCCCAGGAGTACGACCACCTTGTGTTCTTTCCCAGGCATCAAGGTCATGCAACAATCGAGTCCTTGATTTAGGGTCAACTGCATCACAATTTGCGTTCCAGATCGTCGACCACTCTTTGTGCCGCCTCTCAAGGAGGGACCGTGGTCCGATGGAGGAAAGGCCTAATTCGTTGAGTTTTTCTCAAAACGGGCTCCTTGATCATTGAATAATTGAGAGCTGGGAGGCGCTCCATTCTGCTTTGGGGCCTTCGGGGGCTTGGATTCTGCTTAGAAACTTCTAAATCACCATCGGGATTTGGCGGTAGAGACATGGCTTCCGGCCCAGAGCATTTGTCGAGGTGGCCGAAAACCTGCCATTCCTTCATTCGCTGATTACAGATAGGGCAGTGTGCTATGCCGCAGTCTTCTACTACCCAAGGTAAGTAATGGGGAGGCAAACAAGGATGAATTCGTTTGTGGGGGCATGTAGAGCCTACCTAGGGATTTATCGTCGGGTTCAGAAGGGCCACCCTTTGGTACCACAATCTTGGGTTCTGGGCTTCCACTTGGTCTCGTCGATGTACGAAGCCTCTTTGAGTAGCGTTGACTCGGTTGTTCGGGTGATAAATGCTGTGGCTTACGTTTGGGTGTATTTGTGTCTTTTTGAACGGACTGCCTCGCGAAGGTAAGGATGGGTATCCGGGTTTTCACATATGCGTCCACGACATCATCCAACGCACCGTTCCATCGCAACTTCGACTCCTGGTCGGGAGCACGGCATAGGGGCACCTGCCATCGTTCGCAAGTGATCTACGAATACACAGGGAGCAAAAGGTGTGTAAACATGTCGTCAGCATTGGCGTTGTGTAGAAGTCCCTACATATTTGACACCTAAGAGTAGCTTCCACAGAACTGAGACCACTCAACGGGGTGTTGAGCCACTCAGTGGTGTCCGTGACGGAGGATATGTCCTGGTCTGCCATACATGCGAAAGGTGGCGGTTTAAGGAGAAATATAGTCAGGTGGGGAAAAGATTATGCCAAAGGTAAAACGAAGAACAAGTTGGTCGGTGGTGTCCGCAGGTCGTGTATTGATTGAAGCGAGTTGACCACTGTTGTAGAGGAGATTGTGCACGCAGTTGACGCGTCGGTGTATGAGGCAAGCAACAACTAATTGATGTGGAGAGGGTCGTCCCAATTATTGTTCCAACAGCAATTCATTCCATAGCCAGCAGAGGGGTGGAGCAGAATTTCCGCAAACCCAACCAGACGCTCAGGGTCCTACTAGGCATTTATCGCCTCTGCTGTCCAGTTGGTGGCACCGATTTATCCACGTGATCACGCGTTCTGAATAAGGTCAGGAGTCGCGTCATGGCAACTCGCCCTGAGAAAGTGAGGGAGAACACAAGGAACTTTCGCAACCGAACGTGAAATTGCCTTTAGAAAGAGCCCTTCGCGATAATTTCCAACCAAAGGTTACTGTGACAATCTTCGCTAAAATGAGTGAACCTTATACTTTCCTCGCTCAACAGATTTTCTCTCTGGAAAATACGGTACAAATTTCTCCGCATCTCTATACCTTTTTCTAATCATATATCTAGATAACATATCGCACGTTGAGCCGCTCATTGGGGATTCATGTCAATCTTGCAAAACGGTAAGCCATAGTCAAAAACATATATGACTCTTGCGCTTATAATTGCCTTCAGAATCCTCTTCGAGTTTCATGAAATCCAGAACAAAAAGGCACCTAAGAGTGTATATGCAACCTACCTTGTTCATGGCCTGAAACCCAAGATTGTTCACGACGGAGACGTTGAGATGGACAATATTGCTCCTCCGACCAACCTCGAGTCGTCTTCCGAGCCTTGCCAAACATCTACTCTAGCCTTAGTAGAGGAGAACAATCTACAAAGCAAGTAACAAGCCGAAAACAGTTTCTTTTTTCTTTTTTGCCACATTGTCTTGGGTAGGGCTAATCTACAATGCGGCTCAGTCTGTCTTCAGGGATATGGATCCGTGGCTTCTATCCATATATATAGCCTAAGTCCATGTGCAGGCCAGGTGAATATAAGCTCTTTCAATTCCTATTTAATTCTCGCTAATGCCAGAAACCCGACAACTCTTCGTTAGGTTCTTCCCTCTCTTGGCAATGACGGTCCCCTGATTCGCTCTCGAAGATTGACTTTCAGAAATCCCAGCCCATTCATGGGGTAATTTCGAATTCTCGGGTGCGTTCGAAGGATCGCAAAGACCAAAAGCCGCTCTCGGCTTTCAGATCCGACCCGGGTATACAACTACAAAAGGCGATGGCATTAAACAATCCAAAATCCACGCCAACAAGAAATGAAAGGTCAGACCTAACACCCATGCATACGCAGCGGCCTCCTGCTATAACAAGCAAGAACCCAAATGCGGGTCGCAGCCATCCCCTCTCGGGTAGCATTCTACGATCTTTTGCGAAAGCTTCTGTCAAGTCTATAGTATCTGGTACCATCACCGAGCAAGTTCAGTCCATCCCAGTCACATCCAAGATATTGACAGCCCCTCTGAGGGCGATGAAAGCGAAGATGAGGGTACCATACTTCTCTCGAAGCCGAAATCATCATTACATACGTCCAACTCTCGGACTTCACGCGAAGCGGACTTCGTCGTATGATGGAGCAAGACGACGATGGCGCAAGTACCGCATCACCATCTCTCGTGACTAGCAAGGGTCTAGAAACACCTCTTCAAGGCAAACTTCCAGGAGATGCGGAAGAAATCAACGATGGCGTCCAGTTGTTGGACCGTAAAATTGAGTCAAAGCCGAGGACCGCTGAGGTAGGCCCGGCCGAAGGACGGCGGAGAGGCAAACGTCGAGTCCTCAGGAAAAACAGGTCCAAGACGACGAGGGGTACCTCGGTAAGTTTGGGGGATATCGAGAGCTAGTAGTTCTTCGTCCATCTGACAGTCGCATTCACTATAGTCACCGTACAAGAACCAGTTTGGGAGTCATACTCGGAAGACGAGACTATGAATCCTCACCAGGCAGGCGAATCTGGTTCTTCAGCTTCTGCTGCGCATATGAAACCAAAGAAACAACCACCCAAAGGTCAAGGCAATATCATGTCGTTTTTTACGAAGAAAACCTGAAGAGTACCTGTCCTCTAAATCATAATCACATCCTACATGTAGTAACAACGGAGTTAAAGTGCGCTATGTAGAATATCTTGGTGTACAAAGTACCAGGTATCTAATTCGGTCCTGTGCTTATAAAATATATGTGCATGGGTTCAAACAGTGCGACTTGTCCATGCATGAACAATCGCGTTGCACCAGTCTCATCAAACCGAAAATAAGCTGCCATGGGAAGGCCAGAAACCACCATAAACCTACTTCGAGGATGGCCAGCAGCGGAGTTATTGCCGTCTAAAGACCTCCAGAAGGCGGCAGAGGAGCTCCTCTCAGACCCAGCAGAGTCTGCAGTTGCGCTGCAATATGGCCCCGATGCTGGTCCAACGTTGTTGAGAGATGCCCTTGCCCTGTGGCTTGCAAAAGCCTATAATGTAACACCTAACCGAAACCGAATATGCATAACTGGAGGAGCAAGCCAAAATTTGGCTTGTATTCTCCAGCGATTTGCTGATCCGAATTTTACACGGTATGTTTGGCTCGTGGCCCCATGTTATTACTTGGCATGCCCAATCTTCGAGGACTCTGGATTTACCGGCAGGCTCAGGGCTGTCCCTGAAGATGTGGAAGGGGTGGATGTTGCCTATCTTGCTCGTGGGCTCGAGCTGGCGAATTCCGAAACCCGGTTTACAACGTCTGTAGGTCTCACGTCGCTCAGTCCTAATGCGCCCTTCACCTACGGCTACCATCTGATCTAATTCTATCATAGGAGACAAAGCCAACAAAGCCCTCAAGAATCTACAGCCATGTAATATACGTGGTCCCCACAAGTGCGAATCCTTCTGGGAAGACAATGAGTTTAAGGAGACGAACGGAACTCGTGCATCTCGCTCGGATACACGACGCCTTGATAATTTGCGACGATGTTTACGATATTTTGCAATGGAGCTTAACCGATGATCCACCGACCAAAGGCGGGGCTTCCCCTCGAGCAGTTGCACCCGTCTCTGTGACATAGACATGACACTTGGCCCGTCCTCAAACGACCCTTTCCATTACGGAAACACAGTCAGTAATGGGTCCTTCAGTAAGGTTGTCGCCCCAGGGATGCGGACAGGTTGGGCAGAGGGGACCGCGATGTTTATTAGTTCGCTCTCCCAAGCAGGCGCAACTCGGTCCGGTGGATCACCCAGTCAGTTCGGTGCAATGTTAATGTGGAAGCTGCTTGAAGGGGGTCACTTGGATCATCATCTTGATACCATTACACTTCCAATTCTCCAAAGGCGGTGCAGGCGACTTTTGAAAGAAGTGAGAGACCACCTGATCCCCTTGGGAGTTGAAATGGGGCCAGAAATCGACTCCCAGTATGGAGGCTATTTCATCTGGTTGTCACTACCAACCAATTTGAGCTCCGCGAAGATTGCATCTTCTGCCGAGAGCGAGGAAAATTTAATTATTGGCCATGGAGAATTGTTTGAGGTGCGAGGAGACGAATACTCGGCTCAGTTCAGAAATCATATTAGGCTTTCATTCTCCTGGGAGCCTGAAGATGTAATTGCTGAAGGAATTCACAGGTTAAGCAGGGTCTTGAAAGCATACTTGACACCTGGAGGGAGGTAACGGTCGTTGAAAATACAGCGAATTGATCTTAGTTAAGGGCCCTATCGCCACGATCCCTACCTGATAATTGACACGGAATAAGACATCATTAAGCCCATTCTATCAGGGTCGATTAGATTTCAACATTTAAGTTGTTACGTTAACCAACACTTACCAGGTGGCAAAGGCTGGTCAGTCCAGCGAACCCCACGATGGTAAGGGATTACTATTTTAGGAAGCACTCCTGGCAAAGGACGACGGCAAGTCATCACTTCTATGGCCAGTGACCCATAGAAGGGATTTCTAGCTCAAGGGAGATATAAAAGGATAGGAATCCCTAGAGAGAAAAATATAAGAACTCGCCTCCTAATATATTGATGCCTGCCTTGTGATATCAATTGTATAGGCATCGTGTGTAAAGAAATAAGTCATTAACGATTACCCTGAAGAGGTAGATACACGAAAGTGCTCACTTCCGAACTTACTTACTAATGGCTCGGCTGTCTGTAAGCAAGCGGTATGACTTATATTAATTATATAAGTTTTACTGCTTTTGAAATAGTAAAGTGCAAGTGGTATTTAAGGTAACTTAGTGCCCCTGTTTATCTATTGATGTCTTATATATAAGGCAAAGTTGAGTATGAAAATGGTCTTTCTCTCGGAGAAATTTCTTATGCTTCACTAAATGATCCGCGACACCCTTCGAGGTTCAATTCCCATAAGCAGCTACCTCAAGCGCTCTGCATCTTATAAGGATTCGTACCCCAAATGTGAGCTTCCCCAACCTTGATATGTTTGAGGATTTGAGAATGCTTCGGTATATCCCTACGTATTTCATAGCAGAGAGACTCACCTCGTTTCCAATACCAATTATTCCGGCATGTAGTATGAAAACTCTTGTGGTGGCCTGCTTTTTGACTGTCATTGCTCTCGGTGCTGAGGGCTCAAGTGACACGACTGATAGGGGGAATGCCCCGACTATTCAGTCTACTCTAGATACCCCCAGTAAGCAGCGACATTCCTCTTCTTTCTCGCTTGCCCCAACACAGACAGGTTTCCATAAAGACAGGATGATACTTGGTGGCCAACATTACTTCTAGTCCACCCTATAGTGAAGGTGACCGCCGCCTACCATATCAACGCCCCTCTGAAGAATGCCGAACCTTCCGCTCTTGGGTTATCGAAAAGGTCATCGAGGACGTTACCTCGAGGATGAGCGACCCTGACCTAGCGCGCCTATTTGAGAACACGTTCCCTTCAACCACCGATACCACCATCAAATTTCATATAGATGACAAGTGGCTTGGGGTCATGGACGTAGAGGCTGGAATGCCTCAAAGCGAGGGGAAGTGGCAAGGCCCTCACACCTTTGTCATCACTGGTGATATTAACGCGGAATGGCTCCGGGATTCTACGAACCAACTGGCTCTATACCACCCCCTTGCCAATCTTGATCCTAGTCTACGGACCATGCTTCTCGGTGCCATCAATACCCAGTCAGAGTATGTGATTGAGTCTCCTTATTGCAATGCATTCCAACCTCCCCTATAAGTAGCCTGACACCTACTTCTAACGGCCAAGACGATACCGTGCACCCCGCGTACGAACCTAGCTTTGTCTTCGAATGCAAATATGAACTAGACTCACTAGCTCATTTTCTCGCCCTTGGTAACCGCTTCTACGAGAATACTGGGTCGGCAGAGTTCGTTAACCCTCGGTGGGTCGTTGCCCTCGAAACAATACTCCGTGTTATCGAAGAGCAGTCACTTCCTACCTTCCATCCAGTTACGGGCCAGCATATAAGAAATGAATATACATTTCAACGACGAACGGAACTTGGCACGGAGACACTAAACCTAGGGGTATTGGTAACCCTCTTAATAATGGTACCGGTCTCGTTAGATCTGCTTTCCGTCCCAGTGATGATGCGACAATACTCGGTTTCTTAGTCCCTGCGAATGCTATGATGGCCGTGGAATTACGCAAGACTGGCCAGATGTTGGAAGCGGAGAACAAGCTTGGAATGGCGAAAAAGCTATTAGCCTTAAGCCAAACCATTTCAGACGGTATATGGAGACACGCAGTTATCAAACATCCCAAGTACGGCGAGGTTTTCGCGTACGAGCTTGACGGCTATGGCTCCCACATCTTGATGGATGATGCCAACTATCCATCCTTGCTAGCGTTGCCTCTGATGGGCTTCGTAGAGAGAAACGATCAAGTATATCAGAACACTAGGAGAATGTTACTCTCTCAATCCTCGAATCCATATTTCCTTACCGGCCGTGACTTCCATGGTATTGAGGTATGTCACCACCAGCGTGCTGGTGTACTGGCACTCAGCGAGCCCTAACTAAAGCTAAATCTGTCTGTTAGGCCCGCACATTGGCGTCAATAATGCTTGGCCAATGAGCCTTTTAATCCAGGCCCAGACATCAGAGGATGACGAGGAAATCGAGGGATGCCTTCAACTTGTCCTCCAATCCGCGCGTCTAGGCCTGATGCACGAGAGTGTTGATGTGAATCACATTGCCTCATATACAAGTAAGTGGGCCCATCTTTTCATACCAGGACTTATCAGAACCAACACATATCCTAACGCAACGCCTCTACCGGAACCCATAGGGAGTTGGTTTGCTTGTAAGTAGCCTCTCTTCGACCCATACCTCACGAGTATGCAGTGCTAATTCCACCCAGGGTGTAATGGGGTGTTTGCGGCAACGATCCTCGATCTGGCGCGGAGGAAGCCTCATATCATTTTTACTCACCCTACTCGTTATGATGGCCCGACACCGACTTATCAGACGCCTTCGTGACTTCCACCTATAGCTGTAGCGCGGGTATTTCTGATCACAATGATTAAAGGTTTAAGAGGGACGTTAAGTGATAACTTCGAGATAATTGACCCACCGATGTTACCCCACACCTAATATTAGCAATAACCTTGACCCTTTCCATGATTAATGCTGGACAATGATTACACACTAAAATAAGATACGCTTGCGGGAAGACGGCAAATATCGTGCTCCATTCTTGCTACCTCACCAGCCAACTTTTATCAACCGAATGCGCCCTGTGCAAGCCTGTCTTTAGATGTGTTTCTCTCTAGGTTTTCCCTTAACGGCGCTGTCTCAAGACTTGCCCCCGTAGTCGTGGAAGTAAGCGTCGTGGCCCGCTGACGGCGTAGAGGATCGCCCAAAGCCTCACTCTCCTCGTCAACAACAGGAGAAGGAGGAAGGCCCTGGCAGGCACCATCCATGTGCGAGGAGCTTACCCGCAAGTTTAGTTGCGCTTGAATGCTGGTGACATAGTCGCAGGCGCGGCCAAACTGTTTAATTTGTCCTTCGAACATCTGACCGAAATATACCGTTTGTGCTTGGTGAAGGCATTTGTGCGCCTGGACGTATCGACCTTGCGCGATCCAAGCCTCGGCGCTTAGAATATTCCAGAGGGCAGCCTTCCGCCGACGGAGACCAGAAACACGGCCTTGCACCGCTGGCTTAGAAAAATAACAAGCCGCAACCCTCTCTTTCAATAATACATCAGCGATACGACTAGGTAGCCTCGAGTCGATGAGCCTGATGGCCCATTTTGCAGCGTCATCGACACCATCGCCGCCCCGAATTTTGAGAAGCTCGAGGCAGAGTGTGACACAACGCAACGACCCCGAGATATCTCCACATCTAGCGTGATAGGAGTAAAAGGAAGATTCCAGTATTTGGTCAACCATCTCCGCGCGTGACTTTGACACGAGATGCTTTGGGGTGAGTAAAAGGCTGACTGCTGCCATTTCGCTTGCTGCAGCATGATATTTCCAAGCCTTAGCCTCAAAGAAGTCGCCCCTAACGAGATCATATGTAGAATGGGCAAGTTTATAATCTCTTAGCATGAACGCGAAATCTGCTAACTTCCGCATGGTTGCTTCATGGGTCTCCGGCCGGTAAAAGCCGAGAGTCTCAAATCCACTGGCAAGGCCAGGGCCGGAGGCTGAGGAACGAGACCCGGAGCTGAAACCTGTCCATTTTTTGGAAAAGTTCACCAATCGGCCAGTGATTCCTCTGCGTCGGGAGGCGACATTTTCATTCCAGAGAGCGACGTGCCGCTCCATGGTGGGTATAATGGACTGGGTGACCATCTCCCGAACAAATGCTCTGATCGCCATGATATCTGATTCAAAAACATAGCCCGGCAAATGGGTTAATTCGTCTTCACCGTCGCCCGCCTGCGCCATATCCAACTCTTCAAATGCGGTTAGCCACATTGTGGGTTGGAGAGGAACACTATCGTCATCAGTCTCCGCACACTGAGTGCTCCTCAGTCTAAGAAGGTGACAATGTAAGCCTAAATGCCGCTTCATCTGTTCGAATAACGATAGGGACCTCGAGATATCATCGTTTTCTTCATCATGAACGAGCACATAATAGCGTAAGTACTCTCCATCGACCCAGGCCGGTAACTGTCGCGCACCCTCAGAGGTGTCAGCGTATAATCGTCTGAGCTCATCGATTGGTGCTGTGTTCCGGGAACTGATAGCAATTACGCTTGCTACGGGGTGTGTAAAAGTAGTACATGGCTCTTGGGGAAGGCCAGAAAGGATACGACGAAGGTAAAGTCCATAGTACGGAGAGGTCTCATCTGAAGAAGTTGTCGTTGGCAGCGACGAGGTATCAATGCATTGGTTTAGTCCTTGGGAGGCCTCAGCGAATTGCAAGTGGTAATTCAGCACGGTGTCAATATATCGAAGCCGTGATTTAGATGCCTCGGAGTCTTCTAGAAACCCGTTCCCCGTGTTGGATTTGGGTCGTGAGGAGGTAATTAGCTCAGGCGCCTCTGATGGCCCCTCTGACCGAGAGAATCGTATTGCGAAATCCTCCCACGAACGACTTGACCCATTGCTATCTCGTATTGTGACTTTTCCGTGAACACGATCACCAAAGGGCCGGAGGAGTTGCCAAAGCCCATGCTTGAATCCCTTGGACTTTACTAACGCATCTGTATCTTCCGAGGCCACAACTGTGACATGGGGAACGAACGCCTGTAGTATTATATCTATAGGCTCGCAATTTCCCAAGGAATTACCTGGGTTCAAAGGCATGGGTATATCTAGCACTGATGAAGCCCTTGGAGTATGTCGACTTGTTAACCGTGATACTTCGGCCGAGTTAGTTAGCGGCATTGCTGATGGTCGGTAGGCGTAAGGCTGGGGAACGTCGAAACGATGTGGATGATGAGACGCCTCCAATATTCGTATTGCATTCTGTGGCTTGTCCTGAGTGCGGCTAGAAGCATGGATTTAACGGGGTGGGTAGAAGTCGCATTCTAGTGTTTCATTAATACGCTGTCAGCCTTGACACTAACCAACTATTCGGGCGGACGTAGGTAGTAGTCAAACGAGGTGGCTTTGCCACTCTCGATGCCTTGTGGTTAGAATGTCCTTGGAGAACGATTAATATTGCACAACATCTCCCTCCCCACACCGAGGCCTGACATGGTGTGGGTCCTGAGGCTGATGTAACTCATGTAAGTGGCTTACATAATACATAATGGATATCCTCACGGAGGCGAGTCCGAAACTAAAAGCCGTCCGTCTCCGAGTTCTTCGACTCAACTATTCTCTGCCCCATGATCTCGAGAATGCCGCCCGATTTAAATTCATATATTGCATCACGATACCTTGTCGCCGACCAAAAATCCAAAAGGAAAAGAAAACGAACCGAACCCACCGACACTGGCCTGATTATAACCGAAGAGGGTGGCCTAGATTGGCTGGGGGACAAACCTCAATCTCAGAAGGCCCATTCGGAGGACGAGCCTGTCTTAGTTTCCGGGACTTCCTCAGACTTTCGAAAAACAAAAAGCTCGAATTGGAGACCCCTGAATGGCGGGGCCTCGCTTGATAGAAGTCTGACCGGCGGAGCAGAGGTTACGGCCAAGTCGATCCAGGTAGACACTGCTCTTACGGCAGGCGATGAAATTCCCGTGTTCGCAGATGGCTTGGATAATTCAAAGATGACTGATGGCACATCGCCCGGTCTTCAAAGTGTAGCTTCTGTGCTAGCTCAGCTTGAACCTAAGCGCCACACAGCCCCGAAAGACGTAGCCCTGCTTCAGTCGGCGGGGCAAGAGGAAACGGCATATCGAGACGCGGCAGGCAATCGCATCGACATATCAATGAAGCGCGCACTGGCTAGACACGCTGCATTGGAAGCCAAGGAAAAAGACGGACGTTCAAGAGACACATTGAAGGGTGAGGTCCAAAAATGGAGGCTCAAAAAGACATGAACAGATACAGGATGCAAGGTATCTGCCGGTCGCGAGGGCTGCCAGTGATGTCGAGCTGAACCACGAATTGAAGGATCAGGAGAGATGGAACGATCCCATGGCGCCATTTCTGAAAAGTGCGCAACTTCGAAGCTTGGCTCCAAAATTTGGCCAACCTACTTATCGAGGCTTGGCTTTTCCAAATCGTTACGGCATACACCCAGGTTATAGATGGGACGGAGTAGATCGGGGCAATGGCTTCGAGGGCCAACGTTTCAAGTTCCTTAATAAGCGCAACCTGGATAAAGAACTTCAATACTCGTGGCAGATAGACGTATGACCTACACCTTTCACGAACACCCAATTCCCGGTATTCCACTGGTCTCAATTTATCTTTAAGATATCCGTAGGCGAGCATAGCGCCGTTCTGTTTGAATTGAGCTAGTACTACCCTGCACGCACATTGGAGAAATTGTAATTGAGAGTCTCTGAGCTCAGCTTTTTCGGCGTAGAAGCTTGTCGGACCCATAGTGGCAGTTTTCCTTGACCAACTTAATCCAGTCCGACTTCGCCATCCTGCCACTATCCGCCTTGTCACCGACACGTCCTTCAAACAATTTCAAAAGTTTGTGATGGTAATGCCATCGGGAAGTTGTGGCAAAGCTTGGACAATCTCCCACGCCTCAATGGCAGGCTTGGGAGATGCTGAACGCGCGCCGTGGCCCTCCTTGGATGGCGAATTTGACTGGGGTCCTGGGAGAGCGTTAGATGACAGACGAACATTTCTAGAGTCAGAAACAATGCAAATGTATTGAACAATGATGCGTACCGACTGTTTGAATTGGTAGAGGCTGGTAGCCCGTGAGCCTGCGGGTGTTCCCCGAGCACTGTTGGCCACGAGCTTGATCTTTTTCTTTCTTTGCGTATCGGACATCTCCCCACCGGTTGCTTCGCCGTCACTTGTGGAGCTGCTTAAAACCTTTCTCCTCTGACTGGCTTGACCAGCAAGGGGCTGGCCTTGGGGCAGTGGGGTGGTAGAGCGACTATGGCCGGCAGTTTGGTCGATCTTGGTCTTTGCTTTCTTTCGGAGAGAGGATTCATTGCCGCTAGATTCGGAGAGGTGTGGTGATCCAGGTCGCTTTATACCTTTGGTCTTTTTATTAACGTCGGTTTGCCGCTTTCCTCCAGAAGGTGTGGTCGAACCTTTCACAGCAAGGCTGCTTTGTCCTTTGTCAATGTCGGTCTTTACTTTATCCTCATCCTCAAGCTTAATTTGAGACCCATCTTCCTCCTCCTCCTCTTCATCTTCGCTCTGTCACCATATATTAGTATACAAGGTAGTTAAAGGGGATAAAAAAGGGGATATAGGAGGGAAACGCTGTGATCCATATTTCAAGTCCTAATACCTACCGAAGAATCTGCGAAAGGGTCAGCAGAGGATGCAGTATCATCCGACTCGATATCGTTTATATTTTCCCTTTTGATTAGGGTTTTCTTGAGCTTCTTCGTCGCCTTTCGCCGTTCAAGCTCTCGTCGCATTTCACTCTCCTCCCGTGCATCTACTTCGTTCTCATCACCATCCCCGAATAGATTTGCGCCGAGTTGATTCTGCCGGATACGGTTATTTGAAATTTTTGTGTCCTCATCATCGTTCTCAAACCCCGGGTTTTCGTCATCATCATCAAATTCGTCGCCTTCCATGTCGACTTCATCATAGCCCCGAACCTCGTTGGCTGAAGAAACAGGCCGAGCCCGGGACCGTTGGCCGTGATTTCGGAAATCATCCTTCAGCTTTTTTCTTCCTCTCTCTTCTCAAGAGCCTGCATCATCCATCGACCTGGCAGAGTACTTTTCTTCATGTAATCCTCAACTTTCTCATCCGGGATACGTTCAAATGTTGGCTTTGATGAAAATTTGTACCACTTCTCTAAAGGAACCATTCGAAAACGAGCCCCATCAATAACGAAGGCAACGTTCGTCTCGGATAAAGCTGCAACATAATTGCCAACCCAGACATTATGTGCATCGACATCCTCAAGGTGCCATGGCAAAGCCTCCTCATATCTCAAGTCTGCCTCCTTTCGGCCTTGCTCTGTCCTGGGCATCCGATTGAAGCTGATCTTTTCTTCTTTGGGCTTCTTTTGCTTTTTCGCCGTCATGTCCTTCACCGACGGTGCAATCTTGGCCTGGTCCATAGCTCGTTGAGCTTCGCGGTCAGCCTTGGCCTGTTGCAGTCGCTCAGCCTCCTTGTCGTCAATCGGCTTGGCCTCGGGCATCGACTCCTTCACAAGGACTGGCCGACCGGCAGGCGGTTGTCTTGGATCTCTTCTGTGAAGAGTGACGGGTCTTGTAAATGAGTCCTGGTCTGTAGGGTCTACAGCTTTACCATCTTCACTGGTCTTAGAGCTTGAAAGGCGCATGACGTGGTAACGGACGCCGTCCCGAAGGGCTTTCGCAGTCGTAACAATTGGAAAGTCTCGATAGTCTTTTGGAGGTGGTTCCGACCAGCCACCATGTTGCTTCCTCCGTCCCTCTAATTCGGCTGCAGACTGAGCTTCGCCGAGAGGGTTGAGCCCTAGGGGCGGCCCCTCAGTAGGGCGAGGAGGTCCTAATGGCCGAGCGGTCGGGTTCCTCTTACGACGGACCAACGGGTCAACCGGTCTCTTTTTCATCGGGCGGCTTGTGCGACGAGCTTCAAGGTTTGAGCTTGACGAAGTTGCCTGTTTCGAATCATTACGCTGTTCGAGATTAGGTGGCACTAAGTTCGGAGCGTTCATATTGTCAAATACTTGAAGAGAGACGGGAGACGTGGTTGACGGTGGGCGTCGTGGTGAGCTAGAGGTAGTCTTCGAACCTCAGTGCTTGGCTGTATCGCGCACGGCTGAAGGGTGAGTGTCGAGTAAATGTTTCGAGGATAGCTGTTGCACAGGCGGCCCAACCGTATCGTGAATTATAAGCACAGCTGACCCGTGGCGAAGCTGTCGGCGGCAGATCAACGAATGATGAATTCTGTAACACCGATCTCTTGATAGATTTGATAGGAGGGGAATAAATAGAGTAGCAAGGAAGTGAGGGAGCCTGACAAAACAATTCCAAAGGCCTTCTATTGATGGTTGTTATGTAAGCCCCACAAGACTCAAACTGGGGCCGGAATTTCTTTCCGAGGGAACCAGGTGCTGCTGCATAATATAACAAGAAGACCCCAGTATGGACCCATTGTAATCCCTCTAAGAATTCATTCAAAGCCTGGACGCCACAAGGTCAAATGCCAATTTGAAGTACGAAGGAGCAGGTCAGTAGCTCCTGCGCGCGCAAGTACATCACAGCCCCAAGCCATCGGATCTCTTTGGATCATTTCCTGAGGTGGCCTGACACCTCAGAATCTCCATTTATATTCATGTAATCAGGTCGCTAGACTACGGCTGGCCAAAATCCTTGGGCTTACTAGGTATCACTAAATCACCAAAGGAGGAGGCTTTAGGTATTGAGGTGGCTCTGCACTCTCTCATTAGCCAGACAGACCCCACAATCCGCATCAACACCTTACACAACACCCTACACCTTCGAGATGCCCTCAGGGTCGAGTGAAAGGGGACCAGAAGAGCATCACGGCCTAGAACATCGTGTTCGGAGGTTGTTGTCGGTCGACTCGAGTCCTCCACCTTCGACCACCCCACAGGTCTCATCATTTGTTGGAGGACCCTCAGCAACGGGGCAAAGACTGGCCGTCGCTAATAGTGAGAGTCCTCATGGCCCAGGACTTGCCTCGCCAAGGAACTCTAGGCGGCGACCAAACCAGGCCCAGCGGAGACAAATGAGCGCACAGTTCTCCCTTCCCATAGGGACGCATACGTCGCTCGCCCCTCGCCCCGCGCATTTTTCAGCGTCGCCCACATCTCGACTCCTAGACAATTCTCTTGATTCTGTGCATGGTGGTCTCGGGACTCTCAGATACCAAGATCCAGCACTGAGCACAACACCGCACCGCCGACACCTCGCCCCATCATGGCCATCCACTCCCCGAGAACCCGAGGAAGCACCAAGTACGCATTTGAGCCCGGCCTCTCAGCAGCCATACCCTCATTTTTACGAACGCAAGCCTCATAATTCTCTAGGAACGGCTCACTTATCACGCTCGGAAAAGGAATCAGCCGAAGAGCGAGGATACATGACCCGTCACCTTCCCGCTGCACAAAACGGAAGAGATGCTATGCTGGCGCGTCAATCCAGGTTGCTCGACGAGCTATGTCCCCACGCGCTTTCCGATGCGGAGATCGGACGTTGTGATATTGCTGAAAAGGAAGCATTCCGTCTCAATATTGAGGCGATTTGCCAAGAAGTAATCTCGAAGTATGAACACAGCCGAAACAATACGTCAATTTTTCCAGTGGATTCCGTTCAGCTCCGTTGCTTTGGCAGCCTGTCTTCGGGCTTTGCGACTAAATCCTCGGATATGGATCTTGGCCTTCTCTCCCCCATGTCGTTAGTCCCACCAGACATGCCCGGCTCCCCGATCCCGCGCCTTCTGGAGAAGGCTCTTCTAGATGTAGGGCTAGGAGCTCGTCTCTTAACACGTACTAGAGTTCCCATCATCAAGTTGTGTGAAAACCCGCCTCCTGAACTACTTCGAGAGTTACGCATCGAACAACAAAAATGGGAGGGTGCTCTCGGAACAGACATGCCCGAGCCCCCAGACACCGACGCGGGCAATAATGGGAATGATATGCATGGTAGGGGTTCATCACAACGTATCCTACTACATCCAAGTATCCCGGTGCTGCTGTCTCCCAGCATAGTCGGGAGGCAGGGCCAGCCCTCAACTAGACTTGGATCAAATGCTGAAGACAATTTATCTGATCACTGGTCTTCCCTTCGCCAAGCAGAGGCCCAAACCCTCTCCTCTTACTACGGATCGGCAAAGCGTGCTTTGAGGAAATCAGGTGGCTATGATTTGTCGATATCAAACTTCAAAACTATGACAAAAGAAAATTGTGAAAAACTCCTGATAGCTCGCCATTCATTCGTTTCTGGGCTCCATGACCAAACTTTACGCTCACTCTTGAGTGGAGATGCGGTACTGGAGCCACCCGCAGCTGACCTGCGCAATTTACGAACCCTCCAAGGCATTTACATCTGTGCGGAAGGCGAGGCGCTTCTAATGGAATGGGAGCGACGTGACGTTATGGAGGAGTCAGATATTCGTGAACAGAACTTGAACCGGGCGGTTGACTCGTGGCGCACCATACGGAAAAAATTGCCTTCGGTATTGACTCCGTCTATCATGCGAAGGACTTGCAGTCATCTCTTGAGAAGATAAAACAGTTCGCATCCATTCAACTCATTGGACTAGAACAAGGTCAATACGAGTCGACTCGTCAATACGCAGACCGTGCGGGGAAAATATTGGCCGATCTCTCGCCAAAGGCTGCGGATCCTACTATTAGCGTTGAACGACAAGTCATGGAACAGTATATTCATGGCATCCATAACCACGATATTCGCAAAGAAGTGGCAGGGTTTGTGGTGGATGCGGGACCACAATCACGCCTACAAGGCGTTTTCGTCAGACACAAAACACTCCAGCTCGCCCAAGATTTCGAAAGAGCTGTAGCAAAAATCTGTACCCCGATGCACTGCGGGAAACACTGAACATGTATATCAGTCTCCTTCGAGGCCCTCTCGAGCCAGCCAGGCCAAAATGCCTCAAAAACAGTGGATTCTACCAATCCCCGCTTCTTCAGCTCATATTCTCACAACTATCCGGCAACTCCCGGATCCAGCAACCCTTGCACCAAACCGACCGCGAGACGCGTTTAGTGACAGACTGGAATTTCCCAAATCCGGTGTTGGCGTACAATGTGATATCAACTTCTCTGCCCACCTTGCGCTTCAGAACACGCTCCTACTAAGATGCTATTCTCATTCAGATCCTCGGGTCAGGCCTATGGTTTTGTTTATCAAACACTGGGCTAAATTAAGAGCCATCAACTCCCCTACCGTGGAACCCTTAGTAGTTACGGCTTTGTCCTAATGGCACTACACTTCTTAATCAACATTGCACAGCCATTTGTGTGCCCAAATCTTCAAAAACTAGGTCCAGTCTCGATTTCTCAGCAATCTAGTGACCAAGCGACACAAAATCACTACTGCATGGGTAGAGACGTACGCTTCTGGAGAGATGAGGAGGAGATCATGAGGCTGGCACAAGCCAACGAGCTCACTCGCAACGGAGAAACGGTAGGCCAACTTCTTCGGGGATTCTTCGAGTATTATGCTCAAGGAGCGGCACCATCCTTCCCTTTGAAAAAGGGGTTTGACTGGGGGGGAAGTAATAAGCATCCGTACGGCCGGTGGGATTTTAGCAAAGCAAGACAAGGGTTGGACGAGTGCCAAGACAGTCACAATCGTAGATCAGCCACCTGCAGAGCCGCCTGCCCCGACCCAGCGCATGCAAAAACTGATGAGACGAGTTCACCCTCAGAATCATTCCCTAAGTCTATGGATCATAAGCCTCAAAGGGGTGGTGAGATCAAAGAAATCAAGCATCGTTATCTCTTTGCTATCGAGGATCCTTTCGAGATCGATCACAACGTAGCCCGTACGGTTACCCACAACGGAATCGTCTCGATCAGAAACGAGTTTCGAAGGGCATGGCGCATCATTCAAAATGCCGGACACGGGCGTCCGGATGAAAGCTTATTGGAAGTGGCTGACTTGCTGGCTAAGCAAAACTCACAGGATGCATATTTCAAACTCTTGAGCGAGATCCACTGAAATCCTGACAGGGTCCCGAAACGTGACGTAATACGCAGATGCGGCTTGGTTCTGGGCCTCTAGGTCTCAATAGTGGCAATGCCAGCAACTACCCAAGTCATTGACGGTTTCGAATTGTCTACTTGTTGGCGTGCAGCTGAGCAGAGCATCACCCAACATAAATCCTGAGCTGTGTTCAGAAATGGCCTCGACTGAGTGCACATCATAATTATATACCAAATAGACCAGTAGAACCCGGCGTTCCCCATAAAAGGTTGATTAACAGAAAACCTTAGCCTTGCTAGAGGTATCTATACCTTCGACGGTGGAGATATAAATAGATGTACGATATTTTCTCTTACCCTCTACCCGTGGGCCTTGTTCGGTGATCCGAACTAGGAATGATTAAAGGTAAAGGGTCTTCAACAATCGCGGGTTCATATACCAACGCTCCGTTAGAGGCCCATCTCTAGAGGAGAATCGGGCCCCTGCTGTCCAGAGACAGCATCGTTGGAAGTGAGGTGGATAACCTCCTGAGCTAAAAACAAACTACATCAATAGGGAATTATGCAGTTAGTGGTGTCTATCATTTGCCATTCGCCATTCGCCATTCGCCCATACAACTTGATAGCACGTGCAAGCGTCAAATTGAAACAGATGCCTCCTACAAACCATTAATAGGACGACCAGGTGAAGTCTTCACGGAAGATGGCATAACAGTTGCCTAAAAGCAAATTCATACACCTACTACGTTGCCAATCTCCAGCTTGGTCAGTCCACGTAGTGTTGGAACAGAGGCGATATTGATTCGCCGTAATGATTCCTCCTAATGGCCTCAGCCATCAGGAAGAGAGGTCAAGAATAACCAGCTTACTGGTGTCTTTAGCCTGCTCCTCGTTAATGGGAAAGCTATTTGTTACCACAATCATGTCTATGCATTCGCATGCCTGGAGTTGTGCAAGACTGTCCCCCAAAGACACCATGGGTAGCCATGCAGAAGACTTTCTGAGCTCCTCCACGCTTGACGACAGTCTCGGCAGCTGCGATCCAAGACCCGGGTTTATCAATCATATCGTCGACAATAAAAACAGGCCGATTCTTCACATTACCGACCAGCGTAATCATGTGTTCAATTTTGGATCATTGAAAGTCTCTTCTTCCTCATCTGATGATGCCGGGTCTTCCCTCCCGGTGGACCAAAGGATGATGTTCGCTAGTGAAAAAGAGGATGCATGGGATAATGTCATGTGGTCAATATCGGGTAGACTCGGGTCGACGGGAGATGCTGCCGGTGAAGGGAAATCGTCGTCCACAATATGGCCTTGAACTAACCGACCGTGAGTGACCTCGCCCGCTGCTCGATCGTCACAGGTTAAGTCGGTCTCTCCAATGGTTTCATCTAGTTGGAACGGCGGACCACCCAAAGATATAGCTGTCGAGGGGAGGGTGAACCATTAGATTGGCACTCTGGTCCTGGGCGTGGATGGGAATGCACGGGTGAGCCTTGCGAATCGACGACAGCCCTTGACGTTCTAACCGGGACCTGATAGGTAGTTGATACTTGCGGTTCTCTATTTTTCATGCGGCCCGCACTAGACATAGATTCCAATGCAGGCTGGCGCTCAATGCCATCGAGGTGATTCATTATCATGCTCGTTGTCAGGTTAGGCCCCCTCTTCTTGTCTGTTGTCACTATACCGAAGTTGAGCTTCAGCGCGTCGGCAAGCGACGTTACTCGCTTTGTCCCTCCAGCATTTTTTGACACAACAACCCCTCTCTCCAGTTGGAAACGTTGTGGCGAATCCACCTCGCAATGAGAGGTTCTGCGTGTAGATTATCAACGGGGCATTTAAAAACCCTTGCATCTGGGATGCGTGCAAGTCCACCGTGATCACATGCCGAACACCAGCAACACCCATTAGATTCGCAAGCAGACGGGCCGTGATGGTCCCACGGTGGGATTTCTTCTTGGACTGGCGGTTGTAAGGAAAATATGGTATAACAGCTACGATTTTGGTTAGCCAGCATTTGCACAAGATTTGGCTAAACTTACCTGTGACTTTCGTTGCTGATCCACCCTTGCAAGCTGATATCATGATCAGGAGTTCCATGATTGTATCGTTTATTTTAGGGCTGCCAGATTGTACCACAAACACATCCTTCTCTCGTACACTCGTCAGGATTCTCACGCTGGTCTCGCCCTATGAAAATTAGTATAGCGGCAAACGACACACTCCAAATTGTTGAGAAGAAATCTTACATTCGAAAATTGCGAGAGCTCGGCCTCTCCAGGTGCCATCCCTAGATTTTCACATATTTGACCTGCTAGGGCCGGACAAGATGTCCCGGCAAATATGACGGTATTGCGCATTGTGTGGAGAAAAGGACGTAAAAGGGAAAATGAATGAGAATGAAAATGAATGAGAAAGAAATTCGAGGGTGGCCCGATTCTCGGGGCGTAAATGCATGTATGAGTAATAGTCCATTCTGGCTTTTACATAATATCATTAGTCATGCTTGTTGAGAAGTCTCCGGATCGCCACCAGAAACATCTCTCGCCAAACTCTTCTATGATAATGGGTGTCTCGGGCTTGAAACGTCATCTCGAGCCTTTTGCCTCCCGAGATAGGGTTCGGGAGCCATTATAATTGATGGTCCAGCACTCGCCTATCATATTCATTATCTTTCTGCAACTGAAGCCTCGCTCATACCGTCTTGCGAAGTGCTCGAGAGAAAGTGTCTTGAATGGCTTGACTGTGTTCGGCGATGTGGTCTCACAATGCAAGTTCAGTGAGTGCCCTTGCCTTTGCGAGCACGCTCGCTGACTAGAGCTTCACCATAGTGATGCTATATATTTCGATGGCTCTCTTCCAGACATAAAACTTCCTATTCGCAGAGCCAGACTTCTCAAGACAACCTCAAACTACTCGCTTGTCCATAGCTTATACCCAGCTGGACCCCGCCGCCTCTCACACGCGCGGACTCCGAATACACTCCTAATTGCACCTACAAACCCTTTCCTCGACGGAGACCTCCTCTTCATAATCCATTTGTCGTGCAATGCATAATAGATACTCTCAAGAAATCTCCAGATTATGGAACTGCTACTCATCTGGTCCCAGGAGAGGCAGACTCATTCTGTGCTGCAAGGGCTTGCACTACCCCAAACAGCCTAATTGTTACTAGCGATTCCGATCTTCTCCTATATGAAACGGGAGATTCCGGTATCATCTTTTTCAGCGATATCGAATTCGGTGACCGTGCTTCTCTACAAAGCCTCATATTCAGGCCCTTGCTCATCTCTCAGAGACTAGCACTACAAGGTTTTGGAATCCCGCCAATCTTACGCCTAGCTTTCCAGCTTCATGAGAACCCCCAGAGAAACTTCCAAAATCTTCTCGCACTCTGCCGAGGCCAGGTCGATCAGCCTGCATTCGATATATTTATTCAGCCGTACAAGCCAGAAAACGCCCTACAGACCCCCGCCGTCGGATCTACAATCCCTCGACGCAAGACTGCTCGAATTACTCTATGGCTATAGAGATAGCCAAGTCCCGTGTTCCCCGAGGCGCCTTGATCCTTTTCAGCCCAACTCAGGAAAAATGTTCCTCCCGACACTTCTTGATAATCCGCAACGTTCTAGCTGTTTCAATCCCAGTCTTCCCGTAAGGCAAGTTGCCTATTCGCTCATGATCTCAGAGTCATGTTTGACACCAGGTGGTGTATGGGAATTTTCTCGCCTTCGTCATGATGGTTGCCGAGGCCATTACGTAGCGCTTTTGACAGAGGAAGAGCTTAAAACAGCGATGAATACCATATGCACAACATTAGCATCTGTGTTAGAACAGCCGCAGCATCCCACTTTCTTCTGGCTCGCCGTCACACATCAACTAGAGACGAACCTTGCAATGTCACGTGGCAGGCAAGGTCTAGGCGAGCTCTTGGCGAGCCGACCCGAGTTGGAAGTTAAGCTCCATGGGCATTCGTCTTGGGACTTGGTGCATTTTCATGCACAAGTCCAGGCATGTTGTTATTCCTTTCGCATGTTGAAGCAAATGCTCTCTCTAGCACTACACAAAGTGTCTAGTGCTAGCATCGCCCAGGCGTGGCCTAATCTAGAGCGGTCCCTCTCTCGCTTGCCTGAGCTTCATGATTTCCCAGATTTTCGCGCCACGACGAGTTTCATACAATACCTCCGGCCAAGTTCCGTCGCGGACAGGCCTCCTAACCCTAAAAGAAGAGATTGCGCGTTTCACCCCACTAATCCCCTCAAAGGTGCCATCCAACCCCGAAACGAAAGCAGGTCCCTCACGAGAGGTCCACCCCATCCACTAACAGATTTCATTTGTTTGCCTCAGAGCCATAGCAAGCAATAAATTACAATCTCTCTCCATCACATTCCTCTGCGTCGATCGTTGTTCTCCGAGATATCTAAGCGTTGACTGTTACTGATGAGCAGGGAAGAGGTCTTGTCTCTGTGCGGCGCCGAAAACTCTCGTGAGATCATGGTTTACTAAGTGGCCTACGCAAAACCGTATACGGAGTTGGTCGTATGGTCTAGTGGTTAGGACTCCGGATTTTGATTGGGGTCGGTTACCCAACCGTCAACATCTTCCGGCAGCCCCGGTTCGAACCCGGGTACGACCTATTTAATGCAAACCGTTCAATTAGGATGCCTCACGCCTCTCCACATTTAATATTTATAGCGAGTATTTCAAGTCCATTGGGCTTCCTTGATCTATTTTTTGCCCTCTTCGTGGGAGACTCTTCGTGGGGAGAGAGGGGTGAGTGACTTAGTTAGATGTCTGGCTTTGGATCATCCATAGCTCGCTCGGTATTATTAATCCACAATATCCCCCAAATTCCGACCATGGCCCCTCGTCTTAATTTGGTTAACCAGAATCACGTCAGTTCACAAAAGTTATATCAATCCAAGATAACCCAGTCCACATCCTAAATACACCGGCGTACTCCCACGGCGATCTCGCCCTTGGCTCTTGTCCCCATACAAGTACCGGCCTGCTTAATACTTCTCCCACACACATTTCTCTTTTAAGCAAGCTCCTACCTAGGATCTCAATACCCGCACAGAAATTCAGCTGTTCCCGCTCTCCTCACTCTCCATGTCAACGTCTCCAGCTGCCCGTCGCCTTCTCGGCAAAACTGTCGTGATCACAGGTGCTTCGAGCGGTATTGGACGGAGCACCGCTTTTGAATTCGCTCGAGCTTCGCCGCTGGGACTAAAACTTATCCTTGCCGCGCGCCGAATCGAGGCCCTTCACGAGATTGCAAGCTCGATCAAACGGGAGGTTGGCGACGGAGTGAAAATCTTGCCCGTTAAACTGGACGTGGCAAGCAGCGAGGACGTGCGCCAGTTCGTCCCTAATCTACCAGAGGAGTTCCGGAATATCGATATCTTGATCAACAATGCGTATGGATCCCCCAAACTAACTAACATGCTCTTCAGTGGCCTCGTCAAAGGCGTTGCCCGAGCCCCAGAAATCGCAGAACAAGATATTGGTGCAATGATTTCCACAAATGTAACCGGTCTTATCAGTATGACCCAGGCCGTGCTTCCCATCTTCCAATCCCGCCCTAATGGGGGTTCCGGTGATATCATAAACGTCGGGTCGATTGCCGGTATGTTAAAACTGACATATCTAATCCTGCGCTTCAAGGAGGGCTAATGTGTCAACTTCACTAGGACGAGAGCCATATGCTGGTGGCTCAATTTACTGCGCTACCAAGGCAGCCGTGCGAAGTTTTACTGAAAGCCTCAGAAAAGAACTAATTGCTACACGTATCAGGGTTATCGAGGTTGATCCGGGGCAAGTTGAAACGGTACGCTCCTACAGCCCCTACGACCATCCAATGTGAGCTAACTTTCAAGTTAGAATTCTCCGTCGTAAGATTCTATGGTGATAAAGCCAAGGCCGACGCTGTTTATGCGTAAGTCCTTGCCCAAGCTGGACTTCCACCCAGACTTTTATGACTTTAATGGTAACAACTGGAAAGTGGATGCGACCCTCTTACACCGGGCGACATCGCCGAGGTAATCGTTTTCGCAGCATCGCGTCGAGAGAATGTGGTGATTGCCGATACTTTGATTTTTCCTAACCATCAAGTAAGTTAGCGCCTTTCAACGTTCTCACGATTGGACGTAAGCTATTCGAGCTCAACACTTACACTGCATACACAAAACTCAGGCCGGTGCGGGTGTTCTTCATCGCCAATCAAGTTGATTTCTCTTAAAGTTACGGTGCTACGCGCTCAAAGGGTTCCAAGTCATATTCTTGTCTATAATTCGCAGACCGGTCTTAGATATCTACCGTAATTTTAAATTGACGTATCAAATCGCTGAAGGCCTTTTACTTCCCCCGTCAACGTCAATTTCGTGACCTATAGGTGAAGATGGCCAATACCACTTAATGGCTTCTTATCATCTCACAAACACACCACTTTCGATCACTTCCACCACTGTCATAGTTTCATATAAGCTTCCCTAATCGGATGTATAGCTTTAGTTATTGTGGTGATTTTTTGCCTCTCTACTTTTCGCTTCTCGCTCCGTGTCGGAGTCTTGAGTGGATGCGTACTGGTGATTGCGAGTTGTAGTCTTGCATTGTTTCACAATCAATCCGAAATACTGGCACAGCGGCCCCTCTTCCTTCCCCACCTTGTCACCATAACCCCACACCACAATCTTGGTCAGCCGGGACTTCTTTTGAAGCCATCTCATTTCTTTTCCACCTCATCAAGACTGCATGTAAACTTATATCTTTCTAGATCGACCGGTTGCCAATGGATGCCTCAAAGGCAAGACCCGCAACGGGGGCCATCCGAGAAGGAGCGCAGATATGACCGCCAACTTCGGCTGTGGGCGTCAAGCGGTCAAGATGCTCTTGAGTCCGCCCATATACTTCTGATCAATACTGGCCCAGGAATTATAGGCATAGAAACCTTAAAAACCTCGTTCTCCCAGGTTCATCTCATCCCGGCCCTATTGCCTCTTCAGTAGCTGACTACTTTCCCAGGCATTGGCCACTTTACCATTGTTGACGACGCCCCAGTCACAGATGCAGATCTCGGAGCCAACTTCTTCCTTGATGAGGGCTGCCTTGGGCAACCACGTGCTGAGGCTTGCGCGGAAAGGCTTCTCGAACTGAACCCTGAAGTTCAGGGCAATTGGCATCCTAGATCACCACCCCGGCCAGTCGTGGTTACTGGAACAAAAAAGCTTTGCCTAACCGGCCCGTCCTGGAAACCTGTCGAGCTTTCGTTGGTGCTCCAGGCCACCTCCTCGTTTTCCATTATCATCTACACTCATCCCATCAACGCCGATGATCTTGCCCTTATCACTTCTTTCTCAGTAACGCAGAAGATCCCGCTTGTTTCGGTTGGTTCTTCTGGCTTCTATTCGTATTTTCAAATTAGGCTTCCAGAAATTTTCCCCGTTATAGACACTCATCCGGATGAGACTGCAATCAATGATCTCAGGCTCCTCAATCCTTGGTCAGAACTTCGTGAATTTCTAGATCATTTGACTACCGACATGCCACTTCTTGATACTCATGAGCATAGTCATATACCCTTCATCGCCATTCTGTACTACTACATCAACCAATGGAAAAGTAGTCATCAAGGCTCAGTCCCGGCAACAGCCGCCGAGAAGCGCGAATTCAAGGCCCTGGTACAAAGGGGATGCGCACAAACAATGCGGAAGGTGGTGAAGAGAATTTCGAAGAAGCGGTCTCTGCCGTTCTCAAGGCCATCTCCCGCCCTGAACTGCCCACCTCACTTATGCAGATATTTAGTCACGCGAAGCATCCCACAGTAAGGGCAGTCAACCCACCCTAAAAATGAAGGACTGAAAAATGACTTTGTTAATCTAGGGAAATGAGCGAAGCACGTTTTGGCTTATTGCCAGCGCAATACAAAAGTTCTATAATAGTCATGGGCAATTGCCATTGCCCGGTCGCATCCCAGACATGAAAACAACATCTGATGTTTACGTCAAGCTTCAGAATATTTATAAGACCAAGGCGCGAGCTGACGCTCTGGAAGTTTTGGGCTTTGTTAACTCTGAATGGCCCGGCTCTACGATAACGCTAAAGGAGATCGAGCTGTTCTGCCGAAACGCAGCATTCGCTCGACTCATCAATACTCGTGAGCGAAGCCTAGAACAAGTCCAAAGATCGCAGGCATGTGCACCTCCCTTTTTGGAGTATACGTCTCTTAGTTGCCTGAATAAGAGCTAACACTAGCCCGCCTTATCAATCGAACGACAGAGCAAGAATTCACCTATGCCCGTACCGCTAAGGAGGTCGGCATGCCACCAAGCCTGTTTCCTATTTACATCGCGCTCCGAAGTTCCTTAGACATGTCTTCAAAAACAGAGGATATGATAATCGAGAAGATAGGGGAGACTGTGCCTTGTGCTCGCAAAGAGGATTCCGTCCGATTCGCTGTTCGAGAGATCCTTCGGGCAAATGGTGAGCTTCATAACATCGGGGCAGTTACAGGTGGTCTAGTCGCCCAGGAGGTAATCAAGGTTATCACAAAGCAGTATGTTCCCATCGACAACACATGTGTTTTTGATGGTATCAGCGGTCGCTGCCAAACATTTTCTTGTAAATACTTCCGCTCAATAAGATGGCCGGGGAGATGTGATTATCGTCCTCCAGTTGCTAAAATTGGTGGCAGTTATTGTCGAACTTTTACTCTCTAGGCTCGACTGAGATGTGCTGTTATTAGACTGAGGTCCAGCCCTTAGGCTTACAACATTTGCATATTATATTGTAGATGGTCCTAGTGAATGATATACCATCGATATAATCGATCCACAGGCTCTAGATGTCGTGACGGCAACCCATCCCGTTAAATTTCAAACTAAGGCAGGCGCTAAGTTGTATAGGGCCGTGGGCCCGATGGTGGGTGGGTGGGGAAAAGACAGAGTTGACATAATAGATCCATCAATAGATCAATCCAATGGATCCATGGATGGATAGATGATACCTTAGCAACATATTCCTTACCCCTTATATGGCATACCTCTACCTCAGTATAGAGTCTATATAGTTTCTACTATGATATAAAACTACATTATAAGATAAGATTGGACTAAACTTATATAGATAAACTTAAAAAATAAATTAATGTTTAAATAATAATGATCTATAAAATTACTATTATTTTATAATACGTTTTAATATATTATAAAATAAATATAATTATAAAAAATATAATAATATTTATAGATAGCATAACTTAGGTCGGGAAAGGGAATAATGCTAGAGGATTGTTGTAAATGTTTACGTGGGGTAGGTGATCTCTGGGTCATATACTATCTATCAAAGTCCCTTAATTGACCACACCGTTTAGTCTGAAGACCTGATATGGCTTCTACTAGGATTCCTCAACATCTTGATGCTTATATCATATAAGTATGAAAGTGAAAGGCCGATCATTCGCCTTGCGGTCAAGTAAATTCTTATCGATATTATCACAGCATGTAGGCTAAGCAGTTAATATCCCTTTATTTCGAACGAATTGCTGTTTCATAGATCACACCTGTGACAACCTCTCCGCCATCGCAACCTCTAGTTCAAGCGTTTCAAACACATAATTTCTAGGGTGGGAATGCAGACGACATCAGAGCTTGATTTAAGGGCTCCGCTGTGATATTTAAGTAGAGTGGAATGGAACGAACGGATGGAGAGACTCGTTCGGTGAGATCGTGCAGCAATGCTCGTAAATCCCTGTCTGTTAGGGACGCAGGGAGGGGTGGAAAGAACGATCCATCAATTTGAGGATAGCTCCTGGGCACTGCGGGGTTTCTCCACAAAAGTGGACTCTCACTTCCCTGTACTTGTAACAGTGCACTCCGAGGTCTGAAGCAACCAATTCAGTCCTCTTCAGTAATAGGTTGGGATGCAGGGTCGAAGTTACCTGTACTTCTCATACGCCCGCCCCAGCGACGACGGATGCATTGTGGATGGATTGGACGGATATTTGATTAATATATCCTGCATGGAGCAGCCTCTATTAGAGGCGAGATCCAAATGATCCATGTACTGATACGCAACCCTCAATTCCTGACACTTGCCATCTATAATACTTCTCCGCATTATTGCAGGTACCGAGCGAGACCGTCCCGCCTGGGTTCCTTGCAAGCATTAGCCGTCACTCAATTTGGAAAGGTAAAATGGACTGGTCCTGCTATTACTAGGTCTCCCAAGAGAACAGAGGCACAAAGGTATATATAATTGAGCGGCCCCATTCGCTGCCAGGCGATGGACTTGGTGCAAATTCATCCATCTACCCTCGATACTCCGCATCTATCTTCGCGCCTATCACCATAGGCTCAACGGGCTACTAGCAACAAATCGACATCCTCACTTGTATCAGAGGCCTCTCTGCCTAGGATGGCCCCCGATAACGAGCCCCACACAAGGTGGTGGGATGTTTCACACATGTACGGCCATAGTTTGGAAAATGAAATGTCAACGCACGTATAGATCATATTTCTAACGCTTTTAAAAAACAAAAATAGTTCAAGGCATCACTCAGCGCAAGCCACCCACCCATCCGCAGGATTCGGGAAAACCAGACACCGTGATAAGCTCTAAGAGAATCACTACTCCTCACGCATGCGCCGAATGCAAGAGGCGGAAAATGTAGGTCTCTATTGCGCCTTGATTTGTATAAAGCTTATCACTAAAATACCATATTCAGCCGTTGTGATGGACAACAACCTTGCGGACAATGCCTCTCGAGCCGCGCGCCCAAACGCTGCTTCTATGACAAACATCGCCAGCGAGTGATCCCGTCCAGGAAGTCAGTTCTTTCCTTCTCCTGACCAATAGTGTTCCACCATATGTTCTCCCTTGTTTGACAGGCTTCGCCCCTCATTAACACATATCAGGACTCTTGAGGCACTCTCTCAATCACTCGAGGAATGTCGGTCCGTGTTGAAACGGCTATTTCCAGAACAGGATACGCACACGCTACTTCCTTTGTCCAGGCAAGATCTATTGGATCTTATTGATAGACCATCAGAGCCCGCAACAACGGCGCTCCCATCACCACCACTTAATACATCACCACTCTCGGACCTGGAGTCACCCGGCCTCTCCAGCTTGGAGCATATACCGACTGCTGATACAGAATGGGACGAGGAGAGAAGAGGCAGAGATCCTATTCCTGTAGAAGCTGACGATGTCAATGCCCTTTCCCTAGCCGTTGATCGGCAATCGTCATACCTTGGGGCCTCCTCTATCAAAGCGGCACTTATGGTAATGTTAAGGGTTCAGCCGGGACTCAAGGCGGCTCTCACAACGCCACTTGGCCATATCGATATGATGAACAACTATTCGGTAATTCGCCATAAAGCGAGCCCCATAAAAGATAATCAACGGGTTCCCTGGTCCTGGAAAGGACAGACTCTTATTGACGCATATTTCAAACGGATCCACGTCTTCGTCCCGATGCTTGATGAAGCAGCTTTCCGTGCAGACTATCTCGAAGGCCAGCGGTCCGATTCACCTTGGCTAGCTCTTCTCAATATGGTGTTCGCTATGGGTAGTATCGTAGCTATGAAGTCAAACGATTTCACACACATTAATTACTACAATCGTGCGATGGAGCACTTATCCATGGACGCATTTGGAAGTAGTCACCTTGAAACAGTTCAAGCACTAGCCCTTATTGGCGGGTATTATCTTCATTATATCAATCGCCCTAACATGGCAAACGCTGTTCTCGGGGCAACCATTCGCATGGCGAGTGCCCTGGGCCTACATAGAGAAAGCCTCGCACAAGGAACTTGCGATGTTGCGGCGGGCGAATCAAGGCGACGGACATGGTGGAGTCTATTCTGCCTAGATACCTGGGCTACGACGACGATGGGGCGACCATCATTTGGTCGGTTCGGGCCGGCCATCAACATACGACCTCCCGAGGTTGGCATCCACCAGGTGAGTCAAGAAATGATCTTTGTCGAGATAAAGAGCCTATTTATTATATTTGCCTCAAAGGCACACATCGAGATATGCATCTCACAAGGCTCTTATTATGCTTTCCATTGAACCGGGATGTATGCTAACCTACAACGCCCCAGCAGCGAGATTCTGCGCAGCATGCAGGGATTCTGCCACTGATAGAAAATATCAAGTTCTGCAAAATCGCCACTCAGATTCAGGATATGCTGGCCATATCCCCATTACTCCGCCCAGAAGACCGCCGCAATCTAGACAGGCAACTTACCGGCTGGTACAACAATCTTCCCTGGCTACTTCGCACCAGTGATCCCTGCGCTGAGCCACTCTATGTCGCGAGATGTATCATGAAGTGGAGATACCAAAATCTTCGAATGCTGCTTCATCGACCCGTTCTTCTTACACTAGCAAGCAACGGGTCATCGGGGCACCTTAGTGAGGAAGAAGTTGCTGCCGTTGAAACCTGTAGGGAGCTAGCCTGCCAAACTATCGAAGATGTTGCCAGAGAATGGACGAGAAATCAGATGTCAGGTTGGAATGCCGTTTGGTTCTTATACCAAGCTTCAATGATTCTTCTTGTTAGCATATTCTGGCAGATTAACAGTCCGCACATCTCAGAATGGCAAAAGCAGATCGAGACGATCCTAGAACTCTTTGATGCAATGGAGGACTGGTCACTAGCGGCGCGCCGAAGCCGGGAGGTGGTGTGGCGCATGTATGAAGCTTCACGGCTGCCCACAATGACAAAGAGCGATAGTACGGCGGCTCAAGCAGGTCACGATCGAGGACTCTTAATCACAGAATCGGATCCGCATATGTCGCCGATCGGGATGGAGGCGGGCGGCATGGGTGTTATGGCCATTGTCGATCAACAAGGGCTATGGGATGTTGATGGTATGTTTTGGGGCCAGGATGGTGAACAATGCCAGTTTCCACTTTATTCATTAGGGAAACGACCATACCTCTGGAATATGACCTACTTAACAATTCCACCCACATTATAGATACAACCTATTTTAGTTAGTATACCACTAAATATTCCAAAGATAAAAAAGAAAATAGAATATTAATTATTTATTATATTAATATATATTAATTTATCTATTTAAACTAAAGATTTAGTTTTATTAAATTTTATTTTAATAAATATATAATATAACTTAAAGCAAAACTTAGAGAAAAGAAGATAATAAGCCTATAGAAATAATAAGTACCTTAGTAGGTAGAAATTACTAGAATAGATAATAGAAAGGAATCTTAAATAAGAAGAAAGTAATAATAATAAAAGGAGGAAATAAATCCTAGAAGGGAAACTATTTACTATTAAAAGAAATATAAGTAAGTTATATTGATTAATTAGGGTTAGTACTAGTATAATACTATTAGGATAAAAGAGAACCTAAAGAACCACTAATAGCTCCCCTAGAAAGAATAAATATAGAAGTAATATTAAAAGAACCTACTAGAGAACTTACTAGAGGTAGGAAACCTAATATATTAAAAGTAAATATATAAAAGCCTCTTAGCTAGATATAAGTAAAGAAAAGTAATAAAAAAGGGAATTTAATAATTTTTTAAAAAAAAGAGAAAAGAAGGGAAGTAAAAAAGTAATAAACCTATAAAAATAGATTATAAAAAGGAGAGAAGTTAAAAAAGAAATAAAAAGAGATAATAATTAGTAAAGAAAAGAATATATATTTATCTTATCCTCTATTTACTATTCTAATTACCTTATTATTAATAAAACTATATATACTATACTTTTCTACTTATTAAGATAGAAAAAGACCTATAAGGCTACTAATAGCTAGAATAAGCTAAGAGTAACCTTAAAGAACCTAATAAAGACTTACTAGAGGTCTACCTAGATATTATATAGAAAAGTCCTAATACCTATTAATACTATTAGTATATAAGTAAGTAAAGATACTAGCTAGTATAGATAACTAACTAATAACCTAGGTAGCTAATAGGTATACTAGTAAATAGATATAAAAGATAATAGATAAATAGATATAAAAGTTAAAAAGATATAAATTTTATAACTTTAAATATTATATTATAATATATATATTATATATAATCTAAAGTAAATATAACTATTTATAATTAATAAATACTTTTATTTATTAATATACTTATAAAATTAGTTAATTAGATAATCTATAAGTTAAATATCTAATAACTATAAAAACTAATAATAACTAATTATAATAACTAAGAACTATTAATAATTAGTTAATAATTTTAATATATAGATAAGCTAAATAATAGTTTATCTATAGTAAACTCTTATTTACTAATAATAACTAATATAGTTAGTAAAATTATAATAATAATAATATTATTTAACTTAGATCTATAGATTAGAAAAATATTATAATTAAATAATAAATTTAACTTATCTTTATAAATTTAAATAAGATATCTTAATATTATAATAACCTTATATATTAAATAGAAAAAGAGAGATCTTAAAAACTAATTAATAAACTAATATAAAAATATTAAAAACCCTAATAATATAATACCCTAATAAAGAGGAAAGGAGCTAAAATAATTATCTAAAGAACCTAGATCCCTATAAATAGACTTTTAGATATTCTAGTTTAGAGAAGAAAAGCTAGCTCTAAAATTATAGATTTATTAAAAACTAAATTAGATAACTAACTAATTAATATCTTAATAATTTTAGTAAGATCTATTAGAGGAAATATTAAAATAATAGATAAAATAGGAGAGTAAGTTTATTATACTAAAGCTCCTAGTAGCTGTAGCTATACCTACTATAGCTGCTATAGCTGGCTGGATGTGGATATAGTGTTCTGCTATAGCCTATAGGTATCAGCTGAAGATCACCTAATGGTCTATATGATCACCATCTGGGATCTAGGAGGATATAAAGGGGTCATCTAGTAGATAGGTAGCTAGGAAAGTAGAACTATCTTACTTACTTACTTACTTCTAATACCTAGCTTCATCTTAATAGTGACTATAGTATTATATAAGGATATATTACTATAGCGACCCTTAAGGACTAGCAACCCTCATAGCGACCAAGTGATCATAAGATCACTTTAGAGATACTACTATCTCTCTAATAGCTTCCTAATAGCTTAGTTATCAGTAAGCTAGTTAACATAACCTTTTATCATAATAAAGTTATAAATATATTAATATAAAAGCTATAGATAAAACTAGCTAATATATTTAACCTTTAGATTATAAAGCTATTAATATCTAATTCTAACTAGATAATAGTCTAAATATTAAGGGAATTAAAAATATATTATTTAATTTTATATTAACTAATAAATATATTAATAGAAAGATATTATATAAATATATATTAAGAATTAAAGAAAAAACTTTATTATTAGAAGGAATTCCCTTATTAGAAAAAACTATCTCTAGAAGATAACTAAAACTATTAACTATATTAATAAACCTCTAAGTAAATATATTAGTTAGAGAACCTAATAGAGAAGATTAAAGTTAGGAAAAGGAATCTATAATATATCTTATAGATATAATAAAGAGGGTTTTTAATAAAAGATTAAAAAAATAAATAGATTTATAGTAGATTAAAAATATTAGTTTCTTTTAATTAGATATAAGTAAAATAGAATATAATATATAAAATATATTTATTAAAAGAAAGTTAATATATTTTAAGATAGTAGATTTATTTAGATATATAATCTATATAAAAATAATAAATAACCTATTTAAAGAGAATTAGATAGTTAGGTAAATCCTAAAACTATTAAGAGGTTAAATATTTATTTAATAAAGTAAGCTTATTATAAATAAAAACTAATAAGATCTAAAGATAAAAGGTCTAAAAGTATAAGAGGATATATTATAAAAGAAATTTAGAATTAAGATCTATAAGATATAAATATAACTAGTAACTAATATCTATTTTATAATAGATATATAAAAAGGAAAGCTAATAATAAATTTTATTATATAATATATATATATATATAAAAGAATAAAAAGCTAATATTTCTTTAAAGTAAATAAATATTATCTATAATAGATGAAATCCTAAACTATAAATATTTTATATATAACTAAATATAGATAAATATATATATATCTAAATAGTAAAAATAGAAAAGAAAACTAAAATATTAATCTAATTAAAAAGTATAAAGTTAACTTTAATATTTTAAATTAGTAAATATAATAATAAAAAAGCTAAAAGATAATAAAACTAATATAGAAGAAATAATATATAATAAAAAAAGATAAAAGATTAAAAAGATAGATATTTAAATTAGAAAAATAATAGTTTTAAGTTATCTAATTTTAACTAGTAAAAATATAAAGATAATAACTAGTAAAAATATAAAGATAATAATTAGTAAAATAATAAAAGCTAATTTTAGAAAAAGGTAAAAGATAACTATAATTTAGATAATATAAGAAGTATAACTATAAAAGAGGAAGAAATATTTATTAATATAAAAGAATCTATAATAATAAAGATAATATCTAAGAAAAAGAATAAAATCTAGCTAAAATAGGTCTCTAATATATTAGAGAAAGAAATAATTAAAAATAAAAAGGAGATTTAGATAATAAAGAATAAGCTAATTAAATATAAATAGATAATAAAGATAATATATTAGAAACTTATTTTTTTATAAATTAACTATCCTAAGAAGAGTATTTTATAAATATTTATTTTAAATATAAAATAGTCTTTATATTATAAGAAAAGCTATATTATTATTTAGATATTTACTTTTAAAAATAAAATAGGAAACTAAGAAACTAATAAAGAATTAATTAACTTACCTTTAAAGAAAGAGGAATAATTAACCTAATATCTATATTTAAATATTTATTAAAAGGTAAATAAATATATATATAAATTAAGATTAATTTTAAATTAGGTAAAGAAACCTATTAAATATATTATAATATTAATATAAATAATCTCTTAATAGATAAAGAATAGATTTTAAGGTTTTTATCTAATATATTTTAAGAAACTTAAAAAACTAATAATAATAAAAAGATTATATTAAAAATAGTAATTATAGAAAAAGTAATTTTTAATTATTATATCTCTAGAAAGATTAGAAAGATAAATATATATAGATATATAATAATAGAAATAGATATAATAGAAAGTTTAAAACTAAAATTATAGATTAATATAAATTTCCTTAAAAAGAAAAAGTAACTATTAATTTAATATAAAAAAAGATTAAATTCTAAAGATTCTATAATATATAAAGTAAAATTAATATCCTAAAACTATTATTAAGGAAAATAACTTATAAAGTAATAATTAAATAAGATATTATAGTTCCCCTATTAAAAGATACTTTAATTAAAGTAGATTATATTAATCTATTAAAAAATAATAAAAGAGAAAAATTAATAATATATTATTTTATTTTATTATATAAAAATATATATAATATAACTTTTTAATATAAAGACCTAGAAAATAATAATATTAAAAAATAATATATTATATTAGATCTAAATTAAGAAAAGATTATATATTAGAAAGATTATTAAATTTAATAATAATAAAAATAGATATTCTTATAGCTAAAGAAGTTATTAAACTAAAACCTATAAAAGAAGTAATAAAAGAAGCTTTAGAATAGGTAAAATAGGAAGTTAATAAAATAAATATTAAGTTAATAGAAATATAAAAAACCCTATTAGATAAAGATTATAATATACTTAGATATAGAATTAATAAACCTAAAGATATCTTAATAATAAAATTAGCTAAAGGAGTATTAATTATAAATATAAATCCTATCTTTATATAAAGATTAAAGGAAGTTATTAATAAATTTAATATATTTAAAGATAGGGAATTATCTTTATATTAGAAAAAGAGAAAATAAAGATTAAATTAGTTAATAGATAGTAAAATTAAACTTAGAAAGTAAAGAAATACCTTTTAGAAATATAAGAAATAGAAATATTAAATAATATTTATAATATATATTATATTAAAAGGAAA